AGACACTGAATGATCCGTTGTTCACTGAGGTGCATAAACAGGACTGTTAGGATTCAACGCCATGGCCATGAAATGGACGATTCTCAGCCTCTCTCTCTCTCTCTCTCTCTCACAGCTCAGCTTGGTACAAAGTGAAAAACCAAACGTTTGTGAGTTTTATTCCTCGTCTTGATATTTATAAGTTTGTTTTCTTCTTTTTAACTTAATTATCATTCAGCAATAGAGCAGAGCAGGCAGATTCTTTAAAGCCGTGTGACTTTTAGCATGAGGGACTGACCAACGGAGGCGTCAAGTGCAATAAGGTGTTACCGCGGGGTCAGAGGCAAGTGTTTTCAACGAGTATCGGCGCGCTGACACGGTTTTTATTTGTGGGTTTTCTGGTAAGTTAATGTGATGAAAGTTCAGTGTTTGACTTTCTTGTGAACGAGCAGGATTGTTGCTGCAGACGTGAGTGTCGGGGACGGCCGTCTCAGAGTGGACGAGTCGAATCAAAGTGCCTGATTTGGTGGTCAGAGATAAAAATGGCGATGGGACGGGAGGTTATTGGTCGTGTGTTGGTTCGGTGCCTCTGTTGGGACAGATTCAGACTTTAGAAACGTTGCACTGCGAGTTTGTGTGATAAATATTGATCATGTTTTGTTTGCCTGTCAGGAAATAATCACTTTAGTATCTTCTTCACTTTACAATCACAGCATGGTCTGTTTTTTTTTCACTCGATGCTAAAATAGATCCGATTATTTTTCAGATCACAGAAAAGTTTTTACTGAACATGAGCGTTTGAAGCTTGTTGGTGCCTCAGATAGTTATTGATCAGAGTAATAAAACAGGAAGTCACAGCTGTTATGAACTCCTCAGTCCTGCTTATATCAGAACATACAAACAAGCACTTTTCAGGAAAAGCCCAAAAAATCCAGATTCTTTTAAAGCTCCTGTGAGGAATTTTTAAAACGTTCATGAAACACGTTTAAGTCACAAAAAGCAGCTAATAAGACTGTAAACAAAGGGGGCGGGGTTACCATTCTTTATACAAACTACAAATATAGAGGACAAAATGATCAAACACAGTTTTGTCCAGCGGGGGGCGCCAAAGTCCACACACTCTGAAAGTTCCTCACAGGAGCTTTAAGGATGTTTTGATCAAATTCACATGACCTCTTTTGTTTTCAGCCTTTTTTTAAATATCGTGGATCTCTACATCATTTTCATCAGCTGATCTGTGAACGGTTTTATATTTTTTCTAGAAACAGCTTTTTATTACAGAGGAAACGGTCTTTCACTCGGCAGCTGAACGAACTCTTTTCTGCTGCGTCCATGTCGCTTATTTATCGCAGATTTTTTTTTAAATGTAACCATCAGTATAATCGCTCTTAGCGGGAGTCCAAACATGCGCTCCGTCAGAAGAATCGTATTTCTACTGATTGTCACCGCCCTGCTCTTATGGTGCTGTCTGTAAAAGACGTCGCAGTCGAGTCGGATACAGACGAAGCCTTCGGGTTTCATCGCTCGGACCAAACCAACGTGCCTGGTCAGGGTGGAGGTGGGGGAGGATCGTTGTCGTCGTACTTTCTGCTCTGACAAGCTTACAGCGTCGTGTCGACCGGCTCCGCTAAACCGCTAACTGTGCTCGCTACACGTCACCAGAACCAAACCGAAGCTGCTACGAGAAAAAAAACACACACTTATTTAAAGACGACGTGGTCAGAAACAAAAAGGCTTTAAGTGATGAAGAGAGAGAGTCGGAGGAGATGTATTTTACTGCACTTAAAGAGACGCATGTGTTTATGGTTTCGCAGTCAGAGTTTGTGCTCGTTTTTGTGCTCCTCCTGTTGAAGCGTTTTAACTCAAAGAAATCCGATTGTCCCACTCTGTGTGTGTGTGTGTGTGTGTGTGTGTGTGTGTGTGTGTGTGTGTGTGTGTGTGTGTGTGTGTGTGTGTGTGTGTGTGTGTGTGTGTGTGCGTGCGCGTGTGTGTGTTTGATGTCACTTTGAAGCCGTTTCTTAATGTCAGACATTACCAGCATTTGATTTTACTTGAAAGAGAAACTTGTGGCGGGCATGTTTATTGTTGGTTCTGCTTGATTTTTGAGAGTCTTTATATATTTGGAGCCTTATGACGAGAACTTGATCTCACCGCTCAAGATGCCACGTAACAGAAAATCAACCTCTGGGGCCTGTACGCCGCAGGACTCCGTCTTATCGGATGCCTTTTTTTCCTCAAAAGTCAAAGCATTTTTAGGTCTGGATTGAGATATATTTATATGTAAAGATATTCATGTAATGCACACACCACTTATTTTTTCTAACAAAGTCCTATTTGAAGCCGAAGCGTGCTAGCTGTAGTGAAATATGGCGTTTAATAACCGTCTGTGAGATTTTTTTCTTCTCCAAATTTAATAATGCAATAGGTTTACTTACTTGTGTGTTTGCCGGTTGACCTGCTACTAAGTGGAGACTGTTCAAGGTTGTTTTTAATCATGTAAGAGATCACGTGAACTTTCAGCCCTCTTCCGCCAAGATCTGTGAAACCCCGCCCTCTCACTGTCGTTTTATCATCTCAAAAAAACCCTCAAAGGCTTTTAATTTGAAAGGGTTTAAGACATTTCTCAACAGGTGAGCTGCAAACTGCATCAAAGCTAGGTTTTTATGAGATCAATTATTTTTTCATATTAACGAAAGGAGGAGGGCTGAAGGTTCATCCTCGGACCGGTTCGTCCGTTAAGACTGTGCCTTTCCTGATGGTGCTGAAAACAAAAACCGAGTAAATCAAAGAAATCTTAACTTTCAGAAAAGGCCGCAGAGGCCCACAGAGTCTACGATGAGAAGTATATATTGATACATGACGATACTGTAAGGTGTGATAGTGTGTGTGTGTGTGTATGTATTGTGTGTGTGTGTGTGTGTGTGTGTGTGGATACCTCTGACATATGCCAAGAACACAAAAATATGCAGACCTGATCAGTGTGGAGCTGACCGGACCAAAAGGCCTGTGGGGGTCTGTTTTTAGAGGACGGGCACTCAGCACAACCCAAAAACTTCAACTTCTCAGAAACATTCGGGAAAACAAGAACGTGATGTAGCATTATTTATTTAACTTAATTTTACCGAGGATACGGCCTTTTTTTTTTTTTTTCCTCACAATCAGAAGTTGTGTGCGTGACTCCATATCTGACCTTCAAACGGTTCGAGTTCTTCAATGTGAAAGAAAAAAACCACGTTTACAAACCCTCCGAGTGCCCGTCTGCCACGTTAAGGGATTCTCCACGTTACTAAATCTTTAAACCTCTGTGGTCAGCTGCATATCACACTCAAAAACAAGACAAATGATGTTTGGGTTTCACTGTCATTATTTCTTTATTTTATTTTTGCCTAATTTAGTAAATGGTGTCACTTTTAGAAGTCAAACTGTATGTCAAGACGTTTTTTTGTCTTAACACTCATCTGATCCTGGTCCTAAGTTGAGCCTTTTTATTTGGTTGTCATATTTAATTTTTTTTGGAATAAATACTCTATGTATGAAAAGTTTGTGTGTCTTTATATCCGAACGTCAGACTTTTTCCACAACATAAAATTTCCGTTTTATTTCAACACTGAAAATCAGAAATTCAGTTTCATCCTCGTTAAATGATAATTTATTGATCATCAGGTTCAGCTGTTTTCAGTAAAGCTGTCGTGTTCCCACCTCAACAAAATAAAACGATTTCATCTTCACGTGTTAGAAAGATTTTCTACTCCTCAAACACTCTGCAGATATCCTTCAGATAGAGTTTAAATACCGTATTTTTCGCTCTATAAGGCGCACTTCAAATCCTTTTAGCTTGTCGGAGCTCTTCAGCTACTGTAGCCTCACAGAGTTACTGAAGGAGTTAAAGTTTGACTTATCTGACTGTTTTGTTTGGTTTAATGCGCTTTATAATCCGGTGCGCCTTATGTATGAAAATAGGCGCGTTCATCAATGGTGTTCCTTATAATCTGGTGCGCCTTATAGGGCGAAAAATATGGTAACATGGGTCCCAGTACTGATCCTTGGTGAACACCACAAATTACTCTTCCTAACAGATGAGGTGTTTATAATCTTTGAATCTAACCCCTCGCTCCTTTTCTGCGTGTCACTCCCCATTTCCTGCCCTATTCTCTCTAATAAAGCGACCTATTTACAGTCACTTCTTATACAACAGCATCGAACTATTAGCCTAATATTAAACATGCGGGTTAATTAAACGACGCTGACGGTGAACACAGTAAACAAACCGAGCGCACTGTTGAACTAACATGTCTGTTCTGAGCGCAGGATCCACAAACACAATAAAAGCTGTTATCTTTGTGTACATGTGCTGCACCTGCATCAGAGCGCCGTGTTCTTCTTTATTATTGAGTGGAAATGGCCGCAGTTCGGACGGTTATCAGCCTCTCCCTGTTTGAAGTTTCCTCAGAGCTGAACTTAATAACCACAGCCTCATGTCCTCTTTGTGTTTATACAACCAGCTGTCTGCGCCCATAACTCCAAATTAACCTGTCTGTGAACAACCGCGGCTTCCTGCCTGAGCGGCCTCACATCCTTCGGACTTTAATTGCTTTATCCCCTCACTCCTATAAAACTCTCATCTTTGATTAAACTGTGTACCTGTTGCCCTCTTGAGTCACAGGAGACGATATTTATCCATGACACTCTTTTAATGGGACAGTCTCCAGCTTCACGGAGGGTCACATGACCTGCGGTTGGAGCACTTTTACTTCTTCAATGATTTAAATCGTTCCATCTCACTTAAATTTGGTTATTAAGAGTATTTTATTCTGAAATTCAGCCACAGAGGTCCAAACAAAGACGGTTACCAATAAGAGTTTTCATCGGAGCTGCTCTGGGACTGTTGAGGGTTTTGGGACCAAGTGGGTCAACTTTAGTACACTGATCCAAATCTTATAAGGATAAAGGACTTTAAACCAAGTTCCTACACTACCAAAGAGGATTAGGGCCACAAAAGAGAGAAAAAAATATTTACAGGAAGGAGTTTTTTTTTAAATTTCCATTCCTGGATTAAAGTCGAAATTTTGCGATTCAGGTCCAAATTTTAAAAAGTCAAAATTTCATCTTTATTTGTCGACTTTAATCTCGAAATTTCGACTCAAATCTCAAAATGTTAATTTTTTTAATCTCAAAATTCCGACATTATTCATGACATCTCCTAATTGAATTTGGACTTCAGTCTCAGAATTTTAACTTTTTTATCCTGGAATTTCGACATTATTGACATAATTTTTATTTTTTTTAATCTCATAATTTCTTTATTCTCCTTCCTGTAAGTATTTTTTTCTCTTCATGTGGCCTTAATCCTCTTCTACACATTTCGCAGTTCAGTTTAGCACGAATTCGGACCGACTCACTCATGGTGCTAGCCTCTAGTGGATCCTCCAGGAACTGCAGTTTTTTTTACTTCGTGGGAGCTGTTGCTGCCTGTCTCTTGAATTTCAGGGGCGGAGCAGGAGGTCCTGTTACAGATACTAAAGCACCAGATTCTATTTCAAACTCGCTAAAACAAAATACCGATATTTATACATCACTGTGAAGAATCAAAGTTCGAGTGTCCGCCGACATTTTGAAAGTGTTTAATGCATCTTTTTTTTAGCTCAGTTTCAGGTGATCACATGACACAAACTTTTGTCTGTCAGCTTCAGTTTGTCGACAATCTGCCCGAAACTCCTCTGATTGGTCAGACTGGAAAACCAGTTCTTAGCCCTTTTAACGATCTAAACACAGATAACAAGATAACTGATGTTCATCAACATTTCTCCAGGACTTTCAAGGAACAGGTGCTTCTATGTATTTCTCAGTCTTTGGGGGCCTCTGGGGCTGAGGGGCCCCTTCACACCTCAGGATGTGCAGCTTCGCCATGACGTTCCTGCAGCAGAGTCTCAACATGCTCCTGACAGCCGCCGATGAGAAGTAGAAGATAACCGGGTCCAGGCAGGCGTTGAAGGTGCTGGAGAGCAGAGCGATGTTCCTCCACTCCTCGCTCTCCTTACGGACGAACCCCACCACATGGGAGGCGTTGTAGGGCCCAAAACAGACCGCGAACACGATCAGTGTACCGAGAGCCAGGCCGATGGCCCGCAGCCTCCGCCGCCGGCTGATGTTTGGCAGGCGGGACAGGATGAGGATGAAGTTGACGTAGCAGAAGGAGCAGATGAGAAAAGGGATGCAGAAAAGAACGAGGAAGAGCTCCAGGCGGACCGGCAGGATGATGCGGAGCTCGTCTTCGGTGAAGTCCAGGTAGCAGGTGGGTGGAGGTGGAGCAGGACTGTCAAGAGTGCTGCTGTTGTCGCTGTAGTTGTCTACGCCTTTACTCCACTGGACGTAAGGTATGAAGTAAACGATGGTGAGGTTCAGGCAGGTCACCACCCAGAAAATGAAGCTGGCCAACACGGCGTAACGAGGTCTACGCCACGCCGAGTACCTGAGGGGGAAGGCCACTCCCAGGTACCGCTCCACACTCACGGCGGTGAGCAGCAGGGTGCTGTTGTAGATGGTGACGTAGAAGACAAAACCAGAGAGTGGACACAGGGCGTAGGGCAGCAACCACGCCATTTGATCAGAGGCCTCCTTCATTTTGAAAGGCAGGAAAGCGAGGAGGATGAGGTCTGAGATGGTGAGGTTGAGGAGGAGGACGTCTATCGGGGCGGCTTTACGCCGCACTTTACGGCAAAAGGTGCAAAAGGCCAGGATGTTGGCAGGGACCCCCATCAGGAAGGTGACGATGTAGACCGCGAGGACGAGCTGATAGCACAGCATGGCGCCCAAAGACTCCCAGACACTACGAAGAGAGGAGGCGCATCAGGCAATGATTTCTGAACATTCATGAAGAAAAGAGCTGCTGCTGTGTGACACCATGACCCCACAGTACACAGCATCTATGACAGCAGAGGAGGACAAAAACTTAAGATTAAAAAAACAATAAAGGAAAATGAGTTTTAGACTCACGACAACAAACAAAAACAGGAGATGGAAAAACGTCCTGAATGTTCAGAGACCAAGTTGTTGGAGAAAACAGTTAAAAACTAAAATGACAGAAATCTGCCGTCATGTTGGTGAAGTTTATCTCTGCACAGTCATGTTTTGTTTCATGTATTTCCTGTTTTATCACCTTGTTTTTATTTTCTGTATTTGTTCCTCTCTCTCTCTTCACACCTGTTTCCCATCACCCCTCTTGTATTTTATCTTGTATGTCTCACCGTCTTCTCGTGAGTCTGCTGCACTTCATGTCTTGAACAGCATTTATTCAGAGTTATTGTCTATATTATCCCATATTATCTTTCCTTCCGGCTCATGTTTTGAATACCTCTGCCTGACCTGACTGCCTTCAGTCTGTGCTTTGGTTCAGGACATCAGGTCATAATTTTAAAGAAATAAAGTGACTGTTAATGGAAGTTGTTTTATTTTAATAAGTTCAAAGTTGATTTTGTCTCTCTCAGAGCGGTCGTATTAATCAGATGCAGACGAGTGTTTGTTTAGATTTAATTGGTATTTACTCGACTTTTGCAGAAAACAGAAACCATCTCTGAGTTCTGAAAACACTGAAACTTTTTTTTTCCTTTTTTGGTTTGGATCTAAATTGTGACAAAAGTTCTTCCAGAAATAGAGAAAAAGGAATAAAAATGGACTTAGACTGAGGATCTTTAATTTACTGTAATAGTTTTTTTAAAAGGATGTAAACGCTCTGCTTCAAACTTGAATCTGAATTAAAAGACGCCAATAAGTGATAAAAACTCACCTCAGTCAAACATGAAGCTCCAGACTCTCCATCACCGTGTCGTGGTCCTCTCTGTCCGCACGCCTGCCCTCCTGGAGACAGACTGATCACATCAGAGGACTGCACCTATAATAAAGACCGTGTTTCTCCTGAATGTCTGTTATCTCGCCCTCAACAGAGGAAATTTAATAAACTTCAGGACACAGTCTTTGTTTTCCTCCCTCTCCAAACAACATCACCCAGCAACCTGGAAATGACGCGAGAAATAATGTGCGAAATGAAGTTCAGTGTGAAAGGTGCTGACAGCAGCGAAGAGCGGGCGGATGTTAGAAAAAAAGGATCAGGCTGTTTCACCCATGAGAGGGCAGAGAAACGAGAGAATAGAGAGAAATAACTTTAAGATCTTTGAATGAGGAAATCTATGAGTGGAGCTGAAGGTCCTGACAGAGGCAGTCAGTCCCAAAAACAGTCATCTCTAAACTCTGACGTTTGATTCACAGACAGGATGAAGTTCCAAACTTACTGTGAGCATCACCTTCTTACCTGGTGTCTCTTATTTCCAGCATCATCTTCTCCACTTCAAGAATCCAGCTGGATGAATTGGTCCTAATCTCCGGTAGTTTGTCGTTGTTGTCGTTTCTTCTTCGATCTGACCAGTTTGTGTCCCGATCGCTCCACCACCTCCTGCTTTTATACCGTCTGTCCGCACAACAACAACTTTAATATCAAAGTCTTAACAGTCTGCTGTTCGCTGCCAAATGATCCCTGGATGATCTTTACTAGCTGTGGGTGAATTTAACAGACACATTAAGAGCTGATGTGTTTGTCGCCTGGTCCTCTTGCACGTTTTTAAACAGGTCAGCTGCTGTTTTTATTCTTTAGAGAGTTTTTTCTCTTCTCTCTGTTTTCAGTCAATCATTTCTCAGTTCTGTTGCGTCTAAATTTAATTTTGTCATATGTTCGGTGATGGGTGAAAAAGTTTGTAGTTGGTAAGAGGTAACTAGTTCAACTTAGCTTGCTAATCTTGGATTCAGTCAGGATTTCAAAACTGTTGAACTGTTAATAATAATAATAATAATAATAATTTTATTTATATAGCACCTTTAAAAACAGAAGTTTACAAAGTGCTTAGACAACAGTTGCAAGCACAGAACATCAGCACATGAAAATAAAAACACATAAAAACAAAAGCTCAGTTAAAAACAGGCCTCTGAATTGTAGGCCTGTTTCACTTTTCGTAAGAAAACCAGGCAATACAAGAACCTTACAATATAAATGGGACCATGAGGACCAAAATAAAAACATAAAATGAAATAGAAAAGGAGGGCAGGGAACAGGCTAGTAAGTATAAAAGAGGATATTAATAATAATAATAAAATCATAATAAAATAATAATGATGGTAATATAAATGAGAAGTGGAATTAATTATATATATATATATATATATATATATATATATATATATATATATATATATATGTATATATAAAATAAAATAAAGGAAAATAAAAAACATTAAAATCAATGAAGGACCTGAGAGATAAAATAAGAAAAGATTATAAGTAAAACAAAGGCTAAAAAGGCAGTAAGTCTGAATAAGAAAGAGGTAAAAGAGGTAGAAGAAAAAGGAGAAAAAAAAAGGTAAAAGACGATAAAAGATGAAAGATGGCTCACTCAGTCTCTCACTAGGAAACATCTTATCATCCTGATTTCTCAAAGCCAGTCAAATTACCAAACTGCTGTAAATCGGCTCATTCAGGTATTTTGTCTTTATAAATAAATGAATGTATGTTGTGTGCATGTGTATGTAGCGTGTGTGTTTGTGTTGTCGTCGACAGGAAACATTTTTCTGTCGTCTCTAAATAGAAAAGAAACAACATGTGCAGGATGCTCAGCTTCATTCTTTATTTTCAAGATTATTTAAAGCAGATGAATATTTGAATTAACACACAAACTTACAGGATATATATTTATCATAAATGTGTGAACAGTTTCAAACACCTAGATGAGTCAAAATGTCGTATAAGACCTGTGTTTTTTCTTTGAAAGCTCCTGTGAGGAACTTTCAGTGTGTGCACATTTTTGGCGCCCCCTGTGAACAAAGAAGGACACTTCATCATGTGCTGGTTTTGTCTTAGCAGTGTTTCCTGACAGCAAAGAAAAGGAGGAAGAAATTTCATTCTTTCTTTTACGGGTCGAAGTTATCACCGTGAATATTTGCTTTAGGAAGTAAATGAAAACTGAGACTCATCACAATCCTGTCGGTCCTCCGGTCGGACTTCTGCTCCCTCACAGGCAGTAAAATTCTGAAATGAAAACTCGACTTTCTTCCCAATGAATCAAATTTCCCCAAATTTTTGTCACTTTTTTCAATGTTGAATTAAATGAACTGAACTTGTATCCTGATGACAGAGTGATGGACCTTTGAAAAGACGGACAAAGAGACACAGTCTGTATCATCTCATGGTTCATCTGTCAGAATGAGGAACACTGAATATGAGTCCAGAAGGTTCCCTCTTCTCTGACCTCACCCCTGGCTTTCCTTCGTCACCGCGTGGCTCCTCTCAGATACCGAAGGTGGCGCCCGACCATTAGCAGCTCCGTTGGCGCTGTAATATCGATGCCTACACCCTTCCCTGTGGCTGAACTGGCTCTGCCGTCCGCACATCCTCCCCATGAATCCTCTTGAAACAGCCGGCGACAGCATCAGCATGACCACCGGCTCCAGGAAAACGTTACAAGAGCTGGTCAGCATGGCGTACGTCCTCCACTCCACGTTCCTTTTGGTCACAAACCCCACGACATGAGAGGCGTTGTAGGGCGCGTAGCAGACCACGAACACAGCCAGTGTGAACAGAGCAACAGTCAGGACCCTTCTCTTGCCAATGGGGCGCAAATTTGATCGCCACACCAGGGTGACGCAGCGAAGTGTGCAGAAGGACGTCAGAATCAGAGGAATTATAAACAAAACGATGGCCATTTCAAAGCGCAGAGGCAGCAGAACCGCCAGCTGCGAGGCGTTAAAGTGGTCGTAGCAGACGGAGCTGTCCCCATCAACAGAGACGAAGTTTGCCCCTCCTTCAGCAACCAGTCCCACACTGAGGTGAAGAAGCACAAAGACCCACAAAGCAGCGCTGATGAAGCAGGAGATGCGAGCGCGGCGGTACCTCTTGTACACTATGGGGAAGGCAATGCTGAGGTAGCGCCCGACGGTCACGGCGGTGATGAAGAGGCAGCTGCCGTACAGCGAGGAGAAGAGGAAGAAGCTGTAGATGGGGCAAACGGGAGCAGGAAGCCTCCAATCCTGGAGCAAAGTCTCCACGGCCTTGACGGGCAACCAGGCCACAAGCGCCAGGTTCGCCATGCACAGGTTGAGGGCGTAGACCACGTTGGGTGTTGCGCCATGCTTACGGGCCTTGCGTACGTACACGAACAGGACCAGAACGTTTGCAGGAAGGCCGAGCAGAAAGGTGAAGATGTAGACGGAGAGAGCGACACAATCCTGGTAGGGAACATGCATGTCTTCAGTTTAGGGCATGGATGCTGCTGAGAGTCACAAGAGATCCAGGACGGAGATAGTCCTGCCTTCGATTTAGCATCATAAACACAAGTCTTCAATGAGAGTCCAGCTGGCAGGGCAGGCTTGTTAAAAACAGGCGAACAAAAGGTTTACTTCATGAACACTTGGGTTCATATCTGCCTTTATCCGTCATTTATAAGCTGCAAAGGTTAGAGCTCCATTTTGTGCAGAGAAATCCTTTAATAAGCCTTTACGAAAGCTGCTGTAGTGATGACCGTCTCCTTCCGTCATGCCCGGACTTCACCCTGAGACAACAGGAACATCTCTGACACAGGTGACAGCGAGGAAAGAGGCGGTGGCCACTTATTTGCTGATGCATGTGGGCACGAAGTGGGCGAGGCACATACGACATGATGACAGAAAAGCAGATAAAAAGACGCATCCACTCATGCGGAAGCAGGGGGCATTTAGCCGGCACCGGCCTGCCTTAATTGCCCTCTCAGTGGAGGGAAACAGACAGGTAGCATCTGGGCCTTTAAGTGAAATGATTCAGAATAATCAGCGTGTCAGGAAACACATGGCCATCCTCTCAAAGCTCAGGCCGTCTAAATGAACTGGAGAGCCTGGCAGTTAAGTCATAAATGTGCCGAAGTTGATGGGCGATGCGAGGACGGGATGGGCTCGGCCTTGGGGAACGGTGACTTGTTTGTGGCGTGGAGGCAGTTTTATGGTCGGGGATGAGTTGTTTTGTGTGTACCTGTGGTAGCTGCCGTGAGAGAGGAGTGGGTGCGCCGTGAAAAGGCTTTTGGTGGAGAAAATGGAGCAGAAAATCACTGTGACTTGTTGCAGAGGCATTTTGTTAGAGCAGAAAAACACTTACTGGGAGACGGTTTTCCAGGAATAGAGCTGAGGCAGGCGGGATATCACTGCTCTCTGTTTGTCCACTCAATTGATCCATTACTCAAAACAAATGTGTGTTATTATACTCCTGATATGTTAAAGTGAGTGGGCAGAACGGTGATTACATATTTATTCTGTTCATTTGTCCAATTGAGGCCGACCTATTGTGTATTGATCAGGATGGGTTTTCTCATGTGATTAAAAACTGCGCCTCTAGGAACACCAATGCTTCAGCAGGAAGACAGGCATGTCAGCTTTTTCTATCTTGTGTTGGTGCGTGACATCTCCTGAAGTAGTACCAGATCTGTTTTTCTGCTAGGTCTCTGTTAAACAGTAGACATCGATTTTAAACTAGGGATAAATGGAAGTCCTTACTGATCTATCCTGAAGTGGACAAGAACAGTATCGATCATATTCCTGTCATGTCCTGAACCTTCCCTACAGTCAACTGAAGCTGCACTGATTTCACACTTCCTAATGTTCCAGTTGTCTTTTGTTCCTGTGATCTTGTCTTTTGAGTTCTCAGTTTTGTCTCTGACCCTGTTTCCCTCCTGTTCTCTGTGTTTTATTCTTTAGATCAGTTTTCAGTGTTTATTTCCTGTTTTATTTTGTAGGAGTTGGTTCCTTGTGTCTCTAGTCTGGTTTTACCTCCCCAGTTTCCCCTCCTTTGTTAATCACTCATGAGTCTCACCTGTGTCTCGCCTGCCTCACCTGTTGCTTGTTTCCCAGTGTGTATTTAGTCCCTGTCTTCTCCTCTGTCCTGGTTGGTTCACTGTATGTCTGCAGGTCTTTGTTTGAGTCTTTGGATTTTGCTTCTTGTGTTTCTTGGACTTTTTGATTTGTTTGAACATTTTCCTTTTTGCTTTAGTAAATCCTCAGTTCTGCATGTTCGGGCCCTTTTCCTTTGTTTAACCCTGCCCCGTATGACAAATCTAGTCTCTTTAATTTAAATTCACCCGGTGCTCCAACACATCAACCTCCAAAACTGTCAGAACAACAGACTCTTTCTTTTTTATTTTCCATGAACTGATTCTTATCTAGTGTTCCTGTTTGGAGTCTTTCAGTCAGTTCCCTGCAGATCAGGTCAGCCTGCAGATACATTTATCTACAGACAAGCTCACCATTGTACTAAACTCTGATTTATTATGGGAGGCAGAAAACTGATAAGGTTTTTTTTCCCATGCAGACTGTAAATTGTATAATCTGAGAGCAGACGTTAAAATCTCTAAGAGACCGAAAACAAATCTTTCTTTGGATGAAAAGACAAAAACCAACACAAACGCACATTAGAATAGAGAGACCGAGGCAAGAGAGAGAGAAGTGAGTCAGCTGTGAGAGACGGTGTTTAATGCTTATTCACCACATTTATTTATACTCACTGTATACACTGTAAGAGTCAAAGTTCACGTCCTTATCATGTTTCCATGCTCCAATCACATCAGTAAATCAAACACTAAAGAGCAGCCAAACAAAACCATTAAAGCTCACTGTCAGTCATGAAGAAGGGCTCTTCAACACGTTCATTTCAGCTCGAAAAGAAGAGACCAACTTTAACCCCTCCATAGATACAGCTCTGAAGAAAAAAAATCAGTTTTAAAGGTGTGGAGGAAACAGAGAAAGTCCACATTTCAACATAAACTTTGATGCTTTTTGCTAAACTTAAAGGCACTGTCAGGAGTTTTCATGTTGATTCTGCCGACAAGTGATTCTCGCTTCCACCTGGGACGCTGTAGGATAGTAAGGGAAGGTCCCGCCCTCCTTCACCTCTGATTGGCTGCAAGTGCTGACCGTTTGGCTTGAGCGTGTGATGACGTTTTCAGCTTCTCAGTCAATCAGAGGCAAAGGCGGCGGGACTTTTTCCCCCCAAAAAAGTTGCAAAATCAAATCGGGCCTGATGTGTTCAGTCAGGCGCGTCAAAATTCACCTCTGAATATTTCGTCATTTCATGTACTACATTTACATCGGCCTGGTTTATAAGGAGCTTAACTGTAGCTGCAGCTTCCTGGTCTGACCTGAGCTGCTTATAATGAGGTGAAAGCCATGAGCGCAAAACATGAAGTAAAAAGAAAAAAAACTGAGTGCCAATTATTGATCCAACGCGCCAGAGAAAACCCCACACTGAATCAGATACTTAAACTCAGTGTAAAGAAATAACCTCATTTTATTAAGTAGGTAATGAAGAGGCTTCAGTTTATAAATGAGACTATTTCAGATTTAGTGAAAAACTCCTCACAGAGTCTTTGATTTGACAATAAAACAGATGTTTGAAACGCCTCACACAGCACACAACAAAGACGTCTAGATAGGTCATAGTCTTTCTGCACGATGATTCCGCTCCTCTTCAGATTAATACATGTTCTTTTTTTGAATGAAGATGATAAATTTCATTGCTAGTTTCTGAAAGTTTGATTTACATTCAAAGTAGAAATAAATAAAGTTTCTTTGTATGTTGGTTGAGCTGTAGAGCAGCATATCCTGGCCTTACTGAGCCAGCAGCTGCAGGTTGCTCCTCCCACTGGAGTTTGTCAGAGGAACCAGCAGCACTTTATCAGTGCATGAGGCAGACATGAGGCGGGTACGTGTGTTCATGCTTCGCTGTTCCAGAGACAGAGCTTCCTGTTTTCTGGAAAGATCTTGCAGCATGCGGCTGTGATGGAGCTTCATCTTCTGCAGGGAGTTCCTGTGGAAGAAGAAAAATGACTAAAAATGACCTCTTAAAAACACATATTTATTTCTTTGAATCTTTTGTTCTCTCTTCTCTGAATCATCGTCTTTCTCATTGGATGGAAAACTACAGTGAGGAAAGCTGACTGGGAGAACTGGTCAGTATAGATGTCTAAAACTCAGACTCACTGAGCTTCAGACAGCTTCTGTTTTAGAGCCATGATGGTCGCCTCTAGCTGGTGGACCTCTTTAACAAGACCATACTGCACCTGAAAACAGGAAGACAAAAATGAACCAAGAAAGCAAATGAAATTAAACTAATGTTAAGCAGTGTTACTGCTTTCAGATACTACAGTATGTGTTTTACTCAGACCTCATCCCTGCACAGGTCCATGCCAGGTCTGTTGGTCCTGTTCTCCAGTCGTGTGTGAGCCAGTTTAAGGGAGGCCGTCTTCGCCTGCAGATCTGCATCCAGCCCGTGGATGTCAGTCTCCATTTCTGCCATTTCATCCTCAGTCTACATGATTATATATAAAAACAGAACATTGACCACTTCACCTAATTTCTGTGTTTTACTTTAAACTGGGCGAACTGTAACCTAAATCCAAAATTATTGACTGTGAGATATCTCACATTTTTGATTTGCCACTCCAGCTCATCGCGGGCCTGCTCTTCATGGTGATTACGCTTTCGGAGTGCAAACTCTGTGACCCTGCGCTGAGTGTCCATCTCATTCTGCAGCTAAAAAAACAGAAACAATTCATTCAGATTTTTTAAAAATGTTTTACATGTCAGGAATCGGGTATTTTCAGGTAGATGGTGTAAAGTGAAAGAATAAAAATGCAGCAGTATCTCACTGTTTTATTCACCTGAGCTCTGGTGAGACTCATATCCTCCCTCATCTGCTGGGAGATCTGCATGGCCTCCTGTGCACGAGCAACATTGAACTGGCTGAACTGGACCCACTCCTTGGGGGTCGAGGAACTGTAATAATGATGAAGACATTTCATTATTTTACAAAATATCTGACACAGACATAAAATGAAAACAAAAATATCAGTTTTATTTCTGTTATTTTACACACACTCCCATTTTAGGATTACCCTGATGGTATGCGAGTTGGGTTGGGTTTCAGGGAGATTTGAGGTGACTTTATTGTGAGTGACAGGCAGGTCATGTCAATGTCCAGGGCGTCCATCTTGTTCTGCAGATCCGCGGTCAGCTGATGCCGAACCTCCTGCAAAACACTGAATCAGACACAAAGAAAGATAAAGAACAAAAACAGAAATGCTTCCTCTAACCGTTCAGGCTTCGGACAACAACATCTCTCACCACAGCTGCTCAAAGGCTTTGTCTATATGCTGCTGCAGAGCTCGCTGCACACTTTCGATCAGCTGTGCTTCCTTTTTCAGCTGTTCGTCTACAGGGTCGATGACGAGCTCATACCCTCGACGCCCGTCCCTCAGTGTCAAACATTCACCGGTGACCTCTTGGGGGACAGCAGTGGCGGCCAACGCCTGCTCTGTTTGCTCTTTAGACTAACCAAAAACAGAGAGACGCTGATGTCAAACAGCTTTTGAGGAGTGTATGAATCTGATCTTAAAAAAATAACATCTCTCTAACAATCGCAACATAATTTTTGTAACCATCAGAGGGCAAATCACCAGCGTTAGAGCCTCCATCTCTTCGTCCACTTTCTGTGCACAGTTTTCTAAAACATCTTTCCATCGGGCAACATCCCAGGCTCGGTCGCTCAACCTGCGAGAGGTCTCATTTTCATCCCAAGTTGTCTGTAGAGAAAAAAATGTGAGAAAGTGCCTAAAGTAAAGCTGATCAAATGTGAACAATTATGGGAATGCATCCAAAACATCCATCTGTAAAGTGCGACACCAACTGTTTCGTCTCTCTGGCAGCTTTCCTCTTAAACAAGAACCCACCTCACAGTTGGTCTCGTTGCGTAGAGACCTCCCCTCCTGCCGGATCACATTAGAAACATGTCGCTCATGTTGTGCTGTGGCAGACAGCTGCTGGTTGTTGTTGCACCACTCTGACACACTGTGGTGTAGGCCAGGCTTTGCAGACAGTGCAGACATCCTTTTGTGGAAGAAACCTGCAAAGATCCTCATCATGGCCTTTTTCAGGTCAATATACGTGTGTGTGTGTGATATATTTTGGTGACACTTGCAGAAACAAAAAAACTGTGATATCGGCATTATATATCGGCCATAGGCTGACCTCTGTCATAATCAGCCACTGAAGAACTCTTTATTAGTTGACCTTTTTTTTAAATTGTAACTGCGACTTAGAGCTAAAAATAATTCAAAATCATTTAAAATAACCACATATTAAACTAGCTCTTCATAGTTAAGTTTAAATTAGTGAAGTTTATGGAAAATGCTACAGCGTAGGGGAGAGTGGGGTAAGATGAGCCATTTTTTCATATTTCAGATCACTACATCAAAGCAATCATAGTTTTCACATTCATGTGTATTTTTATCTATTATACACTATTTAATGGGTACATTTATTATTATTATTATTATTACATATAACTGTTAAAAAGCTGTTTTGTAAAAAGTCATTTTAAAATGAGAATGTCTTTAAGTGATTGAGAACATTCACTGATCTGTATTTTAGAAAAGAAAAAGTCAAACATTTCAACAGTCTGAAGGTAAACCCTGATCCTCTCCTCAGACTCCTTTACTTTCTCTGTTCCCCCTGAACTACTACGATGACTTTGTTAGTCCTCCAGGATAAAATGGTGGACTGTTAGGTTTTTGACCTCATGTTGGAGCTCATAGATACCACAACTGATGTATAAAACTAATTTTCTTTTACCATTTCCAACCAACAGGGGGTGGATCAACTTACCCCAGTCTTCCCTACAAAGAATTACTCATGAACTGGTCTCCAGCACCTTATCGCCAACATTTTTAAAGGTCTGACAGAAGTTAGTTTGAGTAGTGACAGCTTTTATCACATTAATTATGGACTAAATTTAGAACTAAAACTCAGGCTTTAGTGGGTTCAACTTTTAAAAATCACTCGAAAATACCCACTTCACCGACATACGAGGGGTCCTTTGAAGTAAACGCACAGAAAACAGACCTCTCCTCTTTAAAGTTGAAACCCTCGTAAAACAGGCTGAACAACCCGGGGTGACAGGGTGAATATAAAGAGCGGCAGTTATTAAAAAAAAACACGAAGCTTCTCGTCACGGAGTCACATCTTTAAAAATGACGTCGAGTTTTCGTCTCGTTCTAAAGTTTCTTTATGTGTCATAATTACTCACCGAGTTCTAGAACGGTCGGTTCGGCGGCGCGTGCAGCTTCTCCTCAGCAAGTTCTGCCATAGCAACAGCGACTCGCGCCGTCTCCCCCGGCAACCAGGAGACAAACGGTCAACTGAAATTTAAATTATTAATAAGTGAACGCACGCTCGTGACGTAAGGTCGGTTAACGTCCCTCAACGGCGTCCAAGGCAACAGGAGAGACAGGTAAACAGATACAACAAGCCGTTATATTTTAGTTAGCTCAGAGTCATGTGCTACTTTACAAAGTTTTTAAAGTTTTTAGTGATAAATTTGAGTACCTGAATGGAACAACAAATGAACTCAATAAAAACGTGAATTAACTTCGATTAAACCTCAATCCAAACTCAGGTATAAACACTTGTTTTATTGTAGTATCAGAATTAGTCATGCCAGTGGTTATATTTCCATGCTGTGGTGACTTTCAGTGTAGACAAAAGCTGGTTAGTTTTCATCACTTGCTACCAAAATACCATTTGCACATTCATGACCACAGTTATTGTTTGGAGGTCTTCTGTCACCAGCAAGGGTTCCCAAAGTATTTTTTTTTTTTTTTAAGTATTAGGGAATATTGCAAAAAAAGCCACTAAACTGCAGCAGGACCAGTGGGCCAAACAGAGGCCAGTCCCAACCCGAAAGCTCTTAATAACCGATCCTCCCTTTCAGTGCCTTACATCAGTGACCTATTAAGCAGATATACAAACAAACTATATTTTAATGCCCATTAAAAAATGATTAACACATTGAAAATCATTCCCACTCTCTCATTTATCTGTACATTGCACCTAATGGGGACACAACAGAGATCAGATCTCTATTAGTAAAGACTTCATTGGGTTTGGGAACCACTTGCCAGTGCACTATCCCAATTACCTGAGCTATATTAACACCTAGGTTCTCCAACAGGCTTCTATTAAGGCCTCCCACTACATATAAAACCTTCAAGCCTGTGCTATCAAAGCTGACTTTACTCCAACCATCTGAAAGGTATTACATTTGTTTTTATCTACTAACATCAGACACTTGTTTATTTAGTCTGTGAGCTCTGCCTGGTGCATGGAGTGTCCGGTTTGAGAGGCAGAAAATCTGACCTCAAACTGCGCATAGATCAGCCATATATACACATGATCCACTGACAGTAAAAGCACAGTTTTGTTGCAGGGGAAAGAGTGAATTCAGAGATCAACTTTTCTTTCCATGTTCACATTCTTTAAAGACTAATAAATTAAAGGAAATCCGAGCTATCATTCATGTCACATTTAGTAGTTTCACACACAGCAAATATCAACTAAAACAAGGGAAGAAGGAGTAAGAGTTTACGGGCAATAAAAAGGTGAAATTATTAAAAGGAAACTCCTTGTGGCAGGTTCATCGTTTAAGGTGAAAAGTAAGCTTGGTGCAAGCGTGGTAGTGGTGGTGGCGCTGTGAAGAGGTTGATTTCCTTGAAGCAGAGGTGAGAGGTTCAGTTAGCTACACAGTTACAGCGCTCAGCCTTTGAACTGCTCAAAACAGGTGGAGGTGTTTTCAGTTTGTAGTCCTTCAGTTTTTTTCCAGCAAGCCCTGTGCGTGTGTGTTTCTGTGGTTCAATTTCAGATGGAAATTGTCTGTCATTGTTAATCCTTTCCTTGTATTGTTCAGGTGGGTGGGAGGATGCGACACTGTGTTTTTGTGGTGTTTACATGTCCAGTCCACAATCATTGTGGTGTGGCATCTCCATTGACTTCTACGCCATGCTGCTGTAGCTGTGCTCGAAGAAGTGCGTTATCGTTCTTCAGTTCCTCGATCTAGAAGAGAAACAAACATTATTATGTCAATAGTAAGAGAAGGAGCAACTTAATTAGCTTGCTTGCTCGCATTTTAATACATAGTGAGCACAAAAGTAGTTAAGTCTAGCAATAGCAGGATACTAAGGCCTGACCCATTTATAGTTGAAAACGCTTTTCTGGCGCACCGGATTGTAAAGCCCATAAAGCCAAACAAAACAGTCTGATAAGTCAAACTTTATTTAACTCATTCAATAACTCCACGAGGCTACGGTAGCTGCAGCGCTCCGACAGGCCAAAAAGATTTTAAGTGCGCCTTATAGTGTGAAAAATACGGTATTTTTACGGGTCTTGGAGTTTTCCCACTTTTGCAGTCATATTTTACAAAAACTCCAAAGGGGTTGAAAAAATGCTGCTTACAGAGAATTCTGTGTTTGATTAAACACCATTTCAGCCATAAAGATTTTATTTGGATGAAGTGAACTAAAGAAAAAGGACATGAACCTGCTGTCTTAGAAGCTCATTGTCCATCTCCACTCGTTCCACCTCTTTGTAACTCTCCTGCAGCCGCTGGTTACTCTGACGCAGCTCTCGGATGTAGTCACAAGCTTTGGACAGGATGCCTCCTTTACTCTGAAAAACACAGAAGTCACATTTAAAAAAAACCCTCTGTGTTCAACATGACTCATATCTTCCTTTCTACGGGAACTAATGTTTCACTTTGATCTTCTTGGACTTTCCCTCAAGTGACTAAACCAGAAAAAATCTTTTGATCAAACTCTGAGTCACTCATGGAGCAACATTAGATAAACTCAACAAAAAGTGTCTCCAGACAAAACATATTATGAACATACGTAATTTTGGATGTTGTTTTAAGGACTGCTTTGGCTCAGCACTCACCGCTCCAGTTCTACTGTCTATACTGCAGTCAGGGATGATTTTTGAAAGCGTGACAATCCAGTTGTTAATTTTATCTCTTCGTCTTCTCTCCACTGCAAAAAAAGGGAAAGAGTGAGAATCTTATTTGTTACGCCAAGCTTTGATTCACAGAAAACAGTTTCTACACTGTGTCTAAGTCTAATTATAAGCTTGAAGTTCCTGTATCTTTAAACCGTTACCTATTATCATTACAGGTAGGAGGACAAAAGCCTTTCAAACATCAGTGGAATACCTTCATTATGCTGGGCTCTTCGTCTCTCATCTCTGGGTGCCCGTGGACCCTCCACCTTCCTGCAATGACAGGAAGACAAATGTGACAGTGAAATTATGTTGAAATCACATATTTTAGCTGGTTGACAAAACATTAAGATTCTTTATTTATTAATAGACTGAGTTCAAGCTTGGCAGCAGTGCAGGCCTAAGCAGCATAGCAATGTGTGTATGCATCCATATACGAACATAAAGTTATAAAAACAGCTAAAATAAAAATGATTCTCAATAAACTTCAATGACACAACTGTAAAATGAAGTGGAATACATCTGTGAGAAGTATAGACGGATAAAAATGGTCTTTATAGCTAGGGTTGGGTATCGAGTCCCGATCATCTTTGAGGACCGGGACTAACATTTTGATTCTCCCGGAATCGTTCAAATTTTAAAATTTTGATCCCAAATTTCAATGCCGAAGTCCGCCGACCGGAAGAAATAGCCGCCAAACACCAACGAGGAAGAAGCGTATGAGACGAAGCCTCAGAGAGAGAAGAGAGAGAGAGAGAGAGAGAAAGAGAGAGAGAGACAGAGCATTGTAACCCACAGCGGCGGCAGTCTAAAGTTTGTCTAACTTTATCAGAAGGAATGAACTCTTATCTCTGTGCAACATTAATATAACAGTTATATCCTGTAAAGGAGGGTGAACGACCAACAGGATTAAACACCTCAGGATTCATCCGGAATCAAAACAAGGAATCGGATTTGAAACCGGAATCATTCAAAATCAAACGATACCCAACCCTATTTATAGCAGAGTTTCATAAAGTGCGATATTATTTTCACCTCTACTTTTTAACTGTTCGTAATAAGGGGACACAGCCCGGGTTCATGTAAGAACTGAGATCTTTCTCAGGGACACAGACTAACAGGCTGTATAGATATCTATCAGATAGATTTGTGCAAACAGGAGTCTGGTTGTTGTTTGTCTAGAGCTGCCTTTTAACCAAAACTGTCAACGTACAAGGATGCTAGGGACTGATCAGTGATCCCCCAAACCTCTGTCTCTCTAACACATGACGGGGCTGGGTGGGTGGGTGGGTGGGTGGGGGGCGTATGTGAAAATTCTTCTCACCAGTTTGTACTGCCATGCTGCAACATCTCGCTTTCACCGAGGTCTCTGGGGATGGCAGGTAAGTAGGACAGAGTGTGGTTTTTCAGATGTTGGATGTTTTAAATGATGGATAATGATTCGCTTTTGTATCTTTGTTTTTTATTTACACACAATGACAAAACCAATCATTCCAGAGAGGGGAGGCAATGATTAAGAAAATCCAATCCACAGTGCAGTTACAGGGGGGGAAAGGGGGTGAGGAAATGTGGAGGTGAGGATCCGGCCAAGCACGTGGGGAGATTATGGTGATTTGGTTATTTCAGAGGGAGGGATGAAGGTGCCAAGAAGTGTTATTTTAATACTCACGCAGTGTAGGTGTGTGTGCGTGGGGCGATGGTGCGGGGAGTCGTCGTCTGCAGCACCTCAGGGGGGCTCATCATCACGTAAAACTGACCTGCATGACAAGAGACAAAATACAGTCACAGGTGCACCAGTTTGGTTTAATGGTCACGTTATGGGCCCCGTGCACAGAGACTGGGAGCCTCAGACAGGCAGTACGGGTTCAATGCCAACTTCCTGTCCTTTTCCTGCACGCCGCGCTCTCTCGGTTTTATAATTTATACACAGTCCTGTACTCTATGAACACCCTCTGAATGCAGTCAAGTCAAACTCAAGCTGTATTTGTATTTGAAAAGTTGATTTTTTTTCTGCCTGATCAGGTTCAACAGACACGCACTTTTTCTTCCCTTATCAGCAGTTCACTCTGCCCCTCCCCTCAAACAGCTGTTAGTTTCATGTCACCACAAGCAGACATCGTTGTGTAACACAAAAGATGTTACTAAAATTAACCATAGATGGAGGTATTTTCAACATGTGCTGCAGCAGTATAACCACGGGTGGAGAGAGGAGAGCAGGGAGAGGAGCGGGGGAGGCAGGTGTGTGTGTGTGTGTGTGTGTGTGTTTCTGTGGCTCCAATGGTCACTGACGAAAAAGGGGGGATTTTGTCTGAAGGAATACTGAGTTACCTTTTTCTCCTTTTTTGGTTGCACGTTCTTAACTATTTTTATAAATTTTTTTGACAATCAAAAAAAACAAAAAAAAAACAAATTGAAAGTGTTCAAAAGTCGCTCCTCTCTGGCCTTCTCCTCACCTCCCGCCTGTGTGATGGTCTGGTCGGTGGTGGCCTGCACCGACACGGCCGTGGCTGTTCCATCGCTAACAGTTGCAGCAGGAAAATATGCAAAACGTGTCTCCCCTCCAACCGTCTCCCCCGCAGGACTGCCTCCATTGCTGAACGGATTCTGGATAACAGCCTGTTAAAAGTGGAGTCAAGAGACAAGTCAGAAAAATAACATCTTTACAGCTGCTTCAGTTTCATTACTGTCTGTGTACAAACCTGAGCTACTGCCTGAGGGGCTCCAGCAAATGCTGCCGTGGATACGACGCTCACAGCTCCAGTCCCATCTGCTGTAGCCTCTAAATGATCGTCTGTAACCTGAACCACGCGGTAGGTCACCTGAGGACACATCCGAGAGAAATAAGAAGTTCACACTGGGAAACTATAAAGCGCTCAGATTTGATTAGCACACTGTTTTAACATTGACCTTTTCGCCGTCTCATAAGGAGGGTAATTTCCTCGTATCACTTGTTATCAAGTGGTACAATCTGTTTTCCGTGGTACTTTGGTTGTTGTGGTTATCAGAATTCGGCTGAATCACTGCAAAATTAACATTAACGGAAACAAAACAATGAGTAACCTGTTTTTTCTCTAAATCTGCTGAGGGACCTTCAGTCTTGAAAACCGCCTACAGAGCTTCAACCTTAAATTCACCAACAGCTAATCCCATCTCCTAAACATCAATCAATTCAATTGAAGCATCTTTATTGATCCCTTTAGGAACAATTGGTTTGGAGGAGCTTGTGCATAAGGGACAAAAATAAACACACCAATACAAGCTTGAATATGAAACAAGGAGCAGGAAAATTATAATCACAACTCAGCAACTATCAATAAGCCGAGAAAGGTGTGTCAAAACTCACATTTCTCCATGTGTTGAAGCTTAAAACAACTTGTGTGTGTAAGGTGTGGAGCAGTTAGTTCATCCTCCATTCAAGGTTCACTCAGCTAATGCTTCAAAGCTTATTCTTTGTATTTGCTCATTCTTGGCTAACACAATAAGCTGTTTAATGACAGGTTTTCAAACACCCAGAAGTTACACTCACATCCCTGTAGAACATAGTCCTGTTACATTAGATAGTCATATACATTATCTGTTGAGTGCTTCTTCTTACTTCGAGGTGTGGCCTGATTTATTAGCTACATCAACTGTCGTGTGGAGAAGTTCTCCATGCCCACCTGTCCTCCACTGTTCTCTGTGCGAAACTGATACTGTACATTGTGATCAGCGAACGCAGCTTGAGGAACACCAGTGATGGTCACTGCAGTCTGTTCCTCGGTCCCCACCGCCTCTCCTGCAACACAAGGAAGCCTGGTTTAGATTTGTGGCTCTGCACCACAACAGAGTCGTGAAACACGCACATGAGAGGATGCATTCCTGCAGGTGCTTACCGACAGATTTTCCTAATGTGGCTCAAAGAAGTAACACTAAAACATGCAGCACAGATATTATTTTTAGAAAAGATTATTTGCCTCATATGTCGGCATTACCAAAAATTCGGCACCCACCTTCTTGCAACTGCACCACCTCTTCTGTTTCCTGTTTGTCGTGACTGAAATCCAAATGAAAAACCAAATAAGTCCATTTCAAACTAAACAAAGCATGAAACTTTCTCAGACATGAGAAATTTAACAGCTACTGTTTGTGAAGTTAACTGTAAGGTCTCTACACTAAACTTAACAAACTGTTACTGTTTGTGTTGTATATAGTGCACATACTTGTATATTATCTCTTTATTTTGACTTATTTTATCTCTTTATTTTTACTGATTTTATCTTTTAACTTTTACTTATTTCATTCATTTTATCTATTTATCTCTTTATTTTTAATTATTCTATTTATCTCTTTATTTTTAATTATTTTATCTTTAATTTATCTCCTCTTTTTTACTGTATTTGCACTGGAGTTCTGTTAAAGTATTTCTGTTTCTGGTTCTGATTCTAAAGAGGCTGTGAGTTACAGGCGCCCCCTAGCGGTGACACGAGGAAAGATGGAAAAAAACAAAAATATATTTATACACAACTAAAGATCAAGCCGTAAAAATCTAATTTTCTGCAGCTTTAAGGAGGAAAAAGCCTCGAGTTGGAGTTTCAATCAAAGTTAGACTGGTTTTGATTTTGCACAAGAAAAGACAAACTTCAAAAACTATATCAGCATTTTAACCACAGACTGAATAACTTTTTAAATTCTACAAAAAGCTGCAATAGTGAGGAAAAACAGCACAGTATAGTTTGATTCCAGCTTGTAAAACAGACACAAAGTGCTCCAGTGTGTTTGTATGCATTGTTGATCAAATAAAGAGTAATCGTGATGTTACAGATGTGGGAAAAAGGCGCTAAAATCTGCTGAAAATGTCTCTACGGGGGCCGAAAGGAACCACGCCTGAAAGCTGCACAGCCGCCGATTTAAGCAGAAGGTAAAACCCAAAACAATTCACAGGAATTAAAAGTATTCAGTTCGTGAAAGCTACAAACAAACAGCACTGCGCTTAAAGGAGAAAACGGCTTTGAGGCCGTGTTGGGAGCCACCATCGCCGAGCAGGAAGCAAGCATCAGCCTCTCACCTCGCCGAGCTGTCCAGACTCTGCTCCAGCATATCCATGAAGCTTTCCCGGTGTGTAAAAAACGCCGATATTCAACGACACTGATTTACGGAGATGGAAGCGTTGATCACGGGGACAAACACACGGGTCATGTGAGGAAGACAGTCCAGGACACGTGAGGCAACGACCGGGCAAGGAGCTAAAATGGAGGCCGCTGCCGAGCAGGAGGGAGTCGTCTGCGTCTGTGCGGAAAAACGAGAAAAACACTCCGGCTGTTCCCGCGGCTTCACGGAGGCGGCGGCGATTCAACCGGGGAGTTCGGACCGTCAGGGTCTTATTGATTAACTATCGGATTCACAGATGGAAGATTATTTCCTTTTCAGTTCGTTGGGAAATCTGTTTTTGTCCTTGGGTTTTCTTTTTGTTGCTCCGCGGCGCACAGCTGCTGTTTATCCGCGCAAAGCTGCGGCACCGACATGCGCCCAAGAAGATATGGAGTGGACTATAGCTAGGGCGCTTTTTTACGTGGTGAAATTTGTACCGTTTAACTCTTAATATCGCCTCTTAGTTGAAGTTTTCATAAAGTGTAGCCTAGTATTCACGTGACTCATCGGATGCTGAGACATTGGTGGTTGGAAAGGAGGAAAAATGTCTTAATTTGGTTCATTTCTGCGTCAAAACTTGCGCAAACGTCGATTATTCGCTTTGGGCTTGTGAGAATTTGTTATTTACTTTTTCTGGCAGATATTCTTGGCTGTGTTGTGCTCAATTTTGGAGAAGTTGTTTGTCAAATCAGCTCATTGGCACTTTTTTTTTAGGTCCTTTGCCCAGGTGACCGCTGCGATCCAATCCGGGTTTTCCCACAAACCACATGACAAAAAGTGTCCACGTCGAGCCACAAATCGAAGCCCCGCGATTACACGCCGCTCATAATTTATAGTTTTGTGTCAGATTAGACGGATAGGATTACTTTACAGGCTAAAATCTGAAACCACGTGGATTTGTAGGACGTTTTAGAGAGGGGACACGCCGTCTCTCCTCCATGTGTGCCGCTCAGATCCGAGAAATTCAGCCGAGGGAGGCGAAGCAGCTTCAGTCAGCAGACATGATTTCCTCCGTGGAGAGGACAGTCAATAACCTGAGCTCGACTCACAGCAAATCAACCCCCCTTTTTAATTAAATATCAACACTTAAATTAGTCCATGAAAACAAAGTTGAGTTTAATAAGAGCTGCATGGTTAAAAAAAAACTCCAGTCAGTATTGGGTAGATGAGACGATATTGAACTGTTTGCACATAATTAAGCACCAGGATGCAGACATTTGCAGGGATGAACACCGACCCTTCCCTTTCCATTGTCTACTGTGACTTTTTAAATCCTTATTTCTCAAGATTTCATAAAACGATGCAGCTAAAGAGCTTGAAAATGAATAAATAAAAACAATTAAAGTAATTGTAGTGACCACAGCCGGCCCAAGCCTCAATGAGGCCCTAAGAAAATTTGATTTTGAGGCCCTCTATTTCTGACAATAATATTGATTGTTGATCATTCACACACCTACTACAGTATAAATTTAATGTGCTGATATGTATTTACACATTTAAGGGGGTGGCCTTACAGGTAATAGCATAAATAATACCAATGAATGACTGATGAATGATGTTCAGGGTGCCACATGTGGTTTTTAATCTCAAAATTTAATGCACATAACAGTAGCAGAGCTTTGTCATATAAATAAGTACGTTTTCAATGGAGATTTAAAAAGGCCCAGGTCAGAAATACGTCTCATTTCGTTGTGGAGTTTATTCCAGAGCCTGGGACCAGCGACTGAAAAGGTTCGGTCACCCCAGTGTTTGTGTTTTGACCTGGACACCTCCAGCAGAAGTTGATTTGAGACCTCAGAGCTCTACCCGGCTCCTGAACAGTTAAAAGCTCAGTTAAAGAGATGGAGGCGAGGCCGTTAAGAGCTTTAAAAACAAACAAAAGTTTAAAATCAATCCTAAAAGAGACGGGAAGACGATGAAGGGAGCTGAGGACAGGAGTGATGCGTTCACATCTGTTAGTGTTGGTTAAAAGACGGGCAGCAGCATTTTGGACAAGTTGAAGACGACTAAAAGATGATTGGGAGATGCCAACATAAAGTGCATTACAATAGTCTAATCTTGAACTGATTAGAGCATGGGTAGCTATGTCAAGGTAGTGACGGCTTAAAAATGTTTAAACTTTTAAGATATCCACTGTTTCAATCCCCAGAATGGACTAAAATCTAAAAGTGAAGCAAAAAAACAAACAAACCACGTTCTCACTCAGGCCTAAAGTGGGTTTAAGTCAACACAAGCACACATGAACACAATTAAGAGACACACAATCTCAAAAAGCACCTTTAAAACATGCAAACCAACAACTCCAATAAAATTTACAACAATAATTAAATGCTTCAAAGACAACCAGGAAACGCCCATTTGAGCAAATAGTTCTCTAAGATATAATTGTGTTAAATTTTTTTATTTTAGCACACATTTATCCACACAAACAGGGGCAATAATATAGAAGCAGATGTCAATTTAAACCTATAAACCTTTGAATGGAAATGCAGCTGATGATGATTTAAGTCAGTTGATAAGAAGTGTTACCAACCCTGGACTCAGAGGGACTTTCATGAATGAGTCATATTTATTATTTATCCATTAACTTGTATTTTGTGTCAACTTGTTTGTATCTTTGGATGGTAGCCAGGTAAAAGCCAGGATATGCAAATCAGAGTCCCATACAGGGTGAGCAGGACCTAGACTCAAAGTGTCTGTGATTTGTGATCACAGTTCAGATAGGTCAGATCAGGGCAGTCCATTACAGACTACAGCGGGGTGCCGCAGCTCAAGGAAGAACATTTATGATCATTTCTTCATCATTTCCTTGAAGTAATAATCATCATATTAATCATTTTTAACTGCAGACGCGGTAGTTCTTCCGCCTTAGTGTCTCGGTCTGATTGTATTTCCATGAAGAAATGATCATTAGCTCTGCTGCTGTTGCCTGGATTGCAGGACAGGATCTAGTATTCAGATATTTGTTTTCAACCTATAAATTCAGTATGTAAACTAACATTTCTACCTCAGCATTATTAAAAAACAAGTAATATGTGCCGTTCTGCTGAATCATTTAATATAATTTGTGAGGCCTGGCTGTCTCTGGTCTCTGGCGTGGCTCTTTCTACTCAGAATTACATCAATGTTTAGAAATAGAGCCAGGTAATAAAAGACGTTATTGTGTAAGAAACACAATCTGAAAATTGATTGATTCTAGTGGAAGAAAAGTGAAGTTTCTAACTTTTACCGTAAAAGGATTTTGGCTCTGTAAACTCCAGTTCTGTGTTTTAGAGTTGAAACAATCCCAGACCTCTTATATAATCTGTTAATTTTATTTTTAGGGAGAAGTATGAGCAGTGAGGTCTGAGTCAAACAAAGTAAAAGAGAAGAAGACAACTCTCAGGGAAAAGACTAAAATGATCTTTGTAAGGATCACATGGCATTGTGCCTCTATTTGACTAGAGGGTGACTCATTCATTCAGACTGCACACCCATTACAGAGAGAGAGGGAGGGGGAGAGAGACATAGAGAGAGATGGAGAGAGACAGAGAGAGAGAGAGAGAGAGAGGAACAACCACCTACCAAGTGCCAAACTTGAGGCCAGCCTCTCTCCTCCCAGCTCATTCTTTCCTACATGGGCATTCAGATGGGTCTGCAGACAGCAGAGTAACAGTCTGAGCGGAGCTGAAGAACTTGGACGAACTCTCACATCCCGAGAAAATTAAATTAAAACTAACAGAAAAGTCTACAGACATCCTCGGAGCAGTTTTCTCTTCATCGGACGAGCTTTAAAAAAGGTAAATCTTTAATTCTGGCATCTTTTGTGCAGAGGGATTACTTTGATGTTTGGGTGGAGTCATGACCCCTCCCATGTCTTTTTATTAATTATACCCTTTGTCTTGAGTTTGGTTTGAGCCGTTGCTCACAAAAGAGTTGGACATTTCTGAGAACTCTGGACAGTTTCTCGTGAATTAAGTTTTTAAATTTAATCCAGCAGTCATGACTTTGCAGTTTTAAGGATCTTTATTTTACCTCAGATATAGAAGTTTGCCTCTGAGATCTTGAATCTTTGTTTTAGATTTAAACATCAGAAAGAAAAAAGTCGGTGTAGTTTTGTGCTTTAAATAACATTTAAGATTAAAAAAATGTGACTTTTGCATCTTTTCTTCAAAAGATTGTGAAGTGCAATGGCGACACCCAAAAACACTCCCCGAGGTGCAAACACACCACTGTCCCCGAACCGGATCACCCGCCTCCAGGAGAAGGAAGACCTCTGCAACCTCAATGACCGACTCGCCGTCTACATCGACAAGGTGCGCTCTCTGGAGACGGAGAACGCCGGCCTGCGTCTGCGCATCACCGAGTCTGAGACTGAGGTGACGCGGGAGCTGACGGGGCTGAAGGCGGCTTATGAGACGGAGCTGGCCGATGCCCGTCAGACTCTGGACTCTGTGGCCAAAGAGAGAGCGCGGCTGCAGCTGGAGCTGGGGAAGCTGAGGGAAGACTACAAGGAGCTGAAAGCGAGGTGGGTGGTGCATCATCACAACATATCGGTATCAGTCTTTATACAGTGTTTTTTGGTCTATCTACCAAAGTGGGGATGGGGTTGTTTTAGGGGTGCCCAGGCCCAGGAGAGGCCCTGAATTTCTTAGCACCACCCCTGTGACTTAAAGAAATATGGTTTCTTAATGTCTTAAGACAATAATTTTCATTATATGACCTTTAATAACAAAAAACTGTGTTTGTAAGTTTAAAAAAAATCACTGAAATCGGACTCAGCACACTCCGGGTTTTAGTTGTTACAGCCATGTGTGGTCTGAAGGGTGAGGTAGCTTCTGTTAGCTAATGTTTGCAAACACACTGCTGTGTCTGAGTGTGTGTGTGTGTGTGTGTGTGTGTGTGTGTGTGTGTGCTCATCGCTTTGTTTTGTTCTTGACTCATCTCTTTAAGCATTAAAGCGTTTATTTTTATCCCATGATTATCACTTGTAGACACAGAGGCTACATCTCAACTAAAGGTACAGTCTGTGTTTTATAGTCAGTAAAATAAAAACAGAGAACATGTGTTAGGTTCAGATTTTTAGGAAAATTGTGTAACTTTTCTGTTCTTTAAAAGATTTTTGGCAAAAAAAGGAAAAGTCGACTGATGTGACGGTCATGTGGGGGAACAGTTGCCTCAAGGCGTCTGAATACTCCCTTTTTAAACTTTATCTTTCTCTGTTAAAGGACAACCTTTTCCCCGTTTACCCAGGGTGAGAGTGTTTTGTAATTGCAGTGCTAATATCTCAAACATTTGTACATGTGATCCACACTTACTCAGCAGCTCCTAATAGTAGACGCTGAAATAACAGACCGAGCCACACCCTTTTTCATCACGCCCTCCTCAGTTTGACGTTAGCGTCCGTCTTCTTCTTCTTCTTCTTCCCATGCTGCTCCATCCAGAGCCGATGACTAACTCTTTCCTTAGTTTCTCCTCCTTCACCAAAGTAATCATCACACACATAATACGTGGCAGTGTTTGGACTTCTCCACTCTCGCCTCCTTTATTTTTCCATAAATACTGAGACGATGTCCGTTTGGCAAAGCCATGTGGTTGCCATGGCAGCGTCTAAGCTAAACATCAACGGCTGTGGTTTGTGGCTACCAGATCCGTGGGGTTGGACATAGATCGTGGCCTATGAGTCATACGCACCGAGGTCTTTCCCGTCTCTGGCAACATCCTTCTTCAAAAATAGCTCATATTTGTCTCGTTAGGCTGTAAAGGAAGCTGTAGTAACTCTGTTTCCATTTGCATCTTAGGTTACAATGTAAAACAGATGTCTAGTCTTGTTCTTAAACACATACAGGAAACTACATCCAAACATCTGAGACTCCTTATGTCCGTACAGGAACACCAAGAAGGAGTCAGACTTGAGCGGGGCGCAGCAGAGGCTCAAAGACCTGGAGGCTCTGCTCAACTCCAAAGACGCCTCCTTGACTACGGCTCTGGGAGAGAAGCGTAACCTGGAGGTGGAAAACAGGGACCTGAAGGCGCAGGTCGCCAAGGTAAACGCAATCCCACGCACAGATGAAAACACTGGAAACACATCTGGGGTCCATTTTTCTGCGACTTGTAGGCTGCCCTCCAAGATCTCCTGCTACACCTTTCGAGGTGATACCTAGTCTATTAGTTCAACAGGATCCAAGATATAATCCTATTTTTGTCCCACTGGTTTCCTATTTTTAGAGTTAATCCAGTTGACATCAGAAGGAGTTACATAATTAATCTAATAAACATGAAGTATGAACGGTCTTTGAGTCTGTGTGAGCTCACAGGAGGATTTCTTTGCTTTATTTACTGCATGTTTCTGGATTATCCAGATGGTTAAAGTGTTAACATGAGTATTGATGCTGAGATTCAGTCCCTCTTTGTTGCTGTCTTAGTTGGACACCAGTTTGAACGATGCCAAAAAGCAGCTGCAGGATGAGATGCTCAGGAGGGTCGACGGAGAGAACCGCATCCAGACTCTGAAGGAGGAGCTGGAGTTTCAGAAGAACCTTCACTCTGAGGTCAGTTTTCAACTTTCATTTCAAATCCGTTTTTTTCTCTCTATTCGCACCAGTCTCCAATGGTAATGTGCTGTTGTTCAAACAGGAGCTGCGGGAGATAAGGCGGCGCCATGAGTCCCGCATGGTGGAGTTGGATAACGGACACCAGCAGGATTTCGAATGCAAGTTAGCCGAAGCTCTGGCGGAGATGCGCAGCCAGCATGAACTACAGATCAAGATGTACAAGGATGAGATCGAAAAAACCTACAACAGCAAGGTAGACCACCACACGATTAAAGGTGGGGTAGGCAGGATCTATTGGAGCACGCTAACTTTGTTTGGGCTCCTGAACGACACGGGGGAGCAGCCAATCAGGTTAGAGGAGGTGGAGAACGGCTTTGTTTACAGTCAGAAAGAGCGGACCGCTCAAAAATGTTCAAATGTTGACGACACAGACATAAGAGAACACAGAGATATCGATATATTACCAAATAATCAATAACTAAGAACTATTGACTGATATTAAAGGATTTATACACCACAAATATAGATGCTTCTTTAACAGATTCCCGCCGACCCCACCTTTAATGCTGTCAGATTCTACAAACACGACTAAGAAGTTCAAGCTTCCTTTGAAACATGGAATTTTTCTTGTATGCCAACTATCAAGACAAAAATATCCTGCAGCAGTTTAACACACTCTTCAACTCTTTGTTTCTGTCGCTTCGTTCAGCTCGAAAATGCTCGTCAGTCTGCGGACAGAAGCAGCCACCTGGTTGGAGCGGCACATGAGGAGCTCCAGCAGACTCGAATCCGCCTGGAGTCCGTGTCCTCTCAGCTCAGCCAGCTGCAGAAACAGGTGATCTAACATGACAAACATCTGGAACAGAGGCATCTAGATTGGAATATCTAGTTTAGAATAACTCACAATAACTTTATCACTACTCTAGAGATCATTGAGGATAAACTCTTCAGTGTTTCGATGATTGAATTATTATTAAAGAAACGTTTTCACATTGACTAATTCTTCCTTCTTAGCTGGCGGCCAGAGAGGCAAAGATCAGGGACCTGGAGGACGCTCTGTCTCGGGAGCGGGACACCACGCGCCGCCTGCTTGGAGAGAAAGACCGAGAAATGGCCGAGATGAGGCAGCAAATGCAGCAGCAGCTTGATGAGTATCAGGAGCTCCTGGATGTGAAGTTGGCTCTGGATATGGAGATCTGCGCCTACAGGAAGCTGCTGGAGGGAGAAGAGCAGAGGTGTGACATCTTCGCCTTTTCTTCGTGTTTACAGAGCAGATGTACAAATGTCATGTTCGGGGCGGGACACTCAAAAAGCTGCAAAAGTAAACCTGCTAAATGATCATAAACCTGCTCCTCAACGAAACAAAAAAGGCAACTTCTCATCCAGGGTCATGTTAGCTAATTTACGTCTTAGCTAGGATTGAAAAAAAAGAGTTTCCTGCAAGTAGCCCCCCCTCCGTTTTTCTTTCCAGGCTCCGTCTCTCTCCCAGCCCTCCACCCACAAAAACAACAGGAAGTCACTCCTCTTCCTCAGGAGCTCTCTCCAGATCAGTCCATTACACCAACCAGAGCTCCTCTGCCAAGAGACGCCGCGCCAACGATACCGACAGCGAGGCCTCCAGCTTCGCGGGCGGAGCCGTGGCGCGTACTCGCATCACTCAGCAGGCCTCGGCCAGCGGACGCGTGACTGTGGACGAGGTGGACCTGGAGGGGAAGTATGTCAGGCTCAGCAACAAATCAGATGAGGTGAGAAGATGAATGACTTTATATTTGAGAAATGATATTTGAGCTCGGACTTTAAAAGTCTAAATTCATCATATTTTTTATTCTCGCTTCAGGATCAGAATTTGGGGAACTGGCAGGTGAAGCGGCAGGTGGGATCAGGATCGCCGATCTACTTCAAGTTCCCGGTGAAATTCTCCTTGAAGGCCGGACAGAGGGTCACGGTAAGCAGCACTTTCACTCGGAAACACAAACACAGTCATTAAGAACAACACAGTTTTAATCATCTTGCTTTAATGCAGATCTGGGCCTCTGGTTCTGGTGGGGTTCACAGTCCTCCCTCTGATCTGGTGTGGAAGACTCAGACCTCTTGGGGCACTGGAGACCTTTTCCAGACCACCTTGATCAGTGCCAGTGGAGAGGTGAATGAATGATTGAATGAATGTGACTCCCCCTTACACCAAACATGGAGTCCATTATTATACAGACACACTCTCTTTATACAAATATCAACACTTCAATATATATTCACCTCACCATATCATAATAACATTATTCTTGTAAAGTCTCTTAAAGTTCACCAGAGTACGACATTTTCTCATTTCTACAGTCGTTCCATATTTTCACCCCATTTACAGACTCACAAGTTTGTTCACGTTTTCGGTTTCTCCAATAATCCTCAGCCTCTTCAGTTGTAATCAGAGTCCCTCAGTTCAAACAGGTTCATGTTGTGGTAGGGTTAGGTTTTTGGCTTTGTACATGATTTGTGATTTAATCTACGAGGTCTTTAAATTTTAAATAATTTAAGGGATGATTCAGTTCACAGTAATGTTTATTGCAGATAACTCTTACGGCTCGCTTTTGTCAAAGAAATATTGGGTTTGTATTTGTTTTATAAGTGTTTCCCCAAATCTCAATGCAATAAGTCATGTACGAAGTTATCAGGGAATAGTATAGAGTGGCTAACCCTTTTTGTGGCTTTATACAGAATGGTGATAGATTTTGACATTTTTGATTTAATATGATTTATGTTTGATTTCCAACAAAGTTTATTATCTAGTATGACCCCAAGGAATTTATTCTCAGTTACTACCTCGATTCCTTATTGTCTGTAGTTCAATTTCTACATTAAATTACTTGCTTATTTCCAAATTTTGATTATGAATAAACACACACACATATAACGACATAAATGATGATTAAAGTCTAGATTTGATCGTCTGTCTTTCAGGAAATGGCGATGAGGAAGGTGACTCGCACACAGTTTGACGATGAAGATGACGACATGGTGAGAGAAACTGTTCAGTTTTATAGATTTATAGGCGATAAGACGTCGGCTTCATTAACCGTCTCCGTGCCTCAGCAGGTGGCTCACAGCACCTGTGGGGACAGCGAGTACAACCTGCGGAGCCGGACGGTGGTCTGCGGCTCCTGTGGACTCCCTTCAGACAAATCCACCAACTGCTCCGTGACCTCCGCCTCCCGCTCTTTCCGCAGCGGAGGGATCTCTGAAGGTTTACTGCCGCAGTCCTACGTGTTCAGCACCAGCACTCCTCGCAAGGTAGGTGACCCTTGACCTCTTGTTCTGAACTTGGTCGTCTCTGCGTGAATGTGTTTGTCTGATAACTGCGTCTCTGTCGACTTCTCGTCTCAGACCGGAGCCAGAATGGAGAGCTGTCCGATCATGTGAGCCTCTGGACGCACACGCCGAAGCGCACCATCCGTGTTAGTTTTCAGTTATTAGCTCTGTAGTTATCAGTTTGGTTAGAATCATCTACTTTGGATCTCTTTGAGATATCGTAAACTTGTACTGCTTTTTTATAATGTACATAGGCACGCTGTCGAGAACTATTTTTAAACTCAGAGAAAAAGTTGCCAAAGCTGTCATTTTCTTTTTCCTTCACCAAACACCCAAACATCTACTTTAGCAGCTAAACACAACCGTGTGTTCATGTTTTGACAGGTGTTTGAGAGGTGGAGGAAAGTCAGCAGGGTGGATGCAAATCTTTTTCAGTTCACTTATTTTGATAAATAAATTTCATTGGAATAAACTTCTTCAGGATTTGATGATAAAAATACTCAAAGTGTTTATATTTCCTGATATCAATAAACATTTTCTACAGAACTCTTGTCTGTGTTTTTGAGGAGGCAGCTGAGTCCATGTGCGGGAGTTGAAGCTTTGCATAGAAACTCATTTAAATATTCAGTTAAATCTGTTTGTCTCGCTGTCTGGTGATCCAGGCTGTTTAATTTGCATGAACAGTCCTTGTCTGTTTGAAGTTAAATAATCCAAACATTGAGAGATTTCTGTAAGGAATTATAGAGAAGATATACGGTAGGTAGAGTCCTTATACACTAGAGGGCACTTTAACCCAGTGGTTGTTCACCCAAACATGCCTGTTGGCCCGTTTTGAATCCACAGATACTGTCAGGAATTCAAAGTAATCTCAGAGATCAAGAACTGAACTGTTAATTTGTTGTTGTTGACCCATAACAAAACCCGGCTGGTTAAATGTTAAACAGGAAACATAAATACTGATAACAGTCAGGAAGTCTCTTTGGGGACGTTCGGTTAAAATCCCTCAGGAAGAAGTTGTGAACTTTAGGTGAGTACCGCTGTCTCTCTTCCTCTCTTGTCATTTCCACTGAAGTCTCGTGGAATGATTTCTGTCACAGCAGCTAAGTTTCAGCAGACTCAGAAATGTTACACATATATAACCACAAGAAAATCAGTATATCTAATCTGTGAAGGCAAGCAATCTCATTTTATTCTTCTACAAGTAGGATGAAAACTTCTGGATTAAACCAGCAGGTGTGGTTAACCTTTTCTGTCACTCACCTGAAAAATAAGTGACATCTAAAGTGAGTAATATGGGTTATGAGTTACCTCGTGTCCTCAACCTCAGTCATGCCTCTATTGGTGGAGGTGAAGTATTGCAGGCTAACCCTAACGGAGCTGGTAAGACACACCCCTCAGACAAAGGAGACTGTTGCCACAGCTGGCCGCATGCCCAGGACTTACTAATCATAACAATATGAAAAAACTTGTGGTGTTCCTCTTGCTCTGTCATGTTGCATCTGCAGGTAAACATTTCTAACTTCCTGTTAATCCTGATCCTGTGAGAAAAGGATCTAGTTTGTGTTGTTTTGCATGGCACTTTGTGAGCAATACTTTCATTTTCACTTTTGAAGTTAACTTGCACTGACGCACACACTGCATGTTAGAGCTGCAGAGGGCTACCTTACCTTGCAAGCTTTTATTACCTGCAGAAACAGCTGGTTAGGTGACTTTTAAAATAGCCTCTCGAACTATCTGTAAACAGTTGATTAAAAGGAAATGTTTTGACCAATGCTGCAGGGAGAAAAAGAGTAAGAGTTGGTGGAGGAAGTGGAGTGGTACTAGCTTGATATAGTTGGGTTTACCCCCATGCACTGTGGAACCAAACTCCTGAAGAAGCATTTAACTGGAGGGGAACCTCTGTGCAACTTAAGGTCACGGGGAGAAAGGCCCTGACTGTCGCTTGTGCAAATGCACCAAATAAAAGTTTGAAGTGTCTTCTTGGAGTCTCAATAATTTAGATATGGTAGTAACCCCAACTAGTGAACAAGAATCTTTGAGAATATTGGATCATTTCCCCCTTTTTCGTCAATTGCAAACAAGCTAATAACTGCTGTGAGTAGAAAAACGTCTGAAAAGCTAAAAGCAGATCTGATTTCCTTCCAGTGAAACACTCTCTGAAATATTTCCTCACTGCATCATCTGGAGTCCCAAACTTTCCAGAGTTTGTGGGTGCTGCGATGGTTGACGGAGTTCAGGTAGGATACTGTGACAGCGACATGAAGACAGCTGAACCCAAACACGACTGGATGAGGAAATTAATAAAGGACGATCCAAAACACCTGGAGTGGTACACGCTGAAGTGTTACGGGAATCAGCACGTCTTCAGAGCCAACATTGATGGACTAAAGCAACGTCTAAACCAAAGTGGAGGTATAGTTTAAGTTCACATTCAAGTTCTTGTGTGCACAAAGACACCAATTAAAATGTAAATAAGAAATGCCGTCAACCTCTTGGCTTCCCATCAGGGTCCTGCTGACCCAATGAGAGTCTCAATCAGCCACATTTGATCACCTATTTTATCGTCTTCTCCGTGTCTCTCTCAGGTGCCCATATTTTACAGAGAATGAATGGCTGTGAGTGGGATGACCAGACTGGAGAGACTGTTGGTTTTAACCAGTATGGCTATGATGGAGAGGACTTTATAGCTTTGGACCTGCAGTCCATGACATGGACCACTCCAAAGCATCAGGCGTTTACAACCAAACTAAGATGGGATACTGAGACAGCCAGATTAAAACACAACAAATACTACTACACGCACATATGCCCTAACTGGCTGAAAAAGTATGTGCACTATGGGATGAGCTTTCTGCAGAGAACAGGTAATAACCACATGACCAGAAGTGCTTTTGCCCTCTGTTTTTAACTCAAAAGAAAATAAAACCATCTTTGTTCCTCCAGAGCTTCCCTCAGTGTCTCTCCTCCAGAAGTCTCCTTCCTCTCCTGTCACCTGCCACGCTACAGGTTTCTACCCAGACAGAGCCTTGATGTTCTGGACAAGAGATGGAGAGGAGCTTCATGAGGACATGGAATATGGAGAGATCCTCCCCAACCCTGATGGAACCTTCCAGATGAGTGTGGAGCTGAGCATTTCTTTGGTGAAAACTGAAGACTGGGGGAGGTATGAATGTGTGTTTCAGCTCTCTGGTGTGAAGGAGGATATCGTCACCAAACTGGACAAAGCAGCGATTAGGAGCAACAAAGGTAAGACAGGTATCAGGATCAGCTTTGGTTAGACAGGGCAGTTCTGATTCTGATTTGAATACTTCTATGGCAACAGAAGCGTCGTCGTCCTAGTTCTCGTCGTCGTTTTCTTCCGCTTCATCTGAGTCCGGGTCGCGGGGGCAGCAGCTTCAGGAGGGAAGACCAGACGGCCCTCACCCCGGCCACTTCCACCAGCTCCTCCGGGGGGATTCCAAGGCGCTCCCAGACCAGGCGAGAGATATAATCCCTCCACCTGGTCCTGGGCCGGCACGAGGTCTCCTCCCGGTGGGACATGGCTGGAACACCTCTAACGGGAGGCGTCCAGAAGGCGTCCTAACCAGATGCCCGAGCCACCTCAGCTGACTCCTCTGGACGTGGAGGAGCAGCAGTTCTCCTCTGAGCGCCTCCCGAGTGTCCGAGCTCCTTACCCTATCTCTAAGGCTGAGCCCGGACACCCTGAGGAGGAAACCCATTTCAGCCGCTTGTATCTGCGATCTTGTTCTTTCGGTCATTACCCAAAGTTCATGACCATAGGTGAGGATCGACACGTAGATCGACCGGTAAATCGAGAGTCTCTCCTCACGGCTCAGCTCTTTCTTTACCACCACTGATCGGTTAATCGTCTTCATCACTGCTGACGCCGCTCCGATCCGCCTGTCGATCTCCCGTTCCATCCTACCCTCACTCATGAACAAGATCCTGAGATTTAATTTGCTGTGATCAAAAGTTAACCTGCTTTTGCGTTCATTGCCCAAACCTCCTTGACAGGTTGAAATGGTGTGAATGAATCCTTAACGGGAACTTTGTGCTTTAGGTCCAGGCTTCTTCTCAGAGTTTCCTGCTGATCTTGTCTCTGGAGTTATAATAGGACTGCTGCTCCTGTCAGGCGGCATCGCTGGACTCTATTTCTGGAAGATTCCCAGGAATGGTGAGGAAGTCTCAATAACATTAGGCCAAAATTGTGCAAGTCTTGTACTGGATATTTTATTGATTTTATAAAAGAATCTCAAATCCACACCAAAGCTTCTCCATTTTTACCCTCTGTTTAATTTTAACCTTTAGGTTTTTCTCTTGTATTTCAGGGTTCCAGCCTGCTACCCATCAGTAAAATCCTATTAAACATGAAGCCTGAATGCTCTACATTATGATCACAATGTAGACATTCTATGAATATACAAATACACATAATGTGAAGGTCCTTGGTACTTGTGACTGACCCTTTTCAAAGTCTATACCTTTTATATTTGATCATGTTACAGTTTTTTTTTTTTCACCTTTTTCTTCTGGACATGATCCTACTCTGCTTTTTCATTACAGTTCAGGTATTCTGTATTTTCATGTTTTTCCTTTAGTTTTTGATATGTTATTTATTAATATCCTGAACCACTTTTATACGTGATGGAAACTAAAGCTTCTTTTCTTTTCATTTTTTCTTGTATACATGATAAAAGTTTTTGACACTGTGGGTCGTAGTCTATTACAATAAAAACTGTGTTGCATTAGCGTTGATAGTGACTTGTGGAACTGATTTTGGAGCTATCTTCATCTGTCTGTACACCTGTATGCAGACGACATTAGTCTCTACTGTGCTGCCGACACTGTTCATCTTGTTCATCTGCAAGACTTCCTGTATGACCTGAGACTTTTGGACTATGGTGACATATTCATCAGGCACGACTCTGTTTGTTGTTTTGCACTGGGGAATAATTCATAAGTCCATTACATGTAAACAAGTTCATTAATGTCATTTATAATTGTGTGAATTTTTTGTTGATTTTATATAATCATGACCTTTTTGTCATCCATGGCATTTCACCTGCCGATGAACTTTTCTCTCTGTCTCGCTGAAGGTGTCAGATTTTAAAAGGAAGCTGTCTTGAAAATGACAAACATCTGAGACACCCACGAAGCAGGTTAACGTGGTTCGTGTGTCTAACCCTGAGCAAGAAAACTTTCAGCTAACTGTTAACAACCAAAAAAACCCCAAAAAAGAAAAAATGATTTTAAGTCCCACCTCTGACAGGGCAAGAAGCCAATCATAGTTCAGGATTTTGGAGCAGCTCTTCATTGGTGGAGATGAATAACCACACTCTGCAGTGTGAAATTCCTGTAACAGGCACACCTTGTCACACAGAGTGAAGGAAACGTCCACCTAAATATCTTTTGTGCTTTAGCTCTGAGCTTACCGTCAAAGAAAAATGAAGGTTTTCTTCGTGTTGCTTCTCTTCTGTCATGTTGTCTCTGCAGGTAAGATCACATTAAAAGTCTTTATGAAAATTCTATTTCATCTAGTTTTTGTGTTTCTTGGTTTTCGCTGACGCTCTGAGTTTTTGAAAGATTCTGTGATTTCCACTGCAGAGCTATGTTTGATTTTGGACAAATCACTCCTGACGCACTTTCCCCAAATGACATATTTAGATCACTCTACTGGATAAATTAATGAGCTCAAAATCCTTGGTCAAAATTATACTGAACAAAAATATAAACGCCCCATGTCAAATATAAGAGTTTTATGAACATTTGGGTTACGCAATATATAGAGAAATTCAAAATATATTTTCAGTAAATACTGATCTTCATATCGACATTGATAACATCGTGGTATGGCCATTTGTAGCGGATTGACAGTCCTTTGAACATGATAGGGGTCAGGTTGAGGAATTTGATTCTTCAGTATCTTGTGTGTCTGCCAGCCGCGTCTCTCAGAGCAACAAAGCTTCTTCACATGGAGTTGATCAGATTGTCTATGGTGGCCTGTGGAATGTTATTCCATTCCTACTGGAGTGCCACATGGAGCTGACCCACATTGCCTGGAACTGGAACACGGTCCAGAACACACCTATCCAGAACATCTCAAAGATGCTTTATTGGGGACATGTCTGGCGAATATGCAGGCCAGTCCAGAACTTCAATGTCCTCTGTTTGAAGGTATTCCATGCAGATGCGGGCAACACGAGGTCGGGCATTGTCATGTTGAAAGGTGATGTCATGCTGGCGCACAAATGGCACAACAATTGGGGTGAGAGTCTTGTCCTGCTATCTGTGCATTAAGTTTCCCTTCAATGAAGTGCAATGGTGTTCTATGCCCGTATGTGATGACTGACCACACCGTAATGCCATCACCTCCGTGGGCAACCCTGGACATAACATTTGCATCTGCAAACCGTTCACCCACGCGTCACCAGACACGCTGTCTTCCATCTGCACGATACAGCTGGAACCTGGATACATCCGTGAACATCACTCTTCTCCAGCGTGCCAAGGGCCATCGGACATGTGCATTCGCCTATGCGAGTCAGTTCCTACGCCGGACAGCAGTGAGATCCAGACCACGGTAAGGGGGCAAAGCATGCAAGTTGGCTTCTCATAGGCAGTTACGGACAGTCTGAGGTGTGATTCGTCTGTTGTGCAGACCAATAGTCTCACCCGCAGATGGATGAACCTGATGTGGCGATCTTGTGCTGGAGTGGTCACACGTGGCCGACGAGGATGAGGTCGATTTGCAGTAGTGCCAGTCTGTTGGAAACAAACTCTTAAACGGTCTATGGTCCGATAATGGACATTGAGCCGTGCAGCTACTGCTCTGGTGGACATCCCTGCATCCAACATGCCAATGGCACGCTCCTGCATAAATTGCGACATCTGAGGCATTATGATTTGTGACAAAATTTGACATTTTGGGATGGCCTTTTATTGTCCCCAGTCCAAGGATCGTCCAGCTGTTGCTCATCTTGTCTGATCACCCACTGGACATGCCCCACCCATGCACTGAGTAAAAAACCAACTCTCTAAGTGATGCTCACTGACAGCAAGTTGGATTGAAAATTATACACAAATCAAGAGAAATATTACTTTTGTACAATAATATGTCAGCAAATGCTCATTTACAGTTGTTAATTCCACATGGCAACAATATTTGACATAGGGCATTGATATTTTTGTGCAGTGTACATTCTCTTTTTATTCTCTCTGCATGCAAATCGTTTCCTTTATACCTGAAGCATGTCTTTTTTCACAGAGAGACACTCTTTGAAGTTTTTCCTAACTGGAACAACTGGAATCCCAGACTTTCCAGAGTTTGTGGCCACTGCAACGATTAATGGGATCCAGTTTGGATCCTTTTACAGCACCATGAAGACAGCAAAACCCACACAGGACTGGGCGAGGGAACTCATAAAGAATGATCCACAACACCTGGAGTGGTATACGCATGAGTGTTTCGGCATTCAGCACCTTCTCCGAGTGAAAACTGATGAATTAGAGCGCCAGTTTAACCAAAGTACAGGTACTGACTGAGTGTGAAACATCAGTTCATATTCAGCTGTGATGTGAAGGTGTGTATGATAATCTTGAATCTGTGCACAACAGAGTTTCTCAACGAGTGAGCAGGTTGATGTTGTTGCAGAAAAATCCCTTACCTAACTGTGCTGGATTGTCACCTTTCCTGTTTCGTCTCTCACTCTCTCTCTTTTAGGTTTCCACATCCTACAGAGGGTAAATGGCTGTGAGTGGGATGATGAGACTGGAGAGACTGTTGGTTTTGACAAGTACAGTTTTGATCGGGAGGACCTCTTGGCTTTAGACCTGCAGACCATGACATGGATCGCTCCAGCGTACAAGGCGTTTGCCGTCAAGCTAAGATGGGATACAGAGAAAGCAAGATTAAACTTCTACAATCACTTCTACAACTACATGTGCCCTCAATGGCTGAAAAAGTATGTGCACTTTGGGAGGAGCATTATCCAGAGAACAGGTAGAAACACACAACAAGGTTTACTGTCCTTTTATTTTACTACGAGTATTCAGAAGTAGAAGAACCAAACTGTCTCATTGGTTGTCTTCGTCCCTCCAGAGCTTCCCTCAGTGTCTCTCCTCCAGAAGTCTCCTTCCTCTCCTGTCACCTGCCACGCTACAGGTTTCTACCCGGACAGAGCCTTGATGTTCTGGACAAGAGATGGAGAGGAGCTTTTTGAGGAAACAGACTATCGAGAGATCCTCCCTAATCCTGATGGAACCTTCCAGATGAGTGTGGAGCTGAGCATTTCTTTGGTGAAAACTGAAGACTGGGGGAGGTATGAATGTGTGTTTCAGCTCTCTGGTGTGAAGGAGGATATCGTCACCAAACTGGACAAAGCAGCGATTAGGAGCAACAAAGGTACCAGAACAAGAAGCAAAAACATTATTTCCTGAATCTCATTATTTCCTTATCTTTGCCACAGTGTCAACAGGTTGGTTTAATATGACGTTCAGGTCGTCCCTGGTTTTGCTTTTCCTGTTTATAATTGGTCGTCTGTGTTGTAGGGTATCGAGTTTTTAACACAGTACCAAAGTGAAGGGGTTGTGTGTTTGTTCCAGGCTCTGGATCTCCTTCTGGTCTCGTCACTGGAGTTATTGTGGGACTGCTGCTCCTGTCAGTCTGCATCACTGGACTCGTTATCTGGAGGAAAAAGAAAAATGGTAAATTAAATTTACAACTTCAGGAGAAAAACTTTGATTGCTTTTGAGGTTCAACCACCTTTAGTTCAGTTTCTCACTTTGGTATTTCTCACTCGTGTTTCAGGGTTCCAGCTCGCTAACGTGGAGTAATATCCTGGTCGCTGTAAAACCCGAATCGTGTTTTTATTCCACTTTTATTTCCTTTTAATTTCATGGAAACCGTTCTCTTCTTTTTGGTGCAGTTTTACCTCAGTATTATTTGTAAATGAGTGTTACCCCTCAGTGATCTCTCAAGTAGCTGTAGGTTGAAGTTGAATGAATGAAGGGAAATGAATGTCATTGCACAGTATCTCTGATGACTAAATCAACTGATCGTAAGCTCTAGATCTCGTCGTCTCAGGTATCATATCTTACTGTTTTGGTTATCAGTGGAGTTAGTCCTCATTTTAGAAAGTTAGTAGCTTGATTCCAGCTCAGCTTCTTACTGGTTTAAACAGACGGTATGACTTTGTTTTGTTATACTACAATTCAAACAGAGGACCGACTGGCCTGTGGGTTAAATTTTGCTCGTTACAGCCAGGTCATGGGTTCGGAGAAAGTTTCAGTCTAATAAGGTTAAAAATTTAAACCCTGAATCAAAATGTTTTCTTTTCTGAAAATAAACACACTTATGTGTGTACTCAATGTAAAAATGTAGTAAAACAGGCATGCACCGCCTTAATGAATACATTGTTTTGATTGGATGTTTTACGCTAAGTCCACTCGATGGCCGTATGACTCTGGAAACCACCTGAAGGAGCACTGAATAAAACTTTCTACTTTTTCTGAGCACTTCTGTCAACTTTTGTGTCAGTGATGAGCTACAACTCTTTTACTTCAAAAGACACTGTTCAGATCATAGACTGTATAAACTATGGACAACTTGGCTCTGCCTTTCATAGTTACACCAATTTGAAGCTGAATTGCACTCAGTATTTCCGGGATTTTCTCCACTTCCTGGAACCACCACTTGCGCAGTAGCGTTGTGCACATTCGGTGGGAGAGTTTCCAAGAGTCGCTGTGATGACGCTCGGCTCGAACAGCGTATCCTCCAGGTGAGCTACGCAATCTTCGTACACCCGTAAGGCTGTATTAAGTGTCAATCATAGAAAACATGAACCTCTTAATAACTTTTAAAAATGGAGCTGTACAGAAAAAAGAGGACTTGAGCACAAACCAGTCTGACAGTAACTACATGTCAACATCACAACCAGGGGGGAGAAACATTTATATTCTTAAGTTTGTCCACAGCTCCATAGGGATTGCTGGAGGAGGTGGGATTAATGACCTACACTGCTGTCCGTCACCAGAGGGTGCTGTTGACACTGTGGGTCATAGTCTATTACAATAAAAACCGTGTTGCATTAGTGTTGATAGTAACTTGTGGAACTGATTTTGGAGCTATCTTCCAGAGGGAAAACGGTCGACTAAACTAGGAAGCTGTTTTTGAAATGTACACCTGTATGCAGATGACACTAGTCTCTACTGTGCTGCCGACACTGTTCATCTTGTTCATCTGCAAGACTTCCTGTATGACCTGAGACTTTTGGACTATGGTGACATATTCATCAGGTACGACTCTGTTTGTTATTGTGCACTGGGGACCCCTACAACACTCATGGTTGTGGTTCATACCCCAAGACTGGTTGGTCCTCCTATAGATAGATAGATATACTTTATTGATCCCAAACTGGGAAATTCACATAGTCTCTCAAGAGAGACTGAACTATTGAACCAGATATCATTGTTTCAGGTATGATGTATACAAGTTCATTTATAATTGTGTGAACTTTTGTTGATTTTATATAATCATGACCTTTTTGTCATCCATGGCATTTCACCTGCTTATGAACTTTTCTCTCTGTCTCGCTGAAGGTGTCAGATTTTAAAAGGAAGCTGTCTTGAAAATGACAAACATCTGAGACAACCATGAAGCAGGCAAACACGGTCTTTGCTAGCAAGGTTCACGTGTCTAACCCTGGGTTGTAACTGAAGCAAGAAAACCTTCAGCAAACTGTTTCAACAACCAAATAGGTGAGTTTAATATTAGGTCCACCTCTGACAGGGCAAGAAGCCAATCATAGTTGAAGAATTTAGACTGGCTCTTCATTGGTAGCGATGAATAACCACACTCTGCAGTGTGGAATTCCTGTAACAGACACACCTTGTCACACAGAGTGAAGGAAACGTCCACCTAAATATCTTTTGTGCTTTAGCTCTGAGCTTACCGTCAAAGAAAAATGAAGGTTTTCTTCGTGTTGCTTCTCTTCTGTCATGTTGTCTCTGCAGGTAAGATCACATTATAAGTCTTTGTGAAAATTCTAGTTCATCTAGTTTTTGTGTTTCTTGGTTTTCTCTGATGCTCTGAGTTTCCAGGATCCACAGAACAATGGTTTTGTCTCTGCAGTACAGCCCTGACCCGCCAACTGTGTTCATGGACAATGGTTTTTGAAGATGCTGTGATTTCCACTGCAGAGCTATGTTTGATTTTGGACAAATCAGTCCTGACACACTTTCCCCAAATGACATATTTAGATCACTCTACTGGATAAATTAATGAGCTCAAAATCCTTGGTCAAAATTACGTTCTCTTTTTATTCTCTCTGCATGCAAATCATTTCCTTTATACCTGAAGCATGTCTTTTTTCACAGAGAGACACTCTTTGAAGTTTTTCCTAACTGGAACAACTGGAATCCCAGACTTTCCAGAGGTTGTGGCCACTGCAACGATTAATGGAATACTGTTTGGAATCTTTTACAGCACCATGAAGACAGCAAAGCCCACACAGGACTGGGCGAGGGAACTCATAAAGAATGATCCACAACACCTGGAGTGGTATACCATTGAGTGCTTTGGCATTCAGCATCATCTCCATGTGAAAACTGATGAGTTAGAGCGCCAGTTTAACCAAAGTACAGGTACTGACTGAGTGTGAAACATCAGTTCATATTCAGCTGTGATGTGAAGGTGTGTATGATAATCTTGAATCTGTGCACAACAGAGTTTCTCAACGAGTGAGCAGGTTGTTGTTGCTGTTGTTGCAGAAAAATCCCTTACCTAACTGTGCTGGATTGTCACCTTTCCTGTTTCGTCTCTCACTCTCTCTCTTTTAGGTGTCCACATCCTACAGAGGATTAATGGCTGTGAGTGGGATGATGAGACTGGAGAGACTTTTGGTTTTATCAAGTATGGTTTTGATAGGGAGGACCTCTTAGACTTAGACCTGCAGACCATGACATGGATCGCTCCAGCGTACAAGGCGTTTGTCGTCAAACTTAATTGGGTTACAGAGAAAGCAAGATTGCGTGCATACAATCACTTCCACAACTACATGTGCCCTCAATTGCTTAAAAAGTATGTGCACTTTGGGGGGAGTCTTATCCGGAGAACAGGTGGAAACACACAACAAGGTTTACTGTCCTTTTATTTTACTACGAGTATTCAGAAGTAGAAGAACCAAACTGTCTCATTGGTTGTCTTCGTCCCTCCAGAGCTTCCCTCAGTGTCTCTCCTCCAGAAGTCTCCTTCCTCTCCTGTCATCTGCCACGCTACAGGTTTCTACCCGGACAGAGTCATGATGTTCTGGACAAGAGATGGAGAGGAGCTTTTTGAGGAAACAGACTATCGAGAGATCCTCCCTAATCCTGATGGAACCTTCCAGATGAGTGTGGAGCTGAGCATTTCTTTGGTGAAAACTGAAGACTGGGGGAGGTATGAATGTGTGTTTCAGCTCTCTGGTGTGAAGGAGGATATCGTCACCAAACTGGACAAAGCAGCGATTAGGAGCAACAAAGGTACCAGAACAAGAAGCAAAAACATTATTTCCTGAATCTCATTATTTCCTTCATTTTTGCCACAGTGTCAACAGGTTGGTTTTATATGACGTTCAGGTCGTCCCTGGTTTTGCTTTTCCTGTTTATAATTAGTCGTCTGTGTTGTAGGGTATCGAGTATTTAACACAGTACCAAAGTGAAGGGGTTGTGTGTTTGTTCCAGGCTCTGGATCTCCTTCTGGTCTCGTCGCTGGAGTTATTGTGGGACTGCTGCTCCTGTCTGTCTGCATCACTGGACTTGTTATCTGGAGGAAAAGGAAAAACGGTAAACCAAACTTGATGACTTCAGGAGAAAAACTTTGGTTGGTTTTGAGGTTCACCTCCTACAGTTCAGTTTCTAACATTGGTATTTCTCACTTTTACAGCTCGCTAACGGGGAGAAATAAGCTGGTTGCCGTAAAACCTCATGCATACAAAACTTTCTACTTTTTCTGGGTACTTCTGTCAACTTTTGTGTCAGTTATTAGCTACAACAGCTTTTCTTCAAAAGACAAGGGTTCGTTGTGAATAAAGATGAAGTCATTTTCTCACACTGTCTGAATATGAAGCATTTTTTGATTTGATTTTTAGATATTAAAGTTTATGATAATTCAAGAATATTTACAGTATTAATTTAAACTGCACTTGTTTACCTTGTGGGATGCTGTTAAAAATGGACAATTCGGCACAAATTACGGTTTAGTGAATAAATTTCGGTAACTTTTATTTTGAAGGTCAGGAAAGACTTGGTAACCCGGTAGCAGGACATGCTAAACTAATACGCTAATATCTTTTTCGTCTGGATCTTTCTTCTGTTACCTGACAATACAGATTGAGAACATCGGGGCCTGTCTATGTGGACCCTTTTATTGGACTTCTTTTGTAGTTTCGGGATGTTTTTAACTTAAAAATCATCTTATTTTAGCTCGGATTGATCAACGACGCTAGCTTAGCTCGTTAGCTTAAAAGGGCCTAAAACAAAGAGCTTAGCCGCCGTGTAGCTGACGGCAAAGTGGCCGGAACTGTCTTTAACGGAGTGTTTTAGGGAGGAAAAGCTGCTTTATTTAAAAAAAGAAAATGTCTAAAGTCCAAATGTTAAGAGTTTTTGTGAACCAGAGACTGAGTGCAGCTGCTGAGGAGATCTTTGAGCTGTTTGAAAGAACGATATTAGAGTACGAGGAGAAACTCTGTGGAGCTAAAGAGAATCAACACAAACAACAGATGATCAACTACATTTCAGGTTTGTCTTGTTTCATTACTTTCACTTAAAGGATGGAGTCAGGAGGTGAGTATTTCACACCACTGCCACTAACCATGATTCTCAGAAAAAAATATGAAAACTTCATTAAGATATTAAAAAACATCCGTTTCACATTCAGCTGCAGAGGCAGGGAGGGACAGAACCAAACCAACTACCTCCAACAATCAGGGCAGAAGAGCAGGTGACTCCTGTTCACACTGATCCTAGATACCTTCTTCAGGGACCCCTGGTTCTGAACAGTCCACTGGTCAGAGATCTCCAGGACAGTCTTGAAGTGGTCTGTAAGGGCTAGTTCAGTGTCATCAAAATCTACAATTACATCACATACAACAGCAACAGTACAAAAAAAAATGACAAAGGACATAAATGAACATTAAATTCCTGCCAGAAAACATTTTATCATAGCAGGAAATATTGAAACAAGTAATCTAATATGCTCAAACAGCGTATCCCCAGGTGAGCTACGCAATCTTCGTACGCCCATAGGCTGTATCAAGTGTCAATCATAGAAAACATGAACCTCCGAATAACTTTTAAAAATGGAGCTGTACAGAAAAAAGAGGACTTGAGCACAAACCAGTCTGACAGTAACTACATGTCAACATCACAACCAGGGGGGAGAAACATTTATATTCTGTGTCATTAGTTTATAAAGTTTGTCCACAGCTCCATAAGGAGGCAGTGTTTATGACCTATACTGCAGCCTGTCACCAGAGGGTGCTGTTTTCGGAGTGGCTTCACCCAGCAAGGAGGCAGACGGCGTCCATTCTAGAGACAGTCCATGGTCAATGTCCTTTTAGATAGTCGGCATTCTGACATGTTTTGGTCGACTATACAAATAGCCAATGAAAAGTGGAGTTGCTCCGGGTCTGCTTAGCGCTGAACCAATCATGTGCTGAATTAGAACCAAGTATCAAACAACTGCGTCGTAGCAGACAGCAGCTACACCCAACCATAGCACTTTAACAGGTGAAGCCGACAGCACTGTTGGTGAGAAACAAAGAAAATGAGTGCTACCCCCGACAGAAATGACCATGAAGGCTCAACAGATGACCACATCGTCCACAACACTGGCTTTACGAAAACGTCGGTGGTGTGGAGGTATTTTGTTTTCTTGAGGTCGGACATGAAGCAGAGTAATGTGGACTGTAAATTATGTCGAGTACATGTTCTCACAAAGTCGGGGAATACCTCAATGGTACTTCTTAGCACAGCGATAGAGCGCCTACCTGCTCTGGGTGAAGGACAAGTTCAGAAAGTGAGAAAAAAGACATTTTACATAATATGCAATATTTCTCTGTGTAACTTCTTTGCTTTTTGTGTCCAATTCTTCTACAGATGTCCAGCAGCCATCGGTGAGTAAGGAAGAGGTTCCCCTTGAGCAGCAAGAGAGGAGTCCCAGTCCAGACTATACAAATCCACTAGAACCCTTACGCATTAAAGAGGAAGAGGAGGAGCTGTGGAGTACTCAGGAGGGGGAGCAGCCTCAAGGACTGGAAGAGGCTGATATCAATACGCTCATCATCACTCCTGTCCTTGTGAAGAGTGAAGATGATGATGATGGAGATGAACATCAGTCCTCACAGCATCATGAAAACCAAACTGAAGACAGAGGAGAGGACTGTGGAGTCTCAGAACCAGACAGGAACTTTAATCCAGACAGCCATTTACAACCAGTTACTGATGAAGAGGCGTTACGCTCTGAACCTGAGACTGACAACAGCTTTGATTGGGAGGAGACCAGTGAACCAGAGTCAGGTTCAATCCCTCTGCAAAACATAGAAGTTTCTATCAATGATGAAGAATATGAGAGTGGAAAAGCACCGCTTAGCTCTTCTGAATGTGCTACAAGCTCTAACCCAAGCAATCAACTTCAGGATCTCAACAGTATGGTGGGGAAAGAGAAACTATTCAGTTGCTTGGTTTGTGGTACAAGATTCTGCAATAAGAAAAATTTATCAGCGCATATGATGCGTCATACAAAAAGTCAAAATTACAGCTGCTCAGTTTGTAATAAGGACTTTAGTTGGAGAGCACATCTTGAAGAGCACATGAGAGTCCACACAGGAGACAAACCCTTCAGTTGTTCTCTTTGTGATAAAAGTTTCACAAAAAAGTCAAATCTGTACCAACACCAAAAAGTTCATACTGGAGAGAAACCCTTCAGCTGCTCTGTCTGCGGTCGAAGTTTCACACTCAAGTCTAACCTGTATCACCACCTACAAGTTCACACAGGGGAGAAACTCTTCAGTTGTGGTGACTGTGACGCAAGTTTCCGTAGCAAAACCAATTTAGTTCGGCACATGAGAGTCCATACGGGAGAGAAACCCTTCAGCTGCTCCATTTGTGGTCGGGGTTTCAAACAGAAGTCCACCCTGTGCAGACACCTCCAGGTTCACACTGGAGAGAAACCCTTTAGTTGCCCCATATGTAGTGCAAGTCTTCGTCGTAAAACGCAACTGGAAGTTCACATGAGAATCCATACAGGGGAGAAACCCTTTAGTTGTTCCATCTGTGGGAAAAGATTTACCGAGCGCCGAGGTCTGACTCGTCACGCAGTTGCTCATTCGGGGGAAACAATTGAATCGCAGAGTGTGTGAAGACAGATTTGATCAACTTCAGAATTAAAACAATAAAATGTTGGTGAGAGCAGCACGGATAATGAAACTGCAAACTGCTTTTCTTGCATGATTACAGTATTTTACATGAAATTTGGCCAATCACGGATGATCCAAAGACTGAAGCATTTTCTCATCAACTGATACGATGCTACATTGTTATTTAAATTTATTATTATTTTTACTTTGTTGGGCTTTTATTGGTATACTGTGTCTTTGGGTTTGTAAGTATTAATTTTCTTCTTATATTTTGAAAATCAAGAGTATTTTTATGTCACCTACACATGTGCTCAACATGGGTTTTGATTTTGAATATTAAATGATGGCATTTACTCTTCATGTCTACAAAGTATTTATTGTTTGATTGTCTACCCTCATTATGGAGTGATATTTATAATCAAGCCTGGACTGTAGAATTTCTGATACTTCAACTGTAATTTGAAAATTAAAAAGATGCTGTTTGACATTTTATTGGTCCTGATTTCTAATTTAAGTTCTTGTCAATCATTCAGTGTAATTTGAAGGCTTGGGGAACATATGTTAGTCAATTGTCAAAAACAGTCACATATGTCAATCTTTCTTTAACTCATCCAATAACACTGTGAGGCTACGGTAGCTGCAGTGCTCCAACAAGCCAAAAGGATTTTGAGTGTGCCTTATAGTGTAAAAAATACGGTCCATATGCATTAATGCTGATCCTTTGCTGCTGTAACACGACAAATGTTCCCACTGTGGGGTGAATAATGGTTTTTCTTATCTTGTTTTACCTTACCTTGAAAAATGTTTGGTTTACAAATGATGAGATATTAAGTGGATTTATTCATTTTTACATGTTCATTTTCACCCGATTAGATTAAATTGAATTTCATTTTATTTTAACTTATTTTTACTTTTATTTTGAAGGTCATGAAAAATTTGAACCGGAAACAATGTTAAGCTAAACTTGCTCACTTGCTAAGTTTTGTTTATACGTTTCTGTGACCTTAAACAGTCGAGGAGAACCGTCTGAGGTTATCTTTGTAAAGGTTTGAACCTGGGCTTCATTTACTGTCTCAGGATTTTTCACATCAAACTCATCATATCCGAGATTTAAAGGTTTCATGAAGTTTGCTTAGTTCGATATCTTTAAATCGAACAAAGACGGGCTAAACGACTGACAGCTAGGGAATGAAACGGAGCGGCGAAATCCGATTTTAACGGAGTGTTTGACTTGATTTTTGGTAAAATGTCTAAAGTCCAAATGTTGAGAGTTTTCGTGAACCAGAGACTGAGTGCAGCTGCTGAAGAGATCTTTGAGCTGTTTGAAAGAACGATATTAGAGTACGAGGAGAAACTCTGTGGATCTAAAGAGAATCAACACAAACAGATAGAAACTGTTTACAACCCTGAAGCAGGTTTGTTCTGTTTCAAACTCTAACTTTAGCTTCATATTACGTGGTCCTTCACCGTTAACTCGGCGTGACATAGACCAGCACAGCGGGGAACATGGTGAAGTGGGTTGAACTGAAACTTGTTGACTTGTTGTGTATTTGACAAACTGGTTTATTTCCCGTTGAGGCGGACACGAGTTCGCGGCCGATTACCGATTAGTCTCAAACGGGCTAAAATTGGCCGATTTAATCGGCTCGCCGATAACTCGGTCGGGCCCTAGTCTGCATATATTTCATGTTGTTCATCCCTGCAAACCAACAGAATAAGTGTAAACATGACTGTCTTAATAATATAGCATGTCCAAACTCTGTGTATGGGGTAAGTTGACCATAGGAGCGGGGTAAGTTGAGCCCTTCTTCCCCGCTTTGCTTCCATAGATCTCTACTTTCAAGAACAGAAAAGGCAAATCAGGCTCTGCTTTAAGACAGTCTTAGTTTAGAGGTAACACAGTTTTTTTTTATAACTTTTCTCTTAATTGTTCTTGTCTGCAGACGCCCAGCAACTGTTTGTGAGGAAAGAAGAAGTTCTCCATGAGCAGCAGAAAAGGAGCTCCAGTCTGGAAGCACCACAAATTAAAGAAGAACAGGAGGAACTGTTGAGCGGTCGGCAGGGAGAGCAGCTTCTAGGACTGGAGGAGGCTGATATCAGCACATTTATATTCACTCCTGTCCCTGTGAAGGGTGAAGAAAATAGAGAGAAACCTCAGTCCTCACAGCTTAATGAAAAACAAACTGAAGTGGATGGAAAGACAGAGCATTTGATGACAGAGGATGATGGAGAGGACTGGGGATGGTCAGAAACAGACAAAGACTTTAATCCAGATGATCATTTACAGCCAGTTACTGATGGAGAGACTTCACACACCGAATCAGAGACTGATAACAGTAATGATTGGGAGGACACAAAAAAATCTCAGTCAGGTTTAGACCCTCTGCAAAACAAAGAAGGATATAATAATGCAAAAACATCATCTTGCTTTTCTGACTGTGATACTTACCCTGACCAAAAGACACAACTGCAGAACTGCAAAGATGTCCGCGTAGGAGAGGAACGGTTCGGTGGCTCAGTTTGTGGTGAAAGTCTTGATATTGAGAAAAATGTATCAGCGGACGGGATCCGTCTTACTAAAAGAAAAGGTGTCAGTTGCTGTTTTTGTCAGAAGAAATTTACAAAGCCAGCAGGGCTTGTGAGACACATGAGGATCCACACAGGAGAGAAACCATTCAGTTGCTCTGTTTGTGGCAAAAGTTTCACACAAAAGTCACATTTGTACCAACATGAAAAAATTCACACAGAGGAGAAATATTTCAGCTGTTCTATCTGTAACGCAAGATTCCATTGGAAAACAAACTTAGTCGTACACATGAGACTCCACACTGGAGAGAGACCCTTCTGTTGCTCTGATTGTGGTCGAAGTTTCACCCAGAAGTCAAGTCTGGACAGACACCTAAAGGTTCACACCGGGGAGAAACCCTTCAGTTGTTCTGTCTGTAAAGCGAGTTTCTGGCGCAAAACTCCTTTGGTCGTCCACATGAGGATCCATACTGGGGAGAAACCCTTCAGTTGTTCAGTTTGTGGAAAAAGATTTTCTCAGCGCAGAGGTCTGACACGTCACGCAGTTGCTCATGCGGAAGAAAAACCATTAGGATTCAATGTTTGTGACTAAGAACTGTAACATGAGTACAAATGTGGTTCATTGAGAGTGACGAAATTTCTTTCATAGGCTCTCATAGGTCACATATCAAGGTCCGTACACACCGAGACAGTTTTTTTCGTGCGATTATTTCGGACATCAAATTTTTTTTTAGAACCTGTATCCTGTCAATACAAGTGTTCACATCAGCGATGTTTTCCTGTCCTGTGATATTGCGGCATTTATTTTTTCGGATCATGGTCAATGTTTCTGAAGTTTCTATATTCACGTCGGCCCCTGTGTGTACGGACCTTCAGTCTAAAAATTAGGTATGGATGAAGAAATAAGAAGCACTTTATTAGTTTCCTTACTGATTTGAAGCCACACTTTCATTTCAGCCCTTTTCAATAAAACCTTTACATTGTGTTTATTATGGGTTTGCTGTGCCTTTGTTTTTTACATTTATCAATTTTCATAAAAACTATTTCCTGTCACCTACACAGTCCTGTTTTCAGCAATGGATTTGATTTTTAGATCACCTGTTTGTCTTCACTTCCTATAACACTAATGTATTTTAACAGGCTCTCCTGAATGGGTAAACTGTCGTGAAATTTATATATTTAAACACAATCTGGTCTGTTGAACTTCCAGAAAATCAACATTAAATATGAGATCAAATAAAGGCTGCTTGTTCTTGATTCCTCATTTGTAAAAACTGTTATTGAGTTGTTTAGTCATTACATTAAAAAGTTATAAGGGTGATTAGATATAAATGAGAAAAAAGGAAAGTAAATGTAAAGATCCACACCACCATAACCAGAGACTACCCGAAAAAAAAAAATTAAAAGGGTGAGGTATACTTGTGGATAAGATAAAAGATAAAACAGAACAAAGGATAAGAAAATGCAAGAAATACAAGATGCACCAACTATTAAGTAGATGAACAGTGTTTTAGTTTTAGAGTCTATTCAATGAAACAAAGCAAAATCTTTTTTTATGTTGCAGTTTATTTTAATTGGATCTAATGCACCACTCATTAATTATACTTTAAAATAATTATTAATAATAATAATAATCCTTAGCCAAGGTTTCGTCCATAGACACCATGTCGCTGTCTCTTGCCCTGGCATCAGCCCCTGAACAGCGGTAGGTGGTGCAGACGGGACTGAGGCTGCTCTAAGGGGTTTGTCTGCACATTTTTAACAAATAAAAAGAACATGCTGGTTAACATGAATTTCAGTCTCAAATGAAAGAAAAACGAGCTTAATGCGAGAAAAGTGAGCTAAACCTTCACAAAAAATGTCGCCTACTAAACAGTGACTGAAATTTTGCATCCCAGTTCATAAAATTACGGCCGCTTTTATTTTGAAACACAGGAAACTCTTTGTACCCCGGAAGCAATTACTGTTAAAGTTGTTAGAGGGCCAATTCTGTTTGACCCGAAGTCGAGAAACTCCCAAGCTGCGTCCGAATTGCCAAGTAGTAGTCGAAGTAGTAGTCGAAGTAGTATCTAGCATGTCCGAATTGGCCACCGGAGCGAGTAGCATGCTACTTCAGATACTACTTCAGATACTAGACACGCCCACATTGTAGGTTGGTCTCGGTGCATCCTACGGGCATGCTACTGACCCAAAATGCACCACGGGCTTCTTCTTCGTCCTCTTAAAAGTTGTAGAAGCGCATGTGATGCTAGCGCCACCAGCTGCTCTGCCTATTTAAATGTGTCGCGAACGCCGGCTGGCCACAACAGCGCGCACCATGTCGCGGGACCGCAGCAGTACAGATGTAGGTTTCATGTAACTTCACACACTGTCCTAAAAAATGTGCGGTTGTATCTCTTTGTCATGTCATGGTGTCATATTTGCCCAAGTAATCATTTTATGAGCAAATATGTGGCGACATCATGGAGGTAAAGCTCACTTATTCCATCATTAAACTGCACAGCTGCAGTACTACAGCCAGGCCCGCAGATGAGGGGCTTCAGTTACCACTGTCTGCACGGGCGCAGTACCTACTCTCTGCCTGCGGGGGTCGTCTTTCCCCACCGCTCGTCTAGTGTGTCCGAATTGGGCAAACGTGTTTAGTATGTAGGAGTAGGATCTAGCAGTAGCACGTAGCAGTAGCATGTAGTATCCGAGCGGGCAGTTCGGACGCAGCACCAAAGTCTGCCTCTGTGGTTTAAGACTTTTTCTTTCCTTTTAGAAAATGTGATTTTTCACGTTAAAATGATTCCGTTTTTGCTCAGACTTTCTCACCAAGTTTGTTCAGCTTGTATCGGACCGAGTTTAGCAGCTAGCTAACATAACGGAGTGATAAACTGGATTTATTTCTCGGTGCCTTTCAGGTCTAAATCCTGAGATATTTGCTGAACCAGAGACTGACTGCGACTCCTGAAGAGACTTTTAAAGGAAAATACTGAAGTCCTCTTAACAAAGAGCAGGTCTGTACTGATTTATTTAAGATACGAAAAAACATCCATCATCCATCTTTACTTTCTCCATACTTCGAGCTTTATTAAAGGGATATTCCGGCGTAAAAGTAATTTAGGGTCAAACACACCGTAACGCGCTTGCAGACGTTTGTTTGTAGAAGACCTCAGTCCAGTCCATTACAGACTACAGCGGGGTGACGCAGCTCAAGGAAGAACATTTATGATCATTTCTTTATCATTTCCTTGAAGTAATAATCACCATATTAATCATTTTACAGACGCGGTAGTTCTTCTGTCTTAGCGTCTCGGTCTGATTGTATTTCCATAAAGAAATTATCATAAATGTATGACAAAAAAAAGCACAGAACATCAGCTCATGGATATAAAAACAAACAAATACAAGGCCTCCGAATAGAAGGCCAATTGTTCTCCTTTGTCATAAGAAACCCAGAAAATACAAGAGCTGAACAACATAAAATGAGACCATGAAGACCAATATAAAAACATAAAATAGGGAAGAAAAAGAAATGTAATAAAAAAGGGGGGTAGAGAGCAGGAAACGGGATCGTAAATATAAAAACACAATATTAATTTTGATAATAAAATCATAACAAATGGTAATGATAAAATGGAATAACAAAAATGAGCGGGAAATAACAATAAAATCAATAAAAGGCTTAAAAGGTTAAATAAGAAAATATGAGTTAATCAAAGGCTAAAAAGACAGTAAGTGGAAATAAGATGGAGGTAAAAGAGATAAAAGAGAAAAGACAGCATCACATAAAAGCGAGTCTGTAAAACAAAGTTTTTAGATTTGACTAAAAAGAAGCGTCTGTCTCTGCAGCACGCCTTATCTTGCCTTATAATTATAAAAGTATTTAATTGTTTTTTGTCAAACTAATTCATATTTCATAACTCTTCACAGACATCCAACATTGTTTTGAGAGTAAAATGGAAGTTTCCCCTGAGCAGCAGATGAGGATCTCCCATTTGGATCAGGAGGACCCACCTGAACCACTGTACATTAAAGAGGAAGAGGAGGAAGAGTGGAGCAGTCAGGAGGGAGAGCAGCTCCAAGAACTGAAAGAGGCCGGTATCAACACTATCATTATTACACCTGTCATTGTGAAGAGTGAAGAAGAAGAGGAAGAAGATGATGAAGAGAAACCTCAGTCCTCACAGCTTCATGAAAACCTCAGTGAAGAGGATGGAGACACAGATCTTTTGATGGCTGAAGATGATGAAGAAGACTGTGGAGGATTAGAATTAGACAGGGACTTTAATCCAGACAGTTATTTAGAACAAGATACTGATGAAGAAACTCCACTCTGTGAATCAGAGACAGATGACAGTTGTGACTGGGAGGAGACCAGCGAACCGCAGCTGGGTTCAAACCCTCAGCATAATACTGAAGTACCTGATAGTGATGAAGAATATAGTCCTGGAAAGACCTCAGATAGCTCTCAGTGTGCTATAAGCTCTGGCCAAAAGATCAAACTGCGGGAGCACAACAGAACCCAGAGAGAGGAAAAACCGTTTGGTTGCTCAGTTTGTGGTAAAAGATTTGGCAGTAAGAAGAATTTATCAGCTCACGTGATCCGTCATACAGAAGGAAAAGGTTCCAGCTGCCCAGTGTGTAAGAAGAGTTTCCCAAAGAAAGGAGAGCTTGAGCGGCACATTCGAATACACACTGGAGAGAAACCTTTCAGCTGTGCTATTTGTGGTCGAGGTTTTACGCAGAAGTCAACTCTGTTCCGACACCAGCAAATTCACACAGGAGAGAAACTGCACAGTTGTTCACTTTGTGAGACAAGTTTCCTTCGCAAAAATCATCTGGTGGAGCACATGAAGATTCATACCGGGGAGGAACCGCAAATTTGTTCTGATGACGGTGGAAGTTTTACGCATAAATTAAATTTGAGCTCACAGGAACAAGCTCACACAGGGGAGAAACTCTTTAACTGTTCAGTTTGTGAAGCAAGTTTCCATCGTAAAACTCACTTAGTTGAACACATGAGGATTCATACCGGGGAGAAACCCTACAGTTGCTCATTTTGTGGTAAAAGATTCACACAGAAATCAACTTTGTACAGACACCAGCAAGTTCATGCAGGAGAAAAACCCTTCAGATGCTCTGTTTGTGGTGAAAAATTTAGGCAGTATGAAAACTTAAAACGTCACTCAGTGGTCCACATAGGAGAGGAATTGTTCAACTGCAGTGTCTGTGATAAAAGATTCACCCAGCTCGTAAGTCTCAACAGACACAAATGCAAAGGACTGGTCCCAACTTGATGTGTTGACTCGAGGCAATATGAAGTTGTGATTTTGCAGTGAATTTTCAGGAATGATGCCAAAGACTTTTTTTTAATGTGAATTTCTCATTTTCAGCTTAAAAATTTGCTCAATGCGTAGTCATGAACATCAATCAGCATTTTATTTATTATCAGAAAAGTTTCGTATTGCAGTTTTTACCCAGAGTGCAGCCTCTTTTCACGGTCTAATTTCAGTGAAACTAAGTCGACGTTCAGACTGCAGGTCAATTCAGATTTTTTAACCATCTGTGACTCATATCTGATTTTTTCATCTAAGTGTGAACAGGTCAGTTCTGATTGGTTCTAATTCGACCCAGGCCTCTTCTGTATGTGAATGTAAATCGGACATGTATCCGATGTGACTGCAGTGTGGACGCTCAGGTCGCGTTCATCTGACCTTTACGTCATCAATATGAGACAAACGTCACCATTGTTCGACAACACAAACAGGCGCCGAAAACAATTTGTGTTATGTGCGCATGTGGGTCACTTCATGGACGCATTCAGTTCACATTAGATGCCGCATTCGTTGTTGTAATGTGAACAACCGCACAAAAAGATCGGATTTAAGGTCCTTACACACCAGGGCCGACGCGAATATAGAACGCAAAATTACAAAATACTCGGAGGCGAAGTTTGACACGCCTGACTATACACATCAAACCTGATGCGATTTTGTGACTTTTCGGGGGGGGAAAGACTTTTCCCGGGGAAAGTCCTGCCTCCTTCACCTCTGATTGGCTAGAAAAGCTGGAAACGTCATCACACGCTCAAGCCAAACAGTCAGCACTTACAGCCAATCAGAGGCGATAAGATAAGCACATTAAACTAAGGTAACAACCGTTAGCTTACGTTAGCACAGATGAATGTTGAAACAAAGACGTTTATCAAACTGTTAAAGCTCACAAACTATCGTCAGATGAGAAATCCGACGCTATGACTCTCCACAAGTCGTCCTTCAGGTCGTTATCTTTGTAATATTTTTGTCTTTTATCAAAAATCACTCTGTTCTCTGACATGTAAACAATCAGCCGGTCGGCCATGTTGGATATACCGGTGAATCTGACGTCGCAACAACACGCAATCTGATTGGTCAGAAGTGGACACACAGTATGAGAAACTTGACAAAAACGGTCCCGGTGTGAAAAGACCCTTAACAAAAAATCCGAATTGTGCATCATAACCTGCAGTGTGAACGTAGCTGAAGACTCAGACCAGATAAAAGAGCATTTAACCTAACGCAGATGTTTTCTCCATGTTTGGCCTGAACACACCTGCAGAACAGGCCTGTGTGGGGCTACGAATTACTGGAGTTATCATGATCAGTACATGTAAATAGAGCCAATGAGCGTATTTGATCTTTTTGACTGAAATGTATGTGTTCTTGTGCTAATTTTGCCCATAGGATTTACAATAATTATCCTATGAAATCAGCTTACTAAAAGATAATCCGAGTATAATCAATACAAGGAAAAAAATGATGTATAATTGTTATGGTTTGAAAGGAGTAATATTTGAATATTAATATATCACTGTCGGTGCATTTGTCTCTTCATTTCTGTAACAATATTAATAAATATCCTACTAAATTATGCTACTTTGAAACAGTTTTGCCTCCTCTGTGGTAAATACTCAATAAAAATGTAGAGCAGACTTTCAAGTTTAAGGATTCTTCTGAGTTATTGAATATCTAAAGAATAACACAAAACAAGCATTTTATCACTGCAGACCTGTAGCATAAATTATGTTTTTTTTTCTTCATTTAACTTTTATTTAACCAGATAAGTCCCATTTAGATCAGGATCTCATTTACAAGGGTGACCTGGGCGAGAGGATTGACTCGACTAACTGAGCCACAGCTGCCTCTAATCATCTACCGTCGTTTCTGTATTTCAATCACAAACGCCCGGCATCATAATTATTCATTCATTATATTCAAAGCTTTGCACATCAAAGCCTCAGGGTGTCTTTGATAATCACTCTGATTAGATTTACATTTGTTGTCCACTTGATGGTACAGCAGAGAAAATGAGGCACCATGAAGCTTCGGCCCAGGAGTGAAGCAATTGGATGGAAAGCTTCAATGCTTCATGAGGCTTCATCTTCATCTCACCATTAGGATTTTAGACTGTAGGGGGCAGCAATAGGACGCAGAGAAAATGTTGAACAGGTTTAATTTGGGTGTAGGAAATATAGTTTAGAAAGGAAGAGGTAAAAGGATAGTGTGGTTAAAGGGATACTCCAGTGTAAAATTAATTCAGGGTCAAACCCACCGTATCACCGAGTTAGACGCCCCCTCCAGAGATGAATGTTGCCGACCGCTTACTTCTCTAGTTATACCAACTTTAGTAACGACCGCAGGATAGCAATACAGAGAGCCACGCCCCCAACCAAAACGCCACTCTATAGCCACAAATAATGCTCAGAACAGCACCTAACTTCATCAACAGGACATATAGGGTCACAGACATAGTACTGGACACCAAACATCTTTTTAACTTTGACTCATTTCTTTAGCAAAGAGACTAAACACAACTCACCTACTCTCTTCCAGCAGCCGCTTGTTTGTAGGGAGACCTCAGGCCAGTCCATTATTATTATGTTATTTATTTTATGAAGGTTCTTTGTATCATAATTCCAGCTGATTTGAGATTTATTGCTTTTATTGTGTTATTATTACAGAGCTGCCAAGTGTCACACTTTGAGTGTGACAGTCACGCAATTTGACCCGTTCTCTCATGCCACACTTGACGTTTCTCATGCTTATATTTCCCCGTTCAATACTCTGTATTTATTTTTTCATGATAATTACCTTGGCTTGCCATGGTTCGAGTAACTCTGATTGACTGACAGACCAATCCATCAGTCCTTTGTGGTGGGTCTTGACGTCTCGACCTATCTTTCACACACATCCTTTGAACGGATCATTCATGAACGACACAACACGAGTTAGGTGTTCAGTCCTCCACAACAGAAGGTGGCGGTAATGCACCAACAGTGTGGATGTCAACCGCTGTTAAACCGGAAGAGGTTGCATTACCCACGGTCAAACGTTTCAGTATTTTACGTTGTTTTTTTAATTGTTTTTTTTTTTACCTGTGGTCGCCAGACTTGATTAAATGTCAAAAGACGAGAAGAACCTATCGGGGGTGGTTAGCATCGTAACGATGGTTGTTTCCCGCCCCGGCAGTGACGTTAGTCAGACTAGCTAACATGCTAGCTCCTTTTGATTTGCTCTACTTCTGTCACATAAAGACACAGAAAAACACCAGGACCTGAATATGTGAATATATCGGTTTAAAGACTTTATCCACAGTAACAGGGTGTTTCGCATCGACTTCATGGCATTTTAGTGAGGGACGACAGAAGGTTAGATAAGAGTGTTAACAGACGAAGACCGTTACTAAACCGTTAATAGACCGTTCAACTTTCAGAGGAGCGACAAAACCGCGTTTTTAATGTTGTTTTGGATGATGAGTTGGTCTGTTTATCAGTTTGTGGAAAGATATTTGAGCTGTTTGAAAGCAGCAGAGGGCAACAATCTGAGGAACCAGGAAACTTCTGGATGCTGAAGTCCGAGTCAGGTTCGTCCTGTTTTACTGTTAATCTCCTAAAATACACCTTTAATAATAACTACATTAATACACCTTTAATAATAACTAGATAAGTACACCTTTAATAATAACCAGATAAATACACCTTTAATAATAACCAGATAAGGGTCGGATGTAGAGGAGTTTTGAGGCTCTTATTAGATACGATCACAGTTCCTAGAGAAAGGATTTTGTGTTCACTTAGTTTGCTATTTTCAGGTTTATTCCATGAAATAACTTGCAATGTAGTGTTTGTACCATTTAGTCATTTTTGTTGATAAAGATTTAATGTTGTTTTAGTTGATAAAAGTCATCACATCTTTGACACTATTGTTGGCTATAAATAGACTATAAATATAAGTATATGACAGATAAATTATGTAGTAGTGCAATATCAGATGTATTTACAGTAGTGCAAATGAGATTTGAAAGGTTTTAAGTTGGTTTACAGATATAAAGTGCAGGCAATTGTAGAAAATTGTAATTTCATATAACCTAAATCTGGACAATAAATGTCAATGAATGTATTTAACTTCATCTTTATTTCGGGGTGAAAACATCACTAATGAATGTGTTTCATTATCGTCAACAGACACAAACAGCTGCTGTTGGTGAGTAAAATGGAAGTTTTCCCTGAGCAGCAGGAGGGCAGCTGTGATTTGAGCCAAGAGGACTCTCGTGAACCGCCACACTTTAAAGAGGAACAGGAAGAACTGAGGATCAGTCAGGAGGAAGAGCAGCTTCAAGGACTGGAGGAGGCTGATATCATCAAGTTCACATTTACTCCTGTCCTTGTGAAGAGGGAAGATGATGATGATGATGATGATGATGATGATGATGATGGAGAGAAACCACAATCCTCACATCTTCATGAAAACCAATTGAAGGAGAACAGTGACTCAGAGCATTTGAAAACAGAACCAAGCCTTAATATAGATAATGTTTCAGTTCTTCAGTATGAAGAGAAGTCACACTCTGAATGTGAGACTGATGACAGTAATGATTGGGAAGAGACAAATGAACATCAGTCAGGTTTAAACCATCAGCAAAACACAGAAGTGTTTGTGAATAACCAAGAATGTAATGATGATAAAACATCAGGTAGCTACTCTGAATGTGCTACAAGCTCTGACCAAAAGGAACAACAACTGAAACTCAGAGGAACCCAAGTGAAAGCGAAACCCTTCAGTTGCACCATTTGTAAAAAGTGTTTTTCGAGAAAAGGAGAGCTTGAACAACACACAAGGACCCACACAGGAGAGAAACCCTTCAGCTGCTCCATCTGTGGTAGAAGTTTCACACAGAAGGCACATTTGGATTCACACCTACAGGTTCACACAGGAGAGAAACTGTTTAGTTGTGTAGTTTGTGAAGCACGTTTTTTGCGTAAAGCTGACTTAGATGTACACATGAGAGTTCATACAGGTGAGAAACCTTTCAGCTGCTCTGTTTGTGGGAAAAGATTTGCTCACAACAGCATCAAGAAACACATGAGAACTCATACTGGAGAAAAACCATTTAGTTGTTCAATTTGTGGGAAGGGATTTGGGCAACATGACAATCTAAAACGCCACTTAATTGTCCACACAGGAGAGAAACCCTTCAGTTGTTCAATTTGTGGTAAAAAATTTGCAGGTAACAATATGAAGAAACACATGAGAACCCATACTGGGGAGAAACCTTTTAGCTGTCCTTTTTGTGGGAAAGGATTTGGTCAACACGACACACTGAATCGCCACTTAATTGTCCACACTGGAGAGAAACCCTTTAGCTGTTCTATCTGTGGGAAAAACTTTGCACAAAGTACAACTCTGAATCGTCATTTGGTTGTCCACACTGGAGAGAAACCATTTGGTTGTAATGTTTGTGAGAAAAAATTCACACAGCTCGCAAGTTTAAACAAACACAAATGTAAAGGGGTTGTGTTGTCTTAGGCTGTATCCAGACCAAATATGAGTTTAAAGTTTTATGAAAGTCAACCGAAAGCTGTAAATTTTGCAAAGATTCTCTTTAAGGGTGATGATACAAAGTTATGGATGTACCTGATTTCTATTTTTTTTTTACTCTGTTTTAAGGTCCTTACACACCAGGGCCGACGCAAATATAGAACGCAAAATTCCGAAATACTCAGGGGCAATTTTTGACGCGCCTGACCATACACATCAAGCCTGATGCGATTTTGCGACTTTCCGGGGGGAAAAGACGCAACCCGGGGTAGACTTTTCCCGGGGAAAGTCTCGCCTCCTTCGCCTCTGATTGGCTAGAAAAGCTGGAAACGTCATCACACGTTCAAGCCAAACAGTCAGCACTTATAGCCAATCAGAGGCGATAAGATAAGCACATTAAACTATGGTAACAACCGTTAGCTTACGTTAGCGCAGATGAAAGTTCAAACAAAGACGTTTATCAAACTGTTAAAGCTCACAAACCATCGTCATATGAGAAATCTGACGCTATGACTCTCCACAAGTCGTCCTTCAGGTCGTTATCTTTGTAATATTTTTGTCTTTTATCAAAAATCACTCTGTTCTCCGACACGTAAAGAATCAGCCGGTCACAACACGCAGTCTGATTGGTCAGAAGTGGACACACAGTATGCAAAACTTTGGAAAAATCAACCGTGATCAAAAAAAATTAGTGCTGCAATATTGCAGGATGGGAATATGTCGCTGATGTGAACGCTTGCATTGACAGGATACGGGTTCGAAAAAAAAATTGACGTCCGAAATAATGGCACGACAAAATCGGTCCCGGTGTGAAAGGACCTTTAGAGTGAATTTCTTTTTACTTGGAATGTACAAAAAGATTAATCACATCACTCTCTGAAGAAAAAACTTTGAATAGTTGATTTTTTGTTCATACATGAAAAGACCAAATGATCTGAAAATTGACTTTGTACATATCTTCATGAAGAGGTCTTTATATTGGCAAGCTTGTTGATTGATACTCAGTAATTATTTCTCAAAGTTCATGCTGCTTGACTGCAGCTGAGAGTGGATGAGCTGGCTCTCCCAGCTGAAACAGAATGCTTGTAGCAGAAGTTAATTAGGGGGAAATTTCTACAGCGATGGAAAAGATCAACTAATGGTGATGTTTTTTTTTCTAACAGAAAAGTGTTCAAGCTTTATTAATGGAGAGGGCAAATACTTGCTCAACCTAATGTATTCTCCCTAACAGGTCTAAACATACAGTAGCTGTAATGAAAATCGTAAATAGTATGTAAGAAGTTGTTGTTGAAACAGAATATGATTTATAAGTTGGTGTTTCTAAATAGTTAAATTTTTTTAATCTGCCTTGTGATGCCTTAAATGTTTGAAAAGATTTGAAAGCCTCTTTACAGTAAACCTCAGATGGGTTCAGTGTGCACTAAGAACTTAGAGGAAGTATTTTGATTCCCCTTCTTACAATGTAGACCAAAAAGGAAGAGACTAATATTAATTATCTTTGCAGTCTTCTGTTTTATCTATTTTAATTTCTCTTTCTTTTTTTACTGTTAATTTTAATGCTAATGAACTGTTCTGTGGTTTCCTGGTTTTCTGTGTTTGTAACTTCGTATGTTTGCTGCTGCCTTGGCCAGCACCTCCTTCGGAAAGAGATTTCTATTTATTTCAATGGGACTAACTTGATCACATAAAGGTTGAATTAAAAAATGAATATTGTCAGAATGTAAGGCTCACAAAAAGTTTTATGCTTTTTATGAAACAAAAAACACAAAACAAATAGATAAATACTGAATAGATCCCGGGGACAATGTCTTAATCTCAGTAAGTGATGGGGAGCACAGAAACAACAGGGGAGTAAATTTAAATGTTCTGTATTTATACAGCCCTTTACAACAACCCTTTTGGTGAACCAAAGTGCTTTACAATACATAGAAAATAGAAACAATTAAAGCAATTAAAAAAATAATAAAATACATAGCAATAAAAAATAAAGTGTCACCACCCTACTGGATATTAAAAGCCAGCATAAATAAGTATGTTTTCAATCAGGATTTGAAAAGGCCCAGGTAAGAAATAAGTCTCATTTCTGTGGGGAGTTTATTCCAGAGCCTGGGAACATTGACTGAAAAGGCTCAGACATCCCAGTGTTTGTGTTTCGACCTGGACACTTCCAGCAGAAGTTGATTTGACGACCTCAGAGCTCTACCCGGCTCCTGAACGGTTAAAAACTCAGTTAAATAGATGGAGGCGAGGCCGTTAAGAGCTTTAAAAACAATCATTAAAAGTTTTAAATATATCCTAAAAGAGACGGGTAGGATTCAGTGTAAAATCTTCAAACAAAGGGAAGCGAGGAGATGGGGAGTATGGGTTGCAGTATGTCTTCCAATATCAAACATCTTTACAAAAAAGAAAGAAAAGGACACAGGCCGTTTTTTTTTTTTTTTTGTATTTACAGCTGAGGTGTGTTTAGTTTCAAAAGCACTAGTGATGGGCACGACCGTTCTTTTAGATGCACTGAATCACTAGAAGCAGTTCACTAAAAAGATTCGTTCACCAACTCAATCATCAAATTCGTTCACCAACGACCAGAGAACTGTCATTGGGACTGAGTCAGCTTTGGTTCTGTTAGCACTCGAGTCATTTTTCCCAGAAGTGGATTCTCTGCCCGGTCCAGGAGGTAAAGGGTTAAAACCTCCACAACAGAAGGTGGCGCTAATGCAACATCGTTGTGGATGTCAACCCGGAAGAGGTTGCATTACCCACGGTCAAACATTTAACCATTTTACGTATATATTTTTTCCCTCATCGTCTGTGATTTCCAAACTTAATAAAATGTCAGAGTACATTTTAGTGAGGGACGACAAAAGGTTAGATTAGAGTGTTAACGGACGAAGACCGTTAATAAACCGTTAATAAACCGTTCAACTTTCAGACAACGGAGCGACAAAACCGCGTTTTTAATGTTGGTTTGGATGATGAGTTGGTCTGTTTATCAGTTTGTGGAAAGATATTTGAGTTGTTTGAAAGCAGCAGAGGACAACAAGCAACAATCTGAGGAACCAGGAAACTTCTGGATGCTGAAGTCCGAGTCAGGTTCGTCCTGTTTTCAGGGCTCTCAAGTTTTGAACTAAGCTTAGAGTGAGATTTCCTGGGGGGGGGGGGGGGTTGAAGATAACTATTAGTATAATTATCTCTTAAATACAACGGAGCACAAGGGGCACAATTAGAAAAAAACGTTTTTAAATCTTAAAGAATAAAGTTGTTATTTGGGAGAATAAAATCATTAATGTATAAGTATTAAGTCGTAAAGTTGTTAAAATCTGCACTGTGGAGCATTTAGATGAATTGTACTTTAGTATAGGTTTCACAAACATGGAGATACTTAATCCTTTGGTCCATGAGCATTACACTGTCATGAGTATCAGAACTTATATTTGAGATATATGAGAAATGCAGCTTTTGTGGAGGGGAAAATGGCTGGAAATGGCTGTACGGAGGCTAAATCCGTCAATACAGCTGTTAATAGCAATAGCATAGGGCTTTAGTTTATCATATGAGTTTATCTGCCATGAGGTGTTGAGGTCTCTGCATGTGTAGGTTACTGACTTACTGTAATCATCGGGTCTATCTCGTCCTTATAAAAACCTGCTCTATTACGGCGAGTGTCTGTCCTCTCCTGTAGTCAAACCGCAAGATATCAAAATCTACCCGGATACAGCAATGCTGCTTTTTGATTGGCTGTTCAGTAGATATACTTTATTTGATTGGCTTGCGCGTGGCACGCAGCTTCTGAACTCTCGGAGGAACTCAGTTGATTCGTACCTGTTCCATACTTAAAGAGGTGCAACTTGGTGGACATCACCATGTTCATTTAAATGCGTGAGAAATACGATGTGTGGCGTGTGAGCGTGTGAACAGGTGGGAATGCGTGTGTCTCACGCTGAGTGCGTGAGACTTGAGAGCCCTGTGTTTTACTGTTAATCTCTCCTAAAATACACCTTTAATAATAACTACATCAATACACCTTTAATAATAACCAGATAAGGGTCGGATGTAGAGGAGTTTTGAGGCTCTTAGATACGATCACAGTCCCTAGAGGAGGATTTTGTGTTCACTTTGTTGGCTATTTTCAGGTTTAGTCATGGAATAACCTGCCTTGTATTTTTTTGTCCTGTTTTAAGTCGTTTTTGTTGATAAACGGTTTAATCTTGTTTGAGTTAATGAAAGTAATCACATCGTTGACACTATTGTTGGCCTTCTATTTAAGATGTATTTCTGGGATTACTGTCTGACACTTCACCTAAAACCCTTTTGTCTCATCATCGTCTCTGTGATGAAAACAAACATATTTTTGTCAGAATTTTTGTGAACAGGTATTTTTACACATTATCATCCCATCTTCAACAAGGTTCAAGAAAATACAGCAGAAAATGATGAATAAGGTTTTAAAAAAAAAAACTTCATTTCAGAAAAAAAAGCACAACACCTGGGCCTCTTTACTCAAAACTTTGGCCATCCATATGCAGGAAAATGTGGAAGAGATAATTTCACATAACCTTAATCTGGAGGATAAATGTCAATGAAGTTACTTTGTATCTGCATTACTAAACTTTATCTTTATTCAGGGTGAAAACATCGTCACTAATGACTGTGTTTCATTATCATCAACAGACACAAACAGCTGCTCTTGGTGAGTAAAATGGAAGTTTTCCCTGAGCAGCAGGAGGTCAGCCGTGATTTGAGCCAAGAGGACTCTCGTGAACCTCCACACTTTAAAGAGGAACAGGAAGAACTGAGGATCAGTCAGGAGGAAGAGCAGCTTCAAGGACTGGAGGAGGCTGATATCATCAAGTTCACATTTGATCCTGCCCTTGTGAAGAGGGAAGATGATGATGATGATGATGATGATGACAATGATGGAGAGAAACCACAGTCCTCACATCTTCATGAAAACCAACTGAAGGAGAACAGTGACTCAGAGCATTTGAAAACAGAACCGAGCCTTAATATAGATAATGTTTCAGTTCTTCAGTATGAAGAGAAGTCACACTCTGAATGTGAGACTGATGACAGTAATGACTGGGAAGAGACAAATGAACCTCAGTCAGGTTTAAAGCATCAGCAAAACACAGAAGTGTTTGTGAGTAACCAAGAATGGAATGATGATAAAACATCAGGTAGCTACTCTGAATGTGCTACAAGCTCTGACCAAAAGGAACAACAACTGAAACTCAAAGGAACCCAAGCTCAAGAGCAACCACTCAGTTGCACTGTTTGTGGTAAAAGTTTCACACAGAAGGCACATTTGGATTCACACTTAGAGGTTCACACAGGAGAGAAACTGTTTAGTTGTGAAGTTTGTAATGCACATTTTTTATGTAAAGCTGAATTAGATGAACACATGAGAGTTCATACAGGTGAGAAACTTTTCAGCTGCTCTGTTTGTGGGAAAAGATTTGCTCACAACAAAATCAAGAGACACGTGATAACTCATACAGGAGAGATAACTTTTAATTGTTCAATTTGTGGGAAAGAACTTGGGCAACATGACGATCCAAAGCACCACTTTGTTGTCCACATAGGAGAGAAATCCTTCAGTTGTGCCATTTGTGACAGAAGTTTCCCACAGAAGGCATACTTGAAGTCACACCTACAGATTCATGCAGGAGAGAAACCCTTTCGTTGTGCAGTTTGTAAAGCACATTTTGTACGTTACACTTGCTTAGCCGTACACATGAGAATTCATACTGGTGAAAAACCTTATAGCTGCTCTGTTTGTGGGGAAAGATTTGCTCACAACACCATCAGGACACATTTAAGAACTCATACAGAAGAGAAACCATTTAGTTGTTCAATTTGTGGAAAAAGATTTGAGTTACATGACAATCTAAAACGTCACTCGATTTTCCATAAAGGAAAAAAATCCTTCATCTGCACCATTTGTGGTGCAAGTTTTACACACAAGGCATATTTAAATTTACATCTAAAGGTTCACTCTACTGAGAAATTATTTCGATGTTCTGTTTGTAAAGCACATTTTTTGCGTGAAGCTGACTTAGATGTACACACACAAGTTCATACAGGTGAGAAACCTTTCAGCTGCTCTGTTTGTGGGAAAAGATTTGCTCACAAAATCATCAAGAAACACATGAGAACCCATACAGGATTTAAGACATTTAGTTGTGCAATTTGTGGGAAGGAATTTGGGCAACATGACAATCTAAAACGCCACTTGATTTTCCACACAGGGGAGAAGCCCTTCAGTTGCACCATTTGTGGTAAAAGTTTTATACTAAGGGCATATTTGAAGTCACATCTCCAGGTTCACACAGGAGAAAAACTCTTTAGTTGTGCAGTTTGTAATGCACGCTTTTTACGTAACACTAACTTAGGTGTACATATGAGAGTTCATACAGGTGAGAAACCTTTCAGCTGCTCCGTTTGTGGGAAAAGATTTGCTCACAACACTGTCAAGAAACACATGAGAACCCATACAGGAGAGAAACCATTTAGTTGTTCAATTTGTGGGAAGGGATTTGGGCAACATGGCCATCTAAAACGCCACCTTATTCTCCACACAGGAGAAACTCTTTAGTTGTGCAATTTTCTGCAAAAATTTATTGTTGGTTATAGGATAAAGAAGCACATGAGAACCCATCCAGGGTAGAAAACCTTTTGTTGTTCGATCTGTGGGAAAAAAAAAAAACTTTGCGCAAAGTACAACTCTGGATTGTCAACAACTGTCTAGTGACAGCAGGACCACCAAAATAAGAATATGATTGTATGTGAAAATTGTAAATAGTATGTAAGAAGTTGTTGTTTGAAGAGAGTATAGTTCATAAGTTAGTGTTTCTAAATTATTTGAATCTACCTTGTGATGCCTTAAATGTTTGGTAAGATTTGAAATCCTCCTTACAATAAACCTCAGTGTGCATTCAGAGCTTGAACAAAGTATTTTGATTTCCCTTCTTAAAATGTCGACCTAAAGGAAAGAATCAATACTATCTCTACATTCTTTTGTTTTACCCTTTTCAGATATGAAAAAATATTCATAAGGTATGTTTTAGTTTGGTGATGTTGATGTGTGTTAAGTTTGGGTCAAAAACACTGTAACACCGAGTTAGACCCCCCCTCCAGAGATGAATGTTGCCGACCGCTTGCTTCTCTAGTTATACCAACTTTAGTAACGACCGCAGGATAGAAATACAGAGAGGTCTGAGGAGCCATAAACGAACCTCAACCAAAACGCCACTCTATAGCCACAGATAATGCTCCCCAAACATCTTTTTAGCTTTGCCAAAGAAAGAACATTTATGATAATTCATTTTTCATTTCCTTGAAGTAATAATCACCATATTAATCATTTTACAGACGCAGTAGTTCTTCTGTCTTAGCGTCTCGGTCTGATTGTATTTCCATGAAGTAATGATCATAAATGTTCTTCCTTGAGCTGCGTCACCCCGCTATAGTCGATGAACTTGCCCGGAGGTCTCCACACAAACAAGCATCTGCTGGAAGAGAGTAGGTGAGTTGTGTTTAGTCTCTTTGCTAAAGAAATGAGTCAAAGTTAAAAAGATGTTTGGTGTCTAGTACTATGTCTGTGACCCTATATGTCCTGTTGATGAAGTTAGGTGCTGTTCTGAGCATTATTTGTGGCTATAGAGTGGCGTTTTGGTTGAGGGCGTGGCTCTCTGTATTTCTATCCTGCGGTCGTTCCTAAAGTTGGTATAACTAGAGAAGCAAGCGGTCTGCAACATCTATCTCTGGAGAGGGGGGGGTCTAACTCAGCGTTACGGTGTGCTTGACCTTAACTTAATTTTACACCTGAATATCCCTTTAACAGTGTCTGATGCCTTCTTCATTTTTTTTTTTTTTTTTGACCTTGTACTTCTGGGGTGACATAACTCGTACTCAATGTCACTTGAAAGACAAATACATTAGTTTCAGCTTTGGCTTTCTTACTTGCAGGTTTTTGTCTGAGTTCAATCCTCCATAACAGAGGGTGGCGGTATTGAGCCAACGTTGTAGATGTCAGCGGCCTGAAACCGGAAGAACTCGCGTTAGGAAACGTTCAACCATTTCTAGGCGCTTTTTTTCAGACTTCATAAAATCCTAAAGCAGGAAAAGAACTTAGTAAGAGACGGTTAGCATTGAAACGCTGTTTATATTCCACCGTGAAACAAGAAAGGCAGACTTTGGTTCCCCGGCAGCGACGTTAGTTATACTAGCTAACATGCTAGCTCCTTTTGATTTCAAACTAAAACAAAACAGTAGAGTCTGTATATTTAGACAAAAAGGGGTTGAAGCAGACTAAATCCACAGTTTAGAGTTTTTTCACATCGACTTTATTGACTTTGAGTGAGGGGCGACATGAAGTTGTCTCAGTTTTTTAACGGACGATGACCGGAAATAACCAGTTATTTAATCTTTACAAACCGTTTAGCAGCCAGACAACAACGGAGCGACACAGAGCGACAAAACACCGTTTATAATGTCGTTTTAAAGGAAAGTTGGTCTGTTTATCAGTTACTGGAAAGATATTTGAGCCGTTTGGAGGCAGCAGAGGACAAAGAGCAACAGTCTGAGGAACCAGGAAACTTCTGGAGGCTGAAGTCCGAGTCAGGTTCGTCCTGTTTTACTGTTAATCTCTCCTAAAGTTAAACTTTTTACACGGTTTGGAAATAAGGAAGTCCTGCGGCTCTTGATTTTATACAATCACAGTTCCTAGAAGAGGATTACATGTTTATTTTGGTAACTTTTTCAGATTTAGTCTCAGTCTATGGAGTCACATGCCTCCTAGTTTTGGTCAGGTAGGGATGATAATCTGATTTACTCTCTATTATTCTGGTCAAAATGATCTTTATGTTCTGATGGCAATCAATACTGGGAAAACACCAACCAATCACATCGCCTGGGTCCCACATTTTTAAACCAATCAAATCCCGTGCTCGCCTCCTGCGCGTACATGTCGCCGGTGTTGTGTCGTAGAATGCATCCCTGCATCCCCTCCACTCATGAGCTTCTTAAAGTGGAAGAGAATTATCTAATATTTAAAAAACACGAATATTAGGCCATGACAACATGTCAGATGGAGCAGCAAACTTTTGGTCTGTTTTCATGTCTCCCAAAAATGAAAATATAGAGATGAACTAAACTCTACAGTAAGATGTCAAGGTAGAGAACATTATACTCTCAGGACAGTAAATATTCTGAATCAGAGGGCGATTATTACGAATTATCTGAAAAGTCTGAATGAAATCATTAAAGGTACACGCTTTAGAATCCATCCAACGGTAAAGAAAACTTTTTATATTCTTATTATTTCGCCTTGTTATGCACTTTCAACCGCGCTCCCGTCAGGGGGGTTTTCTGTGACAGGGGAGCATTTTACGGCACAACACCGGCCTGCTCTGGCCCTGCCCTGATCCAAGCCGAGCGGAGAGGGATACAGATCTCCGCCTGAGAATGGCAGAGAAACTACCTATACCCAGATTAATGGTGACTGCTCCTCCTGCAAAAAAGAGCAAGAAGAGAAAGACGGAGGCCGAGAAGGCCGAAGCGAGACAGAATTTAGAGAAAGCGAGGGCGAAAACGAAAGTGAACATCGGGACAGCTTTTCAGCCCTGGAGAGAACTGAAAGAGGCCAAAGGCTTCACAAGTGATGCCATGGTCGCTCATTTTCTCTTGGAAAGGTACGTTGCGGGTTTGTTTCAGGGCGATTTTTAATCTTAACTAAGTATTTAGTCATGTTGTTAATTATGTGGTCATCTCTTTGTCTTTGCTGTGTGAAGATCTCCTAATTTGAAGTGCGGAAGTTCTGAGTCTGTGGTTTTGAATCAGCAGCGCTCGTGCATTGGGGGGGGGGGGGGGGGTAAGACCACAGATATCTATAAGAAAGGGCTAGATGACTCGAGGCAGAGTCACTGTCCCTACACGGCAGCCATCTTAGTCCAGTATACCATTCTGCTTCATTTAGTAAGTTCAGGAATCTACATGATCAAAAATACTCTGAACTCGCTGAAATCCTGACAGATTTACGAATGGTTTGGTTTATTACAGACCTTAATAACGTGACTATGAGTCGGGATGCTTGGACATGTTGAAATGGAAGATTTACTTTCAGAAAAAAAGACTTTATCATGGAGCACAGTTGTTTCACAGCTAATTGCGCGCAAGGGTTAACTTTGGCTATGTTCACACTGTAGGTCGAGTCTGATTTATATATGTTATTGCTACATGTAATTGTAGTTATCCCTATAATAGAAACATTACTAAAATAACAAACATGGAATGATTTTTGTTGATAAACCTTTAATCTAGTTTTAGTTGTTGAAAAGTCACATCTTTGTCACTATTGTTGGTCAAAACATTTTCTGTCTTCAAACTGGTTCAGTCAATCAATCATGAATTTGTGTGGAGCTTGAACTGGTGTAAAAATCTGTTTCCCTCTATTGACCCTCAAACATGTGAAATCTGAATTTAATAATTTCGTGGGATGATTTAGTTCATGTTCTCTTATAATACATTGCTGGTGTACTGTACCAGTGAATTACCCCTAATAAGGAGGCAATAACTTTCTCTCTCAGTGTATACAACAGAAAGTGATGAATAAGCTTTAAGGAAAAAAAAAACCACAAGCCTCTCTCAGAAGGAGGATAATGTGAAAAAGACAATTTCACATAACCTTAATCTGGAGGATAAATGTCAATGAAAATTATTTTGTATCTGCGTTACTAAACTTTATCTTTATTCAGGGTGAAAACATCGTCACTAATGACTGTGTTTCATTATCATCAACAGACACAAACAGCTGCTGTTGGTGAGTAAAATGGAAGTTTTCCCTGAGCAGCAGGAGGTCAGCCGTGATTTGAGCCAAGAGGACTCTCGTGAACCGCCACACTTTAAAGAGGAACAGGAAGAACTGAGGATCAGTCAGGAGGAAGAGCAGCTTCAAGGACTGGAGGAGGGCGATATCATCAAGTTCACATTTGATCCTGCCCTTGTGAAGAGGGAAGATGATGATGATGATGATGATGATGATGATGATGATGATGATGATGATGATGATGATGATGATGATGGAGAGAAACCACAGTCCTCACATCTTTATGAAAACCAACTGAAAGAGAACAGTGAGACTGATGACAGTAATGATTGGGAAGAGACAAATGAACCTCAGTCAGGTTTAAAGCATCAGCAAAACACAGAAGTGTTTGTGGATAACCAAGAATGTAATAATGATAAAACATCAGGTAGCTACTCTGAATGTGCTACAAGCTCTGACCAAAAGGAACAACAACTGAAACTCAAAGAAATCCAAGCTCAAGAGCAACCACTCGGTAGTAGAAGTTTCACACAGAAGGCACATTTGGATTCACACTTAGAGGTTCTCACAGGAGAGAAACTGTTTAGTTGTGAAGTTTGTAATGCACATTTTTTGTGTGAAGCTGACTTAGATTCGCACATGAGAGTTCATACAGGTGAGAAACTTTTCAGCTGTTCTGTTTGTGGAAAAAGCTTTGCTCAAAAAAATATCAAGAAACACATGAGAACCCATACAGAAGAGATAACTTTTAGTTGTTCAATTTGTGGGAAAGAATTTGGGAAACACGACAATCCAAAACGCCACTTAATTGGCCACACAGAAGAAAGATCCTTCAATTGCGTTATTTGTGACAGAAATTTCCCACAAAGGGCATACTTGAAGTCACACCTACAGATTCATGCAGAGAAACCCTTTCGCTGTGCAGTTTGTAAATCACCTTTTGTACATTACACTAGCTTAGATGTACACATGAGAATTCATTCTGGAGAGAAACCTTATAGCTGCTCTGTTTGTGGGGAAAGATGTGCTTACAACACCATCAAGAAACACACAAGAACGCATATGGAAGAGAAACCATTTAGTTGTTCAATATGTGGGAAGGAATTTGGGCAACATGACAATATTAAACGGCACCTGACTGTCCACACAGGAGAGAAATCCTTCAGTTCCACAACTTTTAGTACTAGTTTCACACCCAAAGCATTTTCAGATTCACACCTACAGGCTCACACTGGTGAGAGATTCTTTCATTGTGCTGTTTGCAAAGGACTTTTTTTAGGTCAAGCTGACTTAGATGTACACATGAGAGTTCATATAGGTGAGAAACCTTTCCGCTGCCTTGCTTGTGGGAAAAGATTTGCTCATAACACCATAAAGAAACACATCGGAACTCATGCAGGACTTAAGAAATGTAGATGTTTAATTTGTGGGAAGGAACTTGGTCAACATGACAATCTCAAACGCCACTTGATTCTCCACACAGGGGAGAAACCCTTCAGTTGCACCATTTGTGGTAGAAGTTTTACAAGGAAGGTAAATTTGAAGTCACATTTACAGACTCACACAGGAGAAAAACTCTTTAGTTGTGCAGTTTGTAATGCGCGGTTTTCACGCAAATCTGACCTACGTGGACACACAAGAGTTCACACAGGTGAGAAACCTTACAGCTGCTCCGTTTGTGGGAAAAGATTTGCTCGCAACATTGTCAAGAAACACATGATCGTTCATACAGGAGAGAAACCATTTCATTGTACAATTTGTGGGAAGGGATTTGGGCAGAATAACCATTTAAAGCGCCACTTGGCTGTCCACGCAGGAGAAACTCTGTAGTTGTGCAATTATCAGCAGAAACAATTTGCAGGCACACGTGAGGACCGGTTCAGGGGAGAAAACCTTTCGTTGTTCTGTCTGTGGGGAAAAAATTTGCACATATCCCAACTCTGTGTTGTCACTTGACTGTCCACACTGTGGAGAAACTGTTTGGTTGCAACATTTGTGAGATATTTATTACACAGCATTGTACGTCTGAATAAACTCAGATGTCAGGGGGTTGTCTTGTCTTAGGCTGTAGTGATAAGTATTGGAAATATTTAATTTTGTGGGGAATTTCTAGTTGTAATGATACAAATTTGTGCATGTACATGTTTTCAAAGTTTTCGCGCTGTGCTGAGTTGAGAATGCGCTGACTAACTTAATATGTGCAAAATGGATTCATCCCATCACTATCTGAAGAAAAAACTTTAATAGTTGATTTCATGTTTATATATTATGATCAGACCAAATGGCCTGAAGTTTGACTTTGTTCACATCTTTATGAAGAGGATATTACACCGGCAAGTTTTTGACTTTTACAAAGTTTACACTGCTTAAATGAAACAGAGACTGGATGAAGCAGTGCGCCCTGTTAAAACAGAATGCTGATACCATTTCAATGGTCTCAGAGCATTCAAGCCTTTATGGAGAGGGCAAATACTTTCTTCATTTTTGACCTGAACATGTTTCACCATTCTGAGCTTAGTGTGGTATAAATGTATTCTCCCCATCAGGTCTAAACATAGCTGTGGAGCTGGCTTGTGTTGGGTGACTACCTGCTGTAGTAAGCACTCTCAGTACATGTGAATGTAAAACAGTCTGTTTTTTGTTTTTTAATCTCTGACTGAAATTAATGAGTTCCTCTGTTATGGTAGATAAAATAAGAAGGACTTTATTTATCCTCAGGGAAAATTTATTTGTTTATTTTACAACTATTGTCTAGTAACATCTGGACCACCAATGTAAGAACATGACTGTTTGTGAAAATTGTAAAAAGTATGAAGTTGTTGTTGGAAAAGAGTATGGTTCATAAGTTAGTGTTTCTAGACTGTTACATATTTTCAAAATCTACCTTGTGATGCCTTAAATGTTTGATAAGATTTGAAATCCTCCGTACGTCAAACCTCAGTGTGCATTCAGAGCTTGTACAAAGTATTTTGATTTCCTTTCTTATGCTGTAGACCTAAAGGAAAGAGTCAGTACTCTCTCTACATTCTTTTGTTTGACCCTTTTCAGATATGAATAAATATTCATAAGGAATGTTTTAGTTTGGCTCTGTTGATGTGTGTTCAGAGTTACAAAGATACATGTCTCCACCTTAACAGTGTCTGATTGATGCCTCCTAAATGTGTAATTTTTTTTATTGCTAAGTTTTTTGACCTTGTACTTCTGGGGTGACATAACTTGTACTCAATGTCACTTGAAAGACAAATACGTTAGTTTCAGCTTTGGCTTTCTTACTTGCAGCTTTTGGTCTGAGTTCAAACCTCCAAAACAGAGGGTGGCGGTATTGAGCCAACGTTGTAGATGTCAGCGGCCTGAAACCGGAAGAACTCGTATTACCAATAGTCAATCGTTCCACCATTTTACTTTTTTTTATTTATTTTAGACTTCATGAAATCCTAAAGCAGGAAAAGGACTTAGCAAGAGACGGTTTGCATTAAAACGCTGTTTATATCCCACCGTGAAACAAGAAAAGCAGACTTTGGTTCCCCGGCAGCGACGTTAGTTATACTAGCTAACATGCTAGCTCCTTTTGATTTCAAAATAAAACAAAACAGCAGAGTCTGTATATTTAGACAAAAAGGGGTTGAAGCAGACTAAATCCACAGTTTAGAGTTTTTTCACATCGACCTCATTGACTTTGAGTGAGGGGCGACATGAAGTTGTCTCAGTTTTTTAACGGACGATGACCGGAAATAACCAGTTATTTAACCGTTAAAAACCGTTTAGCAGCCAGACAACAACGGAGCGACACAGAGCGACAAAACACCGATTAAATGCTGTTTTAAAGGGAAGTTGGTCTGTTTATCAGTTACTGGAAAGATATTCGAGCCGTTTGGAGGCAGCAGAGGACAAAGAGCAACAGTCTGAGGAACCAGGAAACTTCTGGATGCTGAAGTCCGAGTCAGGTTCGTCCTGTTTTACTGTTAATCTCTCCTAAAGTTAAACTTTTTACACTGTTTGGAAATAAGGAAGTCCTGAGGCTTTTAAATAGATACGATCACAGTTCCTAGAAGAGACTTATGTGTTTATTTCTATTTCAGATTTAGCTTCAGTCTATGGAGTCACATGCCTCCTAGTTTTGGTCACATTTAAGTCATTTTTGCTGATAAAACATTTAATCTAGTTTTAGTTGTTGAAAAGTCACATCTTTATCAAAACATTTTCTGTCTTCAGACTGTTGTCATGAATCAATCATGAATTTGTGTGGAGCTTGAACTGGTGTAAAAATCTGTTTCCCTCTATTGACGCTCAAACATGTGAAATCTGAATTTTATAATTTCGTGGGATGATTTAGTTCATGTTCTCTCATAATTCATTGCTGGTGTACTGTACCAGTGAAGTACCTATTATTAGGAGGCAATAACTTTCTCTCTGTCGTCACAGAAATACATTTAGTTCCTTTGATTTCTTCTTTTTGCGGGGCAGGGGGTCCAGCAGTGGCCCTTAATGTCCTTAAGACCAAGAAACGCCCTTGTCAGACGCCCAGTGCACTCTCTGTGACATCTTCATTCTTGCAATGGCATGTATTGATGAGCATTTGCTGTGTAACTTTTCACCACACTCCCTGTTCAAACTAAACTTTATCTTTATTCAGGGTGAAAACATTGTCACTAATGACTGTGTTTCATTATCATCAACAGACACAAACAGCTGCTGTTGGTGAGTAAAATGGAAGTTTTCCCTGAGCAGCAGGAGGTCAGCTGTGATTTGAGCCAAGAGGACTCTCGTGAACCTCCACACTTCAAAGAGGAACAGGAAGAACTGAGGATCAGTCAGGAGGAAGAGCAGCTTCAAGGACTGGAGGAGGCCGATATCATCAAGTTCACATTTGATCCTGCCCTTGTGAAGAGGGAAGATGATGATGATGATGATGATGATGATGATGATGATGGAGAGAAACCACAGTCCTCACATCTTCATGAAAACCAAATGATGGAGAACAGTGACTCAGAGCGTTTGAAAACAGAACCGAGCCTTAATATAGATAATGTTTCAGTTCTTCAGTATGAAGAGAAGTCACACTCTGAATGTGAGACTGATGACAGTAATGATTGGGAAGAGACAAATGAACATCAGTCAGCTTTAAAGCATCAGCAAAACACAGAAGTGTTTGTGAATAACCAAGAATGGAATGATGATAAAACATCAGGTAGCTACTCTGAATGTGCTACAAGCTCTGACCGAAAGGAACAACAACTGAAACTCAAAGAAATCCAAGCTCAAAAGCAACCACTCGGTAGTAGAAGTTTCACATCGAAGGCACATTTGGATTCACACTTAAAGGTTCACACAGGAGAGAAACTGTTTAGTTGTGAAGTTTGTAATGCACTTTTTTTATGTAAAGCTGAATTAGATGAACACATGAGAGTTCATACAGGTGAGAAACTTTTCAGCTGTTCTGTTTGTGGAAAAAGATTTGCTCACAACAAAATCAAGAGACACGTGATAACTCATACAGGAGAGATAACTTTTAGTTGTTCAATTTGTGGGAAAGAACTTGGGCAACATGATGATCCAAAGCACCACTTTGTTGTCCACATAGGAGAGAAATCCTTCAGTTGTGCCATTTGTGACAGAAGTTTCCCACAGAAGGCATACTTGAAGTCACACCTACAGATTCATGCAGGAGAGAAACCCTTTCGTTGTGCAGTTTGTAAAGCACATTTTGTACGTTACACTTGCTTAGCCGTACACATGAGAATTCATTCTGGAGAGAAACCTTATAGCTGCTCTGTTTGTGGGGAAAGATTTGCTCACAACACCATCAAGACACATTTAAGAACTCATACAGAAGAGAAACCATTTAATTGTTCAATTTGTGGAAAAAGATTTGGGCTACATGACAATCTAAAACGTCACTCGATTGCCCACACAGGAGTGAAACCCTTCAGTTGCACCATTTGTGGTGCAAATTTTGCACATAAAGCACATTTGAATGCGCACCTACAGGTTCACACTGGTGAGAAACTCTTTAGTTGTGCAGTTTGTAAAGCATGTTTTTTGCGTGAACATGACTTGCATGTACACATGAGAATTCATACAGGTGAGAAACCTTATAGCTGCTCTGTTTGTGGGAAAAGATTTGCCCACAACGCCATCAAGACACACATGAGAACTCACACAGGAGAGAAACCATTTAGTTGTTCAATCTGTGGGCAGGGATTTCGGCAACATGGCAATTTAAAACGCCACCTGACTGTCCATACAGGAGAGAAACCCTTTAGTTGTTCAGTTTGTGGTAAAAGATTTGCAGGTTACAACATGAAGAAACACATGAGAACCCATTCAGGGGAGAAACCCTTTAGCTGTTCTATCTGTGGGAAAAAATTTGCAGTAAGTACAACTCTAAACCGTCACTTGGTTGTCCACACTGGGGAGAAACCGTTTGGTTGCAATGTATGTGAGAAAAAATTTACACAACCTGCAAGTCTCAACAAACACAAATGTAAGGGTGTTGTCTTGTCTTAGGCTGTATCCAGACCAACTTATTGAAATGATGATTACATTTTTTTAGAGTGATGATAAAAATTTGTGTCTGATGTGATTTTAAAAGTCTTCGCTCTGCGCTGAGGTGAAATTTTTTGGACTTCGTATGTAAGATTCATCCCATCGCTATCTGAATAAAAACTTTTAATTAATGTTTTGATGTTCACATGTGAAATGACTAAAGGGTATATAATTAGACTTTGCGAAGTCTAATTATGGTGTAGAGGATTTTACACCAGCAAGATTTTAACTTGACATACGAAAATTATTCTACAAAGTTTACACAGCTTCATGCAACTGATATTGCAAATAGCACTGCCAGCTGAAACAGAATGCTAAGAGCAGGAGGATGTCTTTTCTAACATTAATGCATTCAAGCTTTTCTGGAGAGGGCAAGTACTTTTTTAATTTTTGATCTGAACATGTTACACTATTCTTTGCTTAGCCTGATATAATTTTTTTCTCCCTGTCAGCTCTAAACATAGCTGTGGAGCTGGCTTGTGTTGAGCGACTACCTACTGTTGTAAGCACTGTTAGTACATGTGAATGTAAACTAGTCTGTTTTTTTAAACCTCTGACTGACATGAATGTGTTTCTCTGTAATGTTTCAATAAGATAAGAAGAATTTTATTTATCCCTGAAGGGAAATTAATTTATTTATTTTACAACTGCTGTCTCGTGACAAAATAAGAATATGATTGTATGTGAAAATTGTAAATAGTGTGTTGGCAGTTGTTGTTGGAAGAGAGAATGGTTTATAAGTTTGTGTTTCTAAATAGTCACAATTTTTAAAATCTACCTTGTGATGCCTTAAATGTTTGATAAGATTTGAAATCCTCCTTACATCAAACCTCAGTGCACATATTTTGATTTTCCTTTTTACAATGTAGACCAAAGAGGAAAGAATCAGTACTATCTTTGCATCTCAATATATTCGTTTTGGCTTTCTTTGTTTTGTCGTTACTTGCAGCTTTTGGTCTGAAGTCAGCGAATGGATTTTCTAATATTACCAATAAATTGTGCTTGTGTAATTCTGTGTGTGCTTCATTAAAATGATGTTGTGGACTATGTGCATGGCGTGTCCCCATGATTGCATGTTGAGCAAATGCAGAGCAGATATCAGTCAGATCAGGCAGTTCATTTCATGGCGATTATGATGGATACAGCAAAGAGGGATGATATTTCTCATGGCTGTTTGAGTCGTGTTGGAGTTTTTTGAATCAAGGATGATTTGTATTCTTGTAAAATGTTAGGGTTAGGCATGTTGAGCTATGTAGCTGAACATCCATTCATTGATCTGTCCATTTTATGAGCTGTTTGTAAGCACAGTTGTTTGGTAAGGTAAGTATGCATGGCTCACTTCTTTTGGTATGAAGTTCCTGATACAGCCTCTCTGTTAACCAAAATAAAGATCGTAATAAAACAAATAACCTAAAGTTGGATAGTCTCACCGGTCTGTTTTATAACAAGCAAATATAGACTGGCTTATTAAAGTGTTCCCACCACATCTTCTTTTTCTTCTTGTTTTACGGCGGATGGTAACAAATTTAGTGGTGCATTACTGCCACCTACCATGCAGGAGTGTGAGCCAGAGGTCCCTACTCCCATAAGAAAATAAATTCATGTTTACTTTAAATTAATTCTGTTTATTAGTTCTGTTTGCTTTAAAAACTCAAACACTCCTCTATACTCTCCTTTTCCCGGGCTAGATAAACCCTTAAGGTTCAACACGCTCATCCCACTCTCCTGTAGTTTCTCTTTAAATATTATTGTACTTTTGACACTTCCATATAGCATGTCCCACGGTTTCATCATCATCTCCACAGTCACATAGTCTGCTTAGTTTTGTTTAATCCAGTGTGACCTAGTCTTAATCTTAACATCACTGTTTGTTCCCTGATAGATTTTTCTATAATTTCCACTTTTTGCTTAATTCCATATTGATGTCTTCCTTTATTACCTACCTCGCAACACTTTTGCCATTTCCGTCACATCTGATTCTTTTATTTTGAAGGTCAGGAAAGGAAACACTCGGTACCCCGGAAGCAACCTCAGCAAAAGTTGCTAACATGGCAACTTGTTCTGATCCCCAATGTTGCCTGTGAACACAGTGGGATAAAACCACTGACAACTGACTGTATCGCGAGCAAAAAGGGATTTCAACAGTGTCAGGATGTTTTCACGTCAAAGATCTCTGAGGGCGACATGAAGTTTGCTTAGCTTGCTTCCTTATCAGCCTGGAGAAATACGGAACCAGAGGCTAGCTAACGTAATGGACTGTTTCTGGGGTGAAAACCGCCGATAATTTACAAAAAATAATATTTCAGACCAAATGATGCGATTTCATCAATCAGAGAGTGACTGCTGAAGAGATATCTGAAGAAAGAGACGAGCAGCGACTCTGTGAATGTGAAGAGCTGAAGTGTCTGGACTCAGAGCAGGTCTGTAGTTTTCATTGTTTAGACGTGAAGTGCGTGAAAACTAGTGGCTGTGATATGTCTTTGAAGCAGAACTACGTTAAAGCTGACAGGACTCTGTGTGTGGTGTCATTTAGTTAGTGAGTAAGTCAAGTTTATTTATAGAGATTCACAGATAAAAATCACAACATACAGCACATAAGATAAGTGCAATTAGATAAACATAAAACGGTACAAAAGATAAGTACATATACAGTGGATATAAAAAGCTGACACACTCCTGTTCAACTGCCAGGTTTTAGAGATGTAAGAAAATGACAGCAAGATAAATATTTCCCCATTTTTTCCTCCTTTAATGTGACCTATAACCTGTGCAGCGCAATTGAAAAACAAACTGAGACCTTTAAGGGAAAAATAAAAAACAGAAAAAGTTAAAATGATCTGGTTGCATAAATATTCACACCCTTAAACTAATACTTTGTTGCAACTCCTTTGGCTTTTATTACACCACTCAGTCTTTTTGAGTAAGAGTCTATCAGCGTGGCACATCTTGATGTGGAAATATTTATCCACTCTTCTTTGGCCTCTTGGTAGCCTCCCTGACTAGTTTTTTTCTTGTCTAATCATCAATGTTCCATATTTTCTCCACTTGACGATGACGGTCTTCACTGTGTTCCATGGTATATTTAATTCCTTGGAAATTCTTTTGTAGCCTCACCTGACTGAGATCTTTGAATGATGAGATCCCTCTGATGCTTTGGAAGCTCTCTGGGGACCATGGCTTGTGCTGGAAGATGTGTCTACAAAAATGTCAGGAAAAGCCATTAGAACAGCTGAACTTTATTTGGGGTTGATCCGAGGCACTTTAATTGGTGACAGGTGTGTGCTGACTCCAATTTAACCTGAGTTTGAATGTTATTGGTTAAATCCGAACACAGCCACATCCCCAGTTATAAAAGGGTGTGCACACTTATGAAACCACATGATCTCAGGTGTTTATTTTTATTTTTAATTCTGAGTTAATTGTTATTTGCAAAAAAATAAAGTTTATGTGTTTGAACATTAAATATCTTGTCTTTGTAGTGTATTCAATTGAATATAAGTTGAAAAGGATTTGCAAATCATTTTATTCTGTTTTTATTTACGATTATCACAATTTCCCAACTTCAACAGAATTGGGCTTTGTATTGGATTTTGAAGTTCATTTCCATTCAAGTCTCCGTCTCTCAAAACTTGTTTGTATCCTTTGATTGTCTGCAGCCGTGTGTGAGTAAAATGGAAGTTCCCTCTGGGCAGCAGGAGAGGCTCCTCAGTCTGGACCAGGAGGATCCAGCAGAAGAACCTCCACCAATCAAGGAGGAACAAGAGGAACTCTGGAGCAGTCAGGAAGGAGAGCGACTTAAAGCACTTGAGGAGGCTGATATCAGGATGGTAATATTCACTCCTGTACTTGTGAAGAGTGAAGATGATGATGATGATGGAGAAGAACCTCTGTCCTCGCAGCTTTGTGAAAACCAGAACGAAGAGGATGGAGACACAGGGCGCTTAAAAACAGAAACTGATGTAGAGGACTGTGGAGGATCAGAACCAGATGGGAACTTTCACCCAGACAGTCCTTTACAGCGAGTTACTGATGGCGAGACTTCACTCTCTGAATCTGAGACTGATGACAGCTGTGAATGGGAGGGGACCAGTGAACCTCGGTCAGGTTCAAACCCTTTGCAAAATGAAGATGAACATGTAACTGATGAAGACTATAGATTAGGAACAATATCAGAGAACCTTCTGGAATGTGCTACAAACTCTGGCCAAAGGGAAAATCTTCAGAAACACATCAGAATCCACCCAGAAGAAAGACCGTTCAGTTGTTCAGTTTGTGGTAAAAAATTTGGCAAAAAGAAAAATTTATCAGCTCATGTGATCCGTCACACCAAAGAAAAAGATTTCAGCTGCTCATTCTGTGAGAAGAAATTTCAAAGAAGAGCAGAACTGGAGAGGCACATGAGGATCCACACAGGAGAGAAACCCTTCAGTTGTTCGGTTTGTGGCAGAAGTTTCCGTCACAAATCTCACTTAGTTGTTCATATGAGAACCCATACTGGTGAGAAACCGTTCAGTTGTTCAGTTTGTGGGAAAAGATTTACAGAGAATAAAGTGAAGGAACATATGAGGAGCCACACTGAAGAGAAACCCTTCAGTTGTTCCATCTGTGGTAAAAATTTCACACAGAAGTCGAATTTGTACTCGCACCTAAAAGTTCATACTGGAGAGAAACCCTTCAGCTGCTCTATCTGCGGTAAAAGATTTACACGGCACACAGGTCTGACATGGCACTCAGTTGTGCACACAGGGGAGAGACCGTTCAGTTGTTTGTTCTGTGATGAAAGTTTCGCCCATCGTAAATCTCTCAAACGTCACTTGGCTGTCCACACAGGGGAGAAACCGTTCAGTTGTGATGTCTGTTACAAAAGTTTTGCTCAACTTCAGCGTCTCGAAAAACACAAGTGTGTTGTTGAGAGCAGCACAAATAAATAAAGCCACAGAGACGATGAAGACAAACTAAAGTCAGCACAGCACTTTGGTGTCTCATCCATCATTATTCCTTTTCCTGTTTTTAAACCTGTTCTACATGTTTTTAATATTTTGGCATTCCTTTCTCTGGTATTTATAAAACTATTCAAGTCAAATTTGATTAATATAAAAGTATTCAATGTAACCCACACAGTTCTGGTCACATTGGTTTTGATTTTTAAAATTACATTATGGCATTTCCTCCTCAGTACTATAGAGTATCCATAATCTAACAGAATCTCTTGGTTATGTATTTACTCTTGAAATCTATACTTTCAATTCCTTCCTGGTTTATTGTACTCCCAACTGTTATGTAAGAGTTAATTAAATGCTCTGATATTTCATTGGTCTTAATTTATGTTAAAATGTTTGTTTGTTCAATCTGTTTAATTTAAAACTTACATTGAATTACTTTTAGGTCAATTTTGAGCCTCTCATGCAGAGTGAACATATTTCAAGGCAGAAATTTGGTTAAAGTGACTCATTCTGGCATTGCGATGCTTTTCACAAATCTGTTTCAAGGTGGAGTTTATTTTGACAATCCTCCTGTCTGTCCATTTTTCTCTGTCTTACCTGGTGCTTAAATTTGGCAGCAATGTTCCCTGTAAAGGTATAATAAAATCACCTCCAAATGTGTGCACATTTGGTACCGTCAGTGTATATTCTTACTTATTTAGATACATGTCTCCTGGTCCAACTGTGTGACTCACGAATGCTCTTGTCATGATAAATGTGCTTGGTCTTTTAAGGAGGTCTCTCAGCTGCCCAGTCTTAAGAAAGAGGATAGACTTAGGCTGAAAGGATGTATCATCCTGTTTTTGTTCCAATAACAGTTTTAACAGGGCGGGAATTTGTAGAAATAAACACAAAGTAAGAGCTGTAATTACATTTCAGAATAAACGTTGTTGTTCAGTCCACTAGATGGCAGTCATGTTTCTCCAAACTACAGAAAGGGGCAATGAAATACAACTTCCACTATTTTCTGAAGAATTTACACGCGATTTTTGTCAGTTACTTTTTTCTGTGCAAGAAACATTTTGGAATTATCAAGAGTCATTTCAGTGCCTGTATTTACTCTTTTACCCCTTCATTAAAAAAAGATTTTGATCAGTGCCAACAACCATTAAATCATGGCAGGATTACAGGTCTCGATAGGAGAAACTTCTGTTGATATCTACTAGACTGTTTCCACAGCTGTGTTTCCTTTACATGCAAGAGTAATGAGTTTGTGGTCACTCCATTAAAGGCTGATTTCGTTGATACCTACCAAACATCCAGAACATGGACTGATCTCCACTCAGCAAAAGTTTGAGGACATTTTAGTGGGTACTCTGTAAGCAGTCTCCTGTAAATCAGAGAGTCTAAATGGTTCAGTTCTGCTTTTCTCTGCAAAACCAGGTGTTTTAGATCCAGTGTTTCTTTTTAATTTCGTTAAAAGCATCACATTGATCACAAGTATGAAGTTGTAAAAATGGCTTTGACTGATATACCACTTATTACTAAAAACCCTGTTGTACAAGAAGATCATACTTAAGACAATATGTAATGTGAAAATTTTACCAACATTTTACACATTTAACGTCCTATATGTGTACAACAATAGTAGTGAGGGACAGTCCAAAAACCTCACCCTCATCAGTATAAAAGTCATTTTAATTATTTAAAATGATATTTAATTAACTTTAATTTGATGTTAATGTCTATTTGTTTATTTAACTTTGATAAACATCAGCAAAACTTACTGTTCAGAGAATAAATGTAGGTCACTTTTATTTTGAAGGTTCGCAAATATCTGGTACCCCGGAAGCAAACTTAGCTGAAATTGCTAACATGCTAATCCTTTGGTTTTGATCCACTTATGTTACCTTGAGAGGAAGCTGGAGAGAATAACCAGAGCCCGTCAATGTGGACAAACGATTCAAAGTAGACTTTATTTATAGTTTCAGGATGTTTCACATTAAATTTGTCATGTTTTAGTTTAAAATGTTACACGAAGTTAGCTTAGCTGTGAGAGACGGACTTCAGGGTAAAGTTTAGCAGCAAGCTAACATAACAGAGCTACACGGACTGACCAAAACTGATTTAAAAGAGTTTTGTTGGAGTAAAAGGCTGTGAGATCCCGAAAAAATGTCAAAGACTCAAAAATTCAGCAGCTTGTGTGAAGCAGAGAGTGACTGCAGCTGCTGGAGAGACATTAGAGCTGTTTAAGAGGAGGATGGAGGAGAACCAACACAAACTACAGGACGGTGTTTACAACTCTGGATGTCTGTCACTCAGAGCAGGTTTGGACTGTTTTATTCTCACTTCAAATTAATGACAATGACAATAACAGCAAATAAAAACATTATACTGGAAATGTTCTTGTTTTATTTAAATATATGCTTCTTTTTCTTTAAATGAGACACATTCAAAACAGTAAGGTTAGGTATAACACTGAACACGATCATTAATATATAGAGCAGGTCCAAGCCTCAATGAGGCCCTAAGCAAAATTTGATTTTGGGGCCCTCTATTTCTGCCAATAATATTGATTGTTGATCATTCACACACCTACTGCTAGCTTGCATATCCCATGGTGCTTCAGCGTTAACTCGGCGTGACCGAGACCAGCACAGCGGGGAACATGGTGAAGTGGGTTGAACTGAAACTTGTTGACTTATTGTGTTTTTCACAAACTGGTTTATTTCCCGTTGAGGCGGACCACTCTCCTCCGTGCGTCCCTGAGCTGCTGCTTCAGATCCGTCACTCTGCTGTGCTGTGTGGTAGTTAGTGGATGAAGATTGTCATGAGGTCACTGTAGCGCCGTCCACAGAATAAGTCGAACTAAGGGAACTTTTCAAATGGAGGAACATTTTCGAAGTGAAATCGAATCTTATTCTCTGCATTTTATCTCTGAAAATATTGACTAAAATCTGTGAGTTTTGGCCGATTACTGATTAGTCTCAAACGGGCTAAAATTGGCTGGGCCCTAAAATCGACATTATAAAAGGCCAGTTTTTTTTTTTTTGCAGAACACATCATAACACTAAAGTTTCACTCTTGTCATTTTCTGAAACTTGACAGCCCTGCAGGACATCATTTTTCACTTACATACTTTTTCTACAACTGTCGTTCAAGTGTTGACACGAGTTTGTGTTTTTCAACGCGTGTTTGTTTTGTATGCTTCTCCGCAGACACCCAGCAGCTGTTGGTGATTAAAGAGGAGGATCCCATTGAACAGCAGGAGAGGAGCCTCAGTCTGGATCAGGAGAATTCACCAGAACCTCCACACATTAAAGAAGAACAGGAGGAAGTGTGGAGCAGTCAGGATGGAGTGCAGCTTCAGAGACAAGAGGAGGCTGAGATCATCAAGTTCACATTCAGCCCTGTTTTTGTCAAAAGTGAGGATGTTGATGATGGAGAGGAACCTCAGTTTTCACAGCTTTATGAAAACCAAAAGGAAGAGGATGGAGACATAGAGCACTTGAAAATAGAAACTGATGGAGAGGACATTGGAGAATCAGAACAAGAAAGAAACTTTAATCCACTCTATCATTTACAACCAGTTACAGACGAAGAGATATCACACTCTGAAACTGAGACTGATAACAGTTGTGATTGGGAGGAGAACAGTGAACCTCAGTCAGGTTTAAACCCTCTGCAAAATGAAGAAGAACATGTAACTGATGAAGACTATGATCCTGGAAACACATCAGTCACTGCCTCTGAATATGCTTCAAGTTCTGGCCGAAAGGAACTTCTACAGAAACACAAAAGAATCCAAACAGAAGAGAAAATGTTCAGTTGCTCAGTTTGTGGTAAAAAATTTGGAAGCAAGAGTAATTTATCAGCTCATGAAATCCGTCACACAACAGAACAAGGTTTCAGCTGCTCGGTTTGTAAAAAAAGTTTTCCAAAGAGAGTTGAGCTGGCGAGGCATATGAGAATGCACACTGGAGAGAAACCCTTCAGATGTTCTGTTTGTGGCGGAAGTTTCACACAAAAATCCAGTTTGTACACACACCACCAGGTTCACACTGGAGAGAAACCCTTCAGTTGTTCCTTCTGTGGCCGAAATTTTGCACAGAAGTCACATTTGTCCAGACACTTAAAAGTTCACACTGGAGAGAAACCCTTCAGCTGTTCAGAATGTACAGCAGTTTTCCTTAACAAAAATGACTTAGTTGTTCACATGAGAACTCACACAGGAGAGAAACCGTTCATGTGTTCAGTTTGTGGGAGAAGATTTACACGAAGTGTAACACTGAAACACCACTTGATGGTCCACAGAGGGGAGAAACCGTTTAACTGCAGTGTTTGTGATAAAAGATTCACCCTCCGCTCAGGTCTAATCAGACACAAATGTAAAGGGACTGTGTTATCTTAATGTGTGCTAAGACTAAACACCGTTTTTTTTCCCTGCTAAATAATGAGGTTGTCAGAGGTTGCAGAAAAATTTCCACACAGATCCGGCAAAGTCCCCTTTTTGATTTGTACAAACTTGAATAATGATGAGACTTACTGAGACTCACTTAATTCGCCTTTCAGCTGAAAAATACTCCAGGAGATGATTGTTTATCAGAGGAAAACTCACCCAAGACTGTAATGTATCAAGTACTGACAGGAATTTCCTTAATATGCACCCGGAACTTGTACTCAGGATTTTGACTCGCCCTCTGACAATGTAGAGCTGACAGTAAGGCCTTGATACTGTCTATGAAAAAATATCAATTAAAGTCTTTAGTTGTGTGGTGTTTGGTTCTGCTGGTGTGTGGTTATGCGTGTACATGTTGAAACATGTCTGGTAGTCTGAAAATAAAGCTCACTGATGCCCTTCTTACAATTACTTGAATCTTGAAGGTTCACATTCAGCTGTCAGTCTAATCGGTGTGTTGTCCTTAATTTTGGTTCTAACTAAAGTCTTGTCATTATAAGAACTTTGACACAGTATCACACTACAGTCTGTTTCTAAAGTAAGATCACATTAGAGATAGATGAGGTTCACTGCCAACAACTTCACCACCTCATGGTAAAGGCTTGAGAAGGGCATAATGGCAGGATGTACGATTTCAGTGGCCCTGTTCATAGCTGCAGTGAACCTAGTAGTAGGAAGATCACAGTGCAGGGGCCCAAAAGCGGAGGATGGCACAAGGCACCCTGCCTGCCGAGCCTTTATAGACGACATTGCGGTAATGACTCTGTCAATCCAAGGAACACAATGGATCCTAAGTGCTTTGGAAAAGACAGCAACATGGGCCCAGCTGCAGTTCAAACAGGAGAAGTCATGGAGCCTCAGCATCCTGAAAGGGAAGCTGAAAGGAAACATCTTTAGCATCCAAGGCACAGACATCCCAAGAATTCAAGAGCAAGGCATCAGGTGCCTTGGAAAAGCCTATGACAGCTCCCTTAAGGACAATGATAACCTCACCAGCACCCAAGCCCAGCTTAACACATGGCTTAAGGCAATCGACAACAGCCCACTGCTCGGGAGGTTCAAGGTGTGGTGTTTCCAATATGGAATCATACCTCGACTGCAGTGGCCCTTTTTGCTCTATGATTTCCCCATGGAGTTCAAAACCGCCAAGGCGAGGGCAGTCAGTACACTCTTCTCGTCTGAAGAAGGGAAAGTGAGGCATGCAAGTAAGAAGATCAAGTGCAGCAGGAAGTGGAGGCCTCAGCAGGCAGTGACTGAGGCAGAAGCACACTGGAGACATCGGGAGATTGTTGGCGTGGTATGTCAAGGCCGCTTAGGTCTTGGAAACTATGATGGCAAGAGGTGGAGCAAAGCCAAGGCCAAAAGAGCACCAGTGGTGCAAAGGGTCCGGGAAGCAGCAGAGGAGGACCGTCAGGTGAAGGCAATAGGGCTAGCTTCCCAAGGTAGGTGGACACAGTGGGACCAGGCACTGGAGCAACCAGTGTCCTGGAAGGACCTATGGCAAACTGACCAGGGGGAATTGTCTTTTCTCTTACGTGCAGTGGCTGATCTAATGCCAACCCCAAGCAACCTGAAGATTTGGGGTGCAGAGGAAGATCCATCTTGCAAACTGTGCAGAGCGGCCTGCTGCACACTAAACCACATTCTGACTGGTTGTCCTAAAGCATTAGCAGAGGGACGCTAAAGGTGGAGGTACGACAAGGTCCTCATGGAGATCGCCAAGTGGGTGGAGCAGCAGCAGAGGACTAAGGTGAACAATAACCACACCCCACCACCCTTCTGCAGGCGAAGGCTAACCAGCCTCCGCAGCCCCACTCAGGCGAGGTGTACAGGTTAAGGGGCGAAACACCTGCAACCCTGAGATACTTGCTGATGATGCAGAAGGGTTCCCAACAAAACAGACGAGCATAGGAACCCGACTGAGGATCCAGCCTATGTAGTTGTATTTGCTTCTGGTAGCTTAGCATCTCTGATGTTTATTTCACCTAAAATTTGGTACTGACTCATCAATTCAAGTGTACAGGAGAATACAATCATTTTTTTTAGGATATGAGGGATTGTATTTAGTTTGATAGCTGATATAACTGTTACAAAGTCAAAACATAAGACCTTTTCATCGTGGCAGAATTGATTGTAGGAGAAAATGCCTACCGACACTTTGACCCCTGTCATATAAATTATGGTGTAACAATTTCTTGTTAAGCTCATCTGCTGATATTATTATTTTTTATCTTTTGTCTTTATAAATAAATACTATTTTACTTTTTTTTTTTTTGCTTAATTTGGTTACCGGTTTAACATTGGTCGCCACAACATGTGGGCCAGTAAAGATAATACAGGGGACTTTTACTTTGAAGGACAGAGACTTAGTGACCCGGAAGCAACTGTATCCAGTGTCGCGACCACGCTATCCTCTCGTTTAAAGCCGCTTCTTTTTCAAAGAAATCAGAGCACGTTAATGTGAAAAGTCGTCTTAGATTGCTGTTTTTTCGTAGTTTGAGGTTGTTTGACACCAAACTCATCAGGTTTTCCGTAAAAGTAGCTTAGCTTGTTAAACTGAACCGGACAAAGAGGCTAAAAACCGTCTTTAACGAGTTTTTCAGAGGAGAAGAGAGCTCTGATTATCCACAGGATGTCTAAAGTCCAAATGTTGAGAGTTTTCGTGAACCAGAGACTGAGTGCAGCTGCTGAAGAGATCTTTGAGCTGTTTGAAAGAACGATATTAGAGTACGAGGAGAAACTCTGTGGAGCTAAAGAGAATCAACACAAACAAAAGAAGACCAACTACACAACAGGTTCGTATCCTTTTATTATTGTCCTCTATCAATGATTGTGGAAAAAACAACATCATTTTAAAGTTATAGTTATTTACAACAATGAAAGTGAAGCAGTTATTTAATTGAACTGTAACCAGCCAATAGAACCAAAGGGCCAAAACCTGAAGTTAGAGAGCCTCAGGAAATAAGACCGAGTTAGAAAAGAACAGGGGAACAATGGGGAGAAAATTAGAGGAGATAAGGTACATACAGGTACAGACCGAAACACTTCAATGACCCAAAAAAGTTGATTTCCCTTAGTTTAAGTCAAACAATGAAACTTCCATTTATTGCACACAAAGTGAAACATTTCAGGAGTTTTTTGTTTGATTACAGCTTATAGCTCGTGAAAATGAAAAAAATACACCAGACTCTAGATAAGAAAGAGGGACTTAAATCCTGCTAAAGAGGAGGAGAAAAAGGATAAAAGGTCAAGATAGCACTTTATGGGGATCTTTTACATTTGTTAGTGTTTCACAAAGTATGTACGTTTCTCCTTTCATGATAAAAGTTAAACTTTGGTTTTAATTCAACCCAGATATTCAGCAGCTGTTGGTGGGTAAAGAAGGGGATCCCCCTGGGCAGCAGGAGAGGAACTCCAGCCTGGATCAGTACGGCACACCAGAACCACAGATCATTAAAGAGGAACAGGAGGAACTGTGGAGCAGCCAGGAGGGGGAGCAGCTTCAGGGACTAAAGGAGGCTGGTGTCAATATGTTAATAATAACTCCGGTCCCTGTGAAGAGTGAAGAAGAGGGTGACGGAGAGGAACTTCAGTCCTCACAGCTTTATGAAAACCAAACTAAAAAAAACATCGACACAGAGTTTTTGAAAACAGAAGCAGGTTTAGCGGACTGTGCAGAATCAGAACCTGACTTCAATCCAGACAGTTATTTACGACCCATTTCTGATGGAGAGACTTCTGAATCTGAGACTGAGGCTGGTTTAACCACTCTGGAAAACAGTGAAGCACCTGTAGGTGATGGACATGTTACAGAGGAAACATCAGTGAGCTTCTCCAGTTGTGCTACAAAGTCTGGACAAAAAAATGAACAGCACAAAAATAACAGAATACAGAGGAATGAAAAAACATTCAGTTGCTCAGTTTGTAGTGCAACATTTTCCACGAAAGAATATTTGTCTGTTCACATGAAGTATCATACAAAAGAAAAAAAATTCAGCTGCTCGGTTTGTAAAAAAAGTTTTCCAAGGAGAGTTGAGCTTAGGAGGCATATGAGAGTGCACACTGGAGAGAAACCCTTTGGGTGTTCTGTTTGTGGTAGATGTTTCTCACATAAATTCAATTTGTACAAACACTACCAGGTTCACACAGGAGAGAAACCCTTCAGTTGTTCCTTCTGTGGTAGAAATTTTGCGCGGAAGTCATATTTGTCCAGACACTTAAAAGTTCACAGAGGAGAGAAACCCTTCAGCTGTTCAGAATGTACTGCAGTTTTCCTCAACAAAAATGACTTAGTCGTTCACATGAGAACCCACACAGGAGAGAAACCGTTCATGTGTTCAGTTTGTGGGAGAAGATTTACACGAAGTGTAACACTGAAACACCACTTGATGGTCCACAGAGGGGAGAAACCGTTTAACTGCAGTGTTTGTGATAAAAGATTCACCTTCCGCGCAGGTCTAATCAAACACAAATGTAAAGGGACTGTGTTATCTTAATGTGTGCTAAGACTTAACACCGTTTTTTTTCCCTGCTAAATTATGAGGTTGTCAGAGGTTGCAGAGAAATTTCCACACAGATCTGGCAAAGTCCCCTTTTTGATTTGTACAAACCTGAATAATAATGAGACTTACTGAGACTCACTTAATTCGCCTTCCAGGAGATGATTGTTTATCAGAGGAAACTCATCCAAGACTGTAATGTATCAAGTACTGACAGGAATTTTTCAAGATGAAGATGAAGAGGTCAAATATCTGCTTTAAATTTGATCCTAACATTCATGACATGACCCCATGCTTTATCAATCTGACACTGATGTTTTCTCTGTGTTGCAACCACTTCAAAGTCATCAGCACCCCAATTAACGATAACAGCAGAAAATAGAAGAATAGTTGTTATGGTTTGTGGACTTTTCTTTGTTTAAATTTAGCCCCATATTTGTGTGTTTCCATCTTTCAGAAGAAGCGTCCTTGTGTTTTGGCAGGAAGACAGTCAGTAGAAACGGGAACTGTTCTGCTAAAAATAATAAAACTTAAAGATCCTTGTAAATTTACGCCTCAGAGACCCTTAATACGCACCCAGAACTTGTACTCAGGATTTTGACTCTCCCACTGAGAATGTAGAGCTGACAGTAAGGCCTTGATACTATCCATGGAAAGATGTCAATTAAAGCTTTTAGTTGTGTGTTTGGTTCTGCTGGTGTGTGGTTATGTGTGTACATGTTGAAACATGTCTGGTAGTCTGAAAATAAAGCTCACTGATGCCCTTCTTACAGTTACTTGAACCTTGAAGGTTCACATTCAGCTGTCAGTCGTATCAGTGTATTGTCCTTAATTTTGGTTCTAACTAAAGTCTTGTCATTATAAGAACTCTGACACAGTATCACAACATGGTCTGTCTCTAAAGTAAGATCACATTAGAAATGTAAAACTGCCTTAGTTGGTTGTTTTTGATTTGTACCATGTCTTCAAGATTTACTTTATTTCTTTAACCAGGTAAGAACCCGTGGAGATCGAGATCTCATTTACAAGCGTGACCTGGCCAAGAGGTCAGCAGCACACATCACAATGATAAATAATAATAATAAAGAAGAAGAAGAAAATGACCTCCAGAAACAGAATTAAAAACACAGACACTGTTCCAGGGTCTCCAGAGGTCTGTCATGAAAGATTCAGCAAAATTAATTCCGATGGCCCAAATATCTTACAGAATAACATGAAGCAGAAATTACTGTAAATACAGCCCAATGCTTTTTGAGAGATTCTGCTAAATTTGTGTCAGTTTTTAGTTTCCGAGCAAGAAATATTTCCCCTCAAAAATTCAGGACCTGAGTGAAGATGCCCTTTTTAAAATTTGCTACCAACTCATCAATTTAAGTGTACATGAGAATAAAATCATTTTTTAGGATATGAGAGATTGTATTTAAACTGATTGTTGATAGCGCTGTTATAAAGTCAAAACATAAAACCTTTTCATCATGGCAGGATTTATTGATTTGATTGGAGGAGAAAATGCCCACGAACACATGTTGACCCTCGTTCTGTAAATTATGATATAATGATTTCTTGTCAGGATCATCTGCCGACTTTGTTATTTTTATCTTCATAAATTAATACTGTGGAATATCTACAGGTTTTTGCTGAATTTGATTTAGTGTTGTGTTGTTCACCAACGATTTTTACAAAAGAACCAAATCTTTTAAGTGAATGTACTGAACCAAATCACTTCCTCGAGTGATTTGTTCGTTTCTCACTTCAGTTGAGCTGAAGTGAGAAACAGCATTGCCAAGCCAGCAGCCAGTGAACAAGGGACCACATTCACTGACACCTGAATCATTGAGTGAAGGAATCACACATTGAACTACACTCTCTGGAATCATTTTAGTTGGACAAAACTACCTTTTTTTTCACGGCTAAATTGCCACCAAAACAACTTTCAAATAATAGGACACAGTAAGTAACAGGTAGTGCATAAAAAACATCCTATCATTGCTGCGATTTGCGAGGGAACGGTTCATGTTCAGAGTGAATTCTTCTGAACCTTCAGTGATGGGGTCACTCACTGACCCCAATTTACCGAGCAGACCTGATAAATATCATACCAGAGGACACTTCAAACATCATGACTTATAGACAAGTTCATTTTTACAAACCTGTTTTTCAAAGAAACACAGACAAACACTCTTGTCTCTCCTGGTCCCAGAAGCTTTGAATCTGAACTGAATCTTGAACCGTTCAGCTGTGTATCAGTTCAGGAGGTCGGAGTCTCAGGCTCCTCCCACCAAGCACTGAATGATTCGGTGATTTGATATATGAATCTTTTGAATTTGAATCTTTTTAATGAACTTATTCTAGTTATTCAGTACATTTAAAAGAACTGCCGTGCCCATCACTAACTTGATTATCGGGCCAGTAAATGTAATACAGGGGACTTTTACTTTGAAGGACAGAGACTTAGTGACCCGGAAGCAACTGTATCCAGTGTCGCGACCACGGTAACTCCTCTCGTTTAAAGCCGCTTCTTTTTCAAAGAAATCAGAGCATGTAAATGTGTAAAGTCGTCTTAAATTGCGCTTTTTTCGTAGTTGAGGTTGTTTGACACCAAACTCATCAGGTTTTCCGTAAAAGTAGCTTAGCTTGTTAAACTGAACCGGACAAAGAGGCTAAAAAACGTCTTTAACGAGTTTTTCAGAGGAGAAGAGAGCTCTGATTATCCACAGGATGTCTAAAGTCCAAATGTTGAGCGTTTTCGTGAACCAGAGACTGAGTGCAGCTGCTGAAGAGATCTTTGAGCTGTTTGAAAGAACGATATTAGAGTACGAGGAGAAACTCTGTGGATCTAAAGAGAATCAACACAAACAACAGATGATCAACTACACAACAGGTTCATATCCTTTTATTATTGTCCTCTATCAATGATTGTGGAAAAAACAGCATCATTTTAAAGTTAAGTTTTACATTTGTTAGTGTTTTACAGAGACTGTGAAGACTGTTGATGTTTTTAAGAAGAGGCTCAAGACTCTCCTTTTTAACCAGGATTTTTACTGATTACCTTTATATATTTTTCTCGTATTGCAAATGTTTATTTTAATCAAAGTTCTTCATGTTTATTTTATGTCATTTTATTAATTATCTCTGTTCTTGGTCTTTTTCTGAATTCCTGTCTTAGAGGTTTTTACTTCTTTTACCTCTTTAACCTGGTAAAGAGCTTTAACTTATCTTTTCATTAAATATTATTTTCCTGTTTTAGTCCGTCAGGTTCTACTTTTTCTTTATTATATGTTTATTTTTATCTCCAGAGTTTCCTAAAGGTCGCTCTTTCCTCACTTAATGTCTCGGTGTCAGGCCATGTCCCTTTAATAATATATCTTAAATTCTCACACTGTTTGTGCTTGTGTGTGTACGTATGGGTATGTGTCTTTGTGTGTGTGTGTGTGTGGGTGGGAGGTGGGGTTTTTTATTGTTGTTAATCGTTGTTTTTAGCCCCTATGAGGAACTTTGAAATACATTTTTGTCTGAAAAGTGCCATAAAAATAAAGTTGAATTCATAAAATGTGTACGTTTTTCCTCTTATGATAAAAGCTGAATTCAAAGACTTTGTTTTTCATTTTAATCCAGATGTTCAGCAGCTGTTGGTGGGTAAAGAAGGGGATCCCTCTGGGCAGCAGGAGAGGAACTCCAGCCTGGACCAGTACGGCACACCAGAACCACCGATCATTAAAGAGGAACAGGAGGAACTGTGGAGCAGCCAGGAGGGGGAGCAGCTTCAGGGACTAAAGGAGGCTGGTGTCAATATGCTAATAATAACTCCGGTCCCTGTGAAGAGTGAAGAAGAGGGTGACGGAGAGGAACTTCAGTCCTCACAGCTTTATGAAAACCAAACTAAAAAAAACATCGACACAGAGTTTTTGAAAACAGAAGCAGGTTTAGCGGACTGTGGAGAATCAGAACCTGACTTCAATCCAGACAGTTATTTACAACCCATTACTGATGGAGAGACTTCTGAATCTGAGACTGAGGCCGGTTTAACCACTCTGGAAAACAGTGAAGCACCTGTAGGTGATGGACATGTTACAGAGGAAACATCAGCGAGCTTCTCCAGTTGTGCTACAAAGTCTGGACAAAAAAATGAACAGCACAAAAATAACAGAATACAGAGGAATGAAAAAACATTCAGTTGCTCAGTTTGTGGTACAAGATTTTCCAAGAAGAAATATTTGGCTGTTCACATGATGTATCATACAAAGGACAAAAATTTCAGCTGCTCGGTTTGTAAAAGAAAATTTCTCTGGAGAGCTCGCCTTGAAGAGCACATGAGAATCCACACCGGAGACAAACCCTTCAGCTGTTCTCTCTGTGATAAAAGTTTCACTAAGAAGTCCAACTTGTACCAGCACCAAAAAGTTCACACAGGAGAGAAACCCTACAGTTGTTCTGTTTGTGGTAAAAGTTTCACAATGAAGTCAAATTTTTACCACCACCAACAAGTTCACACAGGAGAAAAACCTTACCACTGCTCTGTTTGTGAGACAAGTTTCCTTCGCAAAACCAACCTAGTTCGACACATGAGAGTCCACACAGGAGAGAAACCCTTCAGCTGCTCCATTTGTGGTCGGGGTTTCAAACAGAAGTCAACTCTGTGCAGACACCAACAAGTTCACACTGGAGAGAAACCCTTCAGTTGTCCCGTTTGTAACATAAGTGTCGGCCGTAAAACTCAGCTGGAAGTTCACATGAGAATCCATACGGGAGAGAAACCCTTCAGTTGCTCCCTGTGTGGGAAAAGATATACAGAACGTCGAGGTCTGAAGCGTCACGCAATCACACACTCAGGAGAAACTAGTCTGGTTACAGAGGTGGAGATTGAAGAATTGACTGAATTAGTCTCAGATAATGCAAAGAGCTGCAAAAATGAGTGAAGCTGTACAGACGCTTGGCCATCACAGAGACGCCCATGACTGTGTCACAGTCCAGAAACCCAATTATCATGTCTTTTCTTTTTTATTTATTTTACAGTGTAACTATTTGTGTATCATGTCTTTGGTATCATGTAAAAATCCTCAAATCATATTCGAACAATTCAAAATTTGTTTCTTAAAATTACATGACTGCACGCCTCATTCAGCACCATAATGTATAATTTACTGAATTATCCTGGTTATGAGAAAAAAAACTGTGAAAATCGTATCTTTGAAAAAATAAATTTCATCACAAGACTAGCTCAGTTACTACTCAAAAAATTGGTTGAAGTCTGCCACCGGTCTGACTACGGTCTTCATCTAACACAGAATCAAACTGTACAATATTATGATGACAATCAAATACTCCAGACTAGTTCATTTTTTAAATCCTCATTAGAAAACATCTGTTTTGGATTGGTGCTGCGTAAATAAAGATTGACTGACTGCAGAGCCGGCCCAAGGCATAAGCGAACTAAGCACCTGCTTAGGGTCCTTTGGCCAGTAGGGGGCCCCCAAGAGCAATCAAAAGAAAAATAATTAAAATATATAAATTTTTTGCATGTATGAGTGATGGTTTCCGTATGATCAGATATAAACATCATTGTAAAAATAAAATAAAATGAAGTAAAAACATTTTAGTGCTGCTGCTGATGTAGGCTGATGATTCTTACTGCTGATACGTCAAAGCTCCGTTACCATTATGTTCCTCCTGCTGTGAAATGTGCACTGAGCATCCTGAATGTGTTACATGTTGAGATTAAAATCCATATGTGGCCCCCTGAACATCATTCATCAGTCATTCATTGGCATTATTTATATTATCACCTAGGCCACCCTCTTAAATGCAATATAGACATGTCAGGCCCAGTAAATTTATACTGAAGTAGGTGTGTGAATGATCAACAATCAATATGATTGGCAGAAATAGAGGGCCCCAAAATCAAATTTTGCTTTGGGCCCCACTAAGGCTCGGGCCGGCTCTGATTGACTGATCTGAAGAACTTTAGTGATCTTAAACCTCACCTGCTGAAGAAGCTTGTGTTTCAAATCTTCTGTGTTTTCTTGTTTGTTTTTTAATAACTGTATAATGTCTAAATTTACACAATGAAATGATCGGTGATGATTATTGGAACGACTTACAACCGTCATTTAGTCGACCTTTATTTTGAAGGGCAGGAAAGACTTGGCATCCCGGAAGCAGTTTCATGAAGAGTTGCGAGCATGCTAACTTCATCCATTTTGAGTCATTTCTCCTATCTAGAGGTCCACTTATGTGGGTATTTCGTTCCGAATTTGATTTTTTTAGAGTTTCACGATTAAAAAAATAATATTTAGACTCAGACTGTCAACTCAAGAAAGCTGAGTTTATTTGTTTAAAAAAAGGACAAAGACAGGGGTTGAAATTTAGCAGCAAGCTAACATGACATAAACCGACTAAAACTGTTTTGGGTTTTTTAGGAGGAAAAGCTATTGTAAAGTTTGTAAAAATGTATAAAATGTAAATGTTGAAAGATTTCATGAACCGGAGACTGAGATCTGAGCTGTTTGAGGAGACGATGGCAGAGGACGAGGGTCAAATTCAGTCTCACCGATCAGGTTAGTTATGTTTTTATTGTTACTATCTAACAAAGTTCACGATGATACCAATCAAAGTTAACACTGTTGTCTGTTCAAATACTTTTATATTCCCGGGTAAATTTAAGGGTTATAACACAAAAATATCCGGATAGTGTCCCGATGATTATTATCAAGAAAACACACATGAGAGTTTGTTCATCATGTCCTGCTGTGACCTCGTCAACATTTTGTCAAAGAAGTTTCACAACCATGACACTTACTCTGGAAAAAAACAGGAAGTTTCTATGGAACTGCTGAACAACAACAACAACTAAAAGAAAAGCGAAAACGCAGAAAATATTTATTTGATCTTTATTTTCACTTCTATTTTATATTATTGCAGTTCATAGAGGAGCGTTTTCTGAGTTTACAACTTCATTTTCTAAAAAGTTTGAACATTTTTTAAAATATTAGAAATACAAATTTTGTCGGATTTCTAATCATTTAAAAGGATAATGTGCAAAGATAACATCACATGTCAAAACAAAGGTTTTACTGTCACCAATTTTTAATCTGAAGCCAGTTGCATGTTAAAAAAACCTTTGAACAAGGATAACAAAAACTTGAGAAATTTATTTATCACCAAAAAATATAATTAAATTAAATTAAATTAACCAGATGAATTCTAAGGGCTTTCTAAAGAGGCAGGTGGCCCATGTATTCAGTGTTCAGCTCTACAAATTCAACAGAGCTGAACTAATTATTGAATACGAGGCTTTTTTTTAATGATGTGAACAGATGCCATCTGCACTTTAAAAGGCTGGATAATAATTGGTCCAACACTAACGAAGATGGGGTTTGATTTAATAACTATGTTAGACTCATTTCAGACATGTAGATCACCATTTAGTGTTTAGTTTTTAGTTTGATGTTTTGTTTTTAATTCATTTTTACGCTTCTCTCTTTCACATGTTGAATCCCAAAGTAGAAAAAAGAAAATCATGATTTAAATGTTGACATTAAAATCTTGATTTCTCAAACTTTTTTGTATTCTGTGATTATCTGCAGATATTCAGCCACTGTGTGTAAACACTGGAGAGATTCCCCCTGAGCTGCAAGAGGAGGACCCACCAAAACCTCTAATCATTAAAGAGGAACAGGAGGAACGGTGGAGCGGTCAGCAGGGAGAGCAGCTTCAAGGACTGGGTGAGGCTGATAACACCACGTTAGTATTCATTCCTGTCCCTTTGAAGAGTGAAGAAGAAGACGACGATGATGATGGAGGGAAGTCTGAGTTCTTGCAGCTCCATGAAAAACAAACTGAAGAGAATAGAGATGCAGAGCGATTGAAAACAGAACAGAACTTTAGTCCAGACAGTCATTTAGTACCAGTTTCTGATGAAGACGTTTCATACTGTGAATCGGAGACTGATGACAGCTGTGACTGGGAGGAGACCAGTGAACCCCAATCAGGTTTAAACTCTTTGCGAAATCAAGAAGTGTTTGTATGTGAAGGAGAACTCAATACTGAGGAAAAACCTGTTAGCTCTCCTGAATGTGCTCCAAACTTCGCCCAGAAGAAACACCAGCTGAAGCACAAAGGAATCCAAACAGAGGAAAAACCATTCGATTGTTTAGTTTGTGGTAAAAGATTTGGCAATAAGAGTAATTTATCAGCTCACATGATGCGCCACACAAAAGAAAAAGGCTTTGACTGTTCAGTTTGTAAAAAGAGTTTCCCAAAGAGAGGAGAGCTTGTGCGGCACATGCGAATTCACACAGGAGAGAAACCCTTCAGTTGTTCTGTTTGCGGCAAAAGTTTCACACAGAAGCCAAATTTATACTCACACCAACAGGTTCACGCCACAGAGAAACCCTACTGCTGCTCTGTTTGTGGCAAAAGTTTCACCCAAAAGTCGAGTTTGAATTCACACCAGCAAGTTCACACCGGAGAGAAACCCTACAGTTGTTCAGTTTGTGGGAAACGATTTGCGCACGATGTCTTGAGGAAACACATGAGAACTCATACAGGGGAGAAACCCTATAGTTGTTCTGTTTGTGGGAAACAATTCATGCAATATGGAAACGTTAAACGCCACTTAATAGTTCACACAGGAGAGAAACCATTTAGTTGTAGTCTTTGTGATAAAAAATTCACTCAGCTTGGAAGTCTCAACAGACACAAATGCAAAGGAGCTGCTCTGTCTTGAGGTGAAATATTCGCTCATTTAAACCGTAAAAGTCGATAAAACAGACCAATCAGAAGTTGTTGTTTTTTTGACACTAAGGTACAAACCGATCACATATTTTTGCTTTGAGGTAAACTTGGAAATAATTGATATTTAATTCATTTATAGAAATAGTCAAAAATACAAAAGAATGGTTTTAAAAGCTTGGATCATGTTTTACACATGTGTGGACTGAAATGTTTGAAGTTTGACATTTGTACAAGTTTGTTGTTTTATGGTTTTACTTTGTGAAGGCCTGCAGTGAGCCTGATCAGTCCATGTGAAGATAAGCAGATGAGTAACATCAGCACTCTGAAATAAAACCAATGTAAATAATGTTACATAAAAGATGTTGTTGTTCTTCTGTTTTTAGTTAGAGGCCCAAACATCAGATGATCCAGACTCAAAACCACCTCACCGTGTTGACTTTTAATTCCAGTTAAGTGTGACTGTCGAACGCCTGATCATGTTACTTTAGATCTGTTCATTAAACCTGTTTTATTGTTTGTTTTATACACATTTGATATTGTGTTTGAATCTTTTTTCAGCTCTTAGGTCAGCAGTGAAACTAATGTCACTTGGACTTTACAGGAGTACTTTGAGGACGGATATTCAACTCTGAGGTCAAACAAACCCAAAGTTAAGATGACTCACTCCTATGCAGCACCATCTAGTGGAGAAATCTTGAAAATGCAAGAATATTTCTCTCTGTCTCCAAGAGTAAATCATTGAAGAGAAGTCAAATATCACCTCAAGAGTAATGAAAACTCAAATTTAAGTCACATCAACTTACTTTGTCAAAAATGATGTTGACCTTTTGGAGACCAGGGTGGGAACTTTTTGTGTTTTTGCTCAGGAAACTTTAGGAAACAATCCTGTTTTACTGACAGTAAACTTTTATTTTTCAGTAACCTTTGTGTTAAGAAACGAATGTATGTGTCAGTGGATTTAAGTGCAAACACGACACACATTTTATTTACAAGAAGAAACTCTCAAAGTTTTAGTCCTTCTCTGGACAACAGCAGCTGAGGGCCTTCTTTAGACTGTGGAAGAACCTCTGAACCCTCATCAGCAGTTTTCTGGAACAGTAAATATTGGCATGTCAAAAAAACAGATGCCGCTTTTTTTTTTATTTTGAAAAAAAAAAAAAAAAGGAGAGCATCGAGAGAGTGACGTCACTTCCTGTGACTGAAACGTTGGTTCCTGTCGAAGCTTACAACCGGAGCTTTTCTTTGTATATTTACCTCTTAAAAGTTATGTCGCTTGTTTTTTACAAGTTGAAATAGACACTTTTTTCTTTGTCCGAAGGTTTTCATGAAGTGAACTTTGCTCGAAACAGACACAGACTGAACAGAGGGCTAAAAGTTCAGCAGCTAGCTGATGAATCGTCGCTCTAAAACTGTTTTGATCCGGTGATTCTGGAGAAAAAACTGCAAAAATATTGATCGAAATGTCTAAAGTCCAAGAACTGAGAGTTTTAGTGAACCAGAGACTGAGTGCAGCTGCTGAAGAGATCTTTGAGCTGTTTGAAAGAACGATATTAGAGTACGAGGAGAAACTCTGTGGAGCTAAAGAGAAACAACACAAACAACAGACGGATTTTCAACAAAGAGCAGGTTTGTACTTTACTGTGATATTACTGTTCAGTCATCAATGTTACTATAAATCTGAGGCTATTATCTGCTTTAATACAGAACTCATACTCTGAACCTAATTTATTATATTCAGTGTTTTTAAAAGCATATATTTATTTATTTCACAGGACATTAGAAAGAACAAAAACCAATGAAACCACTCACCAATACTAACTCTAGACAGTCATGTTCAGAGGTCTGAAAACATGGAACTGTCTTCCATCTGTCAGTAGCAGTCGCTACATTAAATGTTGACTATAAAATACAGTTTTTTAAAACTTAAATGTATTTGTTATTCAGACATCCAAAAGCTGTCGGAGAGTGAAGAGGAGCAGCAGAAGAAGAGTCCCAGTCTGAACCAGGTGGACCCGGCGAAACAACCACATATAAAGGAAGAGCAGGAGGAACTGTGGAGCAGTCAGGAGGGAGAGCAGCTTCAACGACCGGAGGAGGCTGATATCAGCACAATTGTTTTCACTTCTGTCCCCGTGAAGAGCGAGGACGATGATGGTGAGAAATCTCAGCCCCAAACTGGAGAGAATGGACACACGGAGCATTTGAAAACAGAACAGAACTTTAATCCAGACAGTCATTTAGATTCAGTCACTCATGGGAAGACCTCACACTCCTCTGAAGATGAGAGAGGTAACTTTGATTATGTCTGGGAGGGGACCAGTGAACCTCAGACAAGCTTAAACTCTGCAGATGACACAGAATATAGCGACTGGAAAACATCCGTCAGCTTCTCCGATTGTGCTTCAAGCTTTGATCAAAAGGAACAACTTCAGGAAAACAGACCAATCCAAAAAGGAGTAAAACCCTTCGGCTGCTCAGCTCGTGGCACACGGTGGCACAATAAGAAACATTTATCAGGTCACATGGTGTGCCATACAAAAGCTGGTTTTAGTTGCTCAGTTTGTAACAAGAGTTTTCCGTGGAGAGGAGAGCTTGTGAGTCACATGAGAATCCACACAGAAGAGAAACCCAACGTAAGCGCCGGCTTTGATTCGAGGTTTTCTGGAATTCCCAATCTGATTTTGCACCCGGAGAGTCAAACAGATGAAAAACGTTTCACATGTCCAGTTTGTGAAAAAAGTTTCAGTCACAGAACACATTTGTTAGACCACATGAAGATTCACGCTGGGGAGAAATGCAGCTGTTCAGTTTGTGGTAAAAGATTATTTAAGTATTCTCTTGTGCGACACATGAAATCCCACACCAGAGAGCCCATCCAGAAACCGTACAGCTGCGCAGAGTGTGGGAAAAGATTTGAACAACGCCAATCTCTTGGACTCCATATGCGAATTCACACAGGAGAGAAACCATTTAGCTGTTCGGTTTGTGGGAAAAGCTTCACACACAGCGGTAACCTGAAAAGGCACATGACTGTTCACACAGGGGAGAAACCGTTCAGTTGTTCCATCTGTGGGAAAAGCTTTGCACAAAATGGGAACCTGAAACAGCACATGACTGTCCACACAGGAGAGAAACTGTTCAGTTGTTCCATTTGCGGGAGAAGCTTCACACAAAGCGGGACCCTGAAACGCCATCTGACGGTGCACTTACGAGAGGAACAGCATAGTTGTAGTGTTTGTCATCAAAGATTCACCGAGCTCGCAAGTTTAAACGATCACAGATGTGAAGTGTCTTACCTGTTTTAGAAGTGACTCTTCTGAGGTTACAGCATAGGGTTGTCAATATGATCAGTACATGTGAATCGTAGACAGTGGATCTGATTAATTCTCTCCACTGACGTTAACACTTTTTAAATCACTGTTTAAACAGAAATATGAACATGTATCTCTCAGTACAGCTCAGTTCACAATCATGGGGTCTTCATTACTGTTCAGAAGATGATCACTGGTACCCTCCAGAGGATGAGTGAGCCATGAAAGGTCATGGTTGAAAAGGTTGGCTGGCCCCAGAGTGCTGCTGCATGTTGACTGGAAGGGTTAAAGGTGGCCACCACTCTAGTCTTCAATAAAGAACGACAACACCTGTTTCACTTTTGAATCGTAGACAGTGAAAGAAGAGTCGTAGCTGAGAAGGAAAGAACTGGACTATTGCAAAGTCCTCTTTTCAGATGGAAGTCAATTTCACATTTCACTTGGTAATCAAGGTCTTAGAGTCGAGAAGAAGAGCAGAGAAAGACAGAATCCAAGCTGTCTAAAGTTCACCGTGAGGTTTCTGCAGTCTGTGATGATTTGGGGCACCTTCTTCTTCTTCTGGTGTTGCTCAAATGAATTTTATCGAGCCCAAAGACCGTGCAGTCTATTATGAGATTTTAGATTTCATTTCCTTTTTCAGCAGTGCAAAGCACCTGCCCACAACGCCAAAACTACCCCCCAATACTGAACTGATCATGGAATAAACAACACAGAGGAAGACTGGTGATAAAACAGATGTAAATATTTGAAGATGTGTTGAACAGCAGAGGTGAAAGTGACTTAAATTTAATACATCGATGTATGTGGGAATAATGTTGGCGCTTGACAGGATAGAATTCAAACTTTGAAAACTTCTGTTAAATGGGTTCTGTTATAAAATTTCTAGAAATCCGTACTTAAAAAGGGTTTAATTTATTGCTTTATTGTTGAATTGAAGAAGCTTCTTGCATAAGAGGCGAAACGTCTTCTCAACTCTACACAGTCCAGTTGCCTGATTTTGGAGACTTCGAGATTTACTCGTCTCCAAAGTGTCAAAAAACACAAATGTGTTGTTGTCGAGGGCAGCAAAGACAAATGAAGCCACTTTAAAACAATCAGCGAAAGAAGAGAGAACAGTTTTAAAGACCTGGGGGAGAATTTGGTGGATTTATTTTATTTTTATTTGGTTAATATGACACCACTTGATCATTCCAGTTGTATTTTAACTCATTGCTTTGTCTGTCTTTGTATTTAAATGAGTCATGAATAAAGTGAGTGTATTTGCAGCACAAGAACATGATTTATCTTCAATGCTATGAACATTTCAGGGGTTGAGTTAACCTTGTTGGGCGCACGTCTTCATGTGGTGCTTCGGTTTCATCTATTTGTTTGTTCAGGCAGTTGTTAGTTGCAGAAATCATTCTTCAAATGAGTGTATATACTCGGGATTAGTTGAAGCTCCACACTGAAACAGCCCCCAGAGACAAGCTGGTCATATTTAATCAAGAGTGTAGAACTGGATATTCCACGTCTCCTTGTTGACACTTCTCCAGTGTTAGTTTGCACCTCAGGATGGTCTTAAAAGCAGGGAAATAATGACAATCAGTGAGCAGAAATAATGTCTTCAAACATCCCTTAAAGTGGGTGGGCCGGTGAAGGCATCAGATCTCAAAGGCCAGGACATGACATCAAATTATGCTGTAATCAAATCAGTCAAGGTTCCCTCAAAAAGTTGTTTATTCATGCTCGATACGGCCAGAGTGTACAGCATGTTCATAGAAAATAAAAGTAACATGTCACTCTGTGGTTCAGTGATGTTTGCCATATAATTCATCACATTATCAGACCCTCAAAATCAGCGTGTTCAAACATCAGTGATTTTTTCAGTTTTGAGGAAAAAGGGCAGGGCGAGTCCTTAATAAACTTGGTTTACATAAATTGTGACCATGATGCCACAGAGGAGACTTTAAACACTTAAATCCAGAGAGACATACATGTACCAGTACTTTTAGTATGTGAACAAAGGTTAACAAAGTAGTACACACAAAATAATAGTATGTTATTCAAACCAATGAAATAATTGAAGCTTAATTCGGAGTTTGACAACTCTGCGTTTTTGCTTTTCAGCGTTAAGCCATGATTTGCCTTGAGCGCTTACATTCTTTTGGAAAATTTCAGCTCAGCAGGTATCAGGACAGCATCATGTCTTTGTGCTGCTCTCACCAGTGCACTTGTGGTTTTTGACGTGCTCGAGCCGGGTGAATCTTTTTTCACAAACACTGCAGTCGAATGGTTTCACCCCTGTGTGGACAGCCAAGTGCCGCCTGAGCGCTCCAATTTGAGCAAATCTTTTTCCACAAATTATACAGCTGTGTGGTTTTTCCCCTGTGTGGATTGTCATGTGATCAACCAGACTTTTCCTTACACTGAAACTTGAGTTGCACACTTTGCAGGTGAAAGGTTTTTCTCCTGTATGAACTCTTAAGTGTAAGGTCAGATGTGAGCTTTGAGTAAATCTCGCACCACAAAAAGAGCAGGTGAAGGGTTTCTCTCCGGTATGGACTCTCATGTGAATCACAACATCTCTTTTCCAGGGGAACGTCTTCTTACAAATGGAACAACTAAAAAATTTTCCTTCTGAGTGAAGCCTCATATGATTTGCTAAGGATCTTTTATGGTGGTATCTTTTACCACAATCTTTACAGTTAAATTGTTTCTCTCCTGTTTCACAGTTTTGAAGGGAGTTTAAACCTGACTGAGATTGACTACTCTCCTCAAAGTGAAAACTAAAGGAGTGTGGAGTATCTTCATTAGTATCTGGATGTAAATGACCATCTGGATTTAAGTTCCAATCTTGGTCTGATCCTCTGTCGTTTTCTCCATCAGATTCTGTTTTCAAGTCTCTGTTTTCTTCAGTTTTCCCTTCGTAAAGCTGCGAGGACTGAGGTTTACCTCCATCATCTTCTTCATGTTGCACAGGAACAGGACTAAATGTGAACTTAATGATATCAGCCTCTTCCAGTCCGTGGAGTTGTTCTCCTTCCTGACTGGTCCACAGTTCCTCCTGTTCCTCTTTAATGTTTGGTGGTTCTGACGGGTCCTCCTGGACCAGGCTGGAGCTCCCCTCCTGTTCAGGGGGAATCTCCTCTTTCTTCACCAACAGCTGCGGGACATCTGTGAAAGAATGGAATACGTACTATGTTAGGTAAGCTATGCAGCATTTAACTGGTTTCACCATCAATAAGCTCAGCTTAATGTTGATAAAGCAGCCAGTGAACTGAACAGCCGACAGATGATCAACGGCTGCAGATGGAGTCGACTCAACCACTTATAAACTAACTTGACCTTGGGTGTGTGGGACCACTCTAAAAGACAACCTCGACATCGTGATGAGGAAAAATAAAGTATCACATACATTAGTGAGGCTAAAAACAGAGCATTAATAATCCTTATTTGTTTTGTTTTCCATTTCATCATAACATCATCAAGGATAAAATGTCTCCCTTTTTCAGGGAGAAAACTAAATGTCACTGCACAAATGTTTCTGTGTTTCCATGTTAAAGGGATTTTCTTGTTTGTAGCATAGAGACCTCAGGCCAGTCCATGGAAATACAATCAGACCGAGACGCTAAGACAGAAGAACTACCGCGTCTGCAGTGAAAATTATTAATGTGGTGATTATTACTTCAAGGAAATTATCATAAATGTTCTTCCTTGAGCTGCGACACCCCGCTGTAGTCTGTAATGGACTGGCCTGAGGTCTCACTACAAACAAGCGGCTGCTGGAAGAGAGTAGGTGAGTTGTGTTTAGTCTCTTTGCTAAAGAAATGAGTCAAAGTTAAAAAGATGTTTGGTGTCTAGTTCTATGTCTGTGACCCTATATGTCCTGTTGATGAAGTTAGGTGCTGTTCTGAGCATTATTTGTGGCTATAGAGTGGTGTTTTGGTTGAGCGCGTGGCTCTCTGTATTACTATCCTGCGGTCGTTACTAAAGTTGGTATAACTAGAGAAGCAAGCGGTCGACAACACTCATCTCTAACTCGGTGTTACGGTGGGTTTAATTAATTAAAATTAAAATTAATTTTATCCCTCTAAATAAAAAGACGTCCATAAAGGACACCGATGCAACAGTTTGACTGTAGGGGGCGACACACGCGCCATGGACCGCTTTGTTAAGTGAGTAAAGGAGGTGGGGATCTCTGAGATTTTCACAGCATATTCAAAGTGCGACTTTAAAGAGTTTACTCGATTAAATTTACCTGCTCGGTGTAAATCGATCACACGGCCGAAGACATCGTCCTTGTGTTCGTCCTGGTTTTGGTTGAGACGGCAGAGTTTCTCCTCGTACTCTTGTAGAATCTTCTCAAACAGCTCAAAGATCTCGTCAGCAGCTGCACTCAGTCTCTGGTTCACTAAATCTCTCAGAATTTGGACCTTCGGCATTTTCTCTCAAATAACCTGATCTTTGCTCGTAAATTACGTCGGGGCCCCGTCTACTTCCAAGAAAGTTTGCTCAATGGAAATCGATTTACATTTCAGGCTCGAGACATAATCCACTAAACAGTTTATGAACACGTTATGTCTGTTGGAAGGTAGCTAACTTGTTAGCATGGGTAAGAACACCATAGACATAATAAAAGATAGACCCCGCATCGGCCGCTACCACGAATGGGCGCTGTCGAGAAATGCGGCCGCCATCTTGGTCCGGTCATCCGCCTCACTCTGCACCGCTGTTTAACCGGCGGAATGAAGTCTGAGCGCATTAAATGAATCATAGTTCGCTCAATACTACGTAATTTTCTTCTCTGCAAACGCCATTCAAAGAGGCATAATAGAGGCTTTATTTTTTTTTGGCGTTTTCAAATACTCAGAATGAATAAAATGATAATTTAGAACATGGCAGCAGTGGCTGTATTATAGTATAACAATTAATCAAGGATATATCTAGGTTTAGAGCTAGGTTCCTGCTATGTCTCAATAATTATTAATAACTGGCGGTTTTAATAGGCCGATTCAATATATATTGATTTGATGTTATTTTATTTAGTTTAATTTTATTTATCCATTTGTAGACACACACAAATAATGTCATATAGAAGCACTATTTTAATAACTGGAAAATACACACAAAGAAATACACACAAATATATAGCCTACATATCAAAAAAATTTAAACACAAGAACAGCATGACAGGACAGCATCTAAACTACATATCAATTTGCTTGTTGGCTACACAGCACAGAGGAATCACTTGCTGCGAATTTCTCCCTCTAACAGCAATCTCCCACTTCTTCCTCAAGTTTTTGTCCTTAGGAAATCTTCAAAATGAAACAGGAGATCACCACAAAGAAATCTTTAATAAAACAGAGCTCACTTTCTTCCTTCTTCTTTCTATTTTGTTTCTTAACGTTTCTTAGAACCTCTCTCAAACAAAAGTTTTTCAATCTAATGCAAATCTGTTGATAATAGAGCAAAGTTGCTATTATTGTGAATAAGCTAGCTGTTCGCAAATGCTGTTTCCTTTTTGGAGTTGACCGATAGTCTTCCTCTTTGGCCTACAAATGACTCTACAGTCAAGTGTAATGTTGAAAAAACGTTTAATCATAACTGTGAAAAGTTATTTCTTGAGCCCTGTTCTCTGCTGTCCGCCTGTTGGCACAGGAATACGCCGCACAGTGCTCCGGCATCGCTGAATGAATGAATGAATGAATATGATTGACCGGAGCGTATGGGAAGCTTGACCTGACCAAGATGGCGGCCGCATTTCTCGCTGCGCAGCACCCCCAGCGGGGTCTACCCTTTTATTATGTCTATGAAGAACACGATAACAACGCGTTTTTCTTCTTCACTTGAGTAGCGCCTGACAAACAGAGTAAAGACCAATTACCGCCTCCTAGCGGACTGGAGGACAGAGCAAAATGTTCACTTTAAATGGGCTGTGTTAGTTAAGCGTTTTCCAAGGTCTTTGACCACATAATAATAATAATAATAATAATAATAATAATAATAATAATAATAATAATAATAATAATAATAATAATAATAAGTCAAGACTTAGTTAAGGGTGAAGAGCTAACTTGAAAGCCACAAACCTACTTACTTACCGAAGTACTTACTGACTTATTTGTTTACTATTACCTGGTTACTTATCGAATCCTTCACTTTCAATTTTCATACTAGTAGTTTCGTCATTTTTAAAAAATTATTTCCAGTCCAGCAGTTGGCGGTAATACACTTTCGTCTCTGCAAACCAACGAAGAAGAAATGCTGCATTCACTCCAACGATGTTTGCACAGCGAAGAAGAGACGGTGGCAGCAGTGCGAGTATCAGGATGGTTAGTTACTCTATGGAGACGGTGTGTCAGGTGGACAAAGGATTATCTTATCCTTTTTTTATGTCATTATATTTAACATCTAAAGTGGACTGAACTGTCGCCAGTTTAAACCAAAACCTTGTTTGTTTGGTTTCAACAGACGGGATCAACGTCGCCGTAAAACGCCTTTTTAAGGTTTCAGTCTGGAGGTAACGCCTTAATGTGGGGAAATGAAATAATGTCTAAAGTCCAAGAACTGAGAGTTTTTGTGAACCAGAGACTGAGTGCAGCTGCTGAGGAGATCTTTGAGCTGTTTGAAAGAACGATATTAGAGTACGAGGAGAAACTCTGTGGATCTAAAGAGAATCAACACAAACTTGTGGAGGCTGTTTTTAACCCTGAAGTCCGCTTAAACAGAGCAGGTTTGGACTAATTTTATTTAAAACTTTGTCTCCCCCAGATCTAATCAATATATCAAATTTATCTATTTACTTTAAACAACACCAGTCTGTAGTGGTGTATTTATAATATTTAGAACAAGGTCCATTTATCCAAAGAAAATACTTATCCAATCCACTTTATTTATATCATATTTTAAAAAACATTCAAGTTCACCAAAGTGCTGCACAATAAATTTAAAAGAACAGAAAATGCTGAAAACATCAAGATGAAATAAATAAATGCAGGTTAAAAAAACCCCAATTAAAATGAAATAAAATAAATAGAATAAAAACAAAATAAATAAAACTGATAAAAGGACAGAGATCACACAACTCTCATGCTGAGCTAAAAGCCAAGGAATAAAAACGAGTTTTAAGACGTTTACTGAGATGGTCTTCGGTCAAAAACAAACATATGTTTTGTTTCTCTCAGCTGTTTCAACCTTATTTTTTATTTTACTCCTTCGGGAAATGTTTGCTTGAAAAGGTTCAGTTCTTTCAACTTTTTATATTTGTCTCATTTTTTGATGTCTTGTTTTTTGTTCACAGACATTCAGCAGCTGCTGGTGAGTAAAATGGAAGTTTCCTCTGAGCTGGAGGAGAATCCAGACCAGGAGGAACCGGATAAACCCCCACACATCCAAGAGGAATGGGAGGGACCGCAGCATGAAGGAGTGAAGGCGGCTGGTAACAGCACATCCACCTCTGCCTCAGTCCCTGTAAAGACTGATGAAGATGAGGAGAAACCTCCGTCCCCACAGCTCCATCCAGGTCAAATAAACAGTAAATAACTTGAAGTTATTTATCTTGTGAAAATGCAAAGTGAGTGGTGTGCTTTTGGTTTGTGAAGCATGAATGAAAACTGTTTTGTAAGAGATGTATGAATTTTGTGTTAAAAGTTTATTGAATTTCCTTTGTTTCCACAGGTGTCCAGCAGCTGTTATTGAGTGAAACAGTGACACCCCCTCATCAGCAGGACAGGACTCCCACTCGAGACCAGAAGGATCCACTAAAACAACTCATTAAAGAGGAACAGTATGAACAGGTGGGACTGTGGATCAGTCAGGAGGGACAGCAGCTTCAAGGAGCAGAGGAGGCTGAGATAAAGTTTGCCTCTCATCCTGATGCTCTGAAAGGTGATGAAGTTTATGAAGAGGAGAAACCTCAGACCTCACAGCTTCATAAAAACCAAACTGAAGAGGACAGAAACACAGAGGCTGATAACGAGGACTGTGGAGAATTAGAGGAGACTGGAGACTCCTCAGATTCGGATACTGATGACAGTGGTGATTGGGAGGAGACCCGTGAACCTCAATCTGGTTCAGACCCTCAGCAAAACAGAGAAGTATCTGACAGTAATATTGGAGAAGCATCAGAAGATGTCTCAGGTGGTGCTGCATGCGCGAGGGGAAATCCCAAGACTTCAGACAAAGCCTATACATGCAAAGTTTGTGGTAAAACATACCAGCAGGAGTGGTACTATAAGAAACATTTCAGCAGAGTACATCCAGATGGGAAATATTTTCCCTGCCTAGTCTGCAAAAGAACATTTCACAGACCAAACAGGGTCGTGATCCACATGAGAAAACACACCGGGGAGAAACCTTTTAAATGTTCTTATTGTGAACTAGCTTTTTCAAGCAAATTCAACTTAAAGGCACACGTGACGGTTCACACAGGAGAGCAACTTTTCTCCTGCCCAGTTTGTCAGAAATGCTACAGGTACCGAGGCTCTTTGGACAAACACAAGCAAGCTCACACAGGACTAGCACCGACCTGCTCGTTTTGTCAAATAAGTTTCCCGACTAAAAAGAAGTATTACAACCACCTGAGAATCCACGCCAGGGAGAAACCATTCAGATGCTCCATTTGTGACAAAAGTTTCTCAAAAAAAGACACCTTAGACTGCCACTTGACGATCCATAAAAAGGAGAAACTCTTCTATTGCGGTGTTTGTCATAAAAATTATACTATGGGCTACGGCAAACGTCACAAATGTAGGGTAAAAATAATCAACTTGGCTAAAAAGCACAAATGTAAGGTGAAAAAAGTTCAGTGTAATGCTTGTAACAAAAGTTTTACTCCCTTTTGGGCAAAAAAACACAAATGTAAGGTGAAAGAAGCCAGCAGGCCGAAAAGAGTCTGGTGCAATGCTTGTAGTCGAAACTTTACTCCCTATTGGGCAGAAAAACACAACTGTAAAGGGAGGAAAGTGAAGACAAGAGAAGTTACAGGAGGGGGTTCAAACTTAAGCACTCAGCAGGAACCATCTGAGCTCCATGAGGAAGTCTTAGACCCTGTTCAGAGCTTATATCAACATGTGATGTTTAGTGGTCAGAAGATAATGGAACAGCTTCAAGCAGGAGCGTTCATCCCATCCATGAACCATGAGTCTGCAGAGACCACTAGTTTTGGATCTTGGTATCCAGGTAGCACAGAGTCTTACACAAACATTAAATGACGGTAAACTGCTTACTCAGAGAGAAGTCTGCACGCTCACCTTTACTCTGATATGTCACCTATAATATTGTGTGCACTGCAATATTTTGAGCAAAACTGCTATTACTCTGCTAATTGATCCTTCACACTCTGCTCTTACTGGTGCAATGTGCAATCAATGAAGACTGGCCACCAGGCCGGTCAAATTGAGCCATGAAACCTCCAACACTAAATTGGCAGGTGTTTCAGTTTCATTGTCCAACCCCTGTATATGTGTAGGCATCTCGAAGACTCCAAAATCAGGCAACTGAAGTATAGAGTTGAGGAGACGTTTCACCGCTTATCCAAGAAGCTTCCTCAGTTCTAAAATCGCCAGTGAGGGAAGCAGGTATTTCTCTTATTGGAGAAGGGGAAAAGGTGGAGTTAGCTTATCCAAGAAGCTTCTTGGATAAGCTGCGAACGTCTTCTCAACTCTACACAGTCCAGTTGCCTGATTTGGAGTCTTCGAGATAACCATGACCTGGATGAATGAGAATCTACATGTATAAGCATATTTCTATTTTTTCCCTGCTTAATTTCCTACTATACTCCAACCCAGTAGGTGGCGCTAATGCGTCTTAAGCTGGTTGCCAACCGCCAATAAAACGAAGAAAAACACGTGTAGTAACTTCGTTTTTGTGCTAACTCCACCTTCACATCATCGAAGTAGCTCAATCATCAGGTCAGATTTCATGGATAGGGTCGTTTTAAGTAGATTTGCCATTGTAACCTATCATCTTTGAGCCCTGGACGTTAACACCGTGTTTTTTTGGCAACTTATCAAGATTTTTACAATAGAAACATCAATGTTCAAGACGTTAGCATAGCTTATTGTCAGGAAATAGACTGAGGCGACAGTCGGTTGCTCATGGAGAGAACCTTAATGTGGAATCTTAAACCGACTTGGTTGCTTTCATTGCTTTAAAATTACAAAAACATGTTTTTGTTGTCCTCTGATATATCCAGTAAAGTCATGTATTGATAACGCAATGTTAGCATGCTAGCAGGAAATAGACGGGGGGCCAGAGTAGCGACCGGCGGTTTTTATAGGGGTGTGTTTAGATAATCAGATCCTCTTAATCTTTAAAAATGTCCAAAGTCCAACAACTGAGAGTTTTTGTGAACCAGAGACTGAGTGCAGCTGCTGAAGAGATCTTTGAGCTGTTTGAAAGAACGATATTCGAGTACGAGGAGAAACTCTGTCGATTTAAAGAGAATCAACACAAACTTCTGAATGCTGTTTACAACCCTGAAGTCCGCTTACACAGAGCAGGTTTGGACTGTTTTGTTGATATTCTGACTTTAAACTGTCTACCAATGGATTTGTCTGTTTTTATATGAAACTCCTGGTTTCAAGACTGAAATTCAACATTTCTCCACCTGTTTTCAGGAAATTCAGTTCAATCAAAATTGTGGTTGATTGTTTCCTACAGAGTTCGAGCAGCTGTGTACAAAAGAAGAGGTTCTTCCCGAGCAGAAAGTGGACCCACCAGAACCACTCCAGGTTAAAGAGGAACAGGAGGGACTATGGACTTTGGAGCAGCCTGAGAACAAAGGGGGAGCTGATGTTGTTGAGTTCACATTGACTTCTGTCCTTGTGAAGAGTGAAGAAGATGATGGTGAGAAACCTCAGCGCCTACAACTTCGTGAAAACCAAACTGGAGAGACTGGACACACACAGCATCTGAGAACAGAACAGAACTTTAATTCAGACAGTCATTTAGATTCAGTCACACATGAAGAAGAGACCGTAAACTCCTCTGACGGTGAGAGAAGTGACTCTGATTATGTCGGGGAGGGGACCAGTGAACCTCAGACACGTGTAAAACCTACAAGTGATGCAGAGTGTAACACTGGAATAAAATTAATTAACTTCTTTCCTTGTGTTACAGATTGTGTCTCAATTAAACAACTGCAGACACAAGTTAGAATCCGAACAGAGGATAAACCATTTCCTTGCTCTGTCTGTGGTAAAAGATACCCCCTGGAGAAATCTTTAAAGAAACACATGAGACGTCATTGGAAAGAAAAACATTTTAGCTGTTCAGTGTGCAAAAAAAGTTTCCCATGGAGAGGAGAGCTTGTGGTACACATGAGAATCCACGCGAGAGAGAAACCATTCAGCTGTTCAGTTTGTGGTAAAAGATTTGCACGGAAAAATCTAACTCGACACATGAGAACGCACACTGGAGAGAAACCATATAAATGTTCACTGTGTGGTAAAAGATTTGCACAACATGCAACTTTTACCTGTCACTTAAAGGTTCATACGAAAGAGAAAGCATATTTTTGTTCAATTTGTGGTAGAGGGTTTGCACATAGTCAAACTTTGAAGCGACACTCAAGAGTACACACGGGGGAGAAACCTTTTAGTTGTGAAATATGTAATAAAAGATTTGCTCGTCTCCAAAGTGTCAAAAAACACAAATGTGTTGTTGTCGAGGGCAGCAAAGACAAATGAAGCCACTTTAAAAGAATCAGTGAAAGAAGAGATAACAGTTTTAAAAACCTGGGGGAGAATTTAGAAGATTTATTTTATTTTTAGTCAGTATGACACCACCCAGTCATGCCAGTTGTATTTTCACTCATTAATTTGTCTGTGCCTCTGGTAGAATTTGTATGACACCAAATGTCTTTACAACTCTAATATTATTATTTTTAATTTGTTGTATTTAAATGAGAATCCTGAATAAAATGATTGTATTTGCAACACAAGAACAAGATTTATCTTCAATACCATAAGTTTCATAGACAGTGAGTAATGTCAAAATGAAGCGCCTAGTCTTCATGGAGCAGAGAAGAACATTATTCATTCATCGGTGTTACAGTGTGTTTGACCCCAAATTAATTTTACACTAGAATATCCCTTTAAATCATTTTCACTTTGCAACAGTATTGGGTCAAATGGAGAGTGCACGGGCAGTAGTTCACTTTCTTTTAACGACAGACCTTTACAGCAGAGTAAAGGCCTCAGATGATGAACTGCAATAACGTGTAGCCGTCGGTATGTGGCAGCAGTGCACCAGGTTGTGCCTAATCTGCTGAAAGTCGAAGTAGAAGAAGATGAACGCGGGGCAGTTACTTCGGTTTCATGCTAACTCCACCTTTACATCATTGATGTTGCTAAATCAGCAGATCAAAATTCATGTATGGGGTAGTTTTTGGTAGATTCATCATTTTAACCTATCATCTTTAAGACCCGGACGTTAATACGGTGTTTCTTTCTCGGCAACTTAACATTTCTACAATGAAAACATGAATGTTAAAGAGGTTAGCATAGCTTATTGTCAGGAAATAGACTGAGGCGACAGTCGGTTGCTCATGGAGAGAACCTTCATGTTATGTCCGTTCTTCGTCGATCTGGACATCCAGAGAAATCTTGAACAGACCTGGTCATTTTTACTGTTCTAGAAGAAAAACAATTAACGTTATCTCCACCTCTGTTATATTCAATAAAGTGATGTATCGCTAACGTAATATTAGCATGCTAGCAGGAAATAGACAGAGGTCAGAGTAGCGACCAACGGTTTTTATAGGAGTGTTATTTAGAAAATCTGATCATCTTATTCTTTAAAAATGTCCAAAGTCCAAGAACTGAGAGTTTTTGTGAACCAGAGACTGAGTGCAGCTGCTGAAGAGATCTTTGAGCTGTTTGAAAGAACGATATTAGAGTACGAGGAGAAACTCTGTGGAGCTAAAGAGAAACAACACAAACTCCTGAACGCTGTTTACAACCCTGAAGTCCGCTTACACAGAGCAGGTTGGTACTATCTCCTTTTTGTGCTCTTTTTGAACAGTTAACAGAAAATACCTGAAGGTTTTTATAAGGGAAAATGAGTGGGGTCATGTCCACCCCTCCCACAGCAACCTACACGGTATCCCTCACCCTGTTTCTTCTGGTAAAGATAGAAAAAGATAAATAGATAGATAGAAGATAGAAAAAAGCTGATAGTGAGTGTTGATTGAAAACAAATTTTATTAGTTAATCCTTGATTTGGTTAAATTAAAGTGTAAGCATCATCTTTGTCAACCTAGGATGACACTAATGTTTCTGGATAGGTTTCCATCTTCCTGCTGTGTTTTTACTACGGCCAGACCGATATGGAATGTTTGGGGCCGGGGCTGATGCCGATACCGATTATTAGGAAGGAAAAAAATCTGATTACCGATTAATCGGCCGATTATTAAAATTTTAAAAAAAGTTATAAAACGCAGACAGGAAGTATATATATATATATATATATATATATATATATATATATATATATATATATATATGTATGTATGTATATAGTAGAAATCAACAGTATACTGCTCTTTACGCCGACAAGAAGACAGACTGATTTACGGTTCGGTCTCATCTGGAGACATGCAGCTGCCTCAGTAAGAGAAGTAGCTCGCCATCTACAGGAAAAGTCGGGGAACTTTTCAAATGGTGGAACATTTTCAAAGTGAATTCTCTGCATTTCATTTCTGAAAATATTGGCAAAAACCGGCAAGTTTTGGCTGATTACCGATTAGTCTCAAACGGGCTAAAATTGGCCAATTTCACCGTCTCGCCGATAGATCGGTCGGCCCCAGTTGTAAGAGTGTTGTGTGGTGGTGGTAGGAGAGGCCACGTTTACGTCAGTCTGGCCCAGGTCAGCTGTGACCAGGGTGTGACTGAGTGAGTGAATGATGTATCCAATGTAAAGCGCTTTTAGGGTCTCTGATAGAGCACAATGTGAAATCTGATGCATTATTATTATTATCATGTACAAGAAGGCTGTGCTTTAAGTGGTAAGCACAGGAAATACTGAAGCTTTTCTGCTCTTCATTGTTCTCTGTAGACTACCAGCACCTGTTATTGAGAAAGAGAGAAGTTCCCCCTGAGCAGCAGCATCAGCAGCAGCAGCAGCAGCAGGAGGAGGACCCCGGTGTTGACCAGGAGGACCCACCAGAACCATCACACATTAAACAGGAACAAGAGGAACTGTGGAACGGCCAAGAGGGAGAGCAGCACCAACGACCGGAGGAGGCTAATATCAACACGATTGTATTCAGTCCTGTCCCTGTGAAGAGTGAAGAGGATGATGATGATGTGAAGCCTCAGTCTTCTCAGCTTTATGAAAGTCAAACTGAAGAGAACAGAGACACAGAGCAGGTTAAAACTGATGCTGAGAACCGTCCAGGACCAGAAACGGACATGAACTTTTATCAAGACAGTGGTTTTCAACCTGCACCTCTTATGGAGACATCACAGTTCACTCAGTGTGAACCATATTACATGAACTGGTACTATGATCACACCAGTGAACATCAGTCAGGTTTCAATTCAGTACAAAACAGAGAATTTCCTTTAGTTGATACGAAATACAAAACTCCACCGGCCAGCTCTTCTGAATTTGCTCCAAGCTTTTGTGAAAAGGAACAACTGCAGAATCACAACAGAATTCCAGTTGAAGAAAAACCATTTGTTTGTTCAGTTTGTGGTCAAAGATACCGATATAAACACACACTAAACATTCATATGAGACTTCATTCAGAAGGCAAGCACATCAAATGTCCTGTTTGTAAAAAATCATTCCTGTGGCAAGCAGAAATTGAGCGGCACATGAGGACTCACACAGGAGAGAAACCATTCAGCTGCCAGTTTTGCGGTATGAGGTTCGCAGTGAGCTCCAACTTGAATTCACATTTGCAGGTTCACACAGGAGAGAAACCTTTCAGCTGCTCAGTCTGTAAAGCAAGTTTTCGCCGCAGGGAAGGACTGGAGAGACACATGAAGACTCATACAGGGGAGAAACCATACAGCTGTACGATCTGTGGCAAACGTTTCATACAACATGTCACTCTGAAACGCCACGTGTTGGTCCACACAGGGGAGAAACCATACAGCTGCAACATTTGTGATAAAAAGTTCTCTCGGTCTGAATATGTAAAAACCCACAAGTGTGTTGGTGAGAGCAGCGGGAGTCAGTTGAGCTGAAGTGACGCCTTTGAAACCAGGTTTTTTTTAATGTCCCAGGTCTGAGACTCTGGTAACAGTTTAACTCTAAACTATTTTATCTAGTGATGAAACTTAAATCTGTTGAAACACCAGTCTTTATATGGGCAACCATGTTTTTGGTGTAACAGTAATTTGTTGATTTATTCTGCATTTGAAGGGCTGACTACAATTCAGCCAAAAACTACTTTGAAATGTGTTTTTAAATAAAATAACTTGACCTGCTGTCCAATTTAGTATTTTTCTTTGTACTTGCAATAATAAAATTCTGAACAAACTTTATTCACTCAAATATCAAGTAAAAAATAATTGAGCTTGTATTTGTACAGTTACTGGGGACAGTAAAAATGTTTAGAGAGATGACTCACTCAACCATTTGTCTTAGTCAGAGGACTCATGAAAAAATTAATTAGCTGCACATCTTCAAGTGACTTTCAACACATATTTTTCAGATCTTGTCGTTTTAGTTTGTGGAAGCAAAGGGAGGAGATTTTCTGTTAATTGACTAATAAATAAATCACCCCAGTTCTTATTTGACTGAACCTCAGTCAGTTTAATTTAGAGAAGACATAAAATACATGCATCACATGTCAGAAGCCTGCTGTCTTCTCTGCACCTAAATCTTCATATCAAAGTAAAATGACCTTTTAAATGTGAAATGTATGTTACCGTCTCTAAATGTAATAAATGTGTGAATTTTATCCCACAACACTCAGATGGAGAGATGACTCTTGGGTTGTCTTACATTGTAGTATTTAGTTTTTACACTGATCACAATCGGATTTCCCTTAACTGAAACAACCTCCGCTCTCGAGAACTGAAGCTGATGTAAAAACACCCATTACAAAATATCCTTACAGCAAAAAATAATTGTATTTACACCCTGAAACTACTTCAGATCATTACAAATGGGGCCCAGTCAAGGTGAAAGTCAAAAGCATTGGTGCTACTGTAGATGCCAACAGACTATCAGCAAACACAATGTTTGCAGGACTTCTACAACGAGGATAAAGTGACATAGTCCAGGACCCGAGGGAGGACAGTTTAGCGATGGCGCTACAACACGCTACAGCAGGTCCGTTTGACAAGAAACACTTCTGTTACAGACACTTGTCTTACTTTGTTAAAGCGGTTTACCTGTCCAGCAGAAAGGTTACAGGGTCACCAAGATCCCCAAGCGTCCCCCATCGTTTATGTTGACCCGGCTTTTTAGCTCTTGTCCGGTCTACCTCCGTTTTAAGCGCCCGTTATTCCTCCAGAGTCTCCGGTATTTACTTTGTTTTCTTGCTTGTGTCGGCAGTCGTGGCCAAAGGAGGATTCAGACAATTTTCCGAACTTTCTGGTTGGTTTCTACTGTCCGATATTGTAGCACGCTAACTTTGTTTGGGCTCCTGAACGACACGGGGGAGCAGCATCTGCCTCACAACCAATCATGTTAGAGGAGGTGGAGAACGGCTTTGTTTACAGTCAGAAAGAGCGGACCGCTCAAAAATGTTCAAATGTTGACGACACAGACATAAGAGAACACAGAGATATCGATATATTACCAAATGTCATCAATAACTAATAACTATTGACTGATATTAGAAGATTTTTGTAAATACACCACAAATAAAGTTGCTTCTTGAACAGATTCCTACCTACTCCACCTTTAACTACGTTCAAGAAGTGTAATCCGGTGGGGTTGTTGTTTAAGTAACATCTCATATCGCTAGATGGCGGCAGTGCGCCCAAAGATTACTACTCCTACTCCTTATTGGATCAGAGAAGAAGAAATGCCCTGGTGTGTGGTGCTTTTCAGGAGTATTGCTCGTGCAGCCATGGCCCAACATAAATTCATAGGTAAGACTCTGGTTTAGTGTTTTAAGCTCTATAACAACACAACATGAAGAGAGTGAGGAAGATTATTTGTTTTTCTGCCCTCGAGTCTTTAAAATTAACCCTCAAGTCTGCACGTTTAACATAGGAGCTGTTTCTGTCAAAGTGAAAACAGTAAATATGAACAAAGAGTGACATTATATTGGGTATAAGAGACAGGTAATGACTGTAAAAGGTGAAAAATGAAAACGAAGTGATGTCTTCTTGAATCTGTGTCATTGTGCTGCAACTTGATAAACTTGTGTCTCCTGTGTTTGTTTGTTTCTTCAGATATCGGTGTGAACCTGACTGACCCCATGTTCAGAGGACTCTACAGAGGGAAGCAGAAACACGACGGTGAGACACTTTTCTGACTCTGATCAAGTTTCTGATTTAGTTGTTAAGTTTGTCTTTAATCAGCTGTTTTCTTTGACAGATGACTTCAACCAGATCATTGACAGAGCTGTTCAAACCGGAGTGGAGAAGGTAAGCCAGGTGTTTCCCTCAATCATGTCAATCAAATTCTATTTATAGAGCCCCGATTCACAACAGTCGTCATCTGAAGACACTTTCCAAAGAACAGGAGCAGGTCTAGACCACGCTCTTTGTTTGATGAATGATCAAGACCCAACCTAAGATGGGATTTGGTCCATCTCGTCTTCCTTTGAACAGGCAGAAACCTTGGGTAGGAGCATGTAAATACACTCAGTATTACTGGTAAAACACACAGACGATGGGATATCTTTGCAGTGTTCCTTCTATGTCTTTGCATTGCATTGCCTTGTAATTTCATGTTCCTCTGGAGGTAAATCCTGATGAATTTGGTCTTCTGAAATGTTCCACCATCGCCATCCTCAGACTGAAGATCTCATCAGTCCAAAACTTTAGAAATGACAAGTTTGGCTGATAAGAGCAAATTTCAGCAAACTTAATATGTGGAACATGATAAACAGGACATAAACTGAACATCCACATCATTGTTATTGTAATATTGGTGCCCTGCTGGACTAAGTACAGCCTCTGCAGACTCCCGCCATCATTCAAAGTCTTTACGCTTCTCTGTAGTCTGTGAGTGAAATGACATTTGCTGCTTCGTTACAGTTTATGATCACAGCAGGAAACCTTGAGGACAGCAAAGAGGCCCTGAAATTAGCAGAAACTAGAGGTAAGGATGAAAAGAACCAACACATACCTGATAGTGAAGTACAACATCCAGGTTTTCAGTGTTCATTTTTTATTCCTTTTTATGATCAAAATTAATTTAATCTACCTGATTATTTCTTCCACACTACACCTCTCTGACTTTAAGGTTTTATATTCTTTTCTGACAGAGGATTTTTACTGCACTGTCGGCTGCCACCCCACCCGCTGCAGTGAGTTTGAGCAGAACGGAGAGACTGAGTATCTTTCAGGGCTGAGGGAACTGGCGACGGCACACAGAGGGAAGGTGGTAGCCGTGGGAGAGTGTGGACTGGGTGAGTACTGATAATGGTTTCTCTTTTTCTTTTGTTCATAACAGAGAAAACAATATTTAGTTCTTTTTCATTATTTGCTGATTAAAGATGTATATTTGGATACTGATTATAGCTGTTAGCTTTCTTTGTGTCTGAATGTGCTCCCTGTCTGTATTCTCACTCCAGATTTTGACCGGTTGGAATTTTGTCCAAAGGAAACTCAGCTCAAGTAAGTTGAACAGGTTGTATTGCTTTTCAAAAGCTGATCTTAGTTTTCTAGAAATAACATAAAGATTTAAATTAAAACTCTATAAAATATGGATTTAACTACTTTCATCTCTGGATACATGTTGATTTTAGGGACTCTTCCAAGAGTCTAAATAATCAAAAATTTCCTTGTTTTTCTCTGCTGCTTTGGTTTTGACTGTAACAGGTACTTTGAGAAACAGTTTGACCTTGCAGAGGAGACCAAGCTCCCCATGTTCCTGCACTGCAGAAACTCCCATCAGGAGTTCATCGGTACGTTTGAGCTCCACAGACCTGGAAACTTTTAGACTGTTTCTGTCTTGACATTTCTTTTTCTCTGGATTTACAGACGTCATGAAGAGAAACAGAGACAGATGTGTTGGAGGAGTGGTGAGGATCTTTGCGTTTACCTTTTGAACTCTTGGGCATGTTCTGTTTGTAGAAATTACATAAGAGAGCGTTATGCTTCACTGTTTTATTCTAACGTTGCTCGGGTACTTTGGTGCAGAAATAAGAAAAAAAACTCACCAAAGTGTTTTTTTTTCCAAAATGTCACCAGGGCTATTTTATTTTATTTTGAAGCTGTGAGCAAAGTCATAGAAGAGATTGATATGTGGCTAAATCTCACTCAGTTACTGCAGGATATCGGAGGGAAATAAGTTTAATAATTAAAGTCAAATCTGGATAAGAAGTTTGTTTATGGTTTGTGTTATTATAACAGTAAGATAACTTGAACTAACCCATTCCCATTTGCTTCAAAAACCTTAAAAGAAAATGTAGGGGGAAAAGTTTGTAGAGAAATGAATAGGCTGGGGTCATTTCTATCTTCAGGTCCATTCCTTTGATGGGACTGCTGAAGACGCTGCTGCACTCATTGACCTGGACCTTTATATTGGCATTAATGGATGGTGAGCCAAACCCCGTCTCCTCCCTCCTCCTTGGAGCTCAAAGACTCAGACTTCAATCTTAACTTAACAAAGACCAACGATATGAACACTTTTTTGTTCAAATCTGATTCATACCTGAGCTCAAATTTCTTTCCCAATCATTTCTGATTAAAATAGAAGAGAAATTCTTATTTGAACATTTTAACGTAAAACTGAAATAGTATTTGTGTTTTATTTATTTTTTTCAGTTCCTTGAAAACAGAAGCCAACATAGATGCGATGAAGTCTGTCCCGACTGAGAGACTGATGATAGAAACAGGTGAGTCAGAGCCGCTTTCTTGGACTGATCAGGGTTTACGACAAAAGACAGGAGCGCTGAACGATAAAAAAGAAGAAATGATTGTACATTATCATTTATTGTGTGGTGAGAAACCCTGATTCTCCAGTGGTCTGGGTCCAGAATGACAGTTTTACAACATTTGCTTCGTTACTTTCATACTTGATTATTGAAGCTGCATGTCGTAAATTATTCTAATCCAAGCTGTCTGTCTTTTTGTTCTGTTTATAGGTTGAATTATGTGCTGTTATTGTTATTGGTCTGCTTACAAAGACTGTTAAAATGCCTAATACATTCATGCACCTTCTTAGACGCTCCTTGGTGTGGAGTGAAAAACACCCACGCAGGCTCCAAATACATTAAAACGACATTTCCCACAAAAAAGAAATGGGAGGCCGGGCACTGTCTGAAGGACAGGAACGAACCCTGTCACATCATGTGAGTAAGACTTGGACAGTAGATTCTGTGTAGAGCTGAGTACATCAGCTGATCAGTTCTAACAATTTGTACATCCTCTTTGTGTTTCTGTTTTTGATTTATATTTGACTGTTTTTCCTTTCTCTCTTCCTTTTTATGTCTATTCAAGACAAGTCCTGGAGGTGATGGCAGCAGCAAGAGAAGAGGACCCGCTGGAGCTCGCCAACACAATCTATAACAACACCATCAAAGTTTTCTTCAGCTCCAGTTGATAAAGAGTCAGGTTTACCCGAATACAGTCATGCTGTTAGGACCTGATTTTACTTCCAGGCCCTGAAGGAGGCTCCTTTTTAACAGAACATCTGGAGGGAAAAACTCTCCTATTGGCACTTTTGGAAGTTCAAATGGTTCCAAATCAGGGAAATTGTCTTAATTGGTGTGTTTATCTTGAACATTTTGAACAAGGGTACGACAAAGGCTAAGGGGTGGAATTGGGATTGGCTGTAAAAACTTAGTCCACAAAAAAGACCAGAAATTGTCCTTTTGGGCACATCATCAAAATGGAAACTAATTGAAAATAAACCTTTCAAAAAGTGAAATTTGTTGTGCATTTTATTTACATAAATAACGTTTTATTCTGAGATGTAGTGCACTGCATTTTAATCAACAAAAAACTGTATGTTGCCGGTGCGCGTGACATTAATTTGACATCGACTGACAAGATTTTATTTTTTTATTCAAACATGTGCAGGTAACACCAAAAAAAAAACTGAGAACAAACATAACCAGTGAGAATATTCAAATCAACAATAACAATAATCAAAGCAAAAAAAAAAGTTTAAATTAAATTAAATTAAATTAAATTAAAAAGAAAACTAACAGTAATACTGCGAACCCGACATGTCTGAAAGGAGTAGGATGAAGCATTATGTTTTTTTTTTTAAACCTACCCCCTAAATTATATTAACAAAAAATACAACATAAGTGCTGTAGAGTAAAAATGACACGAACAATAAAACAAAGACACAGGAACACATTAAAAACAGGGGGACAGAGATGGTTCAGTAAGAACATGATTAGAAAAACGTGAGCATATATAAGGAGAACAGGACTGGGCCAAAAATAGAGCCTTGGGGAACTTCACATAGGAGAGGAGCTGAGGAGGAGGAGGAGGAGGCATCACCAAAGCTGACAGAGAAGCTCCTGTCAGCCAGGTCTGACCTAAACCACTCCAGGACAACACCTTTAACCCCCACGCACAATGTTCAAGGCGAGAAATTAAAATGTTGTGATCCACAAAAAAAGATCTGAAAGCAGAAGAAGAGCTGAATCCCCAGAATCAGTGAGCAATAAAAGATCATTAAAAACCTTTAAAAGTGCTGTTTCACTGCTTTCTGTGCTTTAAACCCAGATTGAAACACCTCGAGGATTCTTTTTCTGTCTAAAAATGATTGCAGGAGTAGACTATAAACAACTTTCTCCAGGATCTTAGAGAGGAAGGGGAGTTTAGAGATCGGTCATTAAGTACATTAATCAGGTATCTTAATTATTATCTATGAAATCAGATAATTTAACCAGATAATTTCGCCCTCTGTTCGAAGCTTTTTTTTTACTTTAAAAACTTGAAGACAAAACGAAATAAAATAATTGATTTGATAATATTTTCGGTAACTTTTCATGGTGAGACACTGAGGAGTACCGGTAGGTGGCGGTAACACCTCGAATGAAAACCGCCTGTAATTGAACAGCCGAAGAAGAAGCAACAGGAGGTTGAGTTGGTGGACATGGCGGACGACAGCAGGTTCACCGCCATCAAATAAACACCAGGCAAAGCGAAACCGAAGAGGGCAGACAGCTGCTGGAGGAGGAGGACTGACAACCATTTTAATGTTACATGGATAGGCCAGATTCCCCAGGACTGTGAGGCCTCCACTGAAGCCGCATGGCGTCCACTCAAGCCCGGATCGGCCAGCAGGCCTTAGCGGTGCTGGATGTGGCTCTGCGAGTTCCCTGTATCTTTATTATCGACGCCATTTTTAACTCCTACTACGACCCAGGTTCGGGATGGGCCGGTGCCATGGGGAAGGTTCTGGTCAGGGTCATGGGTATGTATTTTAAAGTCTAGTAAACGAGGTTCCGGTTCTGGAAACAACAGCCGAACTGACAGCTAACTCGCTAACTAGCTGGCTCTGAGCCGAGAGTGAAGTTATGTCACCTGTCCGATCGAATAAAGCCGACTTAACCGCCAGCGCCGATATCAGTACGAGTCCGATCAGTTTCACACAGTGTTGTTGTTGTTGTTGTTGTGTGTAGACCTCTAAAGTGTGTTATTACTGTGAAATCGAACAGTAGAGAGGTTAGTTAGTAAAGGTTGCAGAGTAATAGTGACCCAGCTGGAGTCACACAGGAAGTCCTTAAGTGGTCATGACGGAATATTCTGGTATTCTGTTTAAATAACAACTTAAACTACCTTTACTTTCATTTATTTTCATTTCTTTAAAACAAAACAAAGTGGTCTGTCACCTTGAGTCCTTTGACCAGGTGTGTTGAAACCAGCTGACCTTAAAAAGTCGTTTATTACAGATGGTCACTCAGAACTGGGGTTGGGCAATCAGCTGCAATTAAAACCTTATTACAATACAAGTGTAAACAATGTTACCCGGGCGACAGTTGAACGGAATGATAAGTCGGTGAAACCGGTTAGTTCGGGCATTTTGATACATAATTTAAAGCATTAGGACTGAAGAACAGTTACTACCCACATGCAGTTCGCTTACTTAACTCCTGACAGAACCACTCTGTGCAATAACCCACTTACCTGTGCAATATCATCTGTCATGTGCAACACAGCCATTATTTATCATGTGCAATATGGCAACTTTCATCCCTCATTTATCTCATGACTTATCCTCCAATACATTCACACTCGGCACCTACTGCATCGCTTCTTCACTTTGTAAATATTTCTGTATCCTCGTTTTATTATATTCATTCAGTACTTATTGTGCGTTCCTTCTGTACTCCGTTAAGTCGAGCGGTCCTCTCATCCAGGGCATTTCATTGCTTTGTTTAACATGAACACGACTAATAAACAAAATCTTGATCTTCTTCGTTAGCCGAAGCCTGAGCTCAGGAGTCAGATTATAAGATAATAACCAGATACAGTCAGTAGATGCTGCAGGAAGTGTGACCCTCCTTACTCACAGCTATGGTCCGTCTGCTGTCAGTTAAGTCAGGCCTGAACTGAGACAGGAGAGTGTTCTGGAGGTCAAATCTGAACAACAAAAGAGACAAATATCAGCAGACACATTTGAACCTTTTCCACATTTTTAAGTAGAGTTTGACCGTATTTTCAGTGTTGTTTTCTAAAATTCATGACTTTTATTGCCGTGCTGTCATCCTTGTTTTCGAGGTACTTGACCTGCTCAGTCTAATCTGTTAGAATAACCCAGTCCTCATAAATCCCAGCGGTTTTTATCCTCCCCTCAGAGAATAGCCTGCTCAAGCTAAGCTCTTTGAGAAGTATTTAGTGAAAAGGGTGAAAACTCAGTCCAGACAATCAGCTGTGAAGTTACATAACTCTCCATTTGTGCAGTTTGAGGACCTTTGCACAGTTTAGTCAGAATGAAAGTTTGTGTGTCAGACAGGCCAGAGGCTGAACCAGGTTCCTCTAAAGTGGGTCAGCCAGCAGTGTTATGTTATTTGAACCCAATAAAACCACTTCAGACTCAGGAGTGTTTACTAGAAAACAACCAAAAAACTCAGTTCATACAAGGAAAGACATCCACCATCCGTGAAGTTCAACACCCTCAGCCTGTGTTGTCATTGAACTCTTAACATAAACGATAAAAGGTTAATATTAAACTTGATCAAAGCTTCACAGAGGGGGAGGTAAGGTTGGGGTGTTGGACAGACTCCAGTACACACTCTTAGATCTACATACTAGAAACTGCAAACAAACAGGCGTCGTAATTTCAAGACATTTGACAGACCTTATCTCTGCTGTGTTACCATGGTGATAGCCGTGCTTTTACACTCTCAGAACTGTCAAAAATGTTCTTTAAAATCCGGTCGGTGTGTAAGATTTCTGCTGTAACAGTTTTTTAAGATGTTCAAACTAACACGTGAGTCATGAAGAAGTCAAACTCAAGCTAGAGCTAGAGCAAACTAGAGCTGCACTTCAGTTATTTTACTTATTCCAATAATCATCTTGTGACAGTTTGGTTTTTACCGGTGTAATCTGCCCGTGTTTGTACCACGATCACTCTGAAATTCTGGTATCTTTACAGGGATATTCCAGCGTAAAATTAATTCAGGGTCAAACCCACCGTAACACCGAGTTAGACCCCCCCTCCAGAGATGAATGTTGTCGACCGTTTGCTTCTCTAGTTATACCAACTTTAGTAACGACCGCAGGATAGAAATACACAGTGGTCTGAGGAGCCATAAACAAACCTCAACCAAAACGCCACTCTATAGCCACAAATAATGCTCAGAACAGCATTAACTTCATCAGCAGTACATATAGGGTCACAGACATAGTACTAGACACCAAACATCTTTTTAACTTTAGCAAAGAGACTAAACACAACTCACCTACTCTCTTCCAGCAGCCGCTGGGTGAGTCCATTACAGAATACAGTGGGGTGCCGCAGCTCAAGGAAGAACATTTATGATCATTTCTTTATCATTTCCTTGAAGTAATAATCACCATATTAATCATTTTACAGACGCGGTAGTTCTTTTGTCTTAGCGTCTCGGTCTGATTTTATTTCCATGAAGAAATGATCATAAATTCGGCGTTATGGTGTGTTTGACCCTAAATTAATTTTATGCCGGAACATCCCTTTAAAGTGTTTATTTCACATATTTGGAGCCTAAGAAACACCTTAATAATTGGACGTCAGATCATGTTGTTGAAAGAATTTAATGTGAATGATTACGCTGCAGATTTAAGCGAACAGCAGAGGAAAATAAAGAGTGAATTGTCAGATGTCAGCCTTGTCATGTTGTTGTTATTCAGGAGCGAACGATCAGACGTAGTCTGGGTTCTCCTCTCTTCATTTTCTGTTGAGTGACTTTTTGCTCTCCGTCATTTTCCAGGCGTCCTCATCTCCAGCGTGGTGCTGCTGCTCTCCCAGAAGGCCTTGTTCAAGTTCTACACCCTCTTTTTCGCCGTCCTCCTCGGCATGGCGGCGATCCTCTTCAACTACTACGCCACCTCTCACATAGACTTCTACAGCGCCTACTACAAAGCGGCGCTCGGGTTCAGGTTGCTGCCCAGAAACGGGCCGACGCTTTGGTTGGGCATGGCTGCGGTCCAGCTGGTTTTTGGGATTGGATATGTGTTCCTGCTCAACCTCCAGTCGCTGTTTGCGGCGCTGGTGGTCCTGGACATTATGATCCCTTTGTGGGGGCTGATGATCGAGCTCCCAGCAGATGTAAGACAAATGGTCGCCGTGTTCTCGGGCCTGGCGTTGGCGCTGAACACGGCCGTGTGCCTGGCCATGAGGCTCAAATGGTTCTACTACTCCTGCCGGTACGTCTACCTGCTGGTGCGGCACATGTACAGGATCTACGGGCTCCAGCTGCTGCTAGAGGACACGTGGAAGAGGATAAGGTTCCCAGATGTGTTGCGGGTCTTCTGGCTGACTCGGGTCACTGCCCAGGCGCTCATCTTGGTCTATGTAGTGAGGGCAGTGAGGAGGGAAAGTGGGGACGCTACAGGCGGAGCTACAGACGGGAGCCCGGACTCACAGGTAAGATCCAAACTGTTTCTGAGATAAAACGAGCGCAAAGACTTAAAGGCGTTTAACCTTTAAACTCTCAGTGGCCGCTGTGATTGAACGCTCACGATTACTTCAAACAGGAGCCTCTGAAAAAAGGATTTTGAGGCGTCTGGAGACAAGAGTCCGAGTGTCCTAACTGTGGATCTGTTAAACATCCCGCAGTGAACAAGAGTGAATTCAGACAAAACCTTCAATCAACATTTTACAGATTTTTAGAGATTTTCGGCAGTTTCTCTGAGCGTAAGTCTCAGTGACATAAATTCAGCTCAAAGGCTCGACTTACCAAACTTGATTTCTGATCATCTGTGACTAGTTTGACTTTTCAAAAGGATCCCAGGATTCTGTATTAATCAAAGTAGATCTCCAGAAAAACCTCATTATAGAGATCTGCAGAATATTTAAGTGAGATTAAAAAAAAACAAAAAGATGAAATACAAAAGTAAAAAAATATGTTTAAGGTCATTAAAAATGTGTCTGGAAAGCACTGATGAGTTCATTTATTTTGCTGTAGACGGTCTCATACAGTACAGATGATAGTTATTATACTTAACTGGCTAAATTAAGTGTTTTTCTATGAAAGAGGCATGTTTTTGGTTGGAGTTTTGATCACAGTCCTGATACAAGGATGTAGAAGTGACAGTAGGATGTGTGTTTGTGTGTGTGGCTGTGTTTGTGTTTGTGTTTGTGTTTGTGTGTGTGGCTGTGTTGGGTTCAGGCTTATCTGCTGAGCTGGGATGTTTTCTGGGATCTGACCAGTAACCTGATCATCTCCGGCTGTGACTCCACTCTCACCGTTCTGGGGATGAGCGCCGTGATCTCCTCCGTCGCACACTACCTCGGCCTCAGCATCCTGGCTTTTATCGGTAAGACTCAGCGTTCGTGTTTTAAACGAGAAGATTTCCAACGTTTTACCAGCTGCAGGAAACAGCTGCTGAAGAAACTGGTGAAGTTTGAAGGCTTGTCTTTTTTTGACTCTTCAGGTTCCACAGAGGAGGAGGACAAACGTCTCGGCTTCGTCGCTCCTGTTCTGTTCTTCATCCTGGCTCTGCAGACCGGTCTCAGCAGCCTGGACCCAGAGGAACGTCTGGTATGTTCTAACACCTCCAGCTGATTGATGGATCATTTACTGAAACTGGTTTGATCAGATCTTTCTGCATGTCGCAGGTTGTCAAACTTTATTGAACTCATTGACTGTTTAAGCTTTTATTGTAGTTTGCAAAGAGATTACTCGTACATAAGAGGTTTTAAAGTCCTTGAACTGGATGTTTTGGTTTCCAGGTTCAGGGTTCCAGTTGTAATAGGCTCAGATAGTTAAAGGGGGATTCTCTGGTTTTATTATTTGGTGAGTCAGGCCGCTCCCTAACTCTGAAAGTTTTAGACCACATCTGATTTTTGGACTGTTTCCTCCTTCACCGTTAACTGACCTCAGTATCAAACCTTTCTCTTCACTTTCAGTGTCTGTATCCATCCGACCTGAAGAAGATCTGATGTTTTTCTGTTTTATTATAATCATAAATTCTTATACATCCCTAATCCTCCGCTCTGAAACAAACGACTCTCAAGCAGAGGTCAGGATCCTGCTACACCTTCCAGAGTCTGAGATATTCTTACTTTCTGCTCCGCAGGTCCGTCTGAGCCGGAACATGTGCCTTCTGCTGACGGCCATCCTGCACTTCATCCAAGGCATGACGGACCCTGTCCTCATGTCCCTCAGCGCCTCGCACGTCTCCTCTTTCAGGCGCCATTTCCCCGTCCTGCTGGTGTCCACGGCGCTCTTCGTACTACCTGTGGTGCTCAGCTACGCCCTCTGGCACCACTACGCCCTCGACACCTGGCTCTTCGCTGTCACCGCCTTCTGCGTGGAGCTCTGCCTCAGGGTGAGGACCGAGACGTTCATGTTTGGTATCAGATCGGTCTAATTGTGTTCACAGAGTTCTTCTTTGACAGACGATTGACTTTTAATCAATCAGTTTTTAGTCAATCGTCTTGAATTTGTCTTTGAATTAAAACAGCAGACAGAAACGTCGAGTGACTCGTGTAAATTTTGGTTCCCAAACGTTTCACAGAGTTGTTAAAAGAAGAGGTGATGTGACTCGATGGTAAATATTTCCCTGTTTTTGAAATGTGCGTCTTTTAAAAACAATCATCTTCCTGTTATCTCTGATTAAACGCAGAGTTTAATAACGTGTTTTTAATAACCTTTTCTCAGCTTCCCCTCTTTTGTTGAACTTTCTGCTGAGTTTTAAAACTCTGTGGAGCCTCTTAAGGCTTCTTTGGTTTTATTATTATTGCCCACAAGAGAGCAGCTGTTTACTGGAGACAGAGCTGACACAACTGGACCGCAGAACCGAGCTCAGACTACCTCCACATTTACTCAGATGTGTGTGTCAGCACTTTGCGGTTTGGTGGCTTCACGTGTGCTGAGGCGAGATGACAAAGAGCAGCCGAGTGACGTTTGGCGGTGCGGTGCTTTGCAGTGGTTTTCAAAAGCCTCCCAGACTTTCTTTAATCACACGCTCACCCCCGTGGTAAAGGTCAAAGTTCAGCCTCTGACGTGTCCTCTCTGTCGCTAACTTGTTCCTCTGCTGTCCCCGTCTAGGTGGTGGTGTCTCTGACGGTCTACGGCCTCTTCATGGCGGACGGTTTCTCCAACGTCCTGTGGGAGAAGCTGGACGACTACGTGTACTACGTTCGCTCTACAGGGAACATCATCGAGTTCCTGTTTGGCGTGATTATGTTCGGAAACGGCGCCTACACCATGATGTTCGAGTCGGGCAGCAAGATCCGCGCCTGCATGATGTGCCTGCACGCCTATTTTAACATCTACCTGCAGGCCAAGAACGGCTGGAAGACCTTCATCAACCGCCGCACGGCCGTCAAGAAGATCAACTCCTTGCCGGAGGTGCGCGGCGACCAGCTGAGGGACATCGAGGACGTGTGCGCCATCTGCTACCAGGAGTTCTCCAGCTCGGCCCGCATCACGCCCTGCAACCACTACTTCCACGCTCTGTGCCTGAGGAAGTGGCTCTACATCCAGGACACATGCCCCATGTGCCACCAGAGAGTTTACGTGGAGGAGGAGAGCCGAGACAGAGCCGCCTTCTCGAACAACAATGGGGGCTACGCAGCGCCGCAGGACGCCGCTGCGGCGCCCCCACCCGCGGCGGGGGAAAACCTGCACGGACAGCCAGCCGGGGAGCTGCCTCCTGACAGACCTGCGGCGGGCGCTCAGGCTGCAGGAGGAGCAGGGGAGCTGGAGAACGAGCTGCTGGAGGACAACGACAGCATAGAGTACGACGAGGACGAGTGGGAGACTCTGAACGGCAACACGCCGATAGAAGAAGACTATATCAATGACGACACAGACTCCACAGAGGACTGACAGGAGAGGATCTATAGAAGAAATAAAACATATATATCTTTATTTAAGTTAAGAAGAATTCTAAAACTTCAGCATCTTAATTTGATCTTGAAAATCGTCAGGGATGTCTTTCTGTTTCTTCTCGTTCGTTTCCTTTTCTTTGATTTGAGTTTGGTTTTACTCTAAGGGCTCGAGGAGGAGTAATTGCTGCTCTCATTCTTTTTGTGTGTGTTTGTGTGTGTCTGTGTGTGTGTTTGGGTGTGTTTGGGTGTCTGGGCTGCATGAAGTAGACTCAAAAAAATCTCACTCTGTCGTTCTGCCTTTTAATGTAATCCAAAAAATAGTGGAGACACAGATTTTAGCTGACTCAGTGAATCATTCTCAGATATTAGATTGTCTTACATTACACTCTGAAGAGCACAAGTCTGCAGCAGAGTATAATATGAGGCTTAGAGAAGAGCGCAGGAGTGTAGTTTCTCTTTTTATTCAGGAATAAACGTGGGGATTATAAAGTCGAGCTCTCACTCTTAGAAAAAAGCAGAAGAGGAAGATTTTAGGTTCGGACTCCCAGAAGGCAAATAAAAAAATATTTTCCTCCTCGTTTAATTAAAGATTGACCTCATCTAAATCCTCAAAATGCACAAAAAAACTCTATTTTTGTTTTTCCTAATCCTGATACTCTCCTTCATACATCTACTTTGAACAAACTGAAGAAATCTCCAAAAAAAAAAAAATCAGGAGAAAAGGAAAGAAGCCGTCTTCGGTAATCTCACGTCTTTGTTTGAATTTTGTTACTCATGCAGCCCCAGAAAAAAAGTGTGTGTGAGTGAGAGAGTCTGTGCTGTGAGCACATGTGTGTGTGTGTGTGTGTGTGTGCCTGCCGACGCGTAATGTGCTTAGACGATGTCTTAAAGAAGCAGTTCATGTTCCCCAGTGGTGTTTTGTAGGAGACGCGCTGGAGTGAGATGGTGTATTGACGACAGATTTGTTGAACAGCGATACAGATTCAAGCTCATGAGTCTGCAGGTCAAGATTCAGGAGTTTGAGGGAAGAAGAATTTGAGATGTCTCTGTTTGGCGTCTGCGAGAAGGTATTTGAGTTTATTTACTTTTGCACATTAAACCAGATCGAGTTCACGTAAAAGTCCCTCTCAAACTCGTCGTCCCTCTGACTTGCAGGTCGATTTGAACTCATCCGTGTCGCACTTGTTCAACATTTCTGTCCGACAGGAAATTTGTGAAGTTCAGAGAAAGAGAAAAAAAGGGTGAAAGCAGTTTTCTATCGACTGCACCGATCAGAGAAAAACAGAGAGGTGTGTCTGAAAAGAGAAAATGACTTGCTACTGTAATCACTGATATACCTCTATCATAACTTACTACTGGTCTCTTGTGTGACCTCGCTTACATTTGTGTACATTATTGTACATATAATAAAACAAAAACATGCACACTTTCTCCGTTAGGATAAGAAAAGAGTTTATTTTCTGTTTTTCCTTACAGTAAGAATGAAACTTTATAGACTTAAAAATCACTGAAATCAGTATTTAGTTTGGTTCAAAGTTCATGATGTTGGTGTGAAAACAGTACAAGCTGCATTTAGAGAGCTCTATTCCAAAAACACACATGTATTTGGTGTAATGAAAAGAATACCGTAAATACTGTATGAAACGGTGCCGCTGGTTTTGTCTACCATGAACCTTAACACATCTTCTTTTTCAACGGGAGCAAAAATCTGAGTTTTTATTGTCAGTTGTTATACTTGTTCTGACAGCAGGTGTTGATTTTATTCCTGAGACAAACGGTCGTGGTCTTTAGTAAGTGCTCCTTTTAGTGTCAGTCGAGTCTAATTTCGGTCTGTCAGACTTCAACACGCTCCAGTCAGCTCTGATAAGACGTTTAACTCTGAGTTTAAACTTTACCACAGAAATAAAGTCGGATTTCTGAGGTTATTTAGAGGGAAAAAACAAAGTTAATCATTAAAGAGATTAAAAAAAGTCTGAAATTAAAGTGATATTTCTGATCTCAGAGTCAGAATGTTGAATTTATTTTTAGAATTAAAGGGTTATGTCAGAGTTAAAGCTCCTGTGGGGACAATGTTGGCGCCCTCTGCTGACGTTATCCTGCACGTGTCTTTCTTTCTTTCTTTTTCCAACAGTTTATATTTATCTTGGTCTGACACCTGCCCCACACCAGAGGTTACAGTCCTTAAAAATAACTGTAGAATTCATCATTCTTGGTGTTGATGGTCTTGTTTGTTGTTTCAGGTCATAAAAAAACTGAATATTAATGCACCGTGTTTTTCGCACTATAAGGCGCACCATCAATGAACGCGTCTATTAGCGTCTATTTTCATACATTGAGGTGCACCAGATTATAAAGAGCAGTAAGCCAAACAAAACAGTCAGATAAGTCAAACTTTATTTAACTCATTCAATAACTCTACAAGGCTACGGTAGCTGCAGCGCTCCGACAAGCCAAAAGGATTTTAAGTGCGCCTTATAGTACGAAGAATACGGTAGAGCTGCTTCATGAGCAGCCAAAACCTCCTCACAGGAGCTTTAATAAAAATAAACTCAGGATTATTCTGAGATTTAAGTCAGAGTCTTGAGTTTATCTGCTGAAAAAAAAAGTTAAAATTATTGAATTTGACTCAATTTTTTGCAGAATACCAAAAAACGTACGTAAGTGCAGGTCAGAGCTCCAAGAAATGGTCCACATCATGTGACCCACACCAGCCTCTAAAACCTCTTCACAAAACAATCACTCATCAGTTCTACTTTTCAGTATCAGGTGTCCCATCCGAGATCTTAAACTACTGGCATCAAAACATTAAAACATTCTTTCCACTTAATTCATCAGTTAATTTTTCTGACACCAAACCTTCAGTGTCTACGTCTTTCACTTGAATTTGTGTTAAAAAGCTTTTAAGCACAACTCCTGCGAGTATTACTGCTGTTTAGACTTTACAGCCTGAACGTCTTCTAAAGGGTTTGAAATCAAACTCGATCTCATTACTGTTGTAATTACTGTCGGCGGGAAATGATAAGCTGTGAGGAATCTCTTCAGTTATCCGTGATGATGATGATGATGATGATGAGTAAAGGGTTTGGGTTGAATTAGATTCTGAGGCTGTGCTTTTGGACAGGTCTCAGCGATGAAGGACTTTATTAGTTTGATTGTTCTGAAAGCTTTTTGAAAAGGTGAAAGCTTGTTTATTTTGCCTTTTGTTTTAAAAAGAGATTTATGTAAATAAAATCATCTTTGATATGGAGTTTGGACTGGATCTCTGATCACAGGAACGGCACACTTTAAATAGACACAGGAATACTTTGATGCACATGTTCACTGATCACTCGATCACTCCAGGCCTCAGTATTAAGGGATGGAGGTTGACTCCTGACCAATAGATGGCAGTATTTCACCACCTAGAATTTATTCTTTAGAAGAGATTTTTACAAGATAGTTGAAGTTTCCAGATGAACAAGAAAGCATCAAAAAGTAGAGGTTCAGTCACATCGTGGGTCCTGATTAATCTCTGGTTTGAAGTACCAACTCTAACAATAACAATAACATTCAATGCCCTGATACTCTTGTATCCATTTACCACACAGACCCTCCACAGTTTGTAAGACACAGAAAACGATGTTGCTGCAATTCATCTTACCTTTTAAAAGTAGATGTTTCTGAGTGCAGATATATCGAAGGCCTCCTACCTTTACCAGGATTGACAGTGATATTTCAATCTTTGTTTTCCTGCCATTTTTTTCCCGAATTTTCTCCGACATACCAGTAACACCATTGGGGGGGGGGGGGGGGGGGACATCTACAGGTCCTTTTTTTGTTTTCCTGGAGCCGATGGCATTGACTTCCTAGAGAAAAATAGTGTTTTTCCTCAGGATTACTACAATAATGTAAAAAGACCTTTTTTTTAATAATCAGATTTTATATTATTTGCAGAATTTACATCAAACCATACATCATTTAAATCAAATAAGGTAGAAAATGACGAGAAAAGGATAAAACATGAAGGGGAAAAAAAAGAAAACAAAAAGAAGAGTAAACAAAGAAAAACCACAACAACAACAACAACGTGTCATCAATTAAAGAAACATGTGTCCTTGAGACCAAGACTGCTCTTGAGTACTACAACACTCGTTTATGCTGATGTTGACCCGGCTTTTTAGCTCTTGTCCGGTCTACCTCCGTTTTAAGCGCCCGTTATTCCTCCAGAGTCTCCGGTATTTACTTTGTTTTCTTGCTTGTGTCGGCAGTCGTGGCCAAAGGAGGATTCAGACAATTTTCCGAACTTTCTGGTTGGTTTCTACTGTCCGATATTGTAGCACGCTAACTTTGTTTGGGCTCCTGAACGACACGGGGGAGCAGCGTCTGCCTCACAACCGGGTTGGGGGGAGGCGGCTTTAGCTGTGTCCGAAACAAATCTCTCTGCAATGCTTTATGGGAAATTTTGAGTGGTCTATATGGGGCATTGGAATTGATCACTCAGGTTTCGGACACCCGTCAAAATGGCGCTAACCCCCATATAGTCGCCTATTTAGGGGTTAGGGATCCATTTCGGATGTTTACAGTCAGAAAGAGCGGACCGCTCAAAAATTTTCAAATGTTGACGACACAGACATAAGAGAACACAGAGATATCGATATATTACCAAATGTCATCAATAACTAATAACTATTGACTGATATTAAAAAGTTTTTTGTACATACACAACAACAAAAAGATGCTTCTTTAACGGAATCCTGCCCACCCCACCTTTAATTCAGTCGTTGTCATGATTTTGCGAGTAATTTTAATTTGCGTTGAAAAAAACGGAAGTAGAGACTTTTACTTTGAAAGCTCTAATCGGAAACATGACTCGTATCCAACGGCTGACTTCACTCCCTCCGCTGTGGCTCGTCTTCGGTTTGAACTTCATGTGTCAAACTCCTGACCACGGCGGCGTTACACGATTATGAGACAGTTAGGGCGGCGGGTAGGCATAAAGGGAGACATTAGCTGTAAAGTTATCACGAGTTTTAGAGAATCTTTAATTAAAAGTCGTCGGTTTATTTCGCTGTGAATCGGACGTTCGCCAGAAAAAGGCGAAGAAGAAACAACTTCGAGCCGAGCGAGCGCGAGGCGGTCAGACCCGGAGGAGCGTCGTTGAACAGCCGTTATTACACTCGGAGACTTTCGGGAGTTTAGTATTATTATTGTTTTAATTCGACACGATGCTCAAGCTTTCCCTACAGAGAGCTCTCCTGCCCGTTGTGCAGAAGTTCCTCCCGGGACTGAAGCAGACGCCGGCGGGGGTGAGGCTGCCGGGGACAGGGCGACACACACCGAGCTGCTGTATGGGGACACACGGGAGGAACGAGCCGAGGGAGCCGCTCAACTCCCCGAAGAGAGCCAAGGAGTTCATCTACCGGCTCCAGCCCAAGGAGAGGACGTGTTTACTGCACGAGCTGCAGAGTTTCGAGTCCATGGCTATAGCTCAAGGTGAGAAACAACCAGCACAGGTGTACTTTAGTTACTGGTGACCTACACTAATGATACACCTGTCTTTAAGTCACATTTAACTCACTTCAGGTACGAGCACAGGTGAGAAAATAACAGTGAGCAGGTGATTGGATTGCACTGGGGGAACTGATCAATGGGTGGAGCTAATGTTTGAACGAAAAACTGAAAAATCAATATCCAACAACATAATATAAACAGCATAAAATTAAACATGTCAGATGTTTTAAGAAAAAGTCACATACAGACATAAAGATACACATATTTGGTCAAACATTTAACTTTTTATTATAAACTGAGTGAACCCCCATGTAGGGATGTAACGATATTGAAATTTAACATCACGATTATTGTGACCAAAATTATCATGGTTATCAATATTATCAGGGTATTGTTGAAATATGTTCAAAATGTTTAAAAAGAACGGTTTCACTCCGACTGTACTTGGATTGATCGTCATTTTCCTGCGTTATATCTTCTTTTTCTGGTTCAGTGACTGAAACTCTGATTCCAGAGCAGCTGCATCTCTTTCAACAACTCCTCTGCAGCTTTAGCGCCGTGCTGTTGAATATTTCAGAGGATGTTGTAGTGAGCTCTGTACTCCAGTTTGAAAATGAGAAAGTATTGGAAGTTTTTCACCATATGAAAGTCTTTAACTTGAGCCCATGTATAATGGTTATTTAGTACTGGTGAAGTTTACAGGATTCCTTTTTAAATGAAAATAATACAGGCCTATAATTAGTTAGTACCTTAATAAACCTCATACCCTGTCGTGTCATTAACAGTTCTTCTCAGGACAAACTCATCTGTTGAATACTTTCTGTTTTCTGTTCATCTGTGGTCCAAAGAAAGTAAGAAGTAACTAAAACCAAACATTACAGTCAGAGCGATGTCTCAGAAAGATTTTCAGTTTATTCAGACATAAACAAAGAAAAATACCCACATGTGGAACAATTCTTACACGCTGAACTACAATCCTAATAGTGAATAATTTCTCCTCTGTGCAAACTTAATGACTTTTCTTATCAGCTGTAACTACAGTAGTTTGGTACAGTGTGTGTGTGTGTGTGTGTGTGTGTGTGTGTGTGTGTGTGTGTGTGTGTGTGTGTGTGTGTGTGTGTGTTCTGCGGTTCGTTGGCATGAGCTGGCAGGCGTGTGTGTGTGAGTGTGTGTGTGTATACATATCTTCCTTTGAGTCACCGTCAGACTTTTTCCTGTTTGAAAAGAGAAAAACCCTCCATGTGAACAAAAGAAAACCACCATGAGTCACCAGAGACTAAAGACGGAGAAGTATCTGAGTGACGATCTCTCCACGGCGTCTCGGGACTCTAAACTCACGTGAACAAATGACAACAAACAGATAAATGACCCTGATGTGAAAAGTCTTTGGATTTAATCCGCTGAGGGACCAAAAGTGTGAAATTACAAAAGGAAACAGATCGGCTTCTCCTCGGTGTGTTGAGTTTGGAGTACAGAGGGTCTTAGTGTCTTCGTAAGCTCAAGTCCGAGGATTTCAGGGAAAAAGTTAGTACCTTATTAGCAGCTCTGAGCCCGTCTTGATCCAACGGAATGAGCTCAGAAGAAACTTAGTCGACTTTAGATAAGGCGTGGACAAAGTCAACACTCATGTTCTCTTTTGAATCCTTTTCATTTGGAACCTTTGGAGTTTTTAACTTTGCTCGTTCCAGCTTTGTTAACTTCATTAAAAGGATGTGAAAGTGTGGAGAGTACACCTCTGAGCAGCAGGAAAATTACACAGGCTGAGTACAGAAAGTATTGCTTGTTTGCATAAAGTAACTTTTTAATCTTTTGCATTAAACTCATATTCTTCTGCTTATTAAAGCAGCTGTTTTACAATAACCATGAAACTCTGATTTATTCAGCAGCCCTGACGGCATTTTAATAAGAGCAGGATTCACTGAAGCGAGTGATTTCGACCACAACAAGAGTAACGTTCAGCAAAGTCATCTTGTAGGAGAGCTCTGTTCCTCATCTGGACTCTTTAGACTCTGCTGACCACATAAAAAAGCCGGTTCTGGGCTTTCTGCCGGGTTCACCGTATAAACAAAGATCCAGCTGAAGCTCCTGACACAGAACACTCCTGAGGATTTATCAGAATTAATCAGTTTTTGTGAATGTGTGCTGAACCCAAACAAAGAATCTCCTCATCCTAACTTCATCCGGTTAGAGGATTTCATAAAACATTTTCTCTCCTTTATACTCTCACATACTCGCCTCATTTACCTCTTTATTTCTTTCGCCGTGAAAGGGTAAGTTCTCAAAAACATCAGGGTCTGAAGGTCCTGAAATGATCTGGAAAATGTCAGGAGTTCATGTGTGAAAGGAGTTTTAAAGTCAGCAGATAAAAGTTTCCCTTTGCTCAAACGTTCAGCTGAAATAAGAGGAAAATCTCCAACCAGCAGACTTATGATCCAAACCTGGATTCAGCTCACCAGGTGGTCTGGGTCCTCAGCGTTTTATGGTGCATTTTCATCGTCTCTGCGGCATCCCATTATTAAACACTCACTTTTAGTCTCTGCAGTCAGATTATGCTGACACACTGAGAGTTTCAGTTTTGTCACTGAAGCAGCTCCTCTTCACTTTGTTGTAGTGCTGGACGATAATTCGATAACAATATATATCGATCGATAGACGTGTGGTGCGATAGAAAAAAAACGGGTCGATAAAAAGTTCGATAGAAAAACACAGTTTCCCTTTCTTTTTCATCATAGCCTATCATGTAGCTTTTACTACAGTCATTACTTCCTCCCAACCAATCACAAACGCAGACCCAGGTACGCTACGGCACCAAGCCCAGCCCCTATCAAACCACAACAGACAGCACGTGTATTAGAAAAAATGATACAGCAAGGAGAAGCGGAGGACGTTGTCCCGAAAAACGGTCTCAGTAGTTCTCCAGCATGGCAGTGTTTTGGTTTTTAGAAGTCTGACAAAAAGCGAACAGCGGTCGTTTGCAAAATTTGCAGAGAATTAGTAAAAACCAAGTCTGGTAACACAACCGACTTGTTTTACCATCTAAACCGATCGCACCCGCAGGAGTACGAGCTGTGTCGGCCGCGCCGCGGCTCCACGTCGTCGTCGGAGGAGGAATCCTCTGGAACCGCTGCCAGCACCGGCACAAAGCATGTGAAGCAGACCAAACTGGACTTCGTTTCTTGTCAAAATACGACAAAGCGTCCAAGCGGCATAAGGACATCACCCATGCAGTAACATGCTCCATAGCGAGGGACATACTGCCAATAACTACCGTTGAAAAGCCTGGCTTCGACCAGCTTCTAGCCACTCTCGACCCGCGATATGAAGTGCCCGGCCGCAAGTATTTCTCAAACACAGCGCTTCAGGCATGAAAATGGGTCAGGGGTTGAAAAGGTGAGAAGGGTGCGGAGGAAATACGTTTAAATGAGCTCATATTTTACAAAGACGCGAGTATTTGGATCATGGCTACTAGCAGGGGGTGCATCCGGCAGGGGTGCATTCTACGACACAACACCGGCGTGGATAAGTCCTGCTTCTCGTGCTTAGTTTGTGTATTAAGTCAATCACATGATAATTAAAAAAAATCAATCTCCCGACCCCGGGAGAAATATTTCAGTGTTCAGACACCAGGCTGTGGGCAGTTTCCCACACAGTTAAAACTGGTAGTATGCTATTCCCACCTAAAGCTATTCTGTTTATTTATATATTTGTTTGTTTTGTTTATTTTCATCAAAAGACTATTTAAATATTTATTTATCAGATTTTCTGGTCACTTTAGTCTTTATGTTTGTCAGTATTTACTGACGTCACTCAGGCCACTTAAGTTGATTTCTTTTTTTTTTTTAGTTCTTTTTTAAAAAACTTTCAGTTGTGGTAAAATAAAAAAGGTGGTTGAATAAAGGTTTGAATTTGAATTCAGTGCTTGTGTGTTCTTTATTAAAAGTAGGTCATTAAGCAATAGCATAAAACATCCAGGGCTGCAATTAAAATATATGTTAAATAATTATAATTATATCGATAATTATCGATATCGATCAATATGATTTATTTTTTATCGATATGCTTTTTTTCTATATCGTCCAGGCCTACTTTGTTGTGCAACAAGCTGCTGCTGCTGCTGCTGCTGCTGCTGCCGCCGTAGACTCTGTCAGAGTTTCCTCTTTTTATCAGCTGATTTTTTGATTGACATGGAAGTATGTTTGCAGGATTTCATCACCTGTACTTTGAGTATGAAAAATGAATGAATGAAAGACAAATACGCTCTGAACAACCACACCCAAACATTTCTTTGGAAAGTGTTGTGTAAGAGTCTGTGCAGGAATGTGTCCTCTGTGGTCTGTGCACAGGTACGATGGTGGTGGGTCTACTTCACTCATACAAAGGTCCTAATAATTAAACAGTTTTACAGTCCTGTTATCAGCAGGTAGACCCTGTACCTCCTCGTATTTGTAAGCAGTCGTCTGTTTGAGCTCTGACTGTGCAGCGCGGTCATTAACAGCCCGGTCGGACTGAGTTTAGCTCTCACTAACGAGCGTCTGTCTGCAGCTCCGAGATCCTCTCTCCTCTTTTTACTAATGAGCCAAATACTGTTGAAGAGCAGAGAGGGATTTAGAGGCTTTTACTTTACAATCGTGAGGAATGTGCAGTTCAGGAAGTCAGTCAGACGGCGAGCTCTGCTGCTCATTAAAACATCACATCCACGTTTTACCCATTTAGCAAGTCAATTCTACAGCGGGAGTCTAAAAATAGAAAAGTGTGCTGTAATGTTGAAATGAATTAGTGAGACAAAATCCTCTGATACAACAGATGATCTGATTGGTCAGATGTGGGGGTATTTTACGTGTCTGTGTCAGGACTAAAGGTCCTCTGTATGCAGACTCACAGGCTCAGTGACATTCTTACATAAACATTACCTCTATTTCTGCAGGGATGTTGTTGTTTTTTTTTAGAGGTCACTGCCCCAGAACTTTGCTTTTGGTCTCAGGTTCATTTCTCTGTATTTAAGGTTCAGAGACATTAAATTGAGCTGAATTTATTCATGATAGGGGCTCCCTGTAACACACTGAGCAATTAAACTCCATTTTTTTTTGATATTTCCTCAGTGCCTTCGAGCGATCTCTTTTCCTTTCCGTTAACTTCACCAAAGGTCGGTTCAAGAAGTCTTTTGGTGAGGGAAAACTTTAGTGACGGGTATTCTGGCTCATAACTCGGGTTATAATCTCCTCCTCCTGTGGGAAACATGATGGTTAACCAAACTGCTTCTACTTAAACCTGATCTATTTCATCCACCGCCGACTTTGAGTCACAGCTCTGCTTTCATTGAACTCAGCCGGCTCCAATCCTGACACCCGGACTGGCAGCAGGTCATATCAACTGTCACTAATGGATTTAGTGAATGAATTAACTCTCTAACTGATTGGCTTCCGGCTGGTAAAGTGCTCTCTGCAAGCTGGTGTCGGTACTCTGCCAAAGATCTTCACGACAGGACCAAACTCCTCATGGCGACACTTTTTCACACCCACATCCACCACGGCGTCGTTCCCTCGCTGATTAAATCATTCGGAGGATTTTTAGTCATTCAAACTTTGAAGCAGGGCCTTAATGGGTATCCAGATCAAGATGAGAGAGATCAGCAGTGGCAGTCACTCAGACCTGGACTGGGTTTGTGGCTGAGTTAAGAAACACCTCCAAACATCTGATCTTCACTGAGGTGACCCGGTGGGGTGATGTTTTTTAGAGTACCTGCTGCTTCGTCATGTAGGACCTCTGTTGTTTTAGCATTAGTTGAGAGTTTTAGACACTTAGGAGAGAGAGAGACTGTGAACCCACATCCAGGAGGAAACACAACAGACCTTTAATGTTGTTGTTTTTCACCCTCACGTCCGCACACTCACTATCAGATGGAGGTTTATCAGAGGGACTGGCAGAGCGGTTACAAATTTCTCTCCATGGTAATTTGTCTGAAATGTCAGACCGCTAATGCATTATTCTTGCTAATGACACTCCAGAGATCCGCTTGGTTTTCCGTATAATTGAATTGGCTATCAATGCCGTCGTCTCGCGGTGACAGGAGAGAAAATCCAGGAGGGGAAATCTACTTAGAGGAGGAGAGCGTTTCTACGTGATTTCCTCTTTGAGAGAGAGAGAGAGGATTTGCACGTGATGTGACTGATGTAGAGGTCTGTTGTCGTTCTGAGTTTCACACAGAAATCAGACTGTTGAGATGCTCGGCTGGCGTCCTGTTTATGCTTTGTTTAAATTGAATAAAAGCGTTAAAGAGATGAGAGTTATTTCACAGCTGAAAAGATAATGTGAAAAGTTTATTTGACCGTGTACCGCTCACTTTATTCCTCCATGTCCTCTGATTTCTCTGATTATTTCATGCGTAGGTCTTTCTGTGTTAGGATATTCCACTGAGTCCAATTAAAACCTACTTTAACAGAATGAGTTTCTCTCAGTTTGACAGGGAGGAAAGGAGCTGTCGGGAGGTTATGACAGAAAAAAGAAAACTTCATAACACACGGCTGAGATGAAAACGGTCACTCAGACTGCAGCTCTGTATGTTGGTGGATGTATAAACAGTTTTTCAGAAATTCTGCTTCTGTCTTTACGATGAAGAACGACCCCGAACAGGCTCTTCGTCAGGATTATCTGTCATAACTCCAATGAAACATCAGTATTGGTTCTAAAATTAAAAGCGTGGCCTTTCAGAAATTGGATTCTTGAATCCCTCGAAGCCTCGACTAATTGCCTCCTCATCAGAATATCTGTGCAGCAGCAGCAGGGTGTGTGAGGACAGCTCTGTGTTTGGGGTTTAATTGTACATCAGCTGCTTATGTCTCCAATCAGAGGAGCAGGAGAGAGGAAAACTGCAGCCAAACCAAAACAGGATCAAACTCAGCTCATCTATTTTTAATTACTTTACGATTGTGACACAAATATTTACCTGTTAGGCAGAGAATAGACCTCTGAGATTTACTCACAGGGCATAAAACCTGCTTACAATAGAGCTGCAGAAATCATCTGGATTACAGCGATGATGATCACTAAATTAGAAGACAAGTTTCTCCTTTCCTGCTAGGGATGGGAATAAAGAACCGGTTCTAAATGATTCAATCCATCGACATCATTTACATTTTATATTAACGATTCCTTTCATCCAGGTGTGTTTAAAAACGGTCTTGCGAGTGCCAGTCTACACGAACAGGAACAGAGATGGGGGGAAAAACATGGCGGATGGTTGAAAAGTCGGCAGAAACGATCTAAAGCGTGGCTTAATGTTACTAAGAAAGAGACAACAGTGCAACGTTTGTTGAGCAGAGAGAACATGCAAAGATGGAAACACCAACAACATGCTTCAACATTTGTCAGCGGGGCACGGCATCAGATATCAGGAGTCACATGTATTCGATGATCTCCTCAGGTGTTGTTGTAGAATGTATCCCCTCCACTCATGAGCTTCTTAAAGTGGAAAAAAAATGATCTCATATTTAAAAAACACGAGTATTGGATCATGACAACATGTGAGATTTAGCAGCAAACTGTCGTTCTGTTTTAATGTCTCTCTAAAATTCACATATAGAGATGAACTTGGGTTTATAAACTCTACAGTAAACTATCAAAGTAAAGAACTTTAAATATTCAGAATCAGAAGACTGTTGTTTTCGGTTTATCTGAATAGTCTGAATGAAATCATTAAAGGCACACGCTTTTGAACCCGTCCAACGGTAAGAAAACTTGGATTATTTCACCTTGTTATGTAGTTTTAACTGTGCTCCCGTCAGGGGTGCATTCTACCGCACAACACCTGTTGAACACATGTCCTCTTTTACCCGGACATGTCCTCTTTTTTTCTCGGGGGGAGTTTATAAAATCCTTCAAATGTCCTGAATGTGTTTTCACTGATGATAAAACAGTGCAGAGGATCAGTCCCCTCTGCAGCTCCGCCCCTCCGATCACTTCAAAGAAAGCCACTGATGCGACGCACTTATGTTCTGTCTTTGGGAATTTAGAATAATATGTTTAACTGAGTTAAAAGTGCATAAAAACTCTCGACCCAACCCAAACGGAAAAAAAAAACCCTCAAATTTTCACACACAAGTCCGCTCCGCGCAGTAGTGTCCTCTTTTTGGGGATTCAGAATATGGTCACTCTAACATATGTCCTGTGTTAATGTAAACACAATGAATGTCAGAAATGCTGAACAAATATCATTTTTGTTTGATTATTTTAGACTCTCACTGAAGGTGGCGTACATCTATTTCTGTTATCAGAGACTCTATAAAATGTTGAGTTAACGGTGAAAACCTGTAGTCTACTTTTTTTAATCGAAGAAAGGCATTGATAAGGGAATCGTTAAAGAATTGAATGGATAATGGCATCGATATCGATAAAATCGTATCAATTCCCATCCCTACTTCCTGCTCTCCACTCCTCGACTCTTCGTCTCCATTCATGGTCCGGTTTGTATTTGACACCGTTAATAGATGTCATGGTTAAAAGGAGAAGTTAATTTTCAGAGGAATTTCACCATCCTATATTATTAGTATGCAGTTTTTTTTTAGCTTTAAGATGAAGTAAGTGAGTCAGTGAAGATCTGAAGACTCTGTGAGGTGATATTTTCATCCTGTTCATGCAGAGCAGCTGTTTCTTATTCATCCTCAGTTTGTGGTTTTGCTCATTAGCCACTAGATGAAACGTGGACGCCTCTGCAAACACACCGTAGCTGTTAATTAACAAGCGGACTCATAAGATCACACACCCAGTGAGCAGCGTGTCGTTCAGGTTAGACTTCAGCACTTGAGTCTGTTTATCTAGACAAAATGTCACTCCGGCTTTTCCTCTGATGGAAACAGTTTTAGTGGCAGCGACACGATTCACAAATGTCTGAATCCCCTCAGCGACACACCGACAGTGTTTTTATCTCCATGGAGACGACGTGATCTCTACCTGCTGATAGGCCTCTTCTCAAACACTCGTTACATCTTTTCCTAACGAGCCGAGAGGAGTCGAGATAGTGCTGCGTGTGTTCAGGTGGTTTCCTCCATCTTCAGATAAACTGCAAGTGTGCAGAACTTTGCAGGAATAAAGCCGAACTGAAGCAGCAGGAGGAAGTGTCGGCGCTGTAAGGAAACAGAGGAGAGGCCGTTTCTGTTTGTCTTTTTACATCAACCTAAAATCATCAACACATTTATCCTCCTGAATTCTTCTCAATAACAAGACAGAGACGACGGCAGCCTGGAGCAGCTTGTCGGGAACCGTTATAGACCGCTGTGATGAAATGTGGTTAAAAAAAACAAGCCTTGAACCGCGTCTGAAAAGCCGAATCAAAGCTCTACAAAGAGAGAGAGGAGCACGTACTCATGGTGGTCCTAAGTGATTTTGTGATCCAAGACTTTGATTAGGACTCTTGAGTCTCCTCTGCATCTCCGAGCATCATCACCACCACCCAAGTATTTCAGCTTTAATGTTGACATCGTTTACTGTGGGGGGAAAAAAAACAGGCAATAAATAAAAAGGCAGACCTCTCTGTGGATTAATGCGGACGCTGAACATCTGTGGAAGAAAGGGAGAGAAAGAGAGAGTGAGAGAGATGACAGCGTCCACTTTATATTTTAGGTGTTTGTGTGTTTGTGTGTCAGTCTGCGCTCTCAGACTCAGGTTTAGTATTAGCACTGAAAATCACTAAACCTGCGAGTTTTACTTTAACCAGCTGAAATCTTGTGTTGTCTTGTTCTACGGATGCAGTTCTAGTGAAACAGACTCAGACTCTGATTGTTTGGACGGGTACAGAGGGGTTTTTGTCCGTCTTACTTCTTACCTTTGAGAATTTCTAGGAGATGCAATCCAAAAATGAAATTAAAGAGCCTTTAAAAATGTGCTGATAGCAGAATATCTGAGATGGTGGATAATAGGAGCAGACTGATGCATGGGTTGGTCTGCTCTTCTTTGGACTGAGCTCTGTCTGGAGGTTTGCCATTTCTTCCCTGGGTTGTTGTGTGTCTCAGTGCAGAGAAAAGTTCCCGTGATAGACGCCTAAAATGAATTCAAACAAATAGTTCAAACCTTCAGGGAGTTAATTAGTGAGAACAGGACTCCTCCCTCCGCTGTGGCACACACACACACAGATCCTGTTCAGTGCAGGCGTAGGTGCTGCCTTTGCATCCGTCCAGCTCTGAACTGAAGTTTGGATCTGGATGAAGTCGATGTTAACGGGCAGTTTAATATCCTGTTAACTGGTGTTGTCAGTACAAATTAGTATTACAGATAATAAAAAGAAAGAAAACAGTCATAGCTTTAAAAAATGAAAAACAAAAGCCTCATTAGTACATAAAAAATGATAATATCCTTAATTTCTCTGCTCAGTTTGTGATTTTTTTCACACACCTCAGACACTCGTCAGTCTCTCTCTGGAGCAGGTGGATGATGTGTGGTGGATGAAGCTGTTATTTCCTCTGAGACTTCACAAAGACGAGCAATCTGTGCAGGAGGGGGATCCGGCGCTCAGCAGCACCTGGCAAGTTTAGACGAGATTAAATGGAGAGGTGATGTTTGATTGACACACAAATTTAGCCCCTCACTTCAAATGTGGGTGAGCCCTCCGGATCGACAGCAGCATAATGAGGCTTTCAGCTGAGCCGAAATGGAGCCTCATACTGGGAGATTGAGATAAATTCTGTCCTCCTCTCCAGCTGACACTTACACAAACAGCCGAATAAGAGCGGATGGTGGAGAGTGACAGGTGAGGAAATAGAGAAGAGCTGGGGGCCACACAGTCATTCTGCAGAACAAGACTTTAAACCCCAGAAGTGATCTGAAAATATAGTTTTTTTGTACTTTAGAGACGATGCGCTGGTCCTCCTGAGAAGAGAAGTTTTATTCAACATTGAATACCTAAAACCAAATCCTAAAGATTCAGAAGGAGAGTGTTTTATATTTAATATTAGGGCCCGACCGATTTATCGGCGAGCTGATGAGATCGGGCAATTTCAGCCCGTTTGAGACTAATCAAGTAGTTGAAAAAGCTTTTCTGGTCTGAGTTTGATTAGTTGGTATTCCTGTCGGCGTGAAGAGCAGTAGCCTACAGTATATCTACAGTATATATATTTTATAACTTTATAAAAACTTTAAAAAAACGGCAGACTAATCAGTAATCAGATTTCTTTCCCCCCTAATAATCCATATCGGTCGGGCCCTATTTAACACGATCTAATATGGGATCAGAGTCGCAGGTCTTTCTTGACTTCAGAAAGGCTTCAACCAATCACGTCCTCCCAGCAGTGATCGCTCTGTGCTGCATGTGTTAGTGTAGGTAACCAACATTAACATTTGCAGCTCTGAGATCTCTATTTATCGCTCCTTTAATCTGATTAAATGTGTCGGTTATGTGGGTAGATTTTGTGGCTTTACTGAATTAATCCCTCAAGAGCTGATTCTAAAATCGGGAAATCGATCCCACGGTGTTTCTGCATCATCCCTCTCATCTGAACCATGAAGCTGAACCTGCAGCCTGATTCTCAGAGATAGATCTGATCAGACTGAGTCATGTGTCAGAATCAGAGCTCATCACGCTGAATTCAGACCTGACTCCTGGACTCAACGCCGCGGACGAGTTTTCCTCCATGACTCTTGCCGCATGAAGTATCTCTGCCAGTGATTTTCACTCGGCATGAAGGTTTGGCGCCCAGATTTCTGGATATAAAGACACATCCAAGCGATGGTTGATGAGCCGCCAGGCCTGCTGGTGGAGGAGGAGGAGAGGCATGTGGCCGGTTGTTGGTGTTTTCTCATCCTGCTGTGAGATGGGAGCGGAGTGTGACATGAAATCCTGCTCTGCCGGACACTCAGTGGGAGAAATGGACCTGTGCCACTGTGGTTTCTTCCAGCTGAACAGAAATAGCTGTCAGCAAACTCGTAATGATGGGGATGGTGGAGGATTTGGAAAGATGGAGTCAACAGGAGAGCCTGGGTAGCTGTTAGAAGGATTCAGGTTTGGGGATTTCAGACAGATCTATGTGAAAACCCGGACTGGTTGATGAGAGTCTGTTAGTTTGTGAGCAGATAGGAAATTTTCTTAAACCAAAGTACTCAGATCTCTGCAGACCGTTTCAACCATCATTTCTTCTTCTTTTCAGAGCTGATTTTCTGCACCGAGCTGCACATTTCTCTCCACACTCTGTCCTCGAATGAATCCGCAACTCTGTGCTTTTCAAAAACGTCGTTTCCACTTGAGACCAAACGCTGACAGTTAACCGAAAAGTTTTCAAGGACGAGGATCCGCCTACTGCCAACAACACTAAAAGAAACGCAGAGAGAGTTTGAGACGCAGACGTCAAAACAAACGTCTTGTTTCTGACCTCTGAGGAGGTGAAATCGTACTCAGACACTGGAGTGCTTTAGCCTCACAGGAGGTGGAGGTCGAAATCATGACAGAGGTGGTGCTGTAGGTGTTTTTCTGTTTTCTGACATTTGTTTCAGCAGCAGTAAATATTCTGAGATATGATTCAGTGATCAGCAGTAAGACGTGTTTCTCTTTGTTTTCCTTTGACTCTTCATTGAAGTGTATTTATTAGTAAATACTTATTATAACTGTGAGTTTTCAGTCTGATCCATCTGTCCCTTATGCTTTTATCGTCTTTTTTACATCCTGATGTATATGCATGTTTTTTATCTAACAGACTTCTGAATTATTTATCCTCCCGTCTCCGGCTTTAACTCGTAGGAAGTTGAGATTTTTCTAAGAGGAGCTGCTCCGTTCCTGTTTTATTTAACATACAAAGAAATGCTCTGAGTCAGGATGAAGTGAAGAGGTTTGTAAATGAGGAACGGAGTGTTTGTGCGTTAGTGAGAAGCTTGTTCCTGCGTTAACTCATCTAAATGAGACAGCCTCAGTGATTGGTTAATAGATTGATTGACTCTTGTAGGAAGTCGCTCTGCTCTGTTGATCAGCAGTCTGACAGCAGACAGATGATGCAGCAGATGCTCATGTTTTGACACACACACACACACACACTCACACACACACACACACACACACACTCTCACACACACACACTCACACAGGTAAATAACTCAGAAGTGGTTTAGCAGTGAAGAGAGTCAGTAACTGAAGGAGAACGTCGACGTTAAAAACCTAGAATATTGTGATTATTACTCAAGATGCCCTAATTTAACCCTTTCAGTCCTTGTTCTGATACTGATCCAGTCTGACACTAAAGATGACCCACTGATGAGGCTTGCTGTAAGCAGAGAGTAGTCTAAAGGTCCTTACACACCGAGAAACTGGACACACAGTATGAAAACTTTAGAAAAATCGACTGTGATCCGAAAAAATAAATGCTGCAATATCGCAGGACGAGAAAACGTCGCTGATGTTCAAAAAAAAATAATGATGTCCAAAATAATCGCACGAAAAAAACACTCCCAGTGTGAAAGGAGCTTTAAGTTCAGTGTAATAAATCCATAACTCTTTGCCATAGAGCTGGGCAATAAACCAAAAATTTACTGATACCAAAATTTAAGACAATAACTGACGTCATTTTGTCCATATCCATATATTCAGTGTCAAAAATAACTAAATGGAAGTTGTTTTTGGATGTGTGTAGGTAGGCTATGGTCTCATGTCCCTTTAAGACGCTGTCCTACGTCAGAGACGTGACTCCACCCCCATCCAGTCCGTAACAAAGAGGGAAAGACAGGTGAGGAGATGGAGGACGGAGAGAAAGTTGGAGCAGCTGAAGTAGACGAAGTTACTGTGGGAGGGGGTGAGCAGCTGGTGGAGTAGTTATCGTCCATTTATCATGATCGCAGTGCACTGATCAATGTATCGTGATATTGATTTGAGGACATATCTCCCAGCCCTACTTTCCCATCAATCGCAGCGTCTAGTCAGATCATCTCTAGGTACCATCGTCGTACAGGCTGTGGTTTAATTTGTGTTAAATTCCTCTAAACTGTGTCAGACTAGTTTTCTGATCACTTCGAACATATTCAACCTCATCCTGACAACACTCTCCCGGCTTTTCTCCTCTGACTCCAGTTCTGTTGTTCCTCTCAGCAGGTGGTCTCTCAGTGATGTTCATTTTTGCCCGTGTCAGTCAGACCTATTCCTGGACACGTTTCCTCAGGAGTCAGAGTGTTTGTACTCACTCCGCAGTCATTAGAAAGTCAGAAACTGAAAGTGTGAAAATGGGTTATTCCCTCAGCGCGGCCTGGTATTTTCTGCAGCGTATTGAATTAATATCCTTCTTTCAACAAGACAAAAAAGTCAACATCCCAGCAGCAGCCCTGTGGGCCAGAGACGCTCCCAACTCCTAATTCTTGGATGGCAGCAGAATTACTCTCTCTCTCTCTCTCTCTCTCTTTCTGCTGCTAATGAGGAGAGTGAGTGAAAATGTTCGTGTTAGAGCTTCTGAAAGTTTTCTGTAAGACCTTAAAACTGTTTTGTAAATGTTGTTTAGAGAACATGAAAACAAAAGAAATGTAGTTAAATGAGAAGAAAGAGAAAACACTGAGCTGTTTCTGTAAATTCATAATGTTTCTGTTGAATTTAGTCCATCAAGATTAAACCAGTTTTTTATTCAATATCAAGAAAAGTTACAACAGGAGTCTTTATTGGGATGACAGTGCAAAGATAAACAAACACTGAGGCGCTCATATTAGTTAACACTCAGACTTTTGTCCTGGATGATGTGGTTCTTCTATCTTCATCGAGCAGTGACCTTCAGCTCTTGCTGGGGCGGTTCACGGCCGAGTGTTAAGCGGCTGGGATGTGAATCAGCACCTCCAAGTCCGAGGTCATGGTCCTCAGTCAGAAAAAGGTAGATGGCCTTCTCCAGGTCGGAGGGGAGGTCCTGCCTCAAGTGGAGGGGTTCAAGTATCTCAGGATCTTGTTCATGAGTGAGGGTAGGATGGAGCGGGAGATCGACAGGCGGATCAGAGCAGCGTCAGCAGTGATGCGGACGCTTAACCGATCAGTGGTGGTGAAGAAAGAGCTGAGCCGTAAGGAGAGACTCTGGATTTACCGGTCGATCTACGTGCCGATCCTTACCTATGGTCATGAACTTTGGGTAATGACCGAAAGAACAAGATCGCAGATACAAGCGGCTGAAATGGGTTTCCTCCTCAGGGTGTCCGGGCTCAGCCTTAAAGATAGGGTAAGGAGCTCGGACACTCGGGAGGCGCTCAGAGGAGAACCGCTGCTCCTCCACGTCGAGAGGAGTCAGCTGAGGAGGCATCTGGTTAGGACGCCTTCTGGACGCCTCCCGTTAGAGGTGTTCCAGACATGTCCCACCGGGAGGAGACCTCGTGGCCGGCCCAGGACCAGGTGGAGGGATTATATCTCTCGCCTGGCCTGGGAGCGCCTGGGAATCCCCCCGGAGGAGCTGGTGGAAGTAGCTGAGGTGAGGGCCGTCTGGGCTTCCCTCCTGAAGCTGCTGCCCCCGCGACCCGGACCAGGATGAAGCAGAAGAAAACGACGATGACCCGAGCGTCAGAATTAAAAAGTTTTACTTTTAATGAAGGTTTCAATGACTTTTCCAGCTGCAGAAATCAAAAACTCTTTAAATCAGGATACATGAGTTTAAAGATTGAGTGTCTGTGTCTGTAACCCTGCGCTCTGTGTGAATGTCTTTAAAACTAACTTATGAAAATGGATGAGTGATAGAAAAACTGGAGGATTTTAATTCCAGAGAGGCGGTGAAGAGCGAGGCAGACCTACATTTGTTGTGTTTTTTTTACATACATGTATAATCAGCAGAATGAATCATTTTTAATGTATGAAGTGAAGCAGCAGAGCGGAGAGGAAGTCCTCCGAGACTTAGAGAGAAGAATAAAAACCTGCCTTTGTGTTGGTACTCACGTAGTCTGAAGGTCTGTTTACATTTATTTCCACTTACAGCACAACCACAAACTTTCCAACAGTGAAATGATTGTATTTAAATGAAGTGAATCTTATGAAGGTGGAAGTTATTTCTGTACCTGACATCTGTGACTCCACACTTTACCTGAAAATCATCACTACTCAGAAACTCACCTGAAATTTCCTCTCACCCTCACTCTGTCCCTGTGTCACTTGGATGAAACGCTGTTGCTATAGCGATACTTCTCACTGAGTGGAACCGAATTTGTTGCCTGGCAACCTCGGCTTATTGAACATTCCATCAGGAAGCAGAGAGAAGGGAAGGAGCGTCAGATCCCCGTGTGAATCTAACGACAAATCTCCGACAGTGAAACTCTGACAGAGACTCTTTGGTTTGTAGACGATCGGCTTCGACACGGAGGTTTCAGATTTTACAGGGAGGAATAAAAACAGTGCAGGGATGGAGTCAGTTTGTTTAAGCAGTTTGTACATTATTTATGTTGATGAAAGTTTGATATTTGATAAGAACAGGTAACATGCAGGATTGTGATATTAAAACGATTGAAACTGTGAGAATTAGGGATGCAGGATAACGGCGAAGGTTCTTACTATTAGAATAGAATAGAATAGAATTCAACTTTATTGTTATTGCACATGCCACAAGTACAGAGAAACGAAATGCAGTTTGCATCCACCTAGAAGTGCTGAGCAAGTATAAATATATTGACAAATGTACACGGTATGAAGGCGACATATACATGAGTATATCACAGGTATATAACATTGTTATGAATATGCTATAACTAGAAGTAAAGATTATACATATAGAAATAAATATGAAGGCTATAAACAGACTATAAATATAAGTATATGACAGATAAATTATGCAGTCGTGCAAATGAGGTTTGAAAGGTTTAAAGTTGGTTTACAGATAGAAAGTGCAGGTAAGTGTAGATAATTGTAAGTGGTGGTTCAGTGGTTGTGTGTGTGTGTGTGTGTGTGTGTGTGTGTGTGTGTGTGTGTGTGTGTGTGTGTGTGTGTGTGTGTGTGTGTGTGTGTCAGTCCTTGAGTGTTAATGTGGTTCAGATGTCAGGAGGCGGAGTTCAGGAGTGTGACAGCTGTGAGGAGGAAGCTGTTCCGGTACCTGGTGGTCTTAGTCCGGAGGCTTCTGTAGCGCCTCCCAGAGGGCAGGAGGGTGAAGAAGAGTCCATGTGCTGGGTGACTGGAGTCTTTGACGATATTACTGAATATCTTAATGTTGAGTTTGGTCACACTTGAGGGTAAGGAAGGGTTAGTAATGCTCTACACGGACCAACTCCAGCTGAAATCAAGAGGAACCTCTAACTCTCTAAAACTCCATCCAACCAAACACTCTGCTGTAACCCTCCTCTAATAATAGAGCATCGGACAATCAGCTGTTTCTTCTTCTCCTTCTGAAAGTTCATCACGGCTCATCACCAGTGAAGAAGGTGAAACCAGAGCAGCGTTTCATGGAGATATTCCTGACAGCCTGGCGTTTGTGTTTGACTCCTGGTACTGAAATAGATCCTGACCTTTCCACGGTGATGGGTCGCTGACAGAGGTGTGATTCTGTCCACGGTGCTGCTTCCTGTTTGTTTTGAAATATTAGTCATGCTGTCTCTCTCACACACACACACACACACACACACACACACACACACGTCTTTCTGCTTTTCCCAAATGTCGCAGGAAAGTTGGCAAAACTTGTGTAAGAAAATCAGAAAAGTGCAGACAGTGAGTCTGGGTAAATCTTGGGCTGTAATTGAATTCCTATAATTGGTCTGAGGCCTGGATGGACTCTGCCCCAGTGACCCACTTCTCTTTGAGTCCCTTCAGGGTCCCCCGGACTTCACACTGCAGCCGCTCCTCTCATCTCTGAGCAATTCAAGTGTGACGGCAGATCAAACCGGGATGTGAAATTACTGAGTCTGTAACACATGAACTCCGGTCCGTTATGTGACCCAGACCTGCTCTCCAGCTCTGCATGAGTCCTGACGTCTCATGTAGAAAAGTTTGTTTTTGTTTTTAAAGCCTTTTCACTCATTTTAAACCGTTTGAAAGGAGATTTGAAAGATGGAGTTTTGTCTGCCTTAGCTCAATCTTTGGTCTCCACCGCCCTCTGAGGGAAAGATCTGCTCCTCTAAGCCCACCAGCTCGTCCCTCACCGCTCTATTTTACAGACGTCTCTGAACACGACGCCAGGAGGAGCACTGAGAGCGACCCGAAACAGTAAAGCGACTCCTTTCTCATGCCTCATTGTTCCCCTGCTGGAGTTTAAGCTGCTGCTGATGAAGAGCTCTCACTTAACGGAAACGTTCCTCAAACCTGGGGCCGCGTTCGAGGTCCTCTGCTCCCAGGTGGGAAGCAGACTCATCTGTCTTTCGCTTTAATTGGACCTGCAGCAGCTGCTCCTGCAGAATTTCTAAGTCGTCTCAAGGAACAGTTCGATCAATCCTGTCCTTATGAGGGCTAAAGGTCCAAACTTTGAGCTATAATTAGTCTGTAACACAAGTTTTAGTCTCTGTTTCTCATTTCAGTGAGCCAATCTGAAATCACGATGCTTCTTCAGACCGTACAACACAATGACTGCCAGGTTAAAAAGAAGCAGCAGCTCTGACCCTGAGTAACCTCGCTGAAACGTCCTGTTTGGGCTCATTGAGACTGAAATAATTCATGCTGATGAACGGCAGAACAGGTCACTGTGAAAGTCGAACCGCCTCCATCATTTTCTCCACTTTCCTCCCTTTATTTAACAATTCATGAAGCGTAGAGAGACAGGAAGATAAATGACATGCATCAGGATCTTTCAGCTGGAGCTTTGGCTGAGCTGTCACGGGTTCGGGTTTTCAGGATCTCTGCTGTAACTGTGTCGTTCATTAAATCATAAAGGTTATTAATGAGTACAGTTGACCTTTAAGAGCTCTGGATCATGAGTGGACTGTGAAGAGTTCATGAGATGACTGCTGATGTTTCTCTTTCTTCTTCACAGAGACGTTGGCGCCCTCGCCACCGACTGCAGCCCAGATCAGATACGGTGAGAGATGATGGACACACACACACTCACACACACACACACTAATCCTCTGTAAACGGATCAGAGTGAAGGTTTGGAGGATGATGGAGGTTCACCTTCGTTACTTTAATAACTCCCCTGCAGTGAAATTCACGTACTGACCAGCCTCTCATTAGCTTTGTTGGCTCTCTTGTCCATCATCTCCATCAAATGATATTTTTACTTTGAAGTCTGAACATCAGAGAGAAATTCAGCTCGATAACTGACCCCCTTTTTACCGCCCTCCTCGTCTTTGTAAAGCTGCCTCTTTTTCCCCAGAGAATAACAGGCTGCGCTCAGATTTTTCACTGCAAATAATATCTCTGAATTTAATTACCATAGCAACCTTCACACCTACTGTGGGCTCCATCAGGAAGTTTTTCCACCGTCAGACCTCAGACTGGGTTTGTCTATGGGGCTTTAAAGAGTCACCAAGTTAAAGGTGGTGTAGGCAGGAATCTGTTAAAAAAGCATCTTAAAAAAGCATTTAAAATCAGTCGATATCTATTAGTTATTGGTGACATTTGGTAATATAGTAATATCGCTGTGTTTTGTTATGTCTGTGTAGTAGGGCCAGACCGATAAGGATTTTTTGGGGCCGAGCGTCTGTTTGTGGGCGGGGCTTAAGAGAGGGAGAGGAGGAGCTGAGGGGAAAACTGTTTGGGAGGGGTAGAGTTTACATTCAGGATTTCTCCTAAAAACTGGAACTAACTCAGATCCTGACTACAACACCTTTAAGAAATGAGACAGTCGGTGTAGATTTTAGTGCTGGGTATGTTTAAACAGCTCAGTAGTGCCCCCTACAGACCCAAAATAACTCAGGCCCTGCAGCAGGTTTTTTCCTACAGTTATGAAATTAGGCAGACTCGTTTTTTAGGAGAAAACTCTCTTGGATCAGTACAGTAAAACCAACAGAAAGTCAGCTGTTTTATCAGTGATTCATCAGAGAAACTTCTTCAGCGAGAATATTCTCTCAGAAACTTTTTTAATCCACACTCAAAGACGAAGCAGTCAGTTTTGAAACGTGATTAACAGCCGGGATCTGTCTCACAGTAAATTAGAGTAACGTCATATCAATTTTAATTGTCAGATTATCTCTTAATCCTCCCAGCGTTGTTCATTAACTCCTCTCTGTTTGTTTGCAGTGTTATTTCACAACGCCATCCCCTTTGTTGGATTTGGTTTCCTTGATAACGCCATCATGATCGCAGCAGTAAGTGGAGTGATTTACTCAGTGATGAAGCCTAATCTTTCTGGAATCACTCCTCTGATAGAAAAAAAATCCACAGATTTTGTGAAATGGAATAAAAAAAGAAGTTAAATAAGTCGAAGTTTCTGCGGTTCACTGGTTCTGTTTTTTTTCCTCAGGGGACACAGATTGAGCTTTCCATCGGAGTCACTCTGGGAATCTCCACCATGGCTGGTAAGAACTCAGAATATATGAGGTTTATTTTTCATATGGTGTTTTATATGTATATATATAAATATAGATAGAGAGAGGGAGGAAAAGAGCAGGCGGTGGGGTTATATATAGACGTATTCCTGGGTTCTGATCGCTGTTTTACACACATCTGTTGGTTTTAATCAGCTTCTCTCAGTCACCTGCACTCACCTCTTTTTTTTATCGTTATTTAATGTTTTTTTAAAAGCTAATGCAGGCGTTTGAGATTCAGAGTTCATTTGCATATAAAGCAGGAAAGCGCCATCCAATCTCAGGTGATCATTCACGATCCGGCTGAGCGCGCCTCGCTGTGATTAGAGCTGTCGACTGTGATTGGATCACAATATCAGGTGTAAATGAGGAAACGTGCAGCCGGGTCAGGAGTAGAAGTCTCTCCTGGGCTCTGGTGGATCTCGTTCAGTCTCTAATCTCCCTCATGACTCAGGATTTTCTCCTCGATGTCACTAACATCATCTGACGGGGGTCCAATGAACCTCCTGAACCCCCCCAAACTCTCCGAGGATCAGGTGTTCATTCATAGGTTTCTTAAACTTTCATGGGTTCTGGAGGAGGCTTTGATTTTCCCACAATGCATTGCTCAACAAGCAGTAAAAAGTTCAGTCCAAACATTCATCACCAGAGTAATCTTTTCCTCAGCGGAGCGTAAATGATGGAATAAACTAAGCTCAGGTAGTTTGTGTTATTGTGTGACTTTAGTGTTCGAACGAGTCTAACACAATCTTTGTTCAACGCACAATTAAACAAACCGACTAATCGATGTCTGCTGAAAACACAGTGATTGTCCTGCAGATAGTGATAGTATTTGTGGTGTCTGTCTGTCTGACCCGTGTAGAGAGTCTCTTCAGATCTCAGCGTGGACCCGATGGTGCCACATTCGCCCTGAAAGATTACATCGCGTTCATTAAAGTCTGTTTTGAGCTTCCAGCTGAAACAATCTTCAGAACTACCTCTAAAGAAGTGAAGGACCAGAGCTCATCTCTCAGTCCCCACAGGTGTTCCTGCTTTAACTCGGCCCTGAATTCACTTTAGTGTCCGGCACCGTGAACCCTCTTTCATCATCCATCACTCGGGGGACTAATATCCCGACGTACAGAAAAAACACCTCCAGGTGTGTCGAACTGTTTTAAACTCACAGCCTGTTGTCGCCGCGGTCGCCGTTCTGGGTCTCAGTTTAGGTCTTTATTACAGAACCAAACTCTGCGGAACCCATAAAGGCACTGAGCTTCCCCCCCCCTCCCTTTTTTTCTGCCACTAGATTATTCCGTTTCCATGGATACTTGGCTCCAATTTCCCCTGCAAAGTGCAAATCAGAGGCTGGAGACGGGCCCTAGATCAATAGCTGCACTCGCGCTCATGCTTTATATTTGTTTCATCATCATCATCCATCCGGAGCAGATGCTCCTCCAGTTCACTGGTTTCATAGTTTGAGGACCCTCTGCTGCAGATTCGCTCCATTGTTTTCCCTCACTTCTCTGTTTCTGTCGGCCGCTAATGTGCTGTTGAAAGATCTGAACAACATTTCCGTTTCCAGGAAAGAGTCAAACTTTGAAGGAAAGTAAAGATTGAAGCCGTCCATCTGCTGTTTCTGTCCCGAAGGAAAGTCTGTGCCCCAGGAGACAAAACAAACACCTACTTCTTCGCCTGTTTGTGGTTATAATGACCACAAACAAATATATCCACGACCATATTGTCAGCAACTACCCGAGAAAATGCGTTCCACAGCGTGAATTATTCATATCTGCCAGCCAAGTGTTCTAGATGGAGACCATGAAGTGGAATAGTCTGCTGACAGTGAAACGGCAGAGGCAGAGGGAGAGCAGCTGACTGCTTTCTTGGTGTTTTTCCAAAGGTGCTCTTTGTAATGTAAAAACTTTCACACCTTCTCGTACTCCTACTGACTCTCATTGTGCAGCGAGGAGCAGCTTTGATCTATTGTTTATTCCGCTCTCTGTTTCTCATCTTTTTATAACTCAAAGAGATGTATGTGGGCCACTCAGCACCACAGAGTTTAAGTGTTTTCTCTCATTCCTTCTGGTCGTCTTCTGAGTGTGGAGGTGAGCTGCTTTATTCAGGGGATAACACGATCTTTAGGATGGATAACACCGTGGAAACCCTTCTTAGACGTGTCTAAATCTGGACTATTAAAGTTGAACTCTAATCAAACACATGGAGAAGTTATTATCCCTCTTTGAATTATGAGTTGGTTCATTTAGTGATTGGTATTTTTGGTATTTTTGGGCTGAAATGCCTGAAATATTCTGTGTCCAGGATGTAATGCAGCCTCCTGCCACTAGTGGGGGCTGTAACCAGCTTTTGTTTGGAGCAGTTACAGTTACAGTCAAGTTTTTATTTTTTTTTGCCATTTAAATCCTGATACCAAATGCTTTGAACCCTTTAAACAGTTTTTAAAAAGTCTTTAAGAAGTCTGAAGTTTTACAGTTTCACTCCAGACGTCCGCCGCCAAGTTACTGAGGCCTGCATGTCTCCTGAAAGCACAGCTGTAGGTGTGTGTTTTGGTGTGACTGAATAAGCTGAAAAAGAGCTCCATGAGCAGGTGAGCAGACTTTGACACCTGAGTCATGCATGAATGTAATGTGTCGCGGAGAGAGCTTGTAAAGGTTGAAAGAATAGAAAGACTCGGGGGACCGTAAATGTGCAGCTTTCCAACAGTTTGTCAACCTTTCACAGGGTGACTGACAGCCCCGAGGACTTCAGTCTGTCTGATTTAAACTGCTCCAGATAAGAAATCAACACATCAGAGAGTGTATTCCTCCAGAGGTTTGGGTCAAAGCAGCCTGAGGGGAAAATGAAATTGACCAAAAGCTGCAGCTGCAGGAAACTGTCAGTCCTGACTGGAGATTTAATCTCGGGGGATTTTCAGTTTCAGATCCACTTTCAGGGACATTTTATCGAAACCATTTAGAAAAAAAAAGACGTGTTAAAAATCATTTCTTAATTATTGCTGAAGCACAAAAAAATCTGTAAAATCCCTCTGTATTCGTCATGCATCGAGTCTCTTTGTTTTTCATCAAAGAAAAGCAGAAATCCGAGTGTTTGCCTCTTTGTGTTTTTTCAGCTGCAGCTCTGGGGAACCTGGTTTCAGATCTAGCAGGTCTCGGGTAAGCTGATTTATGAACCGTCTCTGAGGGTTCAATTTGATTTAGAGTCAGACGTTTGAAATCTGTTTGAGACCCCGCAGGTTCGAGAAGTTAAAGGTGCATTTGGTGTTTTCTGCATTTATGAATTAAAACATTAAATCAGTGAAGAAAGCTTTCTTTGTCTCTGTACTGCCACATCAGATCTCCGTGTTTTGACAGTTAAAATCTTAATGTTACGGTTTATTTCACTTCAGTCTTCTCTCACAGCAGCACCCTCTCTTGTTTTCATACCTTCAACATAGAAACGTTTTAAAATCCTGACTATTTGATATGAGGTGTTACTACAGACCTCACATCTGTGTGAAAATCTGCTGCTTTAAGTTTGTAAGTCAGTCAAAGACGTCAGTTCTGTTTAATTAGAAATAAAATGTGTGTTTGCAGTCTTGCAGGTTACGTCGAGGCTCTGGCTTCCAAACTTGGGATGCAGGTTCCAGATCTGACGCCCAAACAGGCCGACATGTGGCAGACCCGGGTCAGCTCTCACATGGTGAGTGTAAATTAGAGATTTGTGCCTCTTTTATTATGTGTTTAAAAACCTGACGGTTGAGGTCCCACAGCTCGAGACTAAAGTCTGAAGAGTTTGAAATTCATAACCTTTTTGCACTCAACAGGACTGCATTTTCTTAAACTATATTATCTATATTCTAAATATCTTTACTGCTTTTAACCTTAAATTGTGTTTTTAAAAAAAAGGCATTTTAGGTGTCATAATAGATCAAGTCTTTTGGAGGAAACTTTGATACTTCTCTTGATTTTAATATGTATATTTCTTGGTCTTTCTGCCTGTATCAAACATTAAATGTTGTCTCTCTAACCCAGTTTGACTCACCTGTCTCTACAAGCCTAGAAAGCTGATATATCAGCCCTGATTCTTGCTTCAGTTTGAGTGTGAAACTCCCTCTGAATTCCTCCAGGGCAGCTGAACATGAACAATAACTCCAAGATTGCAAGTGTAGCAGAAAACATACAGGATCCATCAGCGCCGCGTCTCTGCTCCGTCAAGCAGTGCTCTTCATCGCCCACAGGATGCATGTTTTGAGCGTAGCAGCAGCAGCAGCGTAGTGCAGACCCGGTCAGATAGGCTTAGTTTAGAGGAAACAACATGCTCATAACAGGTTGTTTTGCCTTTCTGTGGTCTATGTACCGCTTTTCACGATGAGGCTGAGTCTGGCAACAGCGGCCCCTCAAAGACAAGTGGGCTTTTCCAAATGTCATAGTATAGTATGATAAAATTTCAACTTCTACTTTGAAAAAAATTCAGGTGTAGTATGTTAAAAAATATCAATGTATAGTATGAAAATTTCACATTTTAGTATAAGAAAAATGTATACTGTGGCACAGTCTGCACCATGGTGTATTAGCTACCACTCTCACCTAACAGCAAGAAGATCCCAGGCTAGAATCCCGGTCATTGATGGTATAAATATTTCAAATTCTAGAATAAAACCATTTCATGGTATTGTGTGTTAAAAAAAGTCATAGCATATAATGATAAAAATGTCAAAGTATAGTATGATAAAAATTTCTAATTCTAGTATGAAACATTTTTTATGGCAGAGTATGTTAAAAAAATGTCATAGTATAGTATGTTAAAAACTGTTAATGGAAAGTATGATAAAAATTACATACTACACTATGATAAAAAATTTTTATTCCAGAATTAATATTTGACATAGTATAGTTTGATAAAAATGTCATAAAATACTTTGACAAAAATGTCATACTTCAGTGTGGTAACAAAATCACATCTAAGTATGAGAAAATGATAACTTGTTTAGTGGTTTAGGCCTTGATGTGATGGTCAGCACTGTCATCTGAGAGCTGGAAGATTCTGGTTCGAACCCCTGCCATTGATTGTAGAAACATGTTTATTTCAACTTTGAAAAAAATGTCATGTAGTATGTTAAAAAATATCATAGCATAGTATAATTAAAATGTCATACTATAGTATGTTTAAAAATGTCAGAGTATGGTAAATAAAAAATTCAAATTCTACTATGAAAAAAATGTCATAGTAAAGAATAATTAAAAATGATCCATTCTTATATGAAACAAATATGTTATAGTATGTAAAAAAATGTCATAGTATAGTATGTTAAAAATGTCATAGTATAGTAAGATAAAAATTTTAAGTTCTTATTTGAAAAAAATATGTTATAGTATTTAAAAAAATGTCAGAGTATAGTTTGTAAAAAATGTCAAATTGTATTTTGAAATAAATGTCATAGTATAGTATGATAATAATGTCATACTGTACTATGATAAAGAATTCTACTTTCAGTATAAAAAATTGACTTAGTATAGTTTGATAAAATGTCATAGAATACCATGATTAAAATGTCATACTTCAGTGTGATAACAATTTTACATCGAAGTATAAGAAAATAATGTCTTGTTGTGTTGTTGGCACTGTGGTGTAATGGTTAGCACATTTCTTATCACATTCTAGTATGAAAATATGTCATAGTATACTCTGATAACACTTTTAAATTCAAGTATGTTAGAAAAATGTCATGATGAAAATTTCAAATGCTAGTATGAAAAAAGTCATACTATAGTATGTTAAAAAATATGTCTTAGTAAAGTATGATCAACATTTCATGTTCTTGTTTGAAAAAAATATTTTATAGTATGTAAAAAAAAATCATAGTATAATATGTAAATATATATATATATATACATTACAATAAGTTTTTTATTCTAGTTTGAAAAAAATGTTATAATAAAGTATGTTAAAAAACCACCCAGTGAAATTGGTGGTTTGGTCTTGGACCCAGAGCTCATTCTCATTCTCTTGAGGATCTCTGAAATCATTTATTTCCCTCCATCATCCTCCCTGCATTTCCGTCTTTCTCTTTCTTTTTCCTCAAAGTGATCAGCTCAGACTGACCTCTTTCTATAACGATCGTCTCGTAGTGTTTTTTCTGTATTTTTTACACAGCCAGCAGAGGTGCGATGACTAATAAGGAGAATATGAGCGAGCAAGAGGCCAAAGTCCCCAGCTGAAGTTTAACGGTGATGCTGTAGTAATAATGGCTTCTCAACCCTCCAGGGCAGCCAGGATACTCTGACACTGATATTTCTCATCGTTTATTAACACACCAAGAACAACAGGTCGCCCTTACCTTTAAAGTTTGCGACGACACGGCAGGAAATTCACCAAAACAAAAACATAAAGAAGCTGTAATTGAGCAGGAAACTGCAGCTGCTGGAGGAGGCACATCAGAGAAAAAATACTGTATAATGAGAAAACACAGCAGACAGAGAGAGAAACTGATGTCAGCAGTCTGCAAAAATACGCTTCAGATCAAATCTATCAAAAGCTCCGCAGAGGATGACGGCGGAAAAAAGAGGGAGCTCCTGCAGGTAGTCTAAAAAACTTTCCTGTCCAGGGAGTGAAAGTGACGGACGCTAATGTGAGTCAGTGTTTGAAATGAAGTTTTTCTGTCGGGTAATAATATGAGAATGTATTTCTGTCCTGCAGGGGAAAGGGATCGGAGTGTCCATCGGGTGTATTCTGGGGATGTTCCCGCTGCTTTTTCTTGGAGATGAGGATGAGAAGGAGAAAGACGCACAACCCGGCAGTGACGCAGCATCAGACTCCTCCTAACAAACCGCCAACGCCATCACACTGCCGGACTCAACACCGCTGAAGCCGACTTCACAAACAGAAGTATTTATATTTGAATGTTCTCTGCTCAGGCGGCGTTTACAGGCCCTCGCTCTCCTCACGCTCTGAGGCCGTTTGTGTAAACTTCTGAGGCTGATATTTAACCAAGCGGGGGTGTTCTCTCTCCGTCTGATCCATCAGCACATGCTGCCTGTTTGTTCAGTATGTCTATTTAATTAGATGTCTACTTTAAATTCACCAGTTGTAGTCTTGTTGATCAGATTTCTTCCCACTCCTTATTGACCTGATTGATTGTTAAATGAAGCAGCTGCTTTTGATACAAATGACAAAAACACTCCTGGAGGAATTTCCTGAAAATAAGTCTTTATAAACGAACATTTCACCCCCGAGAACATCCTCTTCTTCAAATTTAAATGCTGAGAGGCGGCTGTGATCACAGGAGGAATAAAGAAACACATATCGAGGCTCACGTTAAAAGTGACAGTCCACACTCTCTAAAAGTGGAAGTCTCGCATAATTTCTGTCACAGGTGATTTGAGAGTAAGGACACCTAAGTTCTGACTTCAGTCACTCTTCAGACAGCTCACAAGTTAATCCGTAAAATCACCTGAAAATCACAACTGCTCACTTTAGTGTAAAGAGGGGAATGAAGTTGGAAATCTGCCTGATGACTTTGATTCACTCCTGCTGCTAAACTACTGCTTTCAAACCTTTAATGAAGTAAAGTCGATGAAGAGACACTATCAAGAAAAAGAAAAGCTTCCATCATCTGATAACACTTACAATCAGTTTTGATTTTACAGCAAAATAAGCACAAAACAGCCAAACTAAAGCAGACAGTCGTCGCTCTCACCAGTTTAAGATGAATGAGTCTGGATTTAAAGGCTCTTGGATTATTATAAAACTCTTTATTATTTCAGCAGCTCACCGCCCTGTTTTATAAAATCTCTTTAAGTTTTCCATCTTTTCCTGAGCAGAAACTTTATCAAGTTTAAGATTTCGTTTAAATAACAGTGATAAAAGTTCTTTTACCGGGAACCAAACAGACATGAGTGACGGATCAAAGTTGCTGAACTTGGATATCAGCTGTTTGGCTCTTTTGCTTCTTAAATCTTGAACCAAAAACAGAGAGAAGAAAAAAACTCCTCTGCTACCTCGACAAGAATCTTTTGTTTTGCATGAAGACCTGATGTAGCTCTACAATCACATGTTTTCATATCAGATGTTTTTATGATGCTGGAAACTTCCAGATCTTTGGACAGATGAATGAGGCGTTCAGTGGCGACACACACTATTGGAAACTGGAGCTTCTGTTTTAGTTGGAGTCCTCCTCTGTGTTTGTGTTTTCCTGCTCTGTTCCCTCGTTCCCTCCCTCCCTCACAGACTCTTGACTCAGGTCCAGCCGTCTGTGTAATTAGTTTTTTGGAGCGCGTTTCCTCAGACTTGGAGTTACAGATGGTTGGATTCCGCCGCACATCACCGTGAAGCCCAAAAACAGTTAATACCATAAGGAGACAGGCGGGTGGTTTTCAGTGCTTTCTGTGACCTCGTCTCTCTCTCTCTCTTGAGCTTAAAGCACATATTTAAAATGCTGTTTGATGGTGAATCCACTCAACCTTTGAGAAAATTTGAGATTAAATGTTCATTTATTCCTTCATTGTAACAGCTGGCTTTGAAACTTTTTCTACACTAGACAATAAATGTGGATCGATTAGTTTCATTCTTTGAAAAGTTTGAAAATCACCAAAACTTTGAGTATAATAATGATGAAGATTGAAGAAGCCAGCTGGTATTTAACAGATTTTCTTTTTTAAAGGCGTAAATCCGTCTACATCCTCGAATCAAAAGAGATTATGGCTGAAGTTTGAGTCTAAACTCAAACAGACTGTGGACAGAAATGTTTGAATAATATTGTAATGAGGGTTTGGATTCAGCTGACAAAGTCTTTCACTGGATCAACTCTGAAAGCCTGGAGGGATTTTTATTTTGTCCCATAAAAGAAAGTTTTCCTTGTGAGGAGGAAAAGGAGCAATACGCTAAACGCTGGTAACTAATAAGTAATAATATGAGGAATCTGTGTCTTTACATGGATGTCTCAGTCACCTCATCTGTGTGAGGAGCAGATTTTATTTTGTTTTTATTCTCTCCATGTTTGACTTTAAATCTCATTTTGTACAGAAAAAAAAAACTGACTGGAGGAGAAACTTTGATGCATATGAACAAATGTAATCTCTTAGCTATGTCTGTTAAAGGAATGCTATGTTGTGCTGCCATCTAGTGGACAGTCTGGACCTGCACTGGAACATGTATGTAGTATAAAAACAAGTGATGTCCAAGGTTTGATTGTACAGTTTGCGTTTTAAAACATGTTTTCGTTGAAACAAATAAACTCGGGAGTGTTTACCTCTGGTCTGCAGGTGAAGCTGCTTCCTGAAACTTTCTTTTGTCCTCACAATCGACGCTGACGGCTGAGGAGCCCTCGAGCAAGGCAGTCAAGGTCGTCAGGCTGAGGTTGGTCAGAGCACAGGTACACATCTTAATTTAATCAAAGTACAGACACTAAGTTTGGTGTTAATGAGGTATTCCTAAGTTTTCTAATTATTCAGGATTTTTAAACTGTAAGAAATCACCAGTCAGCCGGAGTTATCAGATGCACATTGTTTGCTACCATTTTATTATTTAGCCAAAACAGCTGGTTTACATAGAAAACAGGAGACAGATTTCAGGAAATGAACATAAAGTACAGGATTATTAAGAGCCAGAAGAAAAAGAAGAAAACAAATTAGTGAATAAAAATCTGTTTGCAAAAACTGTAAATACGACAGACAGGACAGTGTGTGTGTTAGTGTGTGTGTGTGTGTGCGTGTGTGTGTGTGTGTGTGTGTGACAGAAAAAAGTCCATGTGATGACTTCTGCTAAAAAAGTTTTCAAATATCCCTGAAAAAGAAACGCGCTCGGTTATCATGAAGGATTAAGAAACGAGTTAAACGGCGAATGTGACCGACATCAGAAGTCAAGTTTGTGTTTTTGCAGCGATCTGTGTTAGTGCTGTGTTCAAGGCTGGTGGGAAGTTTCATCATCTGAGTTGACAGAAGTTTACATTCATGTGCTGTTTTGACGAAAATGAATGAAAGAAAACTGCATGATTAGACTAGATTAGGATTAAGACAAAGTGATCTTGTATTAGCCATGAAAGTCGTTCTCTGTGATGGAAACCAAATTTACTGTTTTTATTGTCCACGAGCCTCACATATTAGGACTTTAGTTCAGAGGATTTCAGAGACTTTAGATGCGTACTTCATTAAAAACTGACTGCTGGTTTGTATTCCTGCTGTCTGATTTTAATCCTCCAACCTACAGGTCACATATCTGTCCAACGATAAAACCCAATTCTACTGAAGTTGGGAAATTGTGATAAATGTAAATAAAAACAGAATACAATGATTTGCAAATCCCTTTCAACCTATATTCAATTGAATACACTACAGAGACAAGATATTTAATGTTTAAACTCAAACGACAACGGAGACCCCGGACTGTTGAACAACTGAAGCTGAACATGAAGCAAGAATGGGAAAGAATTCCACCTTCAAAGCTTCAACAGTTGGTCTCCTCAGTTCTCAAACGTTTATTGAGTTTGTTAAAAGGAAAGGAGATGGAACACAGAGGTAAACATGACCCTGTCCTACTACTACTTTGGCACGTGTTGCTGCCATGATTCCATTTTTATTGACCTTTATCACAATTTCCCAACTTCAATAAAATTGGGTTTTGTTACATTATCTTGATACTCTTCATATTTACCTGTTTTGATTGACTTCTGCTCAGTCCACAAACCCCTCGAGAGTCTCTCCAGTTTCATTATTAAAAAATAAATAAAATCAAAATCCTAGAAAAGGTCAATTTGAAGACATTTCAGTCAGTGGATAATTATTCCGTTTGGAGTCTGATAGTGACCAAAACAACACGATAAGAGTATCCAAAAATGACATCTTCCTCCATCATATAAAACCATGTCTTTCTTTTTTCATTATCTTTGTTTTTAATCATCATTTGCATTTTATTTAGTTTCTGCATTTCTGCAAAATTACCATGAAAGCAATTAATATTTGACAGCGCTTTATGTAGAAAATGGTTTAACCTAAAATCGTTGATGTTTGCCGGCGAAATTCTCAAATCAATATGCAGTACAAAAAAAGAGTAAAGAAAGTCCGGGTCAGCATAAACTTTGGAAAATTTGGCAACTTGTCTCAAATAAGAAGTATTAAAAAGAGTGGGAATGAAACCTCCACACACACCAAGGACTGCTGAAGTGATTTTCTTCATTTTTGTCTGACCGTACATGAACCTCACTGAGCTCATCCACTCTGGTTGCTGCAGATTTTTCTTTACGATCACTTTTGTATTCCTCAGTGTGTGTTTCGGCCTCACCCAGGTCCTGAAAAACAAACAGTCACCGAGTCCTCAGGCTCGAACGTTCAGCTTCATACGCTTTTTATCGCATCAGCTACACGACTGTGTCCGTTTACCTGCGGTGGAGATCACATAGGAAACAGACAGGTTTCAGTCTTCATACAGAGAGTCAAACTGCTGTCACACAAAAATATGAAACACTAAGAAAACAGGTTCAATGACAAGCAGCATCTACAATGCATTCTGGTCCTCTAGAGGCAGACCCACCAATAAAAGTAGTTCAGGTAGAAAAAAGCAGACTATTAAACCTTTAACTAAAAAAGACAACATGCATATTCAAATATATTTGCTAATATGTCTTATAGGATAGTTCGGGGTTAAGAAATGAGTAACGGAACGTTAAAAACAGACGAAATAATGTCGAATATAAATGAAAATGAATAAATACATAAATATTTTGACACGTAGTGGCTCTCTATTAACAGTAAGTAGCAACAGGAAGGTCTAGTTCAGCCCGCCTCGCTGATTTACCACGAACACGGGTTAGAGTTGAGCTCATCGGGCTATTTGACATTAAGTTAATACAAGCTATAACAGGTTTATATTTGCCAAAGTTGCACAGGAGTATTATTGCACAGCAGGGTATACTTGACTCATGTTGTAACCATCTGTTTAAACGGCGTACGCAGGTTTTTCAGTCTGATCTGAAGCCTCATTTTCAGTTTCATTGGTTTCTCCTGCATCACTGAGGAACTAGTGACCATCAGCACACGGTTCTCACTGCAACAGGTTAATCCACAGGAAGTCCACATGACTCCAGTTACCATAGCTAAACAGCTAATAGCACCACAGACTTGTAAGTGTATGATAAACAGTGCACAGCTGCCACAAGGTTGTTTTTAGGCTAGCAATATTTTCAAACACTGAACAGCGAGTTGGTGAACATGGAGGCCGACGAAGTCACAAGTCTGAAGACGTTCTTTTTCTCAGGTTTTCATAAAAGACAGACAGGTTTGAGTTTCCTCTGAAAACAAAGCAAAAGCAGCGGAAGGATAAAACATGGTGAGTGAGTAGTTATGGAAACCAAGACTCACTACGTCCTCATAAAAGTCAAGAGCATGCCAAACCTGTAGGTGGCAGTGTAGTGAGAATCTCAAGCCCACGTTAGCCAATCAGAATCCTGCATAGCAGCAACAACAACAACATCACTTCCTTCTTACCTGCACGCAATTTGCCGTCGGCTACCAAAATCTTATTTTTTCTCCGTTTACGTCCAAACAAAGTTTTCCAAAATCTCCGAAGTTTTTTATAAAGAATCGTATTCAGGGGCGAATTCTCCATTTGCATCTAAACAAAGGGTGCAAATGATGGTTAATATCTCTGTTTTAGAAAATAGCCGAGTGGGAGGAGTCTAGTTTTTACTGTGAATGGACTCTTGAGGTCCATAACTGCCCTTTCACTATTCCTGTCCCTGTTTACTGACTGAGTATATCGGCGTTATGTTGATAGTGGAAAAAATAGTCCCTCTGATTCCACGGTTGGTGTCGTTACCAGAGCTAAAATTGTCCTTCAGGAAGAGCATACTGATCAATTCACGGTTTAAACTGACGCCTTTGTCAACAAGCGAAAGTAAAACGAGCCGGAACTGCTTTCTGTGGATTGATTTCATATGACATGAGAACTACTTTTCTCCGGCGCCGCTTGTGTTCCGCAGTTATTGACCGTTTTCAGAAGGTTGTCGAAGGGTGTTGACCATCAGAATCAGAAAGACTTTTTCTTCCTGTCACGATGTCGGCCTCCACTGTTCCTGACGGCTACAGCTGGCACTCACCACTGCCCGGTAATCACGGGTTTGAGTGTCAGTCTCAGTCTAATTGAAAAGCTGAATTGTTAGTTTATACTGGGGCAGACTTTTAACCATGCAGGTCAATCTACTGTATATTTGAACAACTGTAACAACCAAATAATCTTGAATATGCTACTCTACATATACAAATACTCTTCTTTCAGTTTGCTCAGGAGCTCCATTAAACGCTCTATCTACCTTTTTACAGGAAAATCATTTGACTTTAATAGATTTAATTCAGCACACGGGCTTTTGGCACCTCAAATGGAAATGGGAGACCATGGGGGTGACAGACAAACCATATAAACACACCAAAGTATAAATATGTACATACAAATTATGATTTGATCTTTTGTACATACTCCATCTCTCCTCCCAGTTCAGTTTTATCTCTTCAAGAACTGTTCCTCCCTAATCTTCAATTTGAGCATTTCTGCTACAAGAATGATCTTGAACACCTTTACACTTGTAGACTGAAGTTGCCCTGGATAACTGATTTTGGGTTAGTGGAGGAGTTTCCACAAGCCTCAGCTGTCAGCCAAACAAACAACTACAGCCTGAATCTTCTTCTATCATTACTTCAAATATCAACACGAGCGTCTCAAAGAGGCTCGTCTCCCTCTGTCAGCAGACGGGATCGCTCAGGGGAAACCAGACTCTGTCCAGCTTCACTCTTTGACCCTGCTCTGCAGAGACCGTATTCTCGTTTTAATAACGAGCACCAAACACCCCAGCTGACTGCTTTTCTCTGCTGACTGAAGTGTCTGTTTGTGGAAACCACCTCAGGAGGAACTAGAAGTGTGGTACCAGGGTTTGAAAAAGTCCCAAAGAAAACAGGGCTTCAGTTACCTCACAAAACAATAGAATTTGGCACCGTAGGGAAGTTCTCAAAGAAGTTTCACTTCAACATGGACCAAACTAAAACCGACTGCTTCAGGACGTTTTTTGATACCTCAGACTTTTATCCACATGACCCTGTTGCTTCTTAAAAGAAAGATCTTACTTTGCCAATCTCTCTTCGGCTGAAAACAAAGGTGCAGAAACATTTTCACTTTTCTTTAAATTTGGCAATAATGTCATGAACTCACTGGACCATCTCAAATACTCCTTCATAGTCTTATCGGGAAATTTCAGCCGACCTCCACCTTTCCTGGCCACGACGTCACAGCTCCCATTTGTGTTACTTGGTGCTAACCATTGTGTGTCCCTTTGAAGGCAGGGACACAAAATGGTTCAAGTCAAACCTTTGGGCTCTCAGTGAATGATCGGTGCTGATCGGTCGTTGGTGGACGCCTTCTTGAGCCTGACGCCTCGTCGAATTGCCACCAGATAATCCTCCACTTCGCCGTATTCTGTCTCCTCCAGGAGCTCTGGGAGATATCCCCGATCCCACTCCACCCGACCACTGGGCTGCGGTGGTGGGGTGGGAGGATCCAGTCCCTCGCTCGTGTGCTGGGTCTGCCATGGGCCGGTCTTTGGTGACCCGCTGCTGCCAGGTGTCAAAGGGGTGGTTGGTGGACTGAGCGGAGTCCGAGCCATGTTTCCATCCTCTGACGACGACCTGCTAGGAAAACCAGGGTGTTCAGGCACAGTAGGGGTCTTCACTGGGATCATGGGGGGTTTGATCGGGATGGGACCCAAACTTAGGCCCCCAGAGGGGCGGCGCAGGTTGGGTTTGGAGGATGGTGTTCGGCGAATGGTGGCGACTCCTGGGGTGATGATGGCAGAGGGATGCGAGGGCAGCCCAGCGGTGGATGCCGGACGTTTGGACTGGAACATGCGGCGGTAGGACTGACTGATGTCGCTGTTTCTGGGGATGGTGGAGGATTTATCAAAGTCCGATGACTGCTGCTGCTCGCCATCCTGATCCGCTCCCACAGAGTAGTAGTCACAGTCCGATACTGAGGGGAGAAAACAATTTGATCACACAATCCCTCCGCACAAAAACACATCAGTCCACATCTAATGGAAGAGACGGACTTCACGCTCTCGGCTCTAAAAGCTGTCACCGCTCACACTACAAGTCTTTGGTAGATGCAGCATGAAAGGAAATACGGGGGCTGCTTCTCCAAGACTTGGATTTATGTGGACATGTTCGAGTGAGAATACTAAAACCTCCCCAAACACAGGAGGAGTCGCTGATCTAGCCCTGCCTCGACTCGTAGGAACAACCACACAAACAGAGTAACCCTCTGAAGTTGCCTGTTCCCATGTCCTGATAGTGTCTTACTCTACATCTTAAATGCTCTGGTGTGTTTGCACCTTGTGAGGGGATGGTGTCCTCTGAGCAGCAGGGTGTGTTGGTCTGGCTGCTGTAGCCGCTCGAGCCCTGCAGCGAGTCTCTGCTGGAGCCGTGGATGTCCAAGCGAAGGCCTTTAGCTAAAACCCTCGCCAACTCCTCGTGGACCTCCCTCTCCTCCTGCAGGGTCAGCACACAAACACAGACAAACACATATATTTACATGACGTCTGATGAGTCACATGACCTGTTGGCCTTTGATTGACCTCACCTTGGCCGCCATCACAGAGTTGCCTCTTTTAACGCCTTGTGGTTCCTCTCCAGGTGTGGTGACGTCATTGTTTCCGTTGGGATCTGTGGTCTCCCTCTTGTCCTTGTTTCTCTTCAGGGTGTTGACCATCCCCTGTTCATATGGACCCGGTTTGGCCCAGTCCTACACCCAAAACAAAACAGCGATACGCTCACGTTTTTGTTGTTTATGATGTTTCAACAGTTTGAGCTGTTTTGATCCATGGTTATAACGACGTTAAGATGTTTTTGATTTACTTCTTGTTTCAGTCATTTTAAGATGGAATGATGAAAAACTACGGTTACAGTTTCAAACACGATTAAACCTCGAGAAGGGAACTTCTTTAGCGCGAAGATGTCAATCCTGTCAACTCTGTTAACCTCGTTCTGGATGTGCCGAGGGATTACTCTCTTCATTAGTAAGATGTCTCCTTGACTGCTAACGATTGCTGTTGAAACTGAAGCGACAGATTATAGTTTAAAGATGTGATTTTAAGCCAATGCAGTGATTTCCACAACGGAGTCAAGTCTATCTTGGCCGTCTATCGTCATGTTTCTTCAGTTCAGAGATTTCTCCAGATTCTCTGATTCTTTAAAATGATACGATGTCCTGTGGATGACCGAAACCATCTGCTCATATTTCTCAATAAACAATCAAATTTCTTTTTTGGATTTAAGGTTTAAAAGATTTTAAAACCTCAAATTATGTTTTGATGTCCTGTTTGGGTTATAGTTTCACTCACAGTATTAAATTTCTCTTTTTTCTAATATAAGAATAATCCAGAATTTATCCACATAAATCTGCCTGTAAAATTCAGGATGTGTTGAAAAAAAAAGATTGAAGCATTTGATCAAAAACAAAAGCAGGCGCACAGTAATCTGTTTGTTGACTGTATAATAGTCTGTAAAAATGACCTTTTAATGATTTAAATGTTCCCTGGATCTGTTTTTACACCAACAGGTAAAATTCAGTTTAAAGTTGAGACACTTTATATCCAGTTAAAACCAGAATCTGACCTGAAAATGCCACATTTGAATATTGAGGAGCCGTGTTACTGAAGAGGAGACAAAGTCTGTGTGTCTGCTTTAAAAATGATGAGGCTGAAAATACAGACTGATGAAAGGAAGAGAGGAGAAGAGGAAAAGAGGAGGACATCAGGGGGATTTGGGATCAAACCTTCCAGGACGGGACTCTTGACGGGGTCGCTCCTGACCCAGAAGGACTGAGAGGAGGGAACTCTCCGGGACGACACCACAGCCAGGAGGGAGACACGGACGAAGAGGAGGGCGAGGAGATGGGAGAGGAGGTGAAGGAGGTGAAGGATGAAGGGTGGAGGTGGATGTCCGGGGCCTGCAGTACCAGTCCGTGCAGACAGAGGGCAGTGTGATGGTCAAAACCATTCGACAACTGAGGGTGAGTGGATGATGGAGAGGCGGGGAAACACTTTAGAAATCAAAAATGGAAAAAAAAAAACAGACATGAGTGGAGCTGGAGGAGGAGGAGGAGGAGGAGGAGCCACACGTCACAGTGATTTTTAAAAACTATAAATATGAATTATTAATAATAATAATAATAATGCTGCTGTAGGAGTTTATTTTCAGGCTTTAGTCCAAGCTAAATTTATTAAACTGTTTCTCTATTTATTCATAAATTTTAATCGTTTTTAAATAAACGTCGTCTCTTATTTTTGCTCTCACTCCTATCCGAAGACCTGCTTTTCCTTCCTGGATGAGAATGAGGCGCACTCTTCGTCTGTGTGTTCTTTAAAGTTTAACACAACAAACTAATTTGATTCAGTTATTTTGGTATTTGATTAGAAGATCAACTCTTCTCGTAAGAAAACACTGAAGTTTAAAGCTCCATGTGGCTCCTCCAAACACAAAACATCAACAGCAGACCAGAGAGAGAGTAACGCTGACTCCACTGACCCTTAAAACCTTCAGATCTGTGTGTGTGTGTGTGAGTGTGTTTTCATGTGCAGACGTTCACCTGGTCAAGCCCAGTGCGGGGCTCGTTGTGTGAGGGTGAGGAGGAGGAAGAGGAGGAGGAGGAGGAAGAGTCCTCACTGACACACTCAGAAGGTAAAGGAGACACACAGGACTGCAGCAGAGCCATGCAGAGCGCGCACACACAAAGACCGCAGAAAGAAAGAAGGACAGAGAAAGGAAACCACGGGGAGAAAGACAGAAAACAGCAGAAGAAGCATGAAACAGGTTAGTAATAAAATCAGAGTCTCAGTGTGAATAAGAGAAACAGTGTTAGCAAGGCAGAGAGATACATGAGCAGAAGCAGGAGAGCAGCGAGGAGAAGAAGAAGAAGAAGCAGCAGAAGCAGATTCAGCAGGAGGGATGAGACGATTAATACAAAGATGAACATCCTGCTTTAAGAAGATTTCAGTAAAAAAGAGATAAAAGATAATCCTGAAATAGAAATCATTTAACTGTTTCTATTAAGAGGTGGATGAATGAATGAAATCTGCAGAAATTAAGCGTTCAATATTTCCTCTACCTGCGTTTTTATCTCATAATTTTCACACTTTTTAAACCTCGATGACTCCGCCGTCAAAACCTCCAGAGTCTGAAAACAGAGTTGGTATCAGAGCAGAGTCCAGGTGGGTTACGGAGGCGTCACAGGCTCATTAAAGGTATTTTAGTCTCTGAGCTGTTTGGCGGTTAAACTTCGACTCTATTCTGAGGATGAGAAATGTGCAGCACTTCAAACATCCCTGAACCCTCACAGCTCTTGAACGCCTCTAACATGAACGCATCTTTGCAGAGTGAGCAACAGATGAGATAATCGGCCGGACTGACTTCCACTCAGCTTCATATTACTTTGATGATGTCGCCCTCTGGTGGCGCTATGAGTGGATGACTTGCAGACCCCCTCTCAATCACATTCTTCTTCTCTCTCTCTCTGCTGGACTTCTGAATGAACTTAACCTCCTGTTATACATTCTCTGCTGTGCAGTTATTATATTTAAAGTGTTTAAGGTGAAAAACAGCTGATCTGTCATGTAGTTGAGATGATCTGAGGTGCAACACGAATTATTACCAAACAGTGTTGATGCATTTATCTGCTGTTCAATATTTACTAGATTATCAAACAAACTCTTGAGCTTTAAAGTTTTAATCATCCACCATGTGACTGTGCAGATTTACTGTTCAGGAGACGTTCTTAACTAAATATTTACATTACCTACGATGTAACTCTAGGGATGGGAACTGATAAGATTTGATCAACATTGACGCCATTATTGATTCTGCTTATCGATTCAAACGATTCCCTTTTGGAACCGGTTCTCAACAAGAACCGGTTCTGGATTCCCATCCCGATGAAACTCATGGTTTTAAAGTGTAATTAAAGTGTGTGACCTACTGTGCAGCACGTGAATGTGTCTCCAAGATCAAGTATTTGACTCCTGCACGATTTATCGACGTTCAGCACATTTTCTTGTATCCTGATAATAAATCTGGGTCACAGTTTCCCTCTTTATCGGTTTGTACCTGTAACCTTCAACAAAGATGTTCCTTTAATTTCATAGGAGTCAATTAATCAGTAATTTTTACGACACATTTAGGTGTCGGTGGTTTTTTTGTCGACCACTCTGCCCTTGAACACGAGCTCAGGAAACCCTGTGGGGACTAATCAAGCATGAAGTCCAGCTGCATGAGAGCCTGTGACCCTGAGGGTGACTCAGCACACACACACACACACACACACACACACACAGCAGCCTCAGCTAATGAGCGCTCCGTATCCTAGCAACCTGACCTCACTTGTGGATCCGGATATAATGACAGCGCGTGTGCGTTCTCACGACCTCATCTGACTCATTCTTCAGGTTTTTTTCTCGTCTCTGTCTCAGGTGTGTCCCTGCGGTCTGTGCGCCTCACCTGTGAGGTTTCTGGAGGCATAGGTGAGGGGGATTTGGACTGGAAGGCGTCCTGAGAGATGAAGCCGGAGTCGTGGGATGAGACGGAGGAGAGGCGGGCCGGCGTCTGCTGGGGGAGCACCGAGGAGGAGGAGGAAGAGGAGGCACGGTAACGGAAATGTGAGGTGGGGGAGTGGCAGTGTGAGCCGCTGGAGCGAGAGTCGCTGCTGTTCACGCTGTTCAGACTGCTGCAGAGAGAAACGGGTTCAGGAGTTAAAAAACAAACAGTTCAAAACTCTGACCAACAGACTGACTCTGAGAGTTCAGGAAGTTCTTCTCAACTAAATCTGAATTACATAAAAGAAACTTGAGATTTTCTAACAACTGTAGAAACAAGTCTGAGACACATGCAGACGCTTGTCGAGTCCTGCCTGACCACAGAGAGCTGTACAAGAGCAGCTTTTGGGAACTGGACCAACAAACCGTCCCTTTAAGCTGAAAGAAAACCCGTCGAAACACTCCTGATCAGGTTTCAGTAATGAGCGTCAAACAGAGAAGAAGAGGAACCATCTGAGAACAGACGAGCTGAAGGTCCGAACAGACCAGGTTCTTTGGCTTCTGTTAAATCTGCAGTTTCACCTCTGGACCACAGGGGGCAGTGGAGTACAGACAGGATCGAATCATCAAAGGTGTTTTTTGTATCCATGGTAACAAACCTGCACATGCTGGACTTCCTGGAAACGGTGGTGCTCGGAGACGAGGGCGGAGTCTGGTAGGACCAGGTGCACTCAGAGCCCTTCAGGTCCACAATCACCTGTAGAGAGACACAGACAGAATAATACCGGTCCACTGTCCAGAACCGGAAACAAAAGAGGGCGGAGGAAAAACCAGGCGGAGTCGAACCTGCTCACTGGAGGCTGGCAGCTTGTGAGGGTCCATGGTGAGAGTTTTTAGGTCGTCTGTCAGAGTCTGAAGGTGAGTGATCTCTCCTAACATGGACATCTCCTCCTCCTGACACAAAAATAAAAAAACTTCATCAAATCAGAGACGACTCTGCGAATAATCATTTATAATTTGCAGGATGAGGAATCAGTTTGTCCAGAGGGGGCGCCAAACCTGACCTGAATCAAAAGTTCCTCAATGAAGCTTTAATATTTAGAATCTCTACAGAAATCAGACGACTCACACACAGGTCTGTGTACAGTGTGTGTGTGTGTGTGTGTGTGTGTGTGTGTGTGTGTGTGTGTGTGTGTGTGTGTGTGTGTGTGTGTGACTGACCACCACGGGCCTCAGCATGGAGACGAAGTAGCAGAAGCGGCTCCTCTCCTCCACCAGCGCTTTCCTCACCGCCTGTTTCTCCGTCTCCTCCAGCAGCAGGTATTTATCGCTCACGTCCTGCATGGCGCTGTCCAGCTGAGGCTGCAGGTCCCCGCGGCCTGCACGAAAACAAACACAAACACACAACGTTGAGTGTAAGAGTTAACGTCCCGTTCACTGATAAAGACCTGCAGAGAATCGTCACTCAGAGCAGGTCTGGAGTCAGACGGTGAGGAAAGGATGGAGGTAAAGAGGCGGCAGACGTCCAGCTTCAGGCAGAGCAGAGTGCTTATTAGAAACTGTGAAACTGTATTTTTACCAAACAGACCTTCAGTCACGGAGGGAACAGCCTGTTCAGAGACTCAAAACACTTCATGGCTCCAAAACAATCATTAAAACCTCCAACAAACCACCACAACACAAGTTTTCCTCTGAAACTTCACCACACTGACGGAAACCAACAACCAACGACACATAAATATCACCGAGGTTAAAAACCGACTGATTATGAAAACTCACTTTAAAATCACAGAGATAATCTGACTGTTTCTTTTACACTCTGCTCCGATGTTTTCATGTATTTCTAATAAAAGAGTTTGTTTATACTTTTCTCAGGAGTTTTGTGTGACGGTGATTCTCAGATTTTTTGTCCAAAGAGGAAAAATCTCAGATTTCTAAATTGAGAAATTGGTTTCAGATTTTTTTGATCTTTTCAAAATCTGTGAGAAAGATTCAGTTTGAGTCGGTTTTGGCGCCCCCTGTAGTGTTGTGTCATTCACGAACGATTCGGTCAAAAGAACCGAATCTTTTAAGTGAATGTATTGAACCGAATCACTTCCTCAAGTGATTCATTCAGTTGAGCTAAAGTGAGAAACATCGTCAGGCCAGCAGCCGTTCATCAATCACTTCGATCAATCACCGATTTTCCAAACTAAATAAACTTTTAAACGTTTTTTTGTTGAAACACATCAGTTATTTTTGCTTTCACAGGTAATAACGGTTTAAAAGTGTCCCTCTCTGGGCTTCCGTACATCATTTCTTTATTGTTGTTGTTTTTTCCCCTTTTCGGAGGGTCACATGGTGATCTAATCATCTGAACAGAAGCTCCTCAACATATAATTAAACTCCAGACTCAGGTTTTGTGGTTTGGTTCTGATAGACGCAGATTTCTGTCCTGTCACGGTTCAGATGAACTTTTTCCTGGCAGAAACTTTGGAGATAAACGGAGGAGAGAGTCGACGGAGAGGCGGGAACGTCCTTCAGGTTTTCCAAAGAATTCAAGCAGCTCCACGCCAACAGGAGAAAATCCACGTTCACGTTCCCTGTTTGTGTTTTTCTCTTTTCCTCTATCGCTCCATCTCTTTCCTCTTCTTCAGAGTCTGACTGTAGATGTGTTTTATTTCTCCGTGCTTCTCTCTTTCATTTCCTCCTCTTCTGTCAAGAAATCTGTTCGCTCCACATGCTCAGGACCGACGCTGCATACCTGAGCTGTTTGAATGTTTCCTGAAGCCTGAGTTTAAAAAGATGACGGGAAATTAATGATTAATGGTGACTATAACTGATCGATTTTAGCAGATAAAGAGAAACAAACAAGCTGACTTCTTAAAATTACTAAAAAAAACACAAGAAATGTTTGTTTTTCTTTGCAGATCTTAGTGTACGAACGGCTAAAAAGCAGAAAACAAACAGTTTGAGTCTTTGAGCCGCCTCAGCTCGGAGAAAATCTCTGCAGTGACGTCAATAAAACAACAATTGGAGGTAATTTTACAGAAAAATCAGCTCAGAGTAACTTTGAAGAGCTAATCTGGACGTGGATCCACTCATGGATCTGCAGGATCGACACTATGATGGTCATTTAGTGTCAAATAGAGAAAAGTTCGGATCAGAATCTGATTTAGTTTTGAGACGTTGATCCAGCAGCTTCAGGACTTGTTGTTTGCGTTGTTGACTGACGTGTTTGAGGAACTGAAATGCTGCTAAATTCTAGATAATAAACCCGACAAGAATCATCCTAAAGTCTTATTGGTGTGTTTGTTTATGTTTTACTTTCTGCTCGACTTTCTTTGTCATCTAACTGCTCAGAAGTTTCCCTTCTTCTCTCTGACTTCATCTCTCCTTTCACTCTTCCTCTCTCCTCTTCTTCTTCTCCCCTCCTGACGCTCGTACCCCTGCAGAGGTGGTTTTCTCTCCCGTTCAGTAATAACAGGTTTGAGAGCGACTCGACCGCATCTGAGGTTCCTCTGGGGTCGATCCCGGGTCCTGTTTATTTAGTCTCGGTTCTTTGTTGGCTCTTGTTTCCACTCATAATGAGACCGGTTTAGATCCCTGAATCAGACCGGAGCGACTGGTTCTGGAGTTTTCTTGTGGGTTAGGACTCGAACCCTCAGCTCATCCTCTCTTTGAAGTGGTCGATACTTGAACTGATCAATGTGACTCTGTCCTCACACTCGGGTCACGCTGTTATGACACTTTAGTTTAAGAAGAGGGCGGGGTTTGTTTTAGTCCAGACGGCGAAGGCAGAAGACACTTTATTAAAGACAGTCCTGAATCCGAGGTTTACCGTATTTTTCGCACGATGAGGCGCACCATCAATGAACGCATCTATTCACGTCTATTTTCATACAAAAGGCGCACCGGAGTATTAAGAGCATTAAACCAAACAAAACAGTCGGATAAATCAAACTTTAACTCATTCAATAACTCAGCGAGGCTACGGTAGCCGCAGCGCTGCGACAAGCCAAAAGGATTTCTAGTGCGCCTTATAGTACGAATAATACGGTAAAAACAGACTTATTCAAAGGTCCAATTATTGTAGCTTCTCGTGTCACAAACTCGGTGATTCAAACATGAATCAAACTTGCCGTCATCGTTTCCATCGACTAGATTAACACGAGTCGTTTTCCTGACAACAAAACGATCACATGAATCAGCTTTTAAAGGTAATGACAATCCAACCCAACGGGGGCGCTACAGGGAAAACCACAGAGAGGGCCAAAGTCAGAGTGATTCACCCTCTGGGGATCATGAATGGTTTCACCAAATTTTGTTTCAATCCCTTCCTATCGTCGAGTTATTTCAGCCGACCTTACAGCTGTGAAAGTCTTACTGAGGCGTTTTTTCTTTGAGGTTGAAATGCTAAAAATAAACATGTGAACGCCCCCTACTGGACAAACATTGATGTCTACTGTTATTTACGGGCCACCTTACGAAACAACACTCCACTAATAAACTTTAAAGATCATTCTGTCCTCATGGTTCCCGGGCCGGTCTAAATCCGGCTCCTTTATTGGATGAAATCGTCGTGTCTGTTTTTAGTCGCGGTCGGATTTTTCACCACAAACTGAGGAAACTCTTTTAAATGTGACTCACACAAACATCTCAACAATGTGGGAACATGTTTCAGCCGACCCGGGAGATCTGGATCTGGATCTGATTTGGAAATGTGTGAACGAGAGCAGAGGCAGAAACTCACCGAATACATCAGCTGAGCGGAGCAGAGCATGATGGGACGCCGCAGGAGGACGAGGAGGAGCAGGAGGAGGAGCAGACAGTTGGGAAAGAAAAAAACAGGATATTAACTTTGACATCCTCACACGTCCTTTCTTCATCACTTTAATTCCACTTTATGACTCCATGAAAACCACAAACCCTCCAATTATAACCCAGAGAGGGTCATCACACATGTGGACGCCTTCTGTGAGGATTTCTCCACCATGATGTTACATAACCTGCTCTAGATGACACCACAGTCATGGTTGGAACTGAAAGGAGCTGAAAAGAGCAGATCTCGAACCTTTCTTCGCTTTCTTCTGCAGCTTCAGAGTGTCGGAGGATCTCTTCTTGATCTCCTGACGGGCCTTTTTGTACTCTGCAGAGAAACGCAAGTTTACACCGAGAGACGACGTCAGGATCATCATGTGAAAAGCAGAAAATTCAACCTCCTCCTCAGTGTGTGTGTGTGTGTGTGTGTGTGTGTGTGTGTGTGTGTGTGTGTGTGTGTGTGTGTGTGTGTCAGTGTGTGTTTGTGAAACCTTTGGCGTGGTCTTTGTCCAGAGTGTTGGCGACTCTCTTCCACTCCTCCATCTGCTCCTGTAGAGGGTTGATCAGACAGTCCAGAAACACCCTGTAAACACACAAACACACACACACACACACACACACACACACACACACACACACACACACACACACACACACACAGTTATGGCTAACATCAACACAAACGCCCTGAATGTACAGGTGCTAGTCGAAAAAACAACACGCTGACAATTTTGTGTTTTAAACTCTAGATAAGATCCAGGATCGATGACTGTACTCGGTGCTTTTCAAAGTAAAAGCCCGTCCTATTCCTTCTGTGGGGAAAGCCTCCTTGTCCCCACACGATGCTTTTATTTTGAAGTTGTGTCTCGGTCAGTTTTTATTGATGAACTTTCATTGACACTCGTCATGTTAGCTGCAGGTATGCTTGGCTAACTACGGCTGTAATCAACCCAAGAAACTCCCGGTCGACTAAAACACTGAAATTTTCGACTAAAAATCGACTAATGAAAGGGGGGAGGGTCCGACTCTGACAACGGGGGGACTCTGGGGGACAACGCAGCTCAGCGGGGTGAAAATGTACTGATATCAGCACAATAAGGCAAGTAAACACAAACATTATATTCAGCAAACCACCGGACGTTAATTAACGCGGACGCTACAGGTGACGCTAGAAAAAAAAACGATACACAAAAGTTTTGGGGATTTTTTGTTTACAATTTTTAAATCGATTTTTATGTTAATTTTTTCTTTTTTTTTTTTTTTAAATTTAAGAATAAATCTTAAAAACTGACTTTCATGTGATGTGTATTTTTCAGGGAAATATGGTTCCTGAAAAAGTCAGTAGACAATCATAATCATTCAACTGTTTCACTGATGTTAAAAATGCAGACTAAAAATCAACAATATCATAGAATCACAATTTAAATCAAAACAGCATCCAAAAAAATCGGAGAAGAATCGATTCAGGAGAAAAGTATATCGTCCTTCCCCTAGTGGACGCTCTTCAATCCTCCGGTCTCTGGGGGGTTGGGCGAATCCAAAATGGTGAAAACGAGGGGGATGTTCTGAAAACACCCCCATCAGCACTTGGTACGTTCCCCCTGATGAAATTAACCATAGACTGTAAATTGATGCAGAAAAAAAGTGGACCACTTTTTTGGAGTGGACCAATCAGAATTTTCGACCATTAAGTCGAACAGTCGACTAGGACTTTACAGCCCTATCGTTAACTCTCATCTCTCTGTCTCACTAAGAACCTCTCACACGTGCAGGCTGAGGTTTGAGACAGGGTGTGTGGAAACATCCGTAGAGTTTCTCCCTGATGATCCAGGATGGAGTGATCAGGAGATCCTGGAGGAAACTTCTGCTGAAGGTTTTTGAACAGAATAAAGAAACGGATGTCTTCTGTGTACAGTCTGGGTTATTCTTGTGTGTACATCGACCATCTTTACTCTGCATTCGTGTTTACTGACTCAGCGGGGGGTCTCATCTTCTCGTTTCAGCCTGAGTGACTCTCCACCGCCATACTGGGCGAGCTAATGGACTCACGCAGGGAAAGAAAAGATGAGGCGGAGGGAAAGACGCTGGGTAAGGAGGAAAGAAGATGACCGAGGAGGAGGAGGAGAGGAAGGGAAAAGACGGACGGGGAGGTTTTTCAGGCTGAGGAGGCAGAGACAGGGTTCGAATGAACGTCCGGAGGTTTACTGACCAGTTAGAAACGGGACTGATCCAGATTATTTTTAGACGGATCAGAGTGAAGAGTGATGGAGAGCAGGAGGAAGAGGAGGAGGAGGAGCAGGTTGCCATGGAGAGCTGGGAGGAGATGCTACACCTGTTCAGCACACACACACACACACACACACACACAGATCCACTCACATGGAGAACTGGCGGAGCTTGGCCTCGATGCTGCGGTGCCTCATGCACATCCTGGTGAGGGCCGAGCCGATGTCTCTGGTCCCGCCTGAAAACAGACAGAGAGGACAAGCTGTCGGTGAGACGATGGAAATGACTGCAGAGGGAAAACAAACTCACTCAGACGAGACCGAAGACGAACAAAGATGGAGGAAACTGAGCGGAGGAGAGCGGGTCAGTTCAACAGAATCACTTTAAACATCCATCCTTTCATCCAACCATCTACTTCATCCGCTCCAAACATTCAGGAATCCCAGTAAACGTCTCCACACCAGAATCATTTCAGCCCGAAAACCATCACTGAAGCACACTCAGAGGTCAGAGGTCAACTCTGAGCGTTTCCTTTGCTCCAGCAGGGTGGAGAAGGGTCCATGTCAGAGCTGAGAGTCGGTGCAGCAGAAGCTCCACAGATGGTCCTCCTCTCTCTCTCCCCCAGAGAGAGCGCTCCCTCCTGGGGGAAAGTTCAGCAGAGCTTAGCCTGTCAGCCTGGAGGTCCAACGAGACCTCAGACCAACAAAACCTCAGACCAACAAACCCTCAGACAGAAGACCCACAAATGTTTAATGTTTGTTAAAAAAAACACAAAAGAAGAAGAAGAAGAAGAAGAACTTTGTAAACAACGTTTGACAAAAATACTCCTGAGGAGCTTCAACACTTCCTCTCAGATTTTTCTGTCTCTGATTTTTTTCTCACATTTCCTCCTCATGTACTGAGTCACTGGTCCCACATGTACACTCCACGTGCACGTGCATAAGTGTGTGTGTGTGTGTGTGTGTGTTTAGGGTGGGGTAGAGAGCACTGCATTGCACCACTGACACCTCAGTCTCTCCTCCTCTGCTCTTCCCTCTCCTCACATCTCCTCCTTTTCTTTCCTCTCCTCAGCCTCCACACAGACATGAGACGACTGTTCCTCCAGACTGATTTAATAAGATCATAATAATAATAATAATAATGACACATGTGGTCTAAAGGAATCTAAAACCAACTGATGAGATTTTAAATCTTTCAAACCAAAAACTCTGAAGCGTTAAAAACGGAGATGTTTGGAGGAAATGAGAAAGAATGACAGCTCATCTCTTTATGTCGATGAGAGTTTATTCATTCTTCTATTTTAGTGAAGACAGGAAGTATCAGCCTGGGGTCAATACATCCTCCTCTCCTTCTTCACACTTCCTCATCTCCTCTCTCTTTTCCTTCTTTACACATCCTCCTCTCCTTTCTCCTTTCCTTCTTCACACTTCCTCATCTCCTCTCCTTTTTCCCTCCACCATGTGTAACACTGACGATCCGCCTCTCTTCTATTTTTACTCCACTCTGTTCCTCCTCCTCTTCCTCACCTCTTCTCACCTTCAGATGAGGTGTTACCTCCTCTCTTGTCACCTCGTTTCCTCCTCTCTGCTGCGTCCTCAGAGAAACAAGCTGTTCAGCTTCAGTATCGGTCCAAAAAAAGGACAGAGGAAACAGTCGGTGAGGATGGGCAGAGCTCTGATGTTTGCAGAAAATAAACATGATCAAAGTTTCACACAGACGTAGATCGAGTCAAACTGCGTCAGAGAGTCGCTTCGATATCAGAGAGTCTGCAGAATCATAAATCAGGTTTATTTGATTTAAGTATCTGATGAAAACACAGGAGCTTTAACCTGAGAGCAGAAACGCTGAGATGACGGTTCTCCTGCCTCTTCATTCAGAGGAAAGGACAGAGATTCCCCCTCACAGCTTCAGATCCAGAATATTTCAGTCTGTTGGATCTGATGGAGCTCCAAATACTGCCCCCCCCCCTCTTTAAATTAGGTTAGTGTTTTATTAGCCGGCTGGTCCAGTTCCTGCGGGGTCACCGTCAGTCAATTAGTTCCTGTTCAATTCAGCCGATTGACCTGATGTGGACTTTCTCACTCTGGGCGTGTTTGTGTGTAATTGAACGGCGTTGAGACCGAGTTGACCCAATTCATCAGGACAGAGCGGCGTCTCTGTCTGACTGAACGGCCTCCAGGCTCCACAGACGCTCCTCTGCATGAGAGACCAAACATGACCCCGCAGGCCGGAGAGGAAGTCCTGAAGACCAGGACGCTCTGCGGGAACTAACCAGGACTTTGTCACAGAACTTCTTATTTCTTATTTTTCAAGTCCGGGCGTGGCTCTCTGTATCACTATCCTGCGGTCGTTACTAAAGTTGGTATAACTAGAGAAGTAAGCGGTCGACAACATTCATCTCTGGAGGCGGGGTCTAACTCGGTGTTACGGTGGGTTTGACCCTAAATTAATTTTACTTCGGAATATCCCTTTAAAGCATCAAAATAAATTTCAGTCTGTCTCATAAATGTCAAAAACTCCTCACAGCGGCTTTAAATGTCCAAAAGGTCAAAGGTCAAAGTTAAATCCGCCGCAGTAAAAGCCTCCCGTCGTCTAACAAACTCAGACTGAGTGTAACCTCGATTTGAGACCCTCAGAGTCCTCTGACCGATTTTTCCAGCAGGATAACCTCACTGTCTGCGGATCCCGCAGATCTGGACTCTGCAACACGCTGCCGAGTCTCGGCGTGAAGTTACAGCGAGCAGGAGTCTGACCTGGAATCTGAGCCTGGAATTCAAGGCCGTCTCAATCCGTCTGACTGGGATGTGAACTCAGCCGTCACGACACTGCAGGAGCTGCTGCTGCTGCTGCACACACACACACACACACACACACACACACACACACACACACACACACACACACACACACACACACACACACACACACACACACACTCAGCAGGACTGGCTGTAAATCACTGTCCTCTAGTACGAGGTTATGTTTCTTCTACTGTTGCTACAAGGAGGTTAGCTATTTCTGAGAAGTGGAGCGTGAGGAAGAGGAGAGAGGAAGAAGAAGAAGAAGAAGAAGAAGAAGAAGAAGAAGAAGAAGAGGAAGAAGAAGAAGAAGAAGAAGGAGAAGAAGAAGAAGAAGAGGAAGAAGAAGAAGAAGAAGAAGAAGAAGAAGGAGAAGAAGAAGAAGGAGAAGAAGAAGAAGAAGAAGAAGAAGAAGAAGAAGAAGAAGAGGAAGAAGAAGAAGAAGAAGAAGAAGAAGAAGAAGAAGATATCCTGTTTCTTAGCAATAGAATCATGTGGACCATAAAATTATCTTGTGTGCACATGATCACAACTTGTGGGTACAAGATAATTCTGTTGTGCACACAAAGTGTTGTTTTAGATACAGTATATATACAAGCGCAGTATAACCATGTCATCCATGCGATTTGTGTGTCCAAGATCAAACTTTCTCCTGTTTGAATTTCAGACATCTGTACTGAAGATTTTCATCTTAAATGTCGTATTTGTGATTTTTTCTGTATTCAGAGGCGATGCTTGATTTCGCTCCAGCACGTAATGAGGCGTCTACGTGTATAATATCGATGATTACACCTGCTGAGATCGGATTAACGTAAATTTAACTTCCTGTTTAATTCTTACACTGAGCTCTGATTGGATGTAAACCAGCAAAGTCTATCAACCAATGAGAAGGTCAGACTGATGTTTCAATCATCTCACAACATCACAGAGATGATCCTGGTGGAGACGAACCTTCTCATCCAAAACAAAGACGAACTTTCTGAACGTTAAATCGGCGGCCCCTGATGGTGGGCCCTCAGGAGACTTTGTTCAAATCTGTTAAGTTATATATCTATCCATGTGACCGATCATAAAAATAACAGATCATAAACAAACCTCCCAAAAATCAAAACTTTCAATCCATGATCTGATTACAGAGCAGGAAGAACCAATCAGCTGACGGTCGCTGTAAAAACAGCTGCAGAGAGTTGCCTGCTTCTTGCATCAGTCTGTATCTCTCTCTCTCTCTCTCTCTCTCTGTAAATAAAGTGAAGGTCACTCTACCACTTCAACACGTCTCTCATGTCAACATGCAGCAGGAGTGTCGCTGCTGTCAATCTCCTTAATGCACGAGCATCAAATACTGAGCTGCAGGTGATGAGAGACATCATGGAGAGGAAGGAGCACGACGGCTTCAACTTCACATCAAGAACCAGAGGACCCAGATCCTCCACAGATCCGGGTCTTCTGGGAAAACGGGGCAAAGGTCCTAAAATAAGACTAAAACGCTCAGGTCTCGTCTATGTGTGGGAAAAACTGCCTCCATGCCCGTTTGCCTTAATTCAGCTACTATGAACGCTAAAAGGGAGGAGTCAAAGACAGGTGGCGCCCTCTGCTGGTTACAAAGGTCATAAATGTTCTGTTTTCATCTCACTGATCTGAATCCTCCTTAAGTTAACTGACTTCTGCAGGGAAGAAAAAACTCTTTTTTACACTATAAATAACCTGGTTTATCATCATTAGAGTCACTCTTCATATTTAAAACATATGTGGGCTCCTGAAGCCCTCGGTTTCGCCTGTCAGGCTGCAAGTTAAATTTAAAAATAGTTTTAAGGAAATACAGATCACAAAAATGTTCAGTGTGTGCAGAAAAACTCCAGGAGGTTCAGTGAAAACATACAGAGTAATCTAGTATTTATAAAAGTTTAAAGCTTTTGAATCACTGGAAAATTAAAACGCCATTTTTTACCCACGTTCAGCTCTTTGAATCACCTTTTTTATTTGCAATGGGCCGTTTGAATATATAATATAAATATTGATATATATACTTATATATAATATCAGGGTTACAGAGGCACAAACTCTTTTAGACTAAAATCAGTGCAGTCTTTACAGAGGTCCTCAGCTCCTCGGCACGTTTCTCACAAGAGAAATCAAATCAGAAAATCAAATCTACTTTTATGTCTTTTTAATAAAGGTGGCTGTAACGATTGGATCAGTTTTAGTCGTTCTGATGAAGCTCAGACTGAAAGAAAGTTGAAGTTTCTGTTTTTCTGGAGTCAAAGTTGGAGATGGGATCTGTTATCGCACATTAAAGGGTCACTCCTCCGACTGTTGGCTCGCTAAATATTCAAACACTCGATGGTATTCCCTTTAAGTGGGTCACAGTGTGTGTGTGTGTGTGTGTGTGTGTGTGTGTGTGTGTGTGTGTGTGTGTGTGTGTGTGTGTGTGTGTGTGTGTGTGTGTGTGTGTGTGAGGAGTAAACAGGATTCCTCGCAGCTCCTCTCAGGTTGACCCGGTCGTACAGTCCTTGAATACCACACACACTGACCCGGGGAGGCAGAGAGCGCGGGCTTAGGATGCCTTCAGCAGGGGAGTGTGTGTGTGTGTGTGTGTGTGTGTGTGTGTGTGTGTGTGTTGGACGGGGGGTGTACAGTAGAGTCCTGAGATTCTCTGAATAGTGACCCCAGAATATCCCCCCCTCTCTGATGACATGTGAGGAGGATCAGTTTGCTGCACTCAGGGTTTTACTCTCATGTTTGAGTCCGTCTTGAAGTGGACCTCCTCCAGGAAACAGAACCTTCAGAACTCGTCAGAGTTCCTGCACACAGATTCACAGGTGAGGGGAACACCTGAACAAAACAAACAAACTAATCCGGTCTCTGCTGACCTGTGCTGGTGTCTCTGGTGTCTCTGGTGTCTCTGATGTCCTCCTGTGGGAGGACTGGGGTTATAATGGACAGTGATAACTGTCAGTCATCAGCGGGCAGACAGCTGCTCTCCTGTCAGCTGCTGTGACCTCCACTCAGAGAAAATGCTGCAGGATCAAACACTGACTCCTGTTTGTGTGTGTGTGTGTGTGTGTGTGTGTGTGTGTGTGAGAGAGAGAGCGAGAGAGAGTTTTTACCAAAGCATCTCTACTAGGGCTGCATAATTTTGCAAATTCTGAGATGACCTGCAGTGGAAATCTTAATAAAACAAAAATCAACTGTTTGTCTTTCTCTTAAAATCAGATGAATGATTTTAGCCGTTTTCTCTTAAATTAAAAATGTTTCTGATGCCAAAAATGCTCCACAAGATGAATATTCTTTTTGTACAAAATAATGAGACTTCTTTCCTTCATACACGGCTGTTTTCCTTTCTTGAAATCCTTTTTTTGCAGTATTTGTTCATCTCAATAAACATTTTTTTGTTTGCTGAATCTGAGGAACAGCGTCCGAACTTTCAATGATCATCACAGCTCACAGTAAAACTCAGAAGTGCGGAGCATCAACCAGGTTACTCTGGGTGAAACATCTCAGTATCGACTCAGCTCCTAAAACTACAGTTAGATGATTTTAAATGTTTTTCAATTGGATAAAAAATGCAAATTTCTGACTCATCACGGCACCAACTGTGAGGTTTCATCTCTCTCTTTCTTGGCTCTTTTACGTTTAACCTTGAGTCCATTTAAGAGCCGTTAGATCTCCTTGATATCTGAGCGAGACGATTCAGGACCTGATGATACAGTGAGGTCAGAATGAAGAGTTTGCCTTCAGTTTTACAATATTAAACATCCCAGAATGCCTTTCTCTCCAGCCTTGGTCTCCACACTCCACAGACGTTTCTACACACACAGAAAATCAGAAAAGCTTTTCTCTCAACTCTACAAGCGTCTGGCTAAATGTCAGCAAAATGCCACAAATCTGAACTTCTCTACACCTGTTGTAACTCTATCTTGCACGCTCTTGAACTCGCACACAGTAGTGCTGCTTGTCTTATTATCTCCCTCCTGATTCCTCGAACCTTCGCACACTCAGCGGCAGATTTATCGGCCTCAGAGGAGCTCAGATATTCACAGAGAGAGACGACAGCTCGCTTCTTTCTCCTCTTCTGACAGCTGAGAAAACACGGCGGCAGAGCGAGGAAGAACACCCACCTTACACACACACACACACACACACACACACACACACACATACACACACACACACACACACAGAGTTTGTAAAGGCTGAACACACACGAAGGATGGAAACATGTTTCGATCTGCAGAGACACACGAGATGATAAAAGACGCTCTTTTATCTTTGAACACTTTAAAACAACATCACACACTCCTCTGAGGACTTGACAAGTTTCAGCCATCACACACACACACACACACACACACACACACACACACACACACACACACACACACACACTTTGAAGTGAAACTAGAACAAAGTAAAAGGAGCGTTTGATTCGTTTGACCCGAGCTGCTGAAACCGGAGCTCCTTGTTCACCGCTAATCTGCAGTCTGAAAACATTGGCAAGCTAACTGCATACACCCACTGCCCTCTGTGTGTGTGTGTGTGTGTATCTGAATGCTAAAAGCTTGTGTCAGGGTTTGACCTCACCTGTAAAGACGCTGATGCTGCTTGAATTGCTGTGAGAAGAAGGCGACGCGCTCTGAATCAGAAAAGAGTGTAAACACACACACACACACACACACACACCCACCCACACACACACACACACACACACACATCTGTATTCACCTGAAGGACCTGGAGTCATACCTGCTCTGTCGTTCCCTTTTTTCCTGACTGATGCTTTAATTGCCTCTAAATGACCGATCTGAAAACCCATTAGCTCTCGCCTCTGGGAACGTCGGCGAACTTCTCGATACTTGGAGTTAGCGATAAACGCCAACAAGCTAAGACTTTCTAATCCATGCACTGTGATGTTTATGCTCCAAATATGAGAGACCGTGTGACCAAATTTAAAGATACATGTCAGTGTGTCAATCCAGACGTTTCACGTTGGCGGTAAACACGACAAAAAAAAAAAAAGATTTTCACGTATGACTGTTTATCAGGCGAGTCTCTGCTGTAACTGTAAATAGTGAGTTACACAGAATCCTGGTTCTGGTTAAAGGAATATTCCAGCGTAAAATTAATGTAGGGTCAAGGATAGCAGGATAGCAATACAGAGCACCACGCCCTCAACCAAAACGCCACTCTATAGCCACAAATAATGCTCAGAACAGCACCTACCTTCATCAACAGGACATATAGGGTCACAGACATAGTACTAGACACCAAACATCTTTTTAACTTTGACTCATTTCTTTAGCAAAGAGACTAAACACAACTCACCTACTCTCTTCCAGCAGACGCTTGTTTGTAGAGAGACCTCAGGCCAGTCCATTACGGACTACAGCGGGGTGACGCAGCTCAAGGAAGAACATTTATGATCATTTCTTCATCATTTCCTTGAAGTAATAATCATCATATTAATCATTTTACAGATGCGGTAGTTCTTCTGTCTTGGCGTCTCGGTTTGATTGTATTTCCATGAAGAAATGATCATGTGATATGTTTAACCCTAAATTAATTTTACCATGGAGTATCCCTTTAAGTCAGTGGTAAGAACCCAGAAACAGAAACATGTTTTAACTGTTTCTGGTAAGTTAAACAAAAGCTTTTCTCTAACCTAACTTAAGCAGTAAAAAACCGACAAAGACACAGACCTCCTCAGAAAATCAAACATCCATTCATCCGTTTGTGGCGAGTCTCAGTTTCCCTGTACTTACTAAAAAGTAAAAAACACAAACTGTGTCAGGTTTGAAGACAAGAAAATAACTTTGTAAACGTTAAATGGAGTTTGGATTTTAAAGTTACAAAATCTGGACACTGATTATCCAAACCTAATCTGTACCATCTTCAGGTTGGGTCTTGATAATTCATCAAACTATAAGCGTGGTCTAGACCTGCTCTTCTTCTTTGGAAAGCGTCTTGGGATGACGACTGTTGTGATTGATTTGATTGATAAACGTTTGATTAAAGACAGACAATGAGAGTTCTGCTGATGGGAGTTGATTTTGGTTTTCCTGCTTTTGCTCTCAATACAAACTGGTTTTCCAGACTCCGCTGAGGTTTGCTGGTTTATTATTGGTCAAAAGTATAAAAACTATGAATGCAACATTTTCACGGACCGAACAGACGACTGTGAGAGCAGCGGTTCAGACGGAGAGCCGACATGTGAACAACAAACAGAAGCTCAGAGGATTTAAACAGACGGAGGAGATAATAACAGAGTGTGAGCGAAGAGGAGGAGGAGGAGGAGGAGGAGGTGAAGAGAGTCTCTGCAGCTTTAACTCAAACAAGTCAAACTCTCATTGTTGTAATTAAACACACACACACACACACACACACACACACACACTTTTAAGGCAGTTTTTTTAATCTATTCAGAGGAAAAACACACCGACACACACAGGAGAGCGTCGATCTGCTGAACATCTACAAACACTGGAGTGTGTAGGAGGGGTGTGTTGACAGTCGACTAGTGTACTTAGATGTGCGCCTGTGTGTGTCTGTGTGTGTCTGTGTGTGTCTGTGTGCGTACTGTCAAAGCATGCTCAGACAGCTCTCGCTCGCTCTCTCTCGTCTGATTGGCTGCTGTCTGTTAAAGCAGACACACTTTGAACCTCCCACAAATCCCTGGAGATGCAGCACATAAACAACACCTTACACACACACACACTCACACACACACACACACACACACACACACACACACACACACACACACACACACACACACACACACACACACACACACTTTTTTCTAAACCAGGCAAATCTTTACATCTTATAATCCAACAAACAGAAACTCAGATCTGTAATATGAATCGTTTAATCAGTTAGTCTACCTTCACACTGCAGAAGCCCTTTTTCTTCATCGGTATTTTCTGATTTATTTCCTCTTGTGCAGAAATAAAATATCTACAGATTCACAGATCTTCTTCTTGAGCCTCCAGTATTTGACGGTTTTCCTGTTTTTTGACATTATTAAAAAAAAAAGCAACAAAAAAACAGAAAATAAAACTTCACTGAAAGTCTCGTCTTTGACCAGCTTCTTTTATCGCTGCCATCACTTAATGCCTCTGAAAGCACTTAGTACTTATTTTATTTGCTTATCAATTCCTATAATTATATTTTTTTATGTTTTATTTTATTTTAAATGTTTTTTTTTTACCTCCTTTTATTTATTTCCTTGTGACGTTTTCTGTCGTGTTTGTTCCTTTAAAATTTTACTGTGCATCACTTTGACAAACTTAAATGTTTTTTTAAAATGTGATATTTAAATCCAGCAGATTGGATTGGATTATAATTTAAGTCACACTGATACTTGATTCTGATTGGCCCAAACCCAGTTCATGGTCTTGCTAGTGACAAAAATATGACTTCCTGATGGAGGATACATTCACATTAGGAGAGATTAGAACTTAAATTTGTTTTTTACTGGAGGATCAGTCAACAACAGAGTGAAGAAGAAGACCGAGGACAGAAAGAGGCGTTAGGAAATTAAAAATCATTAACAGCTTAAAGTTTTCACAACCAGCAGTTTACAACATGATTTAGAGTTGTTTTTGTGGTCTCTGGATTAATTGAAGTCTGATAATGTTTCCTCAGTTTTGGTCTCCTCCACAGATAATTACAAGCTTCCTCTGTTGCTTCACTTTAACAGCGATCATTAAACGCCGAGCTTCACTGTCTCAGTGTGAAGAAGTAACCGTGTGAATCAGTGAAGCGGGTTCTCCTCTGCAGCGTGACGGTGAATTATTTAACAGTCGTTCAACCTTTACTAAAGCCTCTGACCTCCTGCTGGGAGCTGTAACAAACACAAACGCTCACCCTCACAGAGTCCTGCAGCACGGTTTTCAGTTTTCAGACGTTAGAGGATGTCCTTATAAGAAAATAGCCGTCACTTTCCGAACATCACCTCCAGGATTGACCTTTTATTTATGCGCCAGATCCCTAAATGCAAACCTGTGACTCCCTGGAGGACAAATCAAACTCTGTGTGACTAACCACGGGTCAGCGGCTGAAGGGGAACATGTCTGCCTCTCTCCACAGAGACCTGAACACCGCTCCAGTCCAGACCTGCAGGAGGAGCACTTAATTATCCCCTCACTCCCTCCCTCAGCCGGGTGGGGCCTCGTAACTTATTAGCAGCAGTTTGTGCAGCAGATGAAAAGAACACACACTGCCTCACCTGCTGGGCGCCCCTGGTTAATAATTCAAACACACCCCTCGGGCTGAGTCTCCGAGACAGACAAACAGACAGACAGACAGACAGACAGACAGACAGACAGCAGGTAAATACTGTCTGTGAGAGGACGAGCAAATACAGCATCACTCTTAGAAATAAACCAACATCATATTTTTCTCTGTTTCTACATCTTTTTTAAACCATAAATGAGTTTTTTCACACACAATGAATGAGAGAGAGAGAGAGCGAGTTAGAGATGCTGAGAGAGGAGAGGAGAGGAGAGGAGAGGAGAGGAGGAGACGTGTCTGAAAAGCTGAGGGACAGAGTTAGATATTTGGTGAAGTGACGAGTTTGTAGAATAAGGTCAGAAAAAAAAAGAAGGTTTAAATGAAGGTTCTAATCAGAGTTCTTCTTTTTGGAGGAAATTTCTGAACTTCTGGACGATATAGAAAAAAAGAAAAAAAGCATATCGATAAAAAATATATCATATTGATCGATATCGATAATTATCGATATAATTATTATAATTATTTAACATATATTTTAATTGCAGCCCTGGATGTTTTATGCTATTGCTTAATGACCTACTTTTAATAAAGAACACACAAGCACTAAAATCAAATTCAAACCTTTATTCAACCACCTTTTTATTTATTTTTTACCACAACTGAAAGTTTTTTAAAAAAGAACTTAAAAAAAAAAAAGAAATCAACTTAAGTGGCCTGAGTGACGTCAGTAAATACTGACAAACATAAAGACTAAAGTGAACAGAAAATCTGATAAATAAATATTTAAATAGTCTTTTGATGAAAATAAACAAAACAAACAAATATATAAATAAACAGAATAGCTTTAGGTGGGAATAGCATACTACCAGTTTTAACTGTGTGGGAAACTGCCCACAGCCTGGTGTCTCCCGGGGTCGGGAGATTTCTTTTTTTAATTATCATATGATTGACTTAATACGCAAACTGAGCACGAGAAGCAGGACTTATCCACGCCGGTGTTGTGTCGTAGAATGCACCCCTGCCGAACGCACCCCCTGCTAGTAGCCATGATCCAAATACTCGCGTATGAGCTCATTTTCTTCCACTTTAAGAAGCAAATGAGTGGACGGGATGCAGGGGTGCATTCTACAGCACAACACCGGAACGTATTTCCTCCGCACCCTTCTCAGCTTTTCAACCCCTGACCCGTTTTCATGCCTGAAGCGCTGTGTTTGAGAAATACTTGCGGCCGGGCACTTCATATCGCGGGTCGAGAGTGGCTAGAAGCTGGTCGAAGCCAGGCTTTTCAACGGTAGTTATTGGCAGCATGTCACTGCATGGGTGATGTCCTTATGCCGCTTGGACGCTTTGTCGTATTTTGGCAAGAAACGAAGTCCAGTTTGGTCTGCTTCACATGCTTTGTGCTGGTGCTGGCAGCGGTTCCAGAGGATTCCTCCTCCGACGACGTGGAGCCGCGGCGCGGCCGACACAGCTCGTACTCCTGCGGGTGCGATCGGTTTAGATGGTAGAACAAGTTGGTTGTGTTACCAGACTTGGTTTTTACTAATTCTCTGCAAATTTTGCAAACGACCGCTGTTCGCTTTTTGTCAGACTTGTAAAAACCAAAACATTACCTGTCCAGCAGAAAGGTTACAGGGTCACCAAGATCCCCAAGCGTCCCCCATCGTTTATGTTGGCCCGGCTTTTTAGCTCTTGTCCGGTCTACCTCCGTTTTAAGCGCCCGTTATTCCTCCAGAGTCTCCGGTATTTACTTTGTTTTCTTGCTTGTGTCGGCAGTCGTGGCCAAAGGAGGATTCAGACAATTTTCCGAACTTTCTGGTTGGTTTCTACTGTCCGATATTGTAGCACGCTAACTTTGTTTGGGCTCCTGAACGTTATTGAAGGACGTGGAGCGTCTGCCTCACAACATGCGGGAGCAGGGTCTGCTTCGCAACCAGAACAAAGCCGTTCTCCGCCAGGTCAGGATGGCGGAGAACGACTTTGTTTACAGTCAGAAAGAGCGGACCGCTCAAAAATGTTGCCCATCCCACCTTTAAAATAAGGATGCATGCCTAACTTGATTATCTCTGATTCTGCTCAAAACTTTGACACGTGACACGCCATCACAGCCGGAGACGAGCGTGTCCTGCTCCCACACTCATGATGAAGTGGCACAGCTGAGAAAATAACCATAAATCTGAAGTGGTCTGTAACCAGCTGAGCCCAGATGAAGCTCTCCAAACAGCACATGCTTTTAATGCCACATGTATGAAAATAAAACAGCTGCCTCAGCTGTGCAGGAGCAGATGGAGGTTCGAATCCTCCGCCGTCATATCAACATTCATGTGAATTCGTTTAGTCGACAGTGAGTCTACATGGCCGTCTGCATTCGCTCCATATGCTCTGAGACTGTGTGAGTGTTTCTTAATGAGTCTCTGTGACGTCAAACCAGGCAGCTGCTGCTGTTGCCACGGTGATGCCATACCATAATGAGGCCCTCTAAGACCACACAGACCTGCTGCTGCTGCTGCTGGCAGTCCCTTCAGATCTGCTTCCACATAAACCAGATCATGTGACCACTCTGCGCCTCGTTAATGAATCTGACCTGTGGTCAGTGTGACATGGAGTCCTGGTCAGTCTGTGGGCTTTCTGAAACTGGACTGATCTGATTCTCCGTATCTTTAAATAAAGTATGAGCGGGGGGAAAGGTTCGAGTCCTCTCTGATACAAGTGTTTAATTTTAATGATCTGGTCCTGAATGATCTTCATTACTGATCCTGTTAATAAACTTTACTGAACACTGTCATAAACTCTCTCCACACGGACTTCTCAGAGACTCTGTGATCATCAGACTCTGCAGGTACGACTCACCTGACAGAGGGATGATATCACTGACTAAAGAGCTGCCAGAGGACGCCATCTGTGAACCACTGAGGAGTCGACCTGACGATCACACACACACACACACACACACACACACACACACACACACACACACACACACACACACACACACACACACACACACACACACACACACACACACACACACACACACACACACTCTGCAGCAGCGTCGTCCTCAGAGATTCATCCTCTGCAGACCGACTCCAACGAGAGGATTTCACTGCAACAGACTGAGGGGACGTCATTTCGGGACAGACGGCGCCGACACCAGATCTGCTGGTTTTATCAAACTGATCATGCATCTCAAATATATAGATTTTATTTTTGCATCTATATATAATGCATCCTCGTTTTCTCTTCATCTATCTCGGACGGTGTTAGATTTCTCTCTGAAGCTTTTTACCTGTTCTAGTTAGGTCCCAGTTTAGGTCTTTACTCCCCTTGGAAACGTGGGACAGAGGAGGTCTTTGACGGCTTAAAATCAATAAAACGTTATAATTTAATTTAAAATCATTAAAACTGTTGAAACTGACAGAACAGCAGAGTAGAGGAAAGCTGCGGTCGACAGTCGTGTTTTCAGCCCTGTGTGTGTGAACATAATCTGTATTCTGATTAAAGTCAAGCTGATTTTCCGAGCTGCGCCTGAATGCATCGTTTGAGAATTTATTCTTTATGTAAATATTTTGTTTCTCTTCATCTCTTCTTCAACCTCTTACATCCTTCTTTCCTGCTTCCTCTCTTCTCGTTTCCTCTCCTTGTCTCTTTCCTACCCTCTTAGTTTTACAATCACTCCTTTCTCTCCTCTCAGACCTCCTCTGCACCACCTCCCCTCTCTCTCTCTCTCTCTCTCCATCACCTGATGTTGTCCCTCCTCCTCCTCCTCCTCTTCCTCCATGTCCTCCTCACTTATCAGGTGTTGACATATTGAAGTGACCTCTGCCGAAGTGAGGGCGATCACCGGCCCTTTAAAATCGGAATCCTCTAAGGACGGGGAGCAGGTTGCTATGGTAACCATGGACCACCACACACACACACACACACACACACACACACACACACACACACACACACACATATATATACATTCATAAAAACCAGTGGAGAGAGAAGGACCTCCTGCTGTGTCTTATCTCCATAGTGTGTGTGTGTGTGTGTGTGTGTGTGTGTGTGTGTGTGTGTGTGTGTGTGTGTGTGTGTTATGCATGATAAGACACTGATCCTCCTCTATAGAAGTGTTTACGTCTGAACGTCCTCTGTGTCTCTCTGTAATGTGGACTGGTGTTGGATCCAAAACTGGCTCCAGACAAGAACCAGTTGGAACCGGATCGAGCCGTCAACATCGTTTGTCTTTGTGCCGAACAGTTCCCTCATCGAAGGTTCACGTGTCGTTCAAAACAACGACGTTACGCACTGAAAGAGGCGGTTAGAGCGGAGGTACGACACTTTAGTGATACGGAGGTTGTTGCAGAAGTTGATGGACGTTCAGTTCACAGTGAGGCGTCTCGTCTGGATTTATAATCACACTAATACTGCAGACTTCTGGTCCTTTTGGTATTAAAGCCGGTCTATATTTAAGAGTTTCAGTGAAACAGAGATTCATGTTCTCCCGCTCAGGCCCAATCCTGCACTGATTTCCATCTCGTTGCCATGAGCACCAGCAGCAGCCGGCTGGACATGAACGCCAAAAACCCCCCCTCCCCCTTCCATCCATCTTTTTCCATCCTCTCCCAGTTTCCCCATCACCATCTGCCCTCTATCCTCCTCCTCTATCTTACCTCCACCTGCCCTCCCTCCATCCCTCCATCCTTTCATACAGCAGCGTCACTTCTAACCCTGTTGTCTTTGTCTCCGTTCGCCTGTTTCTGTGTTTCCTCCCTGTTTTGTTTCTCCATCCATGTAGAAACATGATGTTGGAGGAGAATATTGAGCAGGCTGGGTCTACTGGTGAGAATGACCCATTCAATAATTCAACACTCCTGTCAGAGCCGACTCCGAGTCCACACGTCCAGAATACATCGTCTTCAGAGAGACAGTTAGTGAGGGTTTCTTCTTACTGATAGAAAATCATATCTGTGTTTCCTTCATAATTATTGCTCAACAACAAAGTCAAACAGAGTTAGTTTAGACGACAGGGTTCGAGGAGATCAGAGGGAGCCGCCAGGATGTCCACAAACCTCTAATTTCACACACACACAAACACACACTGAACGACAGAGCAGCTTTGACCCACAGCCCCAGAATCATCGCAGCATCGACTGATTGTTTCCTCGTCCGCTGTTGTCACTGTGACAGCGAGTCCCTCTGTGAGAAGCTGGCCTAGATTTCCCTGCAGACGCACAAACACACCATTGTGTTTCCATCACCTCAGAGGACACGGAGTAGTACTCCTGAACTCCAGAGACAAATTCTATTATTCACCTTTACAGGACGTGTTTTTGTTTCTGTAAATAACGCAGGTCCAAAATGATCCTGGTGTTTCTACGACCAAAACACTCAGAGTCTGTGAAAAAACCACCAAATCGAGCTGACTCTGATCAATCCAGGAAGAGACCTTTATTGACGTGTGAGTCCAGTGATCAGAAGACAGCTCTCACTGATCATTTGTCAATAATAGAAAAGTACAAATCCATACAAAGACGTGTTAACTGCCTCTGAACAACAATGACCCCACTCACTGAGAGCGCCCGCTGTTCCTGTGATTGAGGGCCAGAAATCAAACAACAGAGAGAGTCCGTCTGTCATTATCTTCAGACCAACACAAAAGCTTCAAAACGCCAGATTTTCACACTGCAGCGCTTCCTGAGGGTCATCGCTGCGATATAAAACTCAACAGACAATAACCAGCTGGACTTAAACGGTAGATAATGTCGTCCAATCTACAGAAGAGTGTCGTAAATATAAAGCCTCACAGATCTAATGCTGCTAGGGAATTACCTCGGAAGTCAGAAGTCTGAGCTGAAAATGACGCCACACCTGAGTTAACAGCGTTTCAGTTAAAAAGTTGGAAAAAATTAAATTAAATAATTTTTTTTTTTAAAAACTTAAAAAATAATAATAATAAAAAAAGAATTAAATATTTAAAATTTAAAAAAGCATTTCAGTTAAAAAGTTGGAAAAAATTAAATTAAATAAAAAAACCTTAAAAAATAATAAAAAATTATAATAAAAAATAAATAATAAAAAAAACAGCATTTCAGTTAAAAAGTTGGTAAAAATAAAATAAAATTAAAAAAATTAAAATAAAAAAATGAAAAAATAAATAAAAAGGTAAATAAATTTGAAAAAAAATTGGTTAATAAGTCAGAATTCTTTTAATATAAAAAAATTATGATAAAAAATAATAATTAAAAATTTACAAAAATAAAAAAAAAAACGAGTTGGAACAAAGCAAAACCTGAGGCAGAAACAATCTACGAATATTTTGGGGCTTTCCCTGTCTGAATATCAGCTAGGACAAGGTGAGCACTAAAATAACTTCTGTAGAAGTAGCCATCTTCTTTCCCCCTCTGATTTTGCTTTTTTCTAACTGGTTGCACTGGTAACTCTGGCGTGACATCATTTTCAGCTCCGACATCTGACTCCCAAGGTGAATCAAACGCACCATTATCTTTAATTCAGCCTTTAGCAACAAGCTAATCATTAGCCTCACCATGCTAACATCTCGCCACAACCTCTCCGAATCAGCTTCAAACAAACACTTATTTTTTAACAAAGACAGACAGCAGGTTTGAGATTTTAGAAACACTCGACATCCTCAGAAAACAACAGTCAGAGCACCTTACCTCTGCTGTTGGTCGCGAGGTCGGCCACCTTCTGAAAGGCATCCAGGAAAGCAGCTACGGCGACAACCGTCGTCCTGACAGACAAAATTAAAGAATTAGTGTCTGAGTGTGTTACCCAGAGATAGGATGTCAAACTTTGATTCATACCAGATTTCACTTCATGATTATCATGGCTTTAAAAATTCTCATTAATAGTAAGAAACGTGAAAATCTGCAGTGATTTCCACTACAGAGTCATGCCTGTTTATAATGTGGGGCTGCCTGAAATCCTGTCTTTAGCTCCTGTTACAAGCTAACCTCATTAGATGGTGGATGTGGTGACAGCAGACAGAAGTTTGAAGGTTTGCAGAAAAGGTGTATTTATAGTGTGACAGTGCAGAGAGGAAGAGGAGGAGGAGGAAGAGGCAGACAGTGTGTTTGTAATCAGCTTCAACCTCTGCTAACCTCTGTCCCACTGCAGAGTCTCTGGAGGCCGCCGCTGATCCATCTGACTGATAATGACTTTATGGTGGCATCATTAATCTCTGCCAGCCACAGAAGGTTAATTGAGTTGTGCACATGTGTGTGTGTGTGCACACAGAGTGAGTGTTTGAGTGTTAGTGTGTGTGTGTGTAAGTGTGTGTAGTAAATGGCAGGCAGGAGAGAGTGTACAGGTGTGTGTTTGTCTGGAGAGAGTGTGTGTCGGTGTTGTCCGAGATGAATTAATGTTGAAGTTTGGAGTTTGTGTGTGTGTGTGTGTGTGTGTGTGTGTGTATTCCTCTTCTGTTTGTGTGTTGACGTGACCTTCAGTGTGTGTGTGTGTATAGAGAGAGTGAGTGAACCAAAGTATTGGGGACGGGGCGGCACACACACACACACACACACACACGCACACACACACGCACACACACACACACACACAGGAGAGGTGAAGCTGACATTTAAACACTTAATGAAGCAGACTGATTGGATTTTCATGAGCTCGGGTTCTACAGACCATCAACATGTGTGTGTGTGTGTGTCTGTGTGAGTGTCTGTGTGAGTGCCACCTGTGTGGTCAGTAAATCTTCACATTAGTCCTGACGGTGTGTGTGTGTGTGTGTGTGTGTGTGTGTGTGTGTGTGTGTGTGTGTTACCTGAGCTGTGACTGCAGTTTACTGGCCTTGCTGACGAAGTCGTCCCACACAGGATAACTCCCCTGAAAAAGAGAGCGAGTTAAATATCAGTGATTGATTGATCATGTCTGACACGAACACACTCATTTAAAGTCAGAATCTGTGAATCGGGTCAGTGTGTCACTGAGTTAACACGACTCTATGGCAGGTTTAATGCTCGGCTCTCTCTCCTGCAGACGAGTCGTTCAGATCAGATCTTATGTGACACAGCAGGTCTGTGAGAAATGGACAACATTCAAATGTTTGCACACATTTATAAAAACTGATTTTTTTAATCCTCCCGTTTTCCTCTAAAGAATCTCTCCATCATTTTTCATTTCCTGTTTATATAAAGTCATGAAGAAGAATAAAGCGTTCATAATCCCCTCATAGAAACTTTGCAGCTGAACCAAAACCTCTAAAATCCTGAGCGTCAGACAACGAGGAGACAGATCAATACCTCTGATCTGTACCCGCTCCTCCTCCTCCCCCAGGCTGTCTGCAGGGAGCACAACCCCCCCCAGGGAATATAAATCCAGTCCGGGATCAGGGACTGTCTTTACCATGAGGACTCAGACGCTGCAGTTCTACAGTATGACTGTAGAAGAAGAAGAAAGTGGGGTACGCCTCTGAAGTCAGCAGGAGTCTCCTGATGTTTTGGGGGATGGGTGGGTGGGTGGGTGGGTGGGGTCTTTTCTGCTGCAGTGAAACATCTTTATGGCGAATTTGGTGGAAGATACTCCACAAAAACATGAGCAGCCTCCATTTTTATGGACTGTAGTTCAGATTTTTTCATCACAGACAGAAAACACTGTGTGAGACAAAGACTGCACCACAACATCAGACAGTCCTGTATATCTGTGGTGTTATTTTACAGTCTGGATAAACCAAAAACAATTTCAAACAGGATTATTTCTCAATCTCTTCCAGTTTTTCAGATCATACATCATCACAACAGAGCTGCAAAAACCATAAACTCTGAGTTTTATTGCCTCAGGTCTCAGAAAAGTCAAAGTATAAAATTAGAAGAGCTCGGTATGGTCAAGAATCTCAATCTCAAATCACTCAGTTAGTGATTCGTTCACTGAACGTTTAGAAGAATTTAAACTGAACATGAACCGTTCCCTCACAAACCGCTGCAGTGATAGGATGCTGCAGGTTTAATGCACTTCGTTGTTACATGCTGTGTCCTATTGTATGAAAGTTGTTGTGGTGGCAATTTAGCCGTGAAAAAAAGGTCGTTTCGTCCAACAAAAATGATTCCAGAGAGTGAAGTTCAATGCGTGATTCGTTCACCAAGTGATTCAGTAGTCGGTGCGTGCGGTTCCCCGTTCGCCGGCTGCTCGCCTGACAATACTGTTTCTCACTTCAGCTCAACTGAACAGAGAAACGAACGAGGAAGTGATTTGGTTCAGTACGTTCACTCAAAAGATTCGGTTCTTTTGAACGAATCGTTCGTGAACGACACAACAGTAGAGTCTGGAGGAACAGGCGTGGTGAGGAAAAGGATCGACTCCCAGAATTGTCTGAATGGAGATTAAATGAGTGAGAAATAATCGTAGAAATGCACCGATGAGTATTTTCCCTCTCAGCCTCGTTCTCAAAGATAACAAAAATCCTCCTTCTGATGAGGTCAAATAAAAACGGAATATCAGAGAGGATGTTACCATGGTGATCAGCTGTTTTCACAGGCCTTGAAACAGAGATAGTGGATTTAGCTCTTTGGTATTTCATCTCTAAATCACTTCACACTTAAATCCAGATTCTGTTGAAGCCTGACTGAGTCTTATAATTGGACCTCTGTCCTGGTCCCAGAACACCAGCAGCTGAAGTGCGTCCACTGTCCAGGTGTATTGATTTCTGATCACTGAATTGTGTCTCATCTTTTTGTTTTGTTGTGACTCGTTGACCTGAATTCCAGATGTGGAAGCGTATCGTTCCCCCGCAGACTTCAGCTCTATGTAAGAATGAATTATTGTTTTGAACCACGGCGGTGTGTTTTATTCTGAAATTTTCCACTGTGGGCAGATTTCTTTGTCACCAGGAGGACAGACCGACAATCACAGTAACCACTTTTAACTGGCTCAGTCCAAACATGCCTTGAGGACCTGCGTTTGGAAAAACCATCAAACCCGAGCTCCGCCCTCCTCTCTTCGCTCATGTCAGCGTCGATCTCCTGTAACCTGCAGCCCGCCACAGCTGAGCCGAGTCGAGCCGAGCTGGGTGTGTTCAGCCTCGCTCTGTTGTGAGAGTGATCCCCAGCATCATCGCCTGGCTACCGTTGCCACGGCAACCCCGCTGCAGCTGCAGAGGGGGCTTCAGACAGAGAAGGATTTGTGGGGAGGAGAGGGTCACACGTGCATGCATCCTCGACCAAAAACACACACACACACACACACACACACACACACACACACACACACACACACACACACACACACACACACACACACACACACAAACACACACACACACACACACATACACACACAGGATCCTCTCTGTGTCACACATTCGCCTTCTTTGTGTTTGTCTTCCTCTCCTCCATATTCAACACGCACATTTCTACACCTCTTTTCTCTCTCTCACTCTTTCCTTCCTGCTCTCTCGTTTCACCTTCCTGCTCTTTATCACCCATTCATCATTTCCTCCACATCACGCCGAATATATATAATCTCTCATCTTATTACATCCTCCCTCTCTCCCTCCTCTTCCTCTCTCTGTATTGGACACACACGGGCGTCGAGGGCAGGGCCGCTGCATCAATCAGTCACTGAGGACATAAATTGTCACCGTGGCAACAACCAGAGGCAGCAGCAGCAGCAGCAGCAGCAGCAGCAGCAGCGTTAGTGTGCAGGTCCTTCAGGAATCCTTCGCTCTGTTTGTTGAGCGGCTGCAGGAGCTTTAGGAGGAGAAATCCCCGTTTGGTTCCTCTTTATGACCGATCCTGAGAGATCGAGACATAAATCTGATTTCTGAAATGTTGGTTTAGAGCCAGAGGAGAAGCCTGACTGAACATTAGGATCAGGAATAACTAAGCCTGCACAATGTGGGAAATATTCAACAGCTCTAAACTGACCTTTTATTCAGTTTCTACATCTCTGTACTCTTCTCCTGATTCACAAACTAATCTAAAAACATCTGATAATAAGGAGCATCTCTAATCTGAGGACAGCTGATGTCAAACTTCAGCTTCATCTTCACGACCATAAGACCAGGACCTACAGATCGAGAGTGAAAACACACAGGGCTCCTGTACATGAGTTTTCTTATGCACTGAATAATACAGTTACCCCCAATCTCCACCTTCATCCTGATCGTCTCCTAAAAGGTCGTATCCTCCGATCGTAGCTGATCGTAACCATTCAAGTTAACGTGTCAATTTACACCGACTTCTTTCCGTTCCTCTGCGGATCGCCGGACTCCTCAGCTGATCACAAGAGTTCTAGTTTTTTCTGGACGCCGGAGCATGGCGGATAAATTCAGCACAGATTAACCCGTGCTGGAAAGGAAGTCGGGCACAGACACAAAATAAAACATCCGGCTTCTTTTCAAAATAAAACACTCCGGTGGAGACGAACAAGTGAAAGGTTTTTAGACGTCATTTCACCCCGATGACACCATGGATGAGGAGATGCTGATTCTAGAAGTCTAGAAGTAGATTTCCTCCTCTGGAAGGACACAATCTACTGCTTATATGTCTATGTGTCTGTCTTTAGAGAGACAACTCGTTATCGTGTGATTGAATCCGCGGGTTCTTGTGAGTTCTCATGATTACTGCTGTCTGTAATCCACCGCGAAATTTGTCTCACAAACGGATCAGTAGGTAGGAATTGACGTACGGTGAAAGTCGCTGCTGCTCCGGATCTGAGCGGCACAGGATGCAGTAGAAATTCCGGATTATTCTTCATACTCAGTTTAAGATGAAAATGTATTTTGGGGAAGAGCAGCAGCGTCCTTGACCCAAACATGGGGCGGGTTAAACTAGGGTGACCATATTCTGACTTCCCAAAAAGAGGATGTGACTAGAGGGGGCGGAGTCACAGAGTCGCACTATGTTAATTTTGAGAGTTTTTCTGGTCGGATTGAGTGTCTTTTACGCCCTTCTAACTCACTAAGTCCACGTGACACAAACTCAAAACCTCGGTACAAAACTGCAGACATTTGAAGGATTTTATAAACTTCCCCAAACAAAGCAAGACAAGCGAGGACAGCCCCCCAAAAAAGAGGACATGTCCGGGTAAAGAGGACGTATGGTCACCCTGGGAATCACACTATATGAGTCAAAATGAAACAGATTCAGTTTGTTTTTGAGGAGTTTTAAAAATACACCGATTTCCCACAACCAGGAAAAAGCAGGAAGAGTTTGTTGCTGGAAAAGCTGCTGGTCTCACGAAGCGAGTGGATTTGACAGTGGAGACACAACAGTTCGGCCGTCTCGTACTCCTCCTGTCTCGACTCCAACATATTCACTCCGAGGTGGGATGATGTTGAGGACCATCGAGTTCAATCTGGTTCTGATCTGGGAGTGGTTTTCCACTGTCTTCAAAAGGACCCAGTTGGCTTCACTTTGAGGGAGCGGTTGTACCATCGACCTTCTCCTACAGTCTATAGTCATGTTACCAACTGTGCTAATAAATGAGAGTAAAGCGGTTTTGTTGAGTTTGAGAGAAAACCGCCGTGCCCTTGTGGATTTGGCAGCCCAGGAAAAAAAAACGGGAAAACCTCCAGGAAAAACCGGAGTATTAGTGAAACAAAATCAACAATCCCAGCTGAGGATTTCACTCCTCAGAACCTGAAAACACCGAATCAGAAACAAAAGCAAATAAAGAGCGACGTCAGCGCCAGAGACAATGCCAACAAACAGGCTCTCTCTCTTTTTTTCTCTCTCTCACACAAAAAAAGGAAAACAAAACACAGTGACCCATTTGGCTGAGCTACTAAATCTATTAAAGCTGCTTTATCGGCGAGTTTCAATGAGGAGCTGGTACTGATGCCCAAAAGAGAGAGAGAGCGGGATTATTTTAGCTCAGAGGTGATTAAACCAACAGCTCGGTCCAAGATAAAGAGCTATTAGAGCTCGGCTGACACACTGGGAAAGCATTCATTTAGACCAATCAGATAAAACCAGGGCTGGAATAAACCTGGGCTGGTTCACACATCAGTTTAACGTCATTTCACATGCAAAATGTTGAACTAAAGCTTCACTTTATATCAGTTAATCGAACAGATACAAGCAGTCACAGGACACCCCGAAACTCTTTTAGACGTACAAAGAACAACAGGAACCAAAACTCTGATTTGATCTCAAGTCTAAACTACACCTACTTGCAAGTTGCTAGGAACAGACCAGCGGTGTGAGGGTTAAATCTCTACGTCAACATCAGCTGCAGAGACCGTCTAACTTAAGTATTCAGGACTTTGACTGTTTAGCTGTAAAACGTTAAATCCAGGGAGGTGAATACTGGGCTCTAAAGTGTTTCTACGACTCCTGGATGAAAAAAACTTTCTCCCATTTTGTCCCATCAAACCTGAAAAAGTCACTTAAAGGAGTTTTAAAACCCTGTGACCATGCTACCATCGTCGTGATCCACATCCACGACACTGAACCTTCTCTTCGACGAGGGAAAACCACTTTAAAAGTGAGAATAAAGGCGCCGAGTTTAAAGCAGCTCGCAGGGTAAGAGGATCAGACAGATTCTCCTCCGGGGGAGACACATGCAGATCGGTTCCACTTAAACGGATCAACACTAATGTGTCTTCAATTTGAGCAGCAGCAGCACAATGATGTGTAAGACGATGAACGGCTCAGAGCCAGACCTACATCTGCAGAAGATGGATCAGGAGAGATCCACATCAGACTGACTTTTACAGTAAAACCACCTCCACACGGACCTACAACTGTTATTTCACGGTTTCTGTGGGGTCACCTGAGCTCCCGGTCTTCATAAATAGCTGATTCATGTCTGTACAGCAGTGTTAGTGTCTGGACCAGATAAAACGTCAGTCTTTGGGTTTTTCAAAATGCAGAAACAGCTTTGTCTGGACTATTGCAATTCTTGGTTTACTTGTTGAAATACCTCTTTTTTGAACCGCCTGAAAGAGGTTCAAAATGCTGCAGCGAAGCTCCTGATAACATCACCCAAATGGTCCCACGTCACACCCATCCTCAGGTCTTCACACCGGCTCCCCATTCAATTCAGAATCCAATTTTAATGACTTGTTCTGGTGTTCAGAGCTTTGCGTGGACAAACTCCAGCTGAAGCCTTATAGCTCCAGCAGGACTCTAAGATCCTCTGATCAGGGTCTGCTGGTGGTCCCTGGACCAGACTACGAACCAAGAGACTGAGCATTCGAGGTTTTTGCTCAGAAACTTTGGATCTCTGTGGAAACTTTCCCAAAGCTGTTTAACCAGGACTTTGACTACTCGTGTACTTCTTGTTGTCTCACCCTTGTTTTTAATACGATGACTGTGAAGAACTTTGTGACAACTGTTCTAGAAAAGGGGCAAATTAAGTTTATCATTATTATTAAGAGTACTTCAGTAGAAGTAGATCACCAACTCTTTACTGTCGGCCCTGCAGAGAGGGAGGACAGGAGGATGCTGAATTAGAGAAGAAAGAGAAGAAGAAGAAGGTGTGGCGTGTGTTTCTTTGTGAACTGACCACTACACCTGTTAGAAACCACCTGTCTGTTACTGTGTCTCCGTGGAAACAGGTGTGTGTATGTGTGTGTGGGTGTGGCTACAGTGGGTTAACTCAGCAGAATAACCTGCAAACACGTATTTCTACGTTGGCAAAGCTGCAGATTAACGAGTAAAAACACTGAAACTGTGATTTTCTGGTGTGGACACTGAGGTGGTAACATGCAGTTTTCACAACAGGCTAAGCTAACGCAGCTGTCTGCGAACAATCAGCTCAGGAGACAAAACCCAAACATCAACACAACACCGTGTTTCAGAGCTCCTCATGGATCATCCTCACAAAGACAGATGTTTCTCTAAAGACTTCAACTGTTCAGTCAGCGGATGTCAAATATTTGCGATTAGGTAGTACTTTTGGTGATATCACACACCTCTACCTGTTATTATCAGAGATCTTTCACATTTTCATATTATTATCTCAATCAGAACCACCCTAATATGGACCACAGGCCACAGAAATGTTCCAGATGTCATTGTTTGGTCATGCAGAGACTGAGATGTCTTGTTAAATCTGACATTTAGAGATAAACAATGACATACTCCTGTTTAACAATCTTGCAAACCAGATTTCTTTAGAGATGCATGAATCAGATTAAAGTCCAACCGAACCAGGTCCTGTGGGTGAAAACAAAGACGGATCTTCTGCAGGAGAACCTGATCTGGATCATCCTGCTCATGTGTTTTTATCTGCAGCCATCATTCATGTCTGCATGTCAGCAGCCTGTAGCTGCAGCTGCAGAGTCAGGCTGCTTTACATGCTGTGGTCATTTTAGGGAGAGAGAGCTGCAGGCAAACCTGCCCTGAAATGAAGCCTGAACACACCCACTCCTCCCCCTTTCCTCCCCCCCTGATAATTAGGGAATTAATGATCTCCAATAAACCGACTGAGGCAGGAAAATGTCTGCTTCTCCTGCTTCTCCTGCTCGGATGCAACAGGACCTCCAGAGGGGTGTGTTCCTCTGAGCCTCTGCTGTGTTTGTGGCAGATTAAATCACAGATCCGATCAGAAATCATAATAATAATAATGATCAGCTTCATGTTACCTTCATGTCTCCAATGACAGTCTGGAAAAGCCCCCCCAGCGCGCTGCACTCCCTCTCCATCACTGTCTCCATCTTCAGCGGTGTCCTCGGAAATTACAAACACTCTCACTCCCAGATTTTTGTGGAGTCCATAAATGAAACGGATCAATCACAGGTAGGAAAGGCGCTTCAGGCTGGATGACAACAATGAGAAGAAGCGCTCAGAGAAACACGGCAGGGTGTCCCCGGGTGAAGGAGAGCAGGACGCGGACAGGAGCAGCAGCGGGGCCGGTGGTTAGTGTCCTCCCGGAGCCGATAAATCCCATGACCGCAGGAGGAGGCGCATGTCGGGGCGGAGAGGAGCAGGAAACAAGGCGACGCTGCCGGAGAGTCAACTTCAACCACGAGCTGCTGCTCAGCTGCATCTACTGAAGGAGAGGAGAGCCGGGAGCGCGCCGGAGGGGGCGTGAACGCGCCTCAGCCTGACCCCGCCCCCAGCTTTTTGTTAATGGAAGGAGGCAAAAGAGGGAAAAATGAAATGAGAGGGGACGTTATATTCTGACGGTTGTTCTTTTTATTTGTTGTTTTTACTATTACCTTTCACTGTAAACACTTTGAAATCTGTTTTCTCAGATGAAAATAATAAATACAATTATTATTATTATTATTATTATTACTATTATTATTATTATTTTATTGTTATAATTACTTTTTAATTATTATAATATACTTATTATAATTATATTATCATTATGATTATTATATTCATATTATTATTATTATTATTATTAGTAGTAGTAGTAGTAGTAGTTGTATTACTTCTTTTATTATTATTATAATTATTATTTTATAATTATTACTTTTCATTACTAATATTTTATTATTATATTTTATCACTATTATTATCATCATTATTATTATTATTATACAAATATAAATAAATTCGTTTTTTTATCCAGGATGAGCTTTAAAAGGAGAAGTCTGATCACTCAAAAACACAAAGACACATTTCAACCTCCAAGATAATTCAAAGCTCCAATAGTCCTCGAATATAACAATCAATATTAAAGATACAAGATCAGACACGAGTTAAAGAATCAGAAAAAAAAATCACAAATAACAGCTGCTTGAGGGAAATGATTAAACACAAACATGAAATGCCGTTGTTCAGCTTCCATATCACAGTATGATGGTGTTTCATTTGTCATCTTTAATAAAGTATTGAAAGAATCAAATCTCTCTGATTTGTTTGGAACATTAAATCATTTTCCAGTTTTTCTAAACTTCTACACATTAAGTTAAAGACGTTTTGACGTCATGATTATTTTATTTTAATTCTCAGATTTTTTTAACCATTAAATCAACTTTTTACAGTCCAAGTGAACAGACTGAACTGAAATTTAAAAAAACATATTGAATCAGTTTTTATGTTTATGATGGAGACATGCAGAGTCATTTTACATCATCTACTTTCTCAGAGTACAAACTGACCCCTGACTCTCAGATATCTGAAACTGCAGCGCCACCTACTGAGCGCTGCACAGAACTATCATCAAGGAATAAAAAGGTGAAGATAAGGCAGAAAGAGGGGGGACAGGATGGAGATGAAGAGCTGAAACATTTACAGCTCAGGGTTCAAAAACATCATTTCAGTCTAAAACATGTTAATGTAGAGATAACTCAGCATCATGAACTTTAAGGTTTCTCACTGTTGATCCTGAACATGGAGGTCAGGAGACCTAGTGGTCAAACTCAAAGAGGGTAAAAACTGATTCGTAAACTGCTCTTGCCTTTTCTATCTGAATCCTGACACACGTTGAAGTCTTTGGACCAAATATATCAAAAATCATGAACCCTCTGTGGCAGAGTTTTGTGTTCTCTGCAGGAAAAATCGAGTTTTGGGTCCTTCTGTCAGGGTTGATCTGCAGCTGTGAGGGGAAAACCTGCAGACTTTTGACCTAAACCGAAGCTTTTGATGGTGAGCTGAATCCTGCGGTACAGAGCGGTCTGTTAGGAGAAGTTGTGGGATCAGATGGTGAAGCTGGCAGAGCTTTAAAAAAACCCAAAGCTGTGTCATTTTCACCACACAGACTGGCTGCTTAATGACAGGGAGCAACAACAACACTCACACACTGATGCACCAGAAGCTGCCCTCTGTGTCATTATCTCCCCCAAAGAGGGGAAGACTAAACTAATAACAGCAATCAGAGAAGAGGGGGAGGGAAAGGAGAAGAGGGAGGCAGAAAGACGCAGATCGGAAACTTCACACAGCACCACAGAATCAGAGTTTGAGAAGTCTGATTTTCATCATGTGGATTGAGACCTTTTACTTTAGTGCAACTAAAAAAAAAAAAAAATTCAAACTGCAGTGAAAAAATGGAAATTCGTGTGAAGACAAGCATGCCGTCGTAAAGTTTGGGGATTTGTTATGGCAGTTTCATTATTTAATTATTCACTTTCCCATCCAGATAAAGAAACCTGTGTGTCCCTCTGATCTCCCTCTCGAAACTACAGAACTGAGATCATGACAGCAGCCATTTTCTGAACTGTGGTGGAGAGCTAACAGGACTCCGCTCATGATGCAGACGCTCTGTAATTTTCCAGACCTCAACCACCCGTTTGGCAAACTGCCCCCCCTCTTGGTTTTATCGGACCTTCATTTCTGCAGCTGGTGACAAGTTTCTACATGAAACCCTCGTGTGCTTTTGAACATAAAACAAAACCAACAATAATGCATGGTTTATAGTCACCAAATACTGGAGGACTAAAGATTTTAATCCAGAACTCCTGATTTTTTTAAACACATTTTCTGATAGATCAAAGTACAGCATAATCAAACTTTAGGAAGTGACCACAGAACCACCATTTCTGAAGTTTATCAAGGAGAGATTTAATTTATTGAATTACAGCAGATCAGTTTCAAAGAGAGGTCAGGACCCTGGAAACAGAAACACAAAGACACAATTAATCCACTTAAAGGATAACATACCAAGATCATAAAATTAATGGAGGAGCTTAAAAAAATACTTACCTTAAGGATCAGTTTCTGTTGTGAACTGGGACATTGCCAAGTAGCCCCGCTGCTGGGGCTTGGATGGGTAGCCTGGCTGCTGGGGCTGCGATGGGTAGCTTGGCTGCACGGGCTGCTGGGGCTTGGATGGGTAGCTTGGCTGCTGGGGCTTGGATGGGTAGCTTGGCTGCAGGGGTTGCTGGGGCTTGGATGGGTAGCTTGGCTGCAGGGGTTGCTGGGGGTTGGATGGGTAGCTTGGCTGCTGGGGCTTTTGGTAGCTTGGCTGCATGGGCTGCTGGGGTTGCTGGGGCTTGGATGGGTAGCTTGGCTGCTGGGGCTTGGATGGGTAGCTTGGCTGCTGGGGCTTGGATGGGTAGCTTGGCTGCTGGGGCTTGGATGGGTAGCTTGGATGCTGGGGTTGCTGGGGCTTAGCCGAGTAGCTTGGCTGCTGGGGCTTTTGGTAGCTGGGCTGCTGGGGCTTTTGGTAGCTGGGCTGCTGGGGCTTTTGGTAGCTGGGCTGCTGGGGCTTTTGGTAGCTGGGCTGCTGGGGCTTTTGGTAGCTGGGCTGCTGGGGCTTTTGGTAGCTGGGCTGCTGGGGCTTTTGGTAGCTGGGCTGCTGGGGCTTTTGGTAGCTGGGCTGCTGGGGCTTTTGGTAGCTGGGCTGCTGGGGCTTTTGGTAGCTGGGCTGCTGGGGCTTTTGGTAGCTGGGCTGCTGGGGCTTTTGGTAGCTGGGCTGCTGGGGCTTAGCCGAGTAGCTGGGCTGCTGGGGCTTAGCCGAGTAGCTGGGCTGCTGGGGCTTAGCCGAGTAGCTGGGCTGCTGGGGCTTAGCCGAGTAGCTGGGCTGCTGGGGCTTAGCCGAGTAGCTGGGCTGCTGGGGCTTAGCCGAGTAGCTGGGCTGCTGGGGCTTAGCCGAGTAGCTGGGCTGCTGGGGCTTAGCCGAGTAGCTGGGCTGCTGGGGCTTAGCCGAGTAGCTGGGCTGCTGGGGCTTAGCCGAGTAGCTGGGCTGCTGGGGCTTAGCCGAGTAGCTGGGCTGCTGGGGCTTTTGGTAGCTTGGCTGCTGAGGCTTGGATGGGTAGCTTGGCTGCTGGGGCTTGGATGGGTAGCTTGGCTGCTGGGGCTGTTGGGGCTTGGATGGGTAGCTTGGCTGCTGGGGCTGTTGGGGCTTGGATGGGTAGCTTGGCTGCTGGGGCTGTTGGGGCTTGGATGGGTAGCTTGGCTGCTGGGGCTGTTGGGGCTTGGATGGGTAGCTTGGCTGCTGGGGCTGTTGGGGCTTGGATGGGTAGCTTGGCTGCTGGGGCTGTTGGGGCTTGGATGGGTAGCTTGGCTGCTGGGGCTGTTGGGGCTTGGATGGGTAGCTTGGCTGCTGGGGCTGTTGGGGCTTGGATGGGTAGCTTGGCTGCTGGGGCTGTTGGGGCTTGGATGGGTAGCTTGGCTGCTGGGGCTGTTGGGGCTTGGATGGGTAGCTTGGCTGCTGGGGCTGTTGGGGCTTGGATGGGTAGCTTGGCTGCTGGGGCTGTTGGGGCTTGGATGGGTAGCTTGGCTGCTGGGGCTGTTGGGGCTTGGATGGGTAGCTTGGCTGCTGGGGCTGTAGGGGCTTGGATGGGTAGCTTGGCTGCTGGGGCTGTTGGGGCTTGGATGGGTAGCTTGGCTGCTGGGGCTTTTGGTAGCTTGGCTGCTGGGGCTTTTGGTAGCTGGGCTGCTGGGGCTTTTGGTAGCTGGGCTGCTGGGGCTTTTGGTAGCTGGGCTGCTGGGGCTTTTGGTAGCTGGGCTGCTGGGGCTGCTGAGGCTTGGATGGGTAGCTTGGCTGCTGGGGCTTGGATGGGTAGCTTGGCTGCTGGGGCTTGGATGGGTAGCTTGGCTGCTGGGGCTTGGATGGGTAGCTTGGCTGCTGGGGCTTGGATGGGTAGCTTGGCTGCTGGGGCTTGGATGGGTAGCTTGGCTGCTGGGGCTTGGATGGGTAGCTTGGCTGCTGGGGCTTGGATGGGTAGCTTGGCTGCTGGGGCTTATCAGAGTAGCTTGGCTGCTGGGGCTTTTGGTAGCTGGGCTGCTGGGGCTGCTGGGGCTTGGATGTGTAGCTTGGCTGCAGGGGCTGTTGGGGCTTGGATGGGTAGCTTGGCTGCTGGGGCTTGGATTCTCCTTCAAAACCAGCATGCATACTTATCCCCTGACTTGAAACCACTGAAGACTCAAACCCATGTCCAGTCTGTGGTTCAGCTAAATCCCACATTTCAGCTTTGGACTGGAGGACACCCTCTGTTGCAGGACCTGTTTGGTAGGCTGATTGTCCATGTCTTTGTCTTAGCAGCGTGACTGGATCAGGTCTGTAGTTTGAAACCCCCACCCCCCCACTACCTGTAGACTCTCCAGAAGGTGCAGCAACCGGCTTCAGGTCTTGAGATGAACCACTTTCAGCGTAACTTTGTCCATAACCTTGGAATGAGTCTTCAGGTGGTGCAGAGCTCTCATGGCTGGTAGACTCAGGTGAGTAGCTGCTGGGGAAACCCTGTCCAAAGTACGGTTTTAGGCTCCCTGAGCCCCCACTCCTGTAGCTGAGTCCTGGTCCAAAGACACAGTTTTCAAAGTTAGTCAAAGTTAATTTTACAAATCTTCAGTGAACTTCTCAGAAACAGACATTTGTTTGAAGTGAATTCTTACCATCAGTCTGAAGTCCAGAGGCTAAGAGTGAGAGCAGGAGCGCCCTGAAAGCAGATACAAACATTGTCAAAACAGAACAGGATTAAATCTTTGTTTGATTCTGCAGGATTAGAGAAATTAATAATCTCACCTCAAACTAAATCCAGAGGCCATTTCAGTAAATCAAATAAAGCCAAACAGCCTGTGCTGCTGAGAGGCAAAGACCAAGAACAGAAACTGCTGCTCCAGCTGAGAAGAGCTGAGACACACTGGTGGTTTTTGAGTCTTGAGACCAGATGAATCAGGTCTCACACTGATCAGGTAATTGGAATCAGGTTTGAGGAGTCTTCTCTAAAACCAGATCAGGTGTGAGCAGCTCAGCTAACGAGCTGAAGCTCCTGTGTGGGGACTACAACCTGTCTGTCTGTCTGTCTGTCTGCTGCTGTTTTTTTACATAAATAGAAATCTGTCTAATTTTATTCACCTCTTTAAAAGAGAAAACCACAGTGGAAAGATTAAATAAACTTTATTTACCATCGTTCACTGTTTCAACATTTATTTCATCATGCAGTGATTGTCTTTTATTGTCACATTAGGAGAAGCAGCATGTGGTACAATCATGAAAACACACCAAGTCCAATTTTAAACCATAATAACCATTAATAATCTGATAGTTTTAACAGGGATGTAACATTTATTAACCCCAGAACACTCTCGCCAGGTGATTTTCACCCGACCAAACATGATTTTAGGTGATCTTCATGATGTTGTGTTTTGAGTATCACGGGTCTCTGAGTATCTTCATCATTTCCTTTGACATCTTTGTTTCTCTGATCCAGAACCTGCTTTTTCCTCCAGACTCGTGTTCACAGGCTGATTTTAGTGATGGAGGGTAAAGTAGGTTTGGGTGGGTTTCATAGCTGCATGTAGGGAATAAGGTCAGTAAGAGCGGTCCTGGAGTTTGCATGTTATCTTTATTTAGCGCAGTGGTTATGAATAACTATCATAAAGTCGTGATTTTTAAGGGAATTCATATGGTGATAAGAAATATTTGAGTCATTTTTACTCAAAATCTGACATATTCTGGTTCTCTCTCCTGTTATTGTGCCAAAGACCCTGAGTCTGAACCAGGGACGACTAACATGCCCCAGGAATGGGTGGACAAGAAACTAAGTTTACGGTTTATATTTTTTCAGGAATTCTTTTGTTCATGAATGCCGATTTGTCTATTGTCCTATTTTGATATATTTTGATGACAAGTACTTTTTTAGGGGTATATTATTTCGGGTAAAAATCACCCGGCGACAGTGATGGTGTTACTAATTTTAGCGATAGTGTTCTAGAGTTAATATACCAAGAGAAGAGGGAGGGCAAAGTAAAAGTGACAGAAACTGGAGCTCGGTGAAGGTGAAGGACAGAAGAAGGACTATCAGACTCCGGTGAGCAGGGGGGTTAGCTGTGTTTGAGGCCGAGGCAGAGGGCCAGCTCGTTCTTCTGGATCTTTCCGTCTCTGTTAATGTCGCAGTGGTGCATCAGAGCCTTCCTGAACTTGTCCAGGTCTGTGCCGCTGATGCTTGGCTGCAGGGGGGGGGGACACATCCAAAGACTTATCAGAGAGGTCAGAGGTCACAGCAGGGTTCAGGGCCGAATCTTTGCACAGAGGAAGTCTCACCTTCACCAGCTCCATCATGTCTTTGACAAACCCGTCAACTTCAGGGCCTTCCAGCGCTCCTGTTTTACTCTACACACACACACACACACACACACACACACACACACACACACACACACACACACACACACAAACACACACACACACACACACACACACAAACACACACACATAGTGGTGACTTTATTTGGTCGATGTCACTTCATGAGCAGGACTGTCCAACAGAAGTCAGGAGCCAAACTTACAACATCGTAATGAGCGAAAATCTTCTCAAAGTCTCTCTTCCGGTCCTCCTGACTGCAGGCCTGAGAAAGAACAAGTTCACAGTGAGAGTCTGGCTTTGAATAAAGAAACTACAGGTTAGTGTGAGGAAATGTGGAAGACAGGGAAGAAAATACTGTTCATCATGAAAAGAGAAATAATCTTGACTAAAAGAAGCGTCACTTACATCCATCTTAAACTTCAGGAGGAAGTTTTCTTTAAGAGCCAAAATTCTTCAGACCAGAGAAACAGAATCATGTCAATAATCAGGTGGTTTGAGTGTCTACATCGGTTATTGTTCAAACTCTATTTGGTCACATGACACTGATCCACGGTACCTGGCCAGGTCGTTTAAATCCAGTCGGCCATCTTTGTTTTTGTCAAACATCATCATCTGCGAAGAAGAAAGGAGAAGTATGAGAGGATGACGACAAGACTTCACGATATCTAAAGTGTCTCTGTCTGTTACCATGGCGACGGTGTACTTCTCCAGTTTATCAGGTGTGATTGATTTGTTGTGCTGGAGGAAGAGGTCCTGAAGGAAGCCCTGCAGGGACAAACGAGACCAAACCTGCTGCTAATGTTGGCGGAAACTGAGATCTCTTTACCTCCTTAACCTGCAACTCTGCTTTAACATTTTTAACTCTCCTCTTTTACAATAATCAATAAATCTGTCTTCTGAATCCAATAAAAGATTTTTGTTTTATCGTGTTTTGATTCTAAAAGTCAACTGTGGGACTTTTTAGACGATGTGAAAACCAAAATCTGAACTTAATTAGTTAATGAAGAAAATGTGTCTGAAAGATTTGATCTAAACTTAAACTAAAAAGTAAAATTCAAACTAATTCAATCATTCAAAAGTCTTCCAGCTCTTGGTTCGAGTCTTTATGTTTCAGGTTCTAATGTTCATCTCCTCTGAAGGTCATATTTGAGCTCAGCTGTTACCTTGAGCTCCGTCGCTGAGATGTATCCGCTGCTGTCAGTGTCGTAGTTTCTCCAGATCTGTAGAAACAAAAAACAGAAATATCACTCACATTATAATAAATGTTTCATGAATGAATTAGATGATCAACAACAATCCTGAATGTGCAGAATAGACACGGATATGATCAGGGACGTCTGAATTTTTGTGTTTGTCCTGAGGGTGGTGCTGATCAAGTCACGTTTTAGTCATGTCTAACTTTGTTGACCTTTGACCTCACCCTCATGAACTCCACGCTGTTGTCCAGCGGCGTCTCTCTGCGAAACAAAAGCAGGAAGTTCTCCTCTTCAGGGAGGATCACAGCGGACAGCTGAAATAAAAAGAGTCACTGAAGATAACAGCTGACTAACCAGACCTCACTGAACCTACTTTATGCAGAAATATGACAAATATGATAAATATGTGCAAATCCATGCTTGTTTTTTTTCCTCAAAACTTTATTGAACAACGTACAGCTTTCATAAAAAAACAGAAGATGAAGTTTGAGGCTGAAAATCACATCAAAATCACATCATTGAGTTTGTAAAGACCTCTGAGCCCCTCAGTTTAGTCTGCAGGACTCACAAGCCTATGATATATAAAGTCTTTCATAGTGGGCCAGTTCCAAACACAAACCCTCAGTCTGAGTCTAAAGTCTGGGACCAGAAAGACTAAAAACTGAAATGATATTCACCCAGTGTCAGTGTTTCTAATGTAAAATGATATCGTCTATCATCTAATGATAAATGCTGAGATTAGAGCAGGATTCATCCTGAAACACGTCTCTATCAGGGTAACAAACATCTGAAACAGAGAAGTTTGAACCTCTTGAATCTGCAGACGACCGTCAGCTCTGGTGTCACACGACAGTTTCTCTCTCATTCGTCTGATTTTGTCCGCAGTGATCTCCGCCCTCTGAAAGAAAATAACAGTCACTGTTAGAAATTTCATTAAACTTTTGTTAAATTTCGATGTTAAAATATTTTTATCCAAAGCCGATTAGATTAGTGTTGATTCTGCTGCCCCCTAGTGAGGGCTGAGGGCAGTATGCTGACAATACTCTGAAAAAAGCAGATTTTAGTTTCTGAACAAACAGAAAAAATGTAAAACAACTGAATTATGAGAATATTTCGAGAATATTCTATAAATTTGATTATTTACCTTGGGCCCAGATTCTCCCAGCATGCTTTGTAAGACGGCGTCCAGCTGCTTTCCCTCTATGTACCCGTCATCTGTGCACAAAAAAAAACCAGTCAAAAACATGATTTTAACTTTAACCCTGAGAATAAAGAGAGAGTGCACGAGTGTTTTTACAAGATAAATAAACTTCTTTTTATTTATAAAGAATATAATATGGGATTTTTTTTCCCTAAAATGAATCAAAATGTTGATTTAAAACAGTTCATGACTTTCTAATCACTTAAAATTTGGCCTCATTTTATATATTTTAAATCCATTAATTAATTTTAAATTCAAAACAATTGAACAACATCCTGTCTCTCCTCTTTTTACTCTAATAACACAAACAAAAAAAGCACTTAACCTGATTTTTATTCTTTGTTTTATTAAGACACGTCCTCAGCTGTCAAAATAAAAAGCTGTTTTTAAATCTATGAAATAAAAGATGTACATTTACGACTTTAAAGACTTCTTTTTACCGTTAAACTCTTATTTCTTACCATTTCTGTCAAACTGTTGCCAGATCTGTAAAAAAGCTGCAGCGTCCAAACTGTCCGCAGTGCTGTCCATGGTGCTGAAGACCAGCCGAGAGGATGGGAGGGGGACAGCGAGTCAGAGACACGAGTAAAAACAGAGAGGAAGAAAAAAGTCTTAGTTCTGCTTCAGGCGTCTAAAGGAATGATGGAGGAGAGAAAATCAGCAGCTTTTATAAGAAGGGGGGGGGGGGGTGAGGAGAGAGAGAGAGAGAGAGAGAGAGAGAGAGAAAGAGAGAGAGAGAGCGAGAACGAGAGCGAGTCTGAGCAGTAAAAGAGGATTTATTGGTACAAAGATACAAAAACAGAAATATCAGACAGAATCGTCAGTCCATCGGCACATCAACAATAAAACAAATAATAAACGGAATATTTGAACAATCCGATTTTCTTTAAAAATAAAGACAAAAATATTTCCCAGTAAAATAAAAACCGTCACCTCTTATTTTAGATTCAACTCCATGTTTCATGCTCTGATTACAACATTTCACTGCGATAATAAACCCTGTTTCTCTCTTATAAACACAACTGCAGGGATGTTAGTCCATATTCACATATTTACAATCATACATCTGTAAGTGCAGCACAACATGGATGACAGGCATCAGTGTGTGATAAGCTGTGATACGTGAGGGTTCAACAGCAGTGTGAAAAATGAGCTTCATGCAGAAAATGAATCTGAGGACCAAAAATTGAAAAAATGAACATCCACAGAAAAAACTAAAACAGTAAAAGTTCAAATATTTGTCCCACATGGACTCAGCGGTCTGGTTAACGATGAGTAATGAACATTTCCTGGTCTGACTGTCAAAGAGGAGGAAGTTAAACTAGCATCAATTATCGAGACTCATCAATGAAGACTTTCAAAATAAAAGACCGGATACTCGATTAAAGCTGAAGACGCTGAGACATCGAACTCACGCCAAAACTCCAGAAAAGACGTGTCGTCAGTTTTTCAATGAGCTTGAACATTTTCACCTGGAGCTGCAGTTCCTCCAGTGTCCACTAGAGGCTGGCTTCAAAATGAAAGGATTCTCCATTGAGTCTCATGTTAAAATGTTTATTTTAGGAGATGTTTTAAACATGTTTAAAGTCTGGCACCCTTAATGGATGGTGAATTATTGAAGAATATTCATAAAGAAATAAAAAGGTGTAAAAATATGAATAAATATGCATAATTGCATACACAGCTCCACCTCTTTGTTTGATGATGAACTTCATGACTGAACTCATGGCTTCAATATTCTCATCTTAAATTCTCGTTTACATTAGACTTTATGTACCTTTTAACTCCTCTAATATCCTCAAAACTAAATGAAATGTTCTGCAGCGAACCACTTTATTAGTTTTACAAATGTACTTATTTTTTTTTTTTTTGGGGGGGTTGAAGAATCACAAACTCTCTTTGGTTTCTGTGTTTTTTTTAAGTGACCAGCTGATGCTTATTTTGGCATTTATTCATAGATGTAAAATTCTCTCTGATTTACTGGCTTTAGTTTACCTGCAGATCTGAGATCCAGTAAAACCGCTTCAGTCTGGACCTGCTGGGACTCTCAGACTCAGCTCAGATCTTCTGAACTCCCTAAAACTCCTCTGCTTCCTCTCTTTAAGTTCTTTTAAAGCTGTTTTAGTGTTTGTTTGGTCAGTGGAAAATCACAGTCAGAGACAGGTGAGGGGATCTCCTCAGAGAAGAGTCTGAAGGTTGTTGGTTTCCTCAGTTTCTCAAAGAAGGAGAGAAATATGAACGTTGTTGTTGTTGGTCTCAGACTGAAGCAGTCTCGTCAGACTCGTCCTCTGATTTGGGGTCAGATTTCAGATCATCAGCAGAAGACGTCGTCTCCTCTTCAGCCGGGCTGAGATCTGGGTCTGCTGGAGACGGGGGGCTCGCTGAAACACAAAAATCAGGAAATCAGGTTTAATCAAATCAATCAGAAACTTTTTTAAAGGAGAATTGCTTCATTTTCAAATCTGACTGGAGTCGAGTCCACGATAAATCCAGAGGAAAACAGAGCAGACGTTTTAATGTGGAGTTGTTGTTTCTGTTAGACTGAGGAGGGGGGGTTACTAAAGGACAGAGCTGTGGTTAAACCCACCGTAGGCGGGGAGGGACTTGGCTCGCTCTCGCTCGTCCTCCGTCGCAGCAGCAGGTGGACTGGCTGAACTCTTCAGGGACGACCACTGTCTTCCTCCGACGCCGAGTTCACCGGCAGCACTGGGGGACTCGAACGCATCGCCGTCCAGAGGAGACTCGACTGAAGAGAAAGAAATGAGGACAAAAGTCAAACTAAGAAACAATTACAGCTTTAAAAACATGAACTTAAGATCGTCTGACTTATGAGTTTGTTACCTGGTGTGGAATCAAACAAAACAGCAGGTTTGACTTTAAAGAGAAAATTTAAACACGTTTTTTTAATTAAATCTGATTATTTATGAAAGGAGTGACTACAGCAGATCTAAAAAACACTCTTCAAAACATGAATCAGCTTTCTCAGTTTGTCAGCATGTAATAAATGCGTCGAAAACGGTGGAAATGCCCTTTAATTCCTGTCTCCTTGATTTTAGAAACACGCCCCTCAAACAGAACCTCTGATTACACAGATCCAAGAGAAAATACTCGCAGAGTTAATTACACGAGTCAAGTGTCTTAACTCCAAAATCACACACACACACGGACATTTGGAGAGCAGGCGGCAGGACCTTCGCCTCAGATGAACTCTGTGTGTGTGTGTGTGTGTGTGTGTGTGTGTGTGTGTGTGTGTGTGTGTGTGTGTGTGTGTGCAAAACATTCATTAAAAACGTTCAGACTATTTTCATCGACGCTCTGAGTCATCCAGTTTCATCGCTGAGAGAGAGAAACGAAGTGTCCTCAACAAAGAGGCCGAACGCTTTAAAGGGATAGTTACATTTTTTTCTCGTCTGGTTCGATGAGGAACTTGTCAAAAGTGTAGAGTTGTAGAAACGCTCCAAATGAACTCTACAGAAGGATATTTCTGTGATTCGTGTACACTTGTTTTAATTCAGCGATGTCTCTGCACTGCTCATGTGTTCCTGCAGAGGGCAGCGTCCAATCAGAGAGCAGAGTGTATGAACTGACGTATTAAATGCTTATCATAAAATCCGATAACCCACCCTCCAGGGGAGACAGGGGTCCTGCAGAGCTGCTGCTGGTGCTCTCTCTCTCCTGCTCTGATGGCGCCCTCTTCAGGCGAGGAGCTGGAAGTGGTCCTTTGGGGGACAAGTTCCCTGCTGGCGACTCAGAGGAGTCATCTGAGAACGAAGAAAAAACACTCAAAAAACCAAAAACTCGTAAAGAGAAACCGAACTACTGCTCAGCAAAACACAAGAGAGGATACCGATGAGGGTGCTGCTCGGTCTGGGACTGGTAGGACTGGTTGGACTGAGGGGTCCAGATGTGCGGGGCCCCAGAGGTGGTTTGCTGGTCTGAGGTGGGGGAGGTTTAGGGGTGACACTGGGAGGCTTGGACCTGGGAGCTGGTTCTGGTTTGGACTCATCTGTGTCTGCTGCTACGACAGGATAGAGGGTGAATTCATCACTCTGACTCATGACATCTACAGACGCTCGGCTACATTCAGGTTCTATAGTAAACTAAGTGAGGGGGAAATCTATGTAAAAATACAGAGTATCTATACTTCATAAACCAACAGACTCACCTGTGTCAGCGTCCACCTTATCGGAGAGGCAGACAGACTCCGACTGAAAACAGAGACACAGACACAGATCTGCCGTCACTTTAAGAACAGTCAGAATCTATACAGTATAGATCTATATACCACCATCACAGTGACCAGACTCTGTAATAGAAGCACCATGATGGAGTTAAACTCCCTCTCTCATTCTCCGCTCACCTTCTTGGCCGCCATCCTCTCCTGTCTCGCCTTCATCTCAGCCATCAGGTCCATCCCCATCACTGGGACGCCGATATGGCGGAGCACGTGCGGGTTCTCCTTCTTCTCTGCGTTCTCATTCTCCTGGTTCTCCTCCAAGTTCTCCTCCTCCGTGTTCTCCTCTCCCTGCTCCTCGGCAGGTTCAGGGGCAGGTTCCGCCTCCGAGTCCTGGTGGTCCGAGGATTGAGCCCTGTGGAGCTCCTGACCGGGTTCCACCACAGTCCCGGGAGTCGGGGACGTCGGGGGCGTCTCCTCGCTCACAGGGCTTATGGAGGAAGCGGGTGGAGGTGAGTTGGGGGAGACAGGGAGAGGCGGATTGATGGAGGCGGCTCCTTGGCTCTTCTCGGAGCGTGAGGTCCGGTTTTTGAGGAGGTTGAAGAATCCGCTTTTCCTGGACTCCCGTTTCTTGTCTGTGGCGTCCTGAGTGTTTGAGGACAGACCTCGGATACTGGAGAGTCTGGAAAAATCAATAATCAATAATCAGTTCAAGTAAAAACTTTTAAAGTCAATATTTGGTCCTCAAGGTTTTTCTGGAAAGATTTTTTTGTGAGGCAAATATCTTGTTTTATATCCTGAAAGCATCGAGTTATTTTATCTTAAAGTTTTTTATTATTATTTTATGTAATAAAATTTTTATATTAAATTTTTATCATTTATTTATAAGTGATGAAACTACTTTAATTTTTGTACTTTATTATTTTTATGTTATTTTATCTGCTGTAAATAGTAGATGTCTTTTAGATGACATGACAAATGAGACAACAGATCATGGAGTTTCAACAAAGTTCTTCTTCTTCTTCTTCTTCTTCTAACTTCTTCACGTCGATGACACTCTGATCTATTTAGCAGATTTCAAAAAACATTTTCCAAAACTAAAAGACTTCAGATGAAAAGGTTGACAAATATGGAAACAGTTGAATCTAAATGTCCTGAACCTCAGAGGTTTTCAGACTCTGGGTTTCTTCTTCATGTCGATGACACTCTGCTCTGATTTTCTAGTTCATTTCTACATGAAACGATGAAAACTAAACTCCTCGTCTCTCTTCAGGTCCTGACTCTTACTTGAAGCTCAGTTTTGTGACTTTCTTGTAGAAGAAATCGTCCAGGCCTTCATCAAGCCTTTCCATGACGCTACTCTGCTCGGCGCCCTCTGACGCCGATCCGCCGGTCGCCGCCTTTCGCTGAAAGATAAAGTCAGAAGAGTGAGTTCGACGTCCAGGAAGGAGACGGAGAGATGACTCTCGGACAGAAACCCACATGTGGTCTGCTGGGTTTGGTCCTCTTCTTTGGTTTCGGTCTGAATTTGGTCCGATGCTCCAGAGTCTTGTGCTCGGCGGGCGGCAGCTCCGCAAGAGGGACGGCTGATGGATCTACGGGGGTCGGAGGAGGAGGGAGGTCTCCGTAGAACGAAGACATCCTGTCTATTGGCTTTGAGGAAGCAGGAGGAGGAGGAGGAGGAGGAGGAAGAGGGTCCTCCACGTGGATAGGAACCTCCTCTAGAGCTTTGTCCAGGTCGAACTCCATCTCTGCGGGATGAAAAGAAGAGAGGAGGTGATGTTTCTGAACAAAGGTCCGCTTTACGAGTGAAATGAGACGGTAACCGACTCACAGGACATCTGAAATCAAGATGTTTGATCAGCTGATGGTTTTCACACTCACCGAAAGCCACAGAGACGGGACGCAGCATCCGGACCAGGATGCTCTTCCTCTTGGATTTCGGGGTCATCTAGTCCAGAAAAAAGGGGAAATTCATCCATGAAAGAGGAAATGTGCAGGTTTGTCAGAGCTGAGGGTCTACAGAAGATCTTGTTCTGTTGTTGTCTAACCGTGCACGTGTCCATCTCCTCCAGCTCGTGGTTCAGTTTCTGCTCCTGGTTCTGGTTCTCCGGCTGCAAAACCTCCTCATCCAGAACTTCAGCCTCCATCTGAGGCTCCTGACGCAGCAGAGGCTGAGCCTTCCTGACCAGGTGATCCGTCTGAGGACGACACGAGGGAAGAGAGAGGGACGGATCAGAGGACATTGAAAACACAGAGAAAGACACGGAAGAGGAGGAGGAGGAAGAGGAGGAGGACACTGACCAGGGTGTGCTGTGACCTGGACAGGGACTCCAGGATCTCGTCCACGATGCGGTCGGAGAGGAAAGACGCCATGCTGAGCTTCACCTCACTGTGGGACACGAAGAAAACGACGACAACACAGAAGATCCTGGTTTAGTAAAACCTGGCGCTCTCTCTGTCAGAGGAGAACTTCAAACTCAGACCAGACCTGATCTTGTTGATGATGTCCACCCCGGACTGCTCCAGCAGCGTGGTCGTGACGAAGCTGCGAGGGATGGTCATCCTCCCTCCTCCCACCTTCAGCAGCTCCTGTCGAAGGCCGCTCCTCTTCATCACGTGAGGACACAGACCTTCGGCGGCGTCCACCATCGACACCAGCATCGTCTGAGGAGATCAGAGTTTGAGGAAACATCAGTCTGTAAAACCACAAACATCACGGCGGACAGAAACGGCGGCTCCATACCTGCAGCTGCTCGTCCATCACCCGGGCGACTTCTCCAGCCATGGACTCCAGTTTGTCCTGGATGGCGCCCACACAGGCTCCTCTGGACCCCCCGCTCTTCAGGTGGTAGAGGTTCGGGAGCAGCTGGAGTGAAAAACGACAAAAACGATGAAACACGTCTGAAAACTCGGCGCTCTGAGCGTCGTATCGGTGGATCACGTCTTCTTACCGTTTTGGAGTTTCGAGCGTCTTTCATGAGGTTCTCCGCCACCTTCATGTCCTCCTGGACCGAGTTAGTCTCTGTGAACCTCAGGGAGTTCACGTGGTCCTGGACCTTCACACACATCATGTCCATCATCTGCAGAGGTCAGAGGTCAGAGGGTGAGTGTGAGGAGAGTGAGAACAACACACACACAAACACACACACACACGCGCACACACACACACACACACACACACACACACACCAGACGCTTCAGTTCATCTACAGTAGCACCAATGCTTTTGACTTTCACCTTGACTGGGCCCCATTTGTAATGATCTGAAGTATTTATCTGCATTATATCTGAATTTAATTGGAACGATACGAGCGAGCAGGAGTGTCTGTTTGTGGGCGGGGCTTGAGGGGAGAGGAGGAGCTGAGGGGAAAACTGGTTGGAGGGGTAGAGTTTACATTCAAGATTTCTCCTAAAAACTGGAACTAACTCAGATCCCTTTAACACCTCTAACTGTCCTTAAACTGAGCAGTACTGAGGGCGTCCAGCAGAGGGCGCTCTGACTTCATTAATCACTCAGACACACACAGAGACTCAGAGAAGAAAAGAACTTTGATATTCAAAAACTGAATTTAGAGTTTAGACTAGAGTCTGATCCTGTGTGTACATGTGTGTGTGTGTGTGTGTGTGTGTGTTGTTGTTGTTGTTGTTGTTGTTGTGCGTGCCTGTTGTGTGGTGGTGGTGACGATCCCCTGCTGCAGCCTGTACGCCTGCTCCTGCAGGTATTTGCGTGTCTCGTGGTTCCTCAGCAGGTACTGCTCCATCTGCAGACAAACACACAAAAAAGGACAATAAATAAATTCAGAGTTCGAGGTGAACACGGAGGAGAACGTTCAGAGGACGGCGACCTTCAGTAAGGCGTCTTCGGTTTTCTCCGGGCTCGCCTTCAGAGCCTGAGCGGCGTCCATGATGGGGACAGGCATGAAGCGGATGGTGTAGTTTCTAACCAGGAGGAGAAACAAAAACAGGAAATGATCACATCAGTCCTCTTTGGTGGTTTGAAGATCTGGATCTGGACTCTGAGCGCCTCCATCGTACTTCTCCAGAGCAGCAGCGACGTCCTGCAGACCCTGAGGGCTGACGTTGTTTCTGTCCCACACGATCGTCCTGCAGAAGAAGAAGAAGAAGAAGGAGGTTCAGACAAACATGGAGACTGGATTCAAGATTTGTTTGTCACTTAATTTCGCTTTTTATTCTTCCAGACCGTCTTTGAGTCTGAGCTGAAGCTGCACGACACAAATATAACCCAAAAACAGAAGAAGAAGTTGTTGGTCTGTTCCAAAGTGTCTCCGCTCACCTGAGTTTGGTGTTGATCTGCAGGGCCTTGGCCAGCATCTTGGCCCCCATGTCCCCCATGGAGTTCCCGCTGATGTCCAGTTTGGTCAGAGACGTGTTGCTGCCCAGAGCGTTGAGGACGATGGAGAGGTCGGCCTTCAGTTTGGAGTCCGCCAGAGACAGAGAGATCAGCGGCTGGAAGAGGAGGATTATTGATTATTGATCGATTAATAAACCTGAAAAAGTTATTCAGACATGAACTCCTGAGAGAGGACGGTTTTTATCAGGTTAAACTCACTGAATCCTCCTCCTGGATCATGTGGACCAGGTTGTCCAGGACCGGAGCCACGTTTCTGTTCAACAGGATAAGATTTATTCCTTCAGCTGGACTGAGATTCTCAAACCTGTTTGCTGTGATTGATTTCACCCACTTGGACTTGATGTTGTTGAAGTTTTTTCCCAGGGAGAGGTGTCTGATGGAGCGGTTCTTGGCCAGCCAGACCAGCAGGGTGGTCAGATCCATGTCCAGACCTGAACAAACAATCACAACAATCAGGTGAGCGTGATAACGGACTCCACAGCCGTGTCCTAAAAGAGAGAAACTCCCTCACTGTTGTCTGAAATGTCCAGACTGGTGATGTTGGGGATCTCAGCGATGCAGCCCTCCAGGATCTGAGACCCTCCTGAGCGCAGCTGACCGAGGAAAAAACACATTTTCAGTTTTTGTGTTAAAAGAAGTTCACAGAGAGTTTATTCAAGAGGACGTGTGGTTCAAGTCTCACCTCACAGCTGCTGAGATCCAGAGACACGTCACTCAGGTTCGGGTTACAGCCGAGGCCCAGCAACAATCCTCTGAAGGTCGAGATTTCACAGAAAGAACAACGAATAAATGTGAAAATTAAAAAAAAAAAAAATTTAATTAATTAATGTTATTTAATAAAAATAAAAATCTACACCATAATACATTTGATAAAATGAACTAAAAATCAAATAAATTAAAATGAGATATTAAATTTAATATATATAATAAAAAAATTAAAAAACACTTTAATTAGATAAACTCAAGAAATCAAAAAATAAATCAATTAATAAAAAATAAAACAGATTAAATCAAATTAAAATGAGTTATTAAAAGTAATAAATGTCATAAAAAAATAAATTAATAAAAGTAGGTAAAATTTGTGACATAAAAATAAATCAATGAATATGAAATTGAACAGATTTAATTAAATTGAGTTTTTAAGTTAAATATATGAAATAAAAATACGAATAAATAAAATGAAAAAAATATGACATTGAAAATAAATCAATGAATAAAAAATCAAACAGCTTAAATTAAAATGAATTATTAAATGTAAATCATGAAAGTTAAAAAAATAAAAAAATAAAATTAGACATAATAAGTGACATTAATAATAAAATGAATAAATAATAAAGCCGATTTAATTAAAATGAGTTATTAAAAAAAAAAACTAAAATGAGTTATCAAAATAAAAAATGAAATGAGTCTCAGTGTTTTTGTTTTCTCACTTCAGAGCCTCCAGCGGCAGCTTGGTTCCTGACAGACTGACGGAGTTCAGAGACTGAGCGCTGCTGAAGAACTGCTTAAAGGACGGCGGCATCTCCTTACACTTCCTGAGTGAATGTGGACGCAAACCAGATCAAATCAGGAAAAAAGACTGAAAAAACATTTAATTTAGACTCAATATCTACAAGTTAGATCAGAGTTACACACTTTAAAAAAGACAGAATTCATCCTGACATCCTCAGCTGTGGCTGTAAAGCAGTGATGAATGTTGTAAAGGTTAGTTTTCTCTGACCTGTGGGAGAAGACGGTCTTTGACATGTTGAGGACGCAAAGATGCTTCAGAGATCCTCGGAGCAGAGACGCACACACCTGAAAAAAGAAGAAGAAGAAGAAAGGCTCAAGGTTAAAAGTTACGAGTGTTCAACGTTGTAAAGTGATCTATGTCAAAGTCTGACGTTGTTACCTGCTCCAGAGAGCAGTCGCTGTTGGACAGATCCAGAGTCTCCAGGATGTTTGAGTGACTTAAAAAGCTGTGGAGGTTCTGAGTGAGAAGAAAACGACAATCAGAAACTGCAGCTGTGGTTCAAAACCTTCAGAAAGACCTGAAACCAGGACTCTGTACCGGCAGGTCGTCTCCTCTGAGCGAGTTCCCCGACAGGTCCAGGTGCGTGAGGGCGGCGGCGACGGCGGGATTGTTGCAGAGAGCCTGACAGAGTGTGTTTACTCCTGCAGAGACACACAAAAGTGAAAAGAGTGAGAGCGAACGACAACGACGCTGAGGTCTGACATCATCGTCTCTTCAGGCGGACGCACCTTTGGGGGACATGGAGGTCCTGGAGAGGTTCAGGTGCTTCAGACCCATGGGCAGCTTGGCAAGCTGAGCGCCGAGAGCAGAAACACCTGAAGGAGGAAACAAAGAGTCAGAGGAGGTGAGAGGCTGCGGCTCGGCCACCTGGGGGCAGTAACAGCAGGACCATCTGACATGATGAGACGTTTCCGTGGATCTGCGTGCGTTCGCTCTGACCTTTGTCCTCCAGCGAGTTGTTACTCAGGTTGAGCGTGTGCAGCGTGGAGGCGGGGTTATGTGACAGAGCGACCGCCAGTTTCTGAGCGAAGTCCCCCTTCAGTCCGGCGTTGTCCAGAACCAGCTCCTCCAGCCGACTGGATCGAGCGACGACTCGGAGGATCTGATCGCAGACATCCGTGGACTGGAGGGCGGAGACACAGACGTGAAACTCAAACCTCCTCATGATCGTGACGGTTTCATTTCAAAACACAGGAAGTCGGAGTTACCAGTTTGTAGTCTTTAGTGGACAGTTTGGTGAACCACTGGTTGTACTCCAGAGCCGCGATGATCGCCACCAGGTCTCTGCAGGGGGAGGAGAAACACACGCAGCAACATCAGCGCTAAAATCAGCATTTTTTAACCACGACACCGAGCTCTGTTCAGACCGTACCTGTTCTCCAGGTGGACAAAGTCCTGCAGGTTGAGCTCTCGGGTGTCCTGAGTGAGATAGATGGTGTCCACATCCTGGAGGAGGGAGGCGAAGGTGACGACGGGAAAGAAGAAAAAGACGTGAAAACAAACCGACACAGAATCAGAATTCATCGCTCTTTATAAACGAAGAAAAGAAGAAAAACAGGAAAATCAGCTGATGACGGAGGAGCTGCAGAAGAAAATATCTGCTGATAAAAAAACAGAAAAGAGGAAATCAAGAAGCAGGAAACAAAAAACACAAGAGGGAGTAAAATATCGTCCGGACCGACCCACTGGACTTCCTCTCTGTACGGCAGCCCCAGGTGATCACAAACACACCAGTACTGATGGGAGAAACCTCCTGAAAGAGTCAAAACACCGACTTTCAGAACCTCCTCCTCCTCATCGTGAAGATTTTTAACCCTTCAGAGTCTGATTTACCGCAGGGTCCCAGATCCGCTGAGCTCTGTTCGTCCCAGACGCTCTGAAGAGCCGCCGTCCTCTCTGGAGGCTTCAGACTCAACTTCTTCATCACCTTTCTTCCTTACAGAGAGAAAAGAAGGACAGGGGTCAGAAACAGGTTCTTAAAAGATCCTGAGAGTCCAAGTCCTGGACTTCAGGACTACTTCTCTGGTACTTACACAGGAGACCCAGCAGGACAGATCCGGTGCACACAGCTGCCGATGTGAGCGATCACCTCGTCCACCTCCTCCACCGAACCTAAACGGAGGCTCCATGGTCCGCGCTCCGACTCCAACACCAACTGCAGAGAGAGAAAGGGTTCAAGACGTTTACATGATGATCCTGGTCAGACCTGAAGACTCTGCTGGTCTGAACCTGGAGGTCTGCAGAGGACCCACATGTCTGCTGAGCGCTGCGCTCGTACCTGAGTGGGCTTGTTGCTGCTGACCCCCTGGATGTCCAGGTAACTGAAGGAGTGTTCGACCTGCAACAAGACGAGGAGGAGGAGGAGGAGACGGTCAAACTCAAAGACCCAAACATGACTTCATCTCCTCTGGAAAACAAACAGTCAGCTGCATTAAAACATCACAGATTCAAAGTTACACGTCCCAGAGGAGGACTTCCTGTTCTCTTCCCAGGAAAACCCGCCTCGTCCGGAGAACTCCAGGGTTTTTCCCAGACAGACGGATTTAAATCTGTCTCTTATTCTGGAGCCCAAAATAAATCAGGTGATTCACAAACACGCGAGAATAACAAACGATGAACATCAGACACTCCAGACTGTCATGGAAACTCGAGCAGCTCGGCCTCATCAGTAAATCCTTCTCCACAGAAGAGGGAGTGAAGTCCGTCTGACACAAACACGACACAGGATCCAGTTTCCCTTCGCAGGTCTCCAGGAGACAAAGTCTGGTTTCTCCAAACCTGGGCTTCCTGAAATCAGGATCTGATGTTTTCATCCACAAACACGAGGACAGGAAACTAACAGAAACCAGTCGAACCCGGGTCGGTAAAGTCAGTTTGGACCAGAGACTGAACTAAGATCTTTGTGAAATCTGCTTCATGAGGGTTTCTATGACAGAGTGACTCTCTCTCTCTCTCTTTACTCTATTTCCTCTCTTTCTTTATTTCTGCAGGTTTTGTTGACACCATCAGGCCTCAGTGTCGACCTGACGCTGACACACAAACTGGACTGTCGGGGTTATTAGGGGTCAAACAGCCTGAGTGTCCACCTGTTCTCACGGTTTCTAGACTGCAGCAGTAAAGGCGGGAAAACATGTTTCTTCATAAACCGTCATAAAGACTACAAACAGAGTTCATCAGAACTCTGAGCCGATAAAACACGGAGAATCTGGACCAAGAGAATAAAACAAAAACGACTGGAAGAAACTTCGGGGAGAGGAAACTTCACCGAGACTCTGGGAGTGAAAAAACAGCGACTTCAGAAATTCTGCAGAACAAATGTCTGGAGAAAAGTCACCGTCTCACACATTTGGGTCCAGAGGGAGAGAGACCAAAAATAAAAGAGAGGGAGGGAGAGAGAGAGACAGAGAGAGAGAGAGAGAGAGAGGGAGCAACTGGGGAGGAAGAGTGAAAAAGAAAGTAAAAATAAGAACAAGATCAACAAATAAATGAGTATGGAAGAAGAAAAAGAGGCAGAGAGAGAAACCTAAAATAAAAATTAACCCTCACATCGAGAGAGAGAGAGAGAGAGAGAGAGAGAGAGAGAGAGAGAGAGAGAGAGAGAGAGAGAGTAGAGAGAGAGAGAGGGAGAGAAGGAGAGGGAGAGAGGGAGAGGGAGAGGGAGAGAGACCAAAAATAAAAGAGAGGGAGAGAGAGAGAGAGAGAGAGAGAGAGGGGGAGAGAGGGGGGAGCAACAGGGGAGGAAGAGTGAAAAAGAAAGTAAAAATTAGAACAAGATCAACAAATAAATGAGTATGAAGGACGGAAAAGAGGCAGAGAGAGAGAGAGAGAGAGAGAGAGAGAGAGAGAGAGAGAGAGAGAGAGAGAGAGAGAGTTCCCCCTCCCTCCCTTTCCTTGCCAGCTGTTAAATTCCTCCATTGTCTTTTTTTCTCTCTCTGCCGGCACAGTGTACGCCGAGGAACAAACCACCCTCTGTTCACCCTCTCTCTCCCACACACACACACATATATACACACTTTAACACACACACACACACACACATACACACACACACACAGATAGAGAGTTAGAGAAACCACTGGCTCACTCTGGAACAACAGATCAGAGGTCAGCTGGCAGATCTGATTTGAGGTTGTTATCTGTCAGAGCGGCTGTTCCAGAGTCTTCATGTCAGAAACGGTCAGAGTTTGTAAATCTGAGCAGAGGAAACTCACTAACTCAGATTTAATTTCTCTCTGGAGGTAAACAGTCATATAAAGTCAGACCTGAGTGTAGTCAGCGTGGTTTCTGATTGGTTGATGAATCAAAGTTCATCACTTGGATTTTCCTGAATTGCAGAAACAGTTTGGATAAAGTTTGATGAAACTGCGACAGTTTCAGTGTCAACATGCAGCACAGGTTTCAGGTCGTCCGCTCTGAGAGGTCGGTTTGTGAACTCTGTTTCCACTTCTCTTTTTCACTGACTGACCTGAGGAGACGTGAACTTTTCTTTACACTGAGAATAGAGACTCATCCAGAAATCCGACACCGTCCTTTAAAACCAGGATCAAGTCTTTTATTTTGAAAATCACGTTTCCTGGAATAAACCTCGGCTCCTTTTATCCGCAGCATGTTTTTGTCTCTGACTGCGTCTCTCGCCCTCAAGGTTGAACTTTTCTTCCTCTCTCTGTTTTTCTTTCCCACAGGCCGAGTTCTCACAGCTGCATTGTGGGTAAAACTATCGGGTGTCTACATATGGAGAAGAAAAACGTAGAGAGAGGGGAGGGAGGGGAGAGAGAGAGAGAGAGAGAGAGAGAGAGAGAGAGAGAGAGAGAGAGAGAGAGAGAGAGAGAGAGAGAGACTAGAAATCAAGTCTGACAGTAAAACGAGGAAGAAGTGGAGGACTTGTCTTCATGAGAAATAAAGGAGCAGTTCGAGCTCTGAAAGACAAACAAAGAGTGTCTTAGAGACCGCTCCAACAACACGAACTCAGGTCCTCATCAGTGTGAAAACAAAGACACAAACTCAGAGACACTCAACAGTAGATTTATGGTTATTATCTAAACCCTCTTCAGTCCTAACTGGATTTTCACGTTCTTCACAGGCACCATCTCTGGACACTCAGTACCTAATTATCGCCTATCGTAAACAGCGCCGCTGAAAAGACCCATATCGCCCCCTAGTGTTGGGGAGGAGGACACGTTCACGTCAATAATTTGATTTTCTCAGCTGCATGTAAACGAGGACGAGGAGAGAAGTCTGATTCAGAGAAAAATTAATGAATTCTGAGTTTAGTCGGATTAAACTGTGACTGTAAACGCTCTGACTGAAACCACCGAGGACTGGACTTCATCTGCTCACCACCATCTCAGTGATATTCAAACCCACTCGTTCACAGAGAGTTCTGCAGCTCGGTGCAGTTTGCTCTTGTTTTGCATCTCCACTCTGCTGCACAGAGATGAAAGTATTTCACTCGAACCTTCCACATCTCTACCAAACTTGGTGCCATGAATGAAACGGTGAGATGTTTCAAAGAGCTGTACTGTCAGCGGGTTATTCACCTGATTCTACCTGCGTGGAGATGTTTGTGTCTGACTTTGGGAATGTGTCAGGACTCGTCGAAAACCTCGTCAGAGTCGAATTTAAAATGAGGCCAAAAAAGAAACGAGCAGCAGCACGTCTGTAATCACCAAAGAGGAGGAGGAGGAGGAGGAGGAGGAAGGAGACGGTGCAAATGCAGGAGAAACATTCTGTTCTGGGTGAGGAGTGAAGGAATGATGATGAAGAGCAGATGCAGAAACAGAGAGAGAGAGAGAGAGGAAGAGAGAGGAAGAGAGAGAGATAACATGAAAAAATATGAAAAAGCTTTAAAATCACAGATGGACTGACCTTTGAAGGGACCCGCGCTGTCAGCAGATAAGCTCGATGTGATGCCAAGGCCTGAGGACAGAGAGGGAAAGGTTTCAGAGAGACTAGATCACTGTCACAGAGAGAACCGTGGACTCAGAGACACCGGGGAGAGTCTGCTGAGAGTCTGACCAATGACTGTGACAGGAAACATCTGTCACTACAACCACACCGCAGTTTACAGGGTAACCAATTCAACCAAAACACCTGAAACATCTGGGAAATGTTGGCTCAGGGTCCACAACTAAGAGGGTAACTAATTCAACCAAAACACCGGGCTGTGAATGTCTGAAACATCTGGATATTTTGGGGTCAGAGTCAGCAGTTAGCATGGTAACCTTTCGAACCATAACACCGTCTCTCAGTCGCTGTTACGTTTGTGGTCTGCTGGCTCAGCCTTCACTCGTCTATAATAAACTGTGTGTATTTGACCACAGTTACTCCACAGACATCAGACTGATCTGTTTTATAAACTTTTGTCAAACAACATCAACACACATGAATCCAGCTGTGACCTTGTGAGAAAATGACGTCCCCCTAACTCCCATTAAAACCTGTTTTCAGACCCTGATCTAATTCACCAGAACTGGATTCTTGCAGGAGCCTGGAGTCCACTTCTGTGAAAAACTCTCACATGGAAAGAATAAAATTGACAGTCCTTGAACTCTCCGAGCGTTTGGACTCTGCAGAGGTTTTTTTTTTACTAACTTGGATGATCCTGTGTATAATCTTTCTCCATCCATGTGTTGAACTTCTGTCCTGGCAGAGCGTATACACACGCTGTGGCTGCTCGCCTCGACGACTCAAGAGGAACCCTAACCTCCAAATTATGACATTATTTTTATCGCACAAGCGTGCAATTCTGTCGCTGAGTGTTCTGGGGAAATGGTGTGTTAAATGGTTCCTGACTGCACATTTAAACTGAACTCAGATCTTTAAAGGAGGCGGGAAGTTAACCAGGATACAGACTGTAACCCTTCACTAAGGACAGAGGTCACTTCAGGTCATGTTTGTGAGCAGCAGAAAATCTTCTCTCTAGATCCAATCAGTCAAAAAAAAATCTGTTTCCAGTTGAAAGAGTCTGGAGATGTTCTGGATCAGGTGTTGGACAGATGTGACTGCAGGTTAGTGTGTGTGTGTGTTTGTGTTTGTGTGTAAACAGTAAAATAAAAAACAGGAGGAACCTGCAGAGTGATGCTCTGACAGGAGTTCATGAGTGCAGATAGAGGCTGTGTTAGAGCTTCAGTTACTGTTATTATCAATATTTCATTGTCTTTGTTTGAGGTGGTGATCAATAAAAATGTGCAGCTGCGTGGATTATGGTGCAAAATTAATCTCTTCAAATGCACAATTATGGCCAAAAATAAAACCAGAGTTTTGATTTTGATTTTTTATTTAGTGACGACTTCATCAAACTTTAATTTAATAATAAAAAAGTTTTTCTATCATCTCTCAAAATGAAACCACTGAAAATGATGTAGTTCATATGCCAAGCCAGTAAGTGGCGCTGTAACGTTGCACAGGAAATGCACAAAAGACAGAAGAAGAGTACAGAGCATGTTTTATAAAGGTCGTTTTGGCGCCATAAAAGAGTTACTCTGTGTGTCACATGATCGTTTCCAGAGATGCAGATAGACATCCACACGGAGATGAAATGGTCGTCGTTTACAGATTTATTCACTCTCTGACCCGTTTTCAAAAAGAACCGTTTACAGTAGGACCTGAATGATTTATCGACGAGCCGATTAAATCGGCCAATTTTAGCCTGTTTGAGACTAATCGGTAATCGGCCAATTAGTCTACAGTATATCTACAGTAAATATATATATTTTTATAACTTAATAAAAAAATTTAAAAAACAGCTGATCAATCAGTAATCAAATCCCCCCCCCCCCCACTAATCAGTATCAGCCCCAAAAAATCAGTCACCCGAAACGCTGTTTCTGTGTGGATGACACGCCGATACGACAAAAAACTTGAGCGTTTCCTCCTGAATTCGTTTCCATGGTGACGGGTTGATACCGCCTTCAGACAGACTTTGCAGCGGGGAGTGGTTTACTCTTCATCTGAAACTGTGAAGTCGTACCAATTCAACACGACTGACTCGCTCTTGTCCGATTTAACCACGAAATTATCACCGTCTTTTGCAAACGCCATGTTTGTTTACTCTGGTGTGTGTGGGAACTGCGGAGCACTCCCGCAGGAAGGAGGAGCCTACGGTGGCCTGGAGGTGCGAGAGACGGTAGAGCAGAAATCGATTTGACGATTTTAATTTTTTTAACATCGTCATAATTAAATAACCAGATTAGGATTTAATATCTATTGATCGTGCGGCCCTGATACACACACCTGTCTCCTCCTTTAAGGACAAAGTGAAACAAGAACTGGTTTGTCCACAGGGGGCGCCAAAATCTGCGTATTTTGCTTCATGTGTTCACATTTAGACGTGACATCCAGGAGCAGAAACAGAAACTCCTCTCATCTGGTTTTGAACTCTAAAGCGCTCCTGTGTGTTTCTGTGTTTCCTCTACGGCCGTTTTTCTTCCTCTGCAGGAATCGCTGCTTCGTTTTTCTTGAGGAAACGATCGGATCTCGATTTTCTTTGAACAAACGAAAACAAAATCTGCTCGACACATTGACATGAAGGAGTGAGCGTGTTTCGCCGCATTTTAAGAAATCAGAGCACGAGTTTCTAATCTGCTGGTCTACAGCTGTGGAATGTAGTGTGTGTGTGTGTGTGTGTGTGTGTGTGTGTGTCCCATTACCCCGTGGCTGTATGTGGGTTGCTCCAGTCAAGTCCTGACAGGAGTTTCAGTCACAGATGTGTTATTTGGTCAGGAGGAAAGAAAAGGGAAGAAAAACTCACTAAGAAGAGTTTCTCGGCTCTCCAGGTTCAGGTCGGCGTGAAGCTGGAGACTAAAAACTCCAGGTTCAAGTCCAGACATTTTCAGAGTAGAGATGAGGCTGAGGTGGACTCAAAGACCTGCAGCGACATGAGTCAGAAATCTGGCACAGACACGACACCCATCCCCATCCTCAGTCTGAGCCTCTAAAGCTAATCCAGCGTCTTCCTGTAAAGATGGTCAGGACTAAAATCAAGTCAGGACGGCCCTGAGCTGCAGACAGCGCTGGATTAAAACTGTCATGACTCTGTAATGGGAATCACCACATGGGCTCAGACAGAATAACCTCCAAAAATATAGATCTGAGTCGATTAATTTAATCAAAATATAACAGCAGACATGATCCAGACACATGCTGGAGGTAAAGTAGGAAGACCTTCATGTTTCAGAGAGACGATGCTGAACCAGTTTGGCTCTGTAGGAGAAGAGTCCTGATAAGAAACTGAACTGACACGGTCTGGATTTGTCCCTCATTGAAAACATTTGGAGCATCAAGTCTGACAAACGATCGGCTGAGTTTCTTAAGTTTGCACCAGACTGAAGACAGAAACATGCAGCCTGATCCTGACTCCCTCATTTCATCACCTCAGAGTTTAACCAACATTCAGGATTATTGCATCATCCTTCAGTGGGTTTACCGCGTTGCAAAACCGCGTTATGAGCATCGGGGGGAAAACCTCTTCATGTTCCAACATGATGGACCAGATCCCTGAGGAGAAAAGCTCCCACTTTGTTGGGGAAGAACTTACCTGGTCTGCAAGAAAAACTGATTTCAACTTTTTCAAACATCTGTGGGAGACGCTGGAGTTTGACCGTGAGTCTGAATTTAACGAACACTTCACGACAGGAGACTGAAAATTTATCCTTTTTTCACACAAAAACCTCTTTTCTCACTGATTCACCTGCAAAAACACCGAAGGCCAGAATAACGACAGTCAGGACAAGGTCTGGGGTTGGGTTTTCTGGGTTCTGTACACACACACACACACACACACACACACACACACACACACACACACACACACACACACACACACACACACACACACACACACACACACCCTGACCATCAGATTATGACTCACAGCACGCCGCTCCTCTCAGACTGAGCTTCTGTGACCACAGTCAGTCAAAATATTTCACAACCACATGTAGACTTCTCTGCCAGCCAACCAGAACCAGGAGCCCAGAAGAGCACCAGAACCCAGATACCAAGTCTACGTTCAGACTGAAGGTCATTCTGATGTTTTAACCATCTGTGACTCATATCTGATGTTTTCATCTAAGTGTGAACAGGTCAGTTCTGATTGGTTCTGATCCGACCCTCTTCTGTATGTGGATATAAATCAGATATGTATCTGATGTGACTGCAGTGTGGACGCTCAGGTCACGTTCATCGACCTTTACGTCATCAATATGAGACAAACGTCACCATTGTTCAACACAAACAGACGCGGGAAGATATTTGTGCTTTGTGAGGGTCACTTCACGTTCACATTAGATGATCGTTGTTGTTGTAATGTGAACGACCGCACAAAAAGATCGGATTTAACAAAAAATCCGAATTGAGCATCAGAACCTGCAGCGTTAACGCAGCCTCAGACCTCAACACAAACTCTTACAAGAGTTTAAATCTGCTGACTTTGACAAACACTCACTTCCTGTCTGTTTATTTAACCTTCTTTGGATGAAAACAGTCCCGTACAAAATGGGAAATTCAGACACTCATGCGCTAAAAGCTGCAGTTCCTTGAGTGTCCACTTGAGGCAGGCTGCACAGGCTGGTCCTGACGTCAGGTTTAAGCTAGGTCTCACGATTGTTGTTCAGAGAAGTTGGAAAGTACGTCTAAAAACATGTTCAAACAGAAACCAGAGAGAGCTGAAACACTCGTAAAATAAGAGGGATCGTTGAGACCTACCAGCACTCTGTTCTCCACTTTGTCACCTTTGACCTCCAGCTGGACTTTTCGCCTCAGGGTCAGCTTCACCCTCCGGCCCACCGCCTCCCGTACACTCTCTGAAACAGAGAGACACCTGATGGTTAAGAGAACCAACCCACACGTAACCAAAGGAGATGAGACCGCCTGAACCTGCAGCTTCAGGTCCTTCTCAGCTGATGAACCTGGTCAGGATCTCCATAACGCTGATGAAGGTTCAGGTGGAACCAAATATAAAGGTTGTGTTTCTGTCAGGAAGGGTTTGAATCTCATTTGGCTCTTTTTTCACCGAGCAGAAGGTCTGAACTTCATCTGTTTTTTTTGAGTGGTGGGAAAATCCAGAGTCAGAGGGAGAAGAGCGGCGGAGGGAGGAGAAGGTTTTAAGATCGGGGGGGAAGAGAAGGAGGTGAAGTGAGGGTAAAATACAACATCAACAAACAGTGTGAGAGTCTGCTGGAAGAGAGGACTAATGAGAGTCTGGGCCCGCCTTCATGACATCAGGGTGTCCTCCTCCTCTCTGTGCACAGACACATGATGAGGTCATGTGGACAATGAAAACATTACAGCAGCGTGCAGCCTGATCAGAAACACATGGACTTCTCCCTCCATCCAGCTCACTCACAGATGAGTCCAGGGTTTCCAGACGCCTCCGTACTCTGCTGTAACAACCCATAACATGTTAGATTCAGAGGATTCACACTCTGTTCAGGCCGCGTTCAAACCTCTCATCCTGTAATAAAGTCAAATCTTCAAAATCCAACAAAAACAGGAAACAGAGCTGCTCAGTTAAAGCAAAAATCATCAAAACTCTTCACTCTTTACTCTCTCCACTTTTGGTTTACTAAAGCCTGACTTTAAAGGGAAATTCCAGCGAAAAATTAATTTATGGTCAAACCCACCATAACACCGAGTTAGACCCCCCCTCTGCTTGCTTCTCTAGTTATACCAACTTTAGTAACGACCGCAGGATAGCAATACAGAGAGCCACGCCCCCAACCAAAACGCCACTCTATAGCCACAAATAATGCTCAGAACAGCACCTAACTTCATCAACAGGACATATAGGGTCACAGACATAGTACTAGACACCAAACATCTTTTTAACTTTGACTCATTTCTTTAGCAAAGAGACTAAACACAACTCACCTACTCTCTTCCAGCAGACGCTTGTTTGTAGAAAGACCTCAGGCCAGTCCATTACAGACTACAGCGGGGTGTCGCAGCTCAAGGAAGAACATTCATGAAGTAATAATCATCATATTAATCATTTTACAGACGCGGTAGTTCTTCTGTCTTAGCGTCTCGGTCTGATTGTATTTCCATGAAGAAATGATCATAAATGTTCTTCCTTGAGCTGTGAAACTCCGCTGTAGTCCGTAATGGACTGGCCTGAGGTCTCTCTATAAACAAGCGTCTGCTGGAAGAGAGTAGGTGAGTTGTGTTTAGTCTCTTTGCTAAAGAAATGAGTCAAAGTTAAAAAGATGTTTGGTGTCTAGTACTATGTCTGTGACCCTATATGTCCTGTTGATGAAGTTAGGTGCTGTTCTGAGCATTATTTGTGGCTATAGAGTGGCGTTTTGTTTGAGGGCGTGGCTCTCTGTATTTCTATCCTGCGGTCGTTACTAAAGTTGGTATAACTAGAGAAGCAAGCGGTCGACAACATTCATCTCTGGAGGGGGGGTCTAACTCGGTCTTCATGCTCCTCCTGTCCCTTGGCTTTTCAGACACAGCAGAACTTTCTGTCTATCACTGATTCTCACTCTCCGGTTCGTGTCCAGTTTTAGAGGTCTTGACTTCATTCTGCGCTCATGCCGGGTCCACACAAAGACCAGCCTCTTTAATTTCCTCGGATAGTTTCTGAGCGCAGCTGATGAGCAGCATCAGGTCGCTCCGGTCTCATTAAGACTAACAGCAGGAGCCGCCAACAAAAAGGCCCATTCATTAACCACAACATGACAGACACCGTAACAGAGAGCACGGGGTGGTGAGTCAGTCTGAAAGCCCCTGAGTTCTTATGAAAGTCCAGCGTCGATTCATTACCTTAGTTTGATTTCATGTGATTAAAGTCTTAGAGTTGAGTTTGTAGAAGAGACATGTCCAGTTTACGCCGTTACTGCTCAACAGGACCGTTTCAGTGATCAAGTCTCAACACAGATTTCAGCTCTTCTGTTCCTCCATCACCGTAAAATAACACCGTTCTTAGAAAACACAGAGGACTGAGTTTTCTCCACAGACTGGGACTAATGGTTTGTTTTGCTCTATTTTTAAGTTGTTTTTTTCTTCTTTCTTCTGCTTTTCTCATTTTGTGGTTTATTATGTTTTTGTACAAATCAAAAATAGCGTCAGAAGGAAAACTACAAAAATAACAAAATGCTGGATGTGTGTCCCAAAAATATCATTTTCCTGAGAGTCCACAGTAAAGAGCACTTTCATCAGCGTGATTGCGCAGATTTATGGTTTTCTTCTCAGTCAGTGTGTGAGTGTGTGTGTGTGTGTGTGTGTGTGTGTGTGTGTGTGTGTGTGTGTGTGTTGATAACATCTCAGGATCCAAAGGAATTTCGCAGGACACACCCCTCTCCCAAAGCTTTCCCTCTCCCCCACTTCAGATAAGGAAGTGACAGAGCTGAACTCTCAGGTAGCTCCAACCAACCAAGCCCTGAAGGCATGAAAACAACTTTAGAGTGAAATACAGGAACAAAAACACAAGAAAAGCTTCATTTAACTCAACGTTTGAGCAGGAACAGTCATGTAGTGAAACCAAACTCGATCCAAAGACAATAATTCAAAAAGCAGAAATGAGTGTTAAAGTGAAACTTACTGAACAATAAGAAGTTTGTTCTCACTTTAGTTAGTTGGATTAAAGTGTTTTTTCCTCCTTTGTAAACGTTTTAAACCTTTCTAAGAGATGTTATCTTCTTAATCTGGTCAGTTTTATGAATATTTATCACTTTATCTGTATTTCTGGAACATTCAAACAACTTCATGACAGAAGACTTAATAAAAGCGACTTCAGATTAAAGATTAAGTCTAGTGTAAGGCCACATGTTATCAGGGTAATTCAACCTTTTCTTCATGCACGAGTTTTCATAGTTTTAAAGACTTTAACATCGATTTAAAACAAACTTTGAACTTTTTAAATCTTTCCCAGAAACCCCAGCCTGTTGGTGTTGAGTTAAGAAGTTCACAGTGATCGTTTCTCACCGAGCAGATCGTTCGGAATATCCGTTTTTTCCTCCGACATTTCTTCCCCCGGGGTGAACTCAGAAGAGGAGTCCGGCGGTGGAGACGTCCGAAGCGGGTCAATCCGAGAAGGTGGTCGGCTGGAGGTTCGACGAAAGCCCCGTCGAGGTGTAGCCTGGTTTACTTGGGTGAATGTCGGTCACCTGTCGACACCCTGCGTACCTAACTGTTAGTGTCTGCATCCATCCCCAGCTACATGTCTCCACACACACATCCACACACCGTTACAAACACGCCGCTGTGTGTCCATACCCCTGTTCAGAGAAGACAGGGAGGGGTCACTGTGGAATAAAGAGGGCAAACTTCAAGAGAAACATGGACCCAAACCAGAGGAATCGGTGTGTGATTCACAATAAATCACACAAACTCATTTCTTCACACAGAAACTTCCAGGTCCCTCCTCCACCAGTTTGAGGCGAAAAGAGAAAGTTTGTTATTGTGGTTAAAGTTAGACAAACTGCGACATCTAGTGGTTAGTTTGAATCTTTAATATTACAGTTTTTTTTTTCAATTTTCGCTTACTCATACTTCAGAGACTCAGACCTACAAAACACAGCTGACCAAATGGATAATTTTCTCCTCAAAAAACATTTTGTTGAATATATACACCAACTCTTGGTGGATGATTCTGTCCTCTACATGCTTCACCGTGCCCCGTCTCATCTGGAGGAACCTGAGGTTTATGTGAGGATCATGTTCTTCGACTTTTCAAGTGGATTCAACACCATCCAACCCACCATACTCAAAGACAAGCTCACAGAGTGGGAGTGGATCCTTCCTGTGTTTCTGGGACATTAATGAGCAGTACAGGGGATCCACAAGGGACAGAGCTGGCTCCATTCCTGTTCACACTGTACATGTCAGACTTGAGTCCTGACACATCCAGAAATACTCAGATGACACCGATATTGAGTCAGAATAACTGCCTCCTCCTCAACACCTCAAAGACAAAGGAGATGATCATAGACTTCTGTAGATCCAAACCTCCTCTTCAGCCAGTGAACACCTGTGGACATCGAGGTGGTGACATCATATAAATACCTCGGTGTACATCTGGATAATAAGTTGGACTGGTCTAAGAATATAGACTTCATCTACAGAAAGGGGCAAATCTGATATTATCCAAGGCGATTCACCTGGAGTAAAACCACTTGGTATGTTGGATCCACCTTTGGCAATCATCAGCTATGATGTCTCTGAGGTACATCTGGTCATGTAGCTGATGGTCATAAACCTTCAAGAAAAGAACTCATCTATGGGATCAGCTGTGGTTGGCTCAATCTACCCAACATGAATCAGCTGTGTGTCAATAATTCTATTGTTTGTTTATTGTCAGCTGTGATATATTGTTTTTTAACTGGTATCATTGCAGAAGCAGAGGTTTTTATACATTATCTAATGTTTGGAATATTGTTTTTGCTATTGTGGGATGTTGTGTGTTAACTCGTAAATAATACAAAAACAATCATTTTATTATGAGGTATAGCTTGTCTGTTAAGAAAATGTAAGCATTGTGGAAATATGTTCACAGACTGTATATTGTGTGAAAACCACATGAAATGTGTGAATGGTACGACCACATGCTGTGATCATTGTGTTTAGAGTTTTGAAAATGTGACAGCTGGTTGGACAAACGCTTGTTAACGACGAAAAAAAACAGTGATTGAGCAGCTCGTGTAAAACAAATGTCAAAGTGGGTATTCGTCATTATTTGTCGGGTATTTGCACTGGTCAGTGGACGTAAAATATAATAATTATGATTCACACCAAATCCAAAGATGACCTTCTTTACACAGAGAAGACAGAGGCTGACTGACATCGTCCCTGATGAACTGGACTTTGTCCTCAGACCTCGTCTCTGCCACCATCACCAGAGAGTCCAGCTTCACGCCGACCACAGAGCCGACTCATCTGATCGTTTTTTCCAGCCTTCTTGGATGTTAATGTCCAATCCAGCCACAGTCTGAGGTACTTGTATGAGTCTACAACTTCCACTTTGACCCCTTCCATCAGAACTGGTCTTGACCTTGGTCCGGCATGTCAGCTCTGGTCCCTCAACCAGGACTCAGCAGTTCCTGAAATAAAACATCAACTTTCCTCTCCCCCCAGTCCGCTGCTGAATCAGAATAATCCACTTCAGGGGAACAGACTTATCCGATCTAAAACGTCTTATCAGCATCAAACCCAGAACTGGTTTTCTGGACCTAATCTGATCTGAACCATTTAATTAATTTAGACCTGATTTGTTCTTATTTGAGCTTTTTTTAATGACCTCAGCTATTTGGAAAATGAAACTGACTCGGCCACTAGATGGAGACAGATAGTCATAAATCTGTTAGTCTCTAAACTATAGAACTCTCGGAATGACTCAGCATCATTAACGGGCAAGTCCTGCACGTAAAATCAACCAACCATGTAGTCGTTCCTTCTGCAGAAATTGAATGCTGCACCAGTTTTGGGCAAAAAATATAAAAGTTGTGCCACAAGTTTTAAAACCACCCTTAAAGGAACAAACGCTTGTTAACGACTGAAAAAAGTTTTAAAACCACCCTTTGGTTTTAAAACTTGTGGCATCAACTTTTATATATTGTGCAGGACCTGTGCTGTAATGATGCTGAGTCATTCCCAGAGTTCTTATCTAATCTTATCTTGTTTTGCATGACTTTTGGCGCACAGAACGGGTTGATTTTCTGTCATCCTTTCCATCATTCTTCCACATGCTGACACTCCCTCTGACCCTATATAAAGACTTTTAGTGTCTCTGTCATCTTGCTGCCTGGCTCATCATCCACTCTCTTCTCCCTCATCATCATAAAGCATGATGGTAAGTAAAGTAGTTAAATCAGTGAGTGATGACTACATTTCTTTAGACTTGGAGTCTCACACGGTACGCTGTAGACTGATTTAAATATTAATATGAAGTGAAGAGTGAATTCAGTATTATAAGTGGTTTAAATCAGGCTCTGGGCTTCATGTCTCACTGTGGGCTTGTGTTTGTTGTCTTTGCTCTCGTGAAGTTAACACAGGAGTGTGTTAATGTGTCTGTAGAGTGTGGTAAAATTAGCTATACCTCTTTCAAAATTCACAAAATCATAATTGAATTTTACTCTGAGGTCATGTTGCATCATGCAGTTCCCTTGAATTACTGTGCGTATATTCTGATTTATCTGCACCCTCTGCATGTTTTCAGAAAATACTCATCTTTCTGATTGTGTTGCTGCTGGTTTCTGGAGTTCAGACCCCATACCTGGGCAGGTGGGACTCAGACGCTGCATCGAGCCACTTCACAGACAGTGGGCGGCCCGGAAAGAGGATTTTGTCTTTTTGGATTTTTCCACGCCGTACGTGCTCAGTGAGTCCACGGGGAAATTTAAACAGACTCGTTTCGAGGAAAAGACGGCGCTTCAGATAAAACACCTTTGGACTTTAGATCCAAACTGTGGCTCAAGACTCTTTAAAGGTGGTCTGAAGGTTAACTCCAGTCACAGTGAGTGATATAATTGACAATAAAGGGCAACAGAAGAGATTTATGCAAGAAGAGACCACTTTAATATGCTGGAAATGAGATGTCCCTCTTTGTCGTTACTCCTGGATTCACCTTTTTATTGTCATGTGTCAAACAAAAGCAAAGGGAGGACCCAAGTACAGAAACTCAAGAGTTTATCCAAACCAAGGACCAAAAGTGAAACGACCAAAACTCACTTTTCAAAGTCCAAGAGAAAATCCAGAAAAATTTAAACCAACTGGAAATACATCAAACACTGGAGCACCGGGAACAAACGCCGGGACAAGAGGCAGAGGTGAAGTACTGAGACCTGAACCTGTCAAAGTGTGAAACACGAGGACTACGGCAATAACTTAGTTTACACAGGGAAAAACTGAAAGAGGAGACCACCTGAGATAATCAGAGGTGTGAAGTCCTCGGTCACTACACTGAACAGATGAACCTCAACATCATGAAGACTAAAAAACTGGATTAAATCTTCTTTTCATCATAACTTATAAAGCATATTTGAAGTTGTGAAATTGTCAATAATTCAGAAGGTGTTGTGGTGAACTTATTTCTACCAGCTGAGACTGAATTAAAATAAACAGCAGAAACATCAGAAGTTTAGAAGAAGTTTCCTCTTAAATGTCAGTCTGCAGACGCTGTCTGACTCTCTTCTGCAATGCTTGACTCGTTCAAAAGGTGGCGGTATCGTTCAGTAGATGAATCTTGCATATAGGGGGTCTCTCATTCTGTGACATGAGTGCGCATCATCCTGTGTAACAAACTTTAATGTGTTTAAGATGTGATTCGAACCCACATGTCCTCCAGGCTCTGGTGCAAAAGAGGAACAAAAGTCTGAATCTATGATCGAAGTTTCTGGATTTGAATATTTGAGGAAGATTTGAGGAGAATCGATGTGAAGTTGGAGATGATCTGTCCAAGGTGCTGAAATAAAAAAATAAATCTCTTTTCTGTTGGATCTTATCGTTCATTTCCTTTACTGCTGTCTTGGCTGGGACTCCCGTGTCTCGGCTGAAATACTCCCGGTGAAACAAAGATGAAATTAAGTCGTGAAATAAGTTACAACAGATATATCTGCAAGTTCAGCAATAAAGTAGGGAGTGGGCTCTGCACGCGAGGAGGAGGAGGAGGAGGAGGAGGAGGAGGAGGAGGTGGTGTCAGGTTTTTTCCTATGCAGTCTTGTGATACATGACAAAATGCTGTAGAAACATAAAAATCTGAGTTTTAATCAGCATCATTTTCCTGTCCTCTGACACCAACAGTCACTAGATCTCGAGTCAGCTGTGAGTTGTGGCTGTTTTGTGTTATGAGACATGATCATTTCAGAAATTAAAGCAGTTAGGGTTAGGAAATACAGAATGCATGTAAGCAGCTTATGTTTAAAAGGCCTTATCTTTAAATCATGGCCGACATTTAAAGACTCCCGGGTTAGAGATCTTCCTGACCAAAGCCTTCCTTCGCTCTTCTCCAGCTCCACCTTCCAGATCCAGAAAACCAACATGGCAGCGACCCTTCGCTGAACTCTGTTGATTCTTCATGCAGTTTATAGTCTTGACAAAAAAAAAAAAAGAAAACACTCCAGATCTCAGAGGTTGAACTTGAGTGAACCTGTTGATCGGGTCAGTTTTACTCACTGCCTTTAGTTTCTAATGTTGTGCAATCTGATAAAACTCCTCCAGCGTGTTTTTTCTCCGGGCTTGTGGTAGCGGGGAGTCTCGTCATTTGAAAAACATTCGCTGAGTGAGTCATGACGGTCAGGTGTCAGTCATTGCACAGACACGACAAATATGGAGGGTAATGAAACTGAAGTTAAGGAGAGTTTTGGTTGTTTTTCATTCTTTGCTGAAAAACGCTTTCATTTGTGTTTTCATTTTGACGCCTGCATTTTAACAAAGG